AGGCGCACTAGCGTCCCTATGCCCTCCGTCTGCCATTGAGCCCCGACCCCTGGCTAGACCTTGCCCCTCGTTGGCCACGCCCCTTGCCTACAACCACGCCTCCTGCCCAGGTCCCTTGGCGGGTAGCAAACACCGGGTCGGTCTGAGTGGGGAGCAGAGGGACACCGCGGGGGCGGCGCCTCGGTGCCCCGAGAGAGGCCACAAGTGGAGGAAGGGCGCAAGCACGGGGGGCCGAGGTGGACACTCGGGCCTCACAGGCGGGGCCAGAGCCAGTGAGAAGCGGGGTGCACTTTGGGCCCCACTGGCGCCGTCCAGGTTGCAGGAGCCTCCTCCAGCACCTGTCCCTAATGGGCCACTGAGGCCCAGGAACCGCAAGGAAGCCGGGGCAGGAGCGTCTCTGGCCGAGCTGAGTGCTGACTAAAGAAGCAACGGTACAGGGCCGGGGACTTAGTGGCTTAAGCGCCTGGTCATGAGTTCAATCCCCGGTACCCTCCCCAAAAAAAGCAACGGCACAGAAACCAGGAGAGGCGAGGCCTGGAGCCGAGGAGAGAGCACGCAGGAAGGTCAGGACCCTGCGCCCGGGACACAGGGCCATCGGGAACCGGAGACAGAGAACCGGAGACAGAACTGGAGCCGCCAGGTTCCCATGGACACGCGGGGCTCCAGGTCCCCAGCGCCCCACCCCGGTCCGGCCAATGGCGCCCTGGCCTGGCCTTGCTGGCCCGGGCCAGGCGCCTGCCCACGAATTCCTGGAGCCCAGCCCAAACTGGCTGGCGGGTACCAGCCAGGAGCCGTGCAGACAGCCCCACGCCCGCGAGGCAACAGCTACCATGGTGTCGATGCCTCAGGCGAGACTCAAGTTCAGTTCCCCTTGTCCGCTGGCCTGTCCTGCCCTGGCTCCAGCCACATGGCGATCCCAATCGGCCTCTCCCCTTCCCTTTCTCCTGGCCAAGAATAAAATCTCTGCTACTCTGGCAGGCTCAGTCTGGTCTTTGGGACACAATTCTGAAAGGGTGACAGGTGCTCCAGACAGCACACAGCCTGCTCGGCCCATTACTAGCAGAGAGCTGCGTCTTGGAAGGCCACAGAGATCACACCTCTCATCCCCGCATGGGGAAGAAGGATCCTTGAGTTCAAGGGCAGCGTGGATTACTGGGAGAATTCAAGGCCAGCTGGGTCTACATGGCGAGGGTCAGACTCAAAATACAATGAAAGGAAAAGGAGGAGGAGGAGGACGACGAGGAGGGTGGGGGAAAAGAAAAAGCCAGCAATCAATAAGAAAGAAGCTTCCAGAACCAGACATGGCGGCACACACCTGTCATCCCAGCACTTGGGAGGCTGATGCAGGAGGATTACTGCAAGCTCAAGACTAGCCTGGGCTACACAGTGAACTCAAGCCCAGCCTGAACTGAGAAGAAAAGAAAGAAAGAAAGAAAGAAAGAAAGAAAGAAAGAAAGAAAGAGGCTTGCAGCAGTGCTGACTTCTTTTTCTGCATTCTGCTATTGCCAGAGATCATCACAGGGACAGAGGAAAAAAACAAACTCCCTGTCCTTAATCTGCTTCCCAGGAAAAGTACTGTTTGTGTTTTCTTTTGAGGCAGGCAGGAAACTAAAAGCTGCTTTAAACAAAAAAAGAAAGAAACAGAAACAAAATGCAATGACCCTGCTTCTTCCCTGGCCTACAGTGCCGACTGCACAGTAAACCCACCCAAGAGCTGGAGCCTTTATTACCTTAAAGCTGGAACTAGAGCCTGACCCCGAAGCACACACCTGTGACCCCAGCACTCTAGGTGGCTAAGGCAGGAGAACTGCAGGTTTTTGTATTGTTTTGTTTTTGTTTTTGTCTTTTTGAGGCAGGATCTCACTCTGCAGTTCAGGCTGGCCTTGAGCTCACTTTGTAGCCAGGCTGGTCTTGAATTTGTAATGATCCTCCTGCCTCAGCCTCCCAAGTACTGGGATTGCAGGCATAAGCCACCATGCCTGGCTAAAACTGCAGTTTTAAACCTAGTGTGGGCAACTCAGTGAGATCCTGTCTCAAAATAAATATAAAATTTGAAAAAGGAAGATAGGGGGCTGGGGATTTGGCTCAGCGGCATAAGCGCCTGCCTTGCAAGCAGGCAGTCGTGAGTTCCATCCCTGGTACCAATGAAAAGGAAAAAGACAAAAAAAAAAAAAAAAAAAAAAGAAAGAAAGAAAAAGGAAGGTAGGAGAGGAGAAAGAAAGACTGATTTATGAAAAGCACTGAGACCGAACTTGATCAGTTCTTTGTCCAGGGCCCTGGGTTCCATCCCTAGCACAGAAAACAAACAAATAAACAGAAAAAAACCCCAACAGATTGCAGATTGCAGACCTGTGACACTGAGCTTCTGGAGCCCACAATTAGGATCCTGCTGCCTCTTCCCAGGCCAGCCATGACCCGGGGCCCTGCAGCTCGGGGTCTCCCAGCTCCTGCTGTGGGGCCCTCAAGGCCCCGGGGAGGAGGGACAGCTTCTGCCTGTCTCCCTTGGAAATCAGGGGGCCTGTACGGCCCTGACCCTCCCTGCAGAGGACACCACTGGTAGGGGAAGGAACAATGGTACTCACCTGCCATCCCAGCATGCAGAAGGCTGAGGCCCGAGGATTTCTGGGAGTTCAAGGCCAGCCTGGACTACACAGAGAGACTCTGTCTTGAAAAACAAAAACAAATGCCAAATAAAAGTGTCTTGGGGTGAGGTCTGGTGGGTCAACCTGTTGGTGCATATTCCAGCTGCAGAACTTTGCTCCTTGGATTGTACAAAGTGACTGTCAGTCCCAGGCTTCCTGCCATCCCACTCTCTGGAGCCAGTCACTGACAAGGAAGCAGCCAAGGGCTGGAGGGTAGAGACGGAGTCCCAGGAAGCATCCCTGCTGTGGGATCTGCACAGAGGTCCTCAGCGGTTCACATCCCAGCAGTCACAGCGGCACACACAAACCCGCATTCTGCTTCTTTACTATGCTCTGACTAATCTTTTAAACTTTGTTCTATTCATCTTACTTGTTTTTGGGGTCTTGAGACAGAGTCTCACTGTGCAGTTCAGGCTACCCTTGAACTATGTGGCCCAGGTTGGCCTTGAAGTCACAGCAATCCTCCTGCCTCAGCCTCCTGGGTGCCAGAATTCCAGGTGTGCGCCACTGTGCTCAGCCTGCTCTGTGTAACGACTCTAGGACAAGATGCTGCCTCTTTTTGCAGGTAATATTGCTGAGAAATCATGCTGTGCATGTAAACAACAGCAGTAAACAGGGCATGCAGGTTTTCAGGAAAAGCAGCCTGGCTTTATTTGAGATCCAACTCCAGCCACCAACGTGCCATGAATATGGTTACCCAGCAGTGCCTGCAGCTTCCCCCACTCAAGCCCCCAGTCTCCCCTTCTCCTCTTGTTCCTTGGTCGTGCCAACTGGTCTCACTCAGAAGTAAAAAACTACAGGCCACACAGGTACAAAGGAAAGTTACTTAGGGGTACGAACAGCTGGGCCTCCAACCAGAAAATGACCAAACCTACTAAAGATCGCCAGAGACTTTCGTTTTCAGATAGGATCTTGCTCTGAGGTCCAGGCTGGCTTCAAACCTGAGATTCTCCTGCCCCATCTTCCCAAGTCCTAGGCATACAGGCGTGCACCAGCAAGCCCAAGAAAATATTTTTACTCCCATAATGGGACCCAAATTCAACCTGAAGAATGTTTCCTGGTCAGACCTTTGCCCTACTCTACCCCTCAAGAATGAGAGGCAAAGCCAGACCTGGTGGTTGCACACCTGTAATCTCAGCATTTTGGAGGCTGAGGCAGGAAGGTCACTGCAAGTTCAAGATCCCCTGAGACTGCGTCTCAAAAGAGAAAAGAATGTGTGTGAAAATAAGAAAGAGGAGGCCTGTTCCGCTCCTGTGACTCTGTTCTACCTTGGCGTAGCTCTTCTTGTTTATCTTTGGGGACACGTGCCCATCCACACGAGCTTCTCTCCCCTTGTCCAGCCCAAACTGGCTGAGAGTGACCGTCCTCGACCTTTATCTTAATCCACCTGCAGTTTTCTGACAGCCCCAGCGCCAAGACAGTTGACAGTTGCCATGAGGACGATGGGACACAACCACCCGAGCAGAAAGAGGTGGCATTTAGATTCCCCCTCATCAGCCTTCCTCTTACCCCTAGCCAGTCATCTCCAGAGCCCCGATGTGCAGAGAGGTTGATTTCCAAGTTTTACCCGCTACTTCCATTCTTGGCCAAGACAAAATGTCTCCTTCACCGGGGGTCAGCGCTTCGTCTCTCTGTAGATTCCATATCTTTTGTTTTGTTTTTTGAGACACCGTCTGCCCATGCAAACCAGGCCAGCCTCGAACTTGTGGCCATCCTCCTGCCTCAGCCTCCACAGTGCTGGGATAACAGATGTGCCCTCCCATGCCAGGCAGTTCGGTAATCTTGAGAGGTGAGAAAGGACTCAGGTTGCAGAAGTCTCCGGAGGCTCAGTGACCCCACTTGGGGTAGCACAGTGTTCATTTCTATTCCCCTTTTTCCTCGCCTCAGGGTTCACAGTGAGGGGCACAGGGTGTGGGCCAGTAAAGTGTTTCCACATCACAAAGCGACTGCTAAAAGGCTGAAAGGAAAGGCATCCTCCACAACAGCTGGGTCCTTTTCAGAGTTCGGACTGCAGTCGCCCCCTAGAGGCCGGGCATCTTCTGGCTAACCACGGGTGATCCCGTGGCCGCCATCTTTTTTCCGGGAAGCAACCATCTTGGTTAAGGCGGTGTTCTGGATTTTAGCCTTTACCTGCCTTCCTGATTCCTCACTATACCAAGTGAAGGCAGCGAACAGAGGCTTGTGAAATAGTCTCTTTTAAAGGATAACAATAAATTGCTGAGAACTTGGACTTGGATCTCAAGGCCCGCTCGCCTTCCCTTTACCAAGATGTCGACCGCGCGAAAACGTAGGGCGCGCGCCGCCCTGAGGTCAGTGCGCAGGCGTAGAAGTGACGTCAGGGAGGCGCGACCAAGCCGGCGCTGGGGGAAGGAGGTAGGAGCGGCCGCGGTGCGGGCGGAGCCGGGGGGCTGGCGGGCGACGGGGGCGCCCAGCTTGGGATCGCTACCGGCGCGGGCAGGGGCGGGGCGCTCCGCAACGCGGGCGTTTGTGGCGCTCACTGTGGACAGCTTCCAGGAAGGCCGTGTGCGCTTCCTGGACCCGGGGGCTGAAGTCCTGGGAGACGGCGCTGTTTGGGAGGCCATGGACCCCGCGCTGCTCCCGAGCGGCTTCCGGTCCGGGCGAGCCTTGGGCGGGACCCGCGGGCTGCGGGAGTACTGCACAGTGGAGGCAGCCTTGCGCTTCATCCCGTGTTCTTCCTTCCACCAAGAGATCGCTGGTTTTAGGTATCCCCGCCCTGCGTCGCACCTTCTTCCCTCTGCCTCTGGCAGTCACAGACAGGGGCCCCGCCCCTGGCCTTCCACATGGCCCGGCACTTGCCGAATTGAAGCCCCCTTTCGCACACCGCTGCAGGCTTCAATCTTCCCATTCCGGTACTGGGGCTTGAACCTAGGGCCTTTGCACAGAGGTGCATCCCACACCTATTTTTGGAGACAGGATATCCCTAAGTTTTCTGAGATGGGCCCAAACTTGGCGATTGTCTTGCTTCAGCCTTCCAGAGTCTTGATGTGCATGACAAGTGTCCACTAGCACTCCCGGCTGAATTGTCTTAAAAAAACCCAATAATCTCGCTACGTAGTGCAGACTAGTCTTGAACTCACTATGTAGCCCAGGGTGGCCTTGAACTCACGGTGATTCTTCTGTCTCAGCGTTCCGAATGCTGGCAATGACAGGTGCATGCCAGGGGCCTGGTTTGCCTCACTTTTTGTTTTGTTTTGTTTTGAGACAGGATCTCGTTATGCAGTTCAGCCTGGCCTTGAACTCACTTTGTAGCCTAGGCTGGTCTCAAACTCACAACAATCCTGCCTCAGCCTTCCAAGTGCTGGATTACACCAGCCGGGCTTCGCCTCACTTTTTAAGGCCTCTTCTTTCGCATGTCCTCTGGGGAGTTCTCTAATGGGCTCACCTCAGATGGTTCCATCACAGCTTCAATTACACCTCATCCAGTGGCCTCCTTCCATAGCATCACACACACACACTAGGTGCCCTTACTCGGATTACAGATAGGGTGTGTGTGAGATACTGCTCAGCAAAGAAAAGGTGTATTAGTCGACTGAAGCTGCCATGACAAAATACTAGACTGGGAGCCTAGATTAGTGGCACACACCTGTGATCCCAACTCCTAGGCAGGCTGAGGCAGGAGGATCTCAAGTTTGAGGCCAACCTGGGGAATTTAGTGAGACACTGTCTCAGAATAAAAAGGGCTGGTGATACAGCTCAATGCAAAAGTCCTGCGTTCAATCTTCAGTACAGACAAAAACAGACTAGGTGGCATAAATGACAAATAGATTCTGTCACAGATTGGGCAGTGAACCTTTGCAAATAACCCTAACTGAATGGAACCCAGTAACAGACACAAATGCCTCAAAGAGGTTGGTGGTGTGACAGGAATCTCCAGGGTTCCTGGAAGTAGAGGCACTTGTGCAGGGCCTTGAAGTTTAAATAGTAGTTAACTAGAAAAAGGCAAAGTGCACAGTTGGGAGCGGTGCAAAGGAAGTGCCAAGGTCCTGTAGTGGGAACCTGTGTGTCCTACAATCAGCTAGGGCCCTTATCTGAGATGAACCCGAGCTCAAGCACCCTAAGCTCCGTGTGGTGGCACCCTTCTGCAGTGGGAGGCTGAGGTAGGAAGATCTCCGTGAGCTCGAGGTCAGCCTGGGCTATAGAGGAGAGCCTGACTCCAAAAATCAAAACCAGACAACAGTCCGGCCTGTGTCTTGGAGCCAGTGCTGGCCCCGCTCAGCACCCATACCCCGCAGCTGCTGAGGGATGCCCAAGAAGTTCCAGGGCGAGAACACCAAGTCTGCAGCCGCCCGGGCACGGAAGGCTGAGGCCAAGGCTGCGGCCGATGCCCGGAAGCAGAAGGAGCTGGAGGACGCATACTGGCGGGATGAAGACAAACACGTCATGAGGAAAGAGCAGCGCAAGGTGAGCGCTGGGCTTCGGCCTGGGCCTGGGCCTGGGCTGCCCCAGGGATGCCCATGCAAAGTGGCTGTGATCTGGACTCGGGCTAGGACACTGCCGCCTCCTCTCTGGCCCGGTGCTCCCTGAGGTTCCATGCAAGTGGCGCCTGCGACTGGCACTGCCTGAGCCCATGCCCTGTGCCTGGTCTTAGTGAATCAATTCTGTGTCTGAGTCTCCACCCTCATGCTGCACTGGGTCCCGGGACATTTTTACAGTGTTTTATTATCTTTGTTTAAAAAAAATTATTTTTTGTGTTCTTGAGACAAGATGTCAGTATGTAGCCCAGGCTGGCCTTGAACTCACCACCATTATGGGATTGCACCGCCAGACCTGGCTTTTTTATCTTTTTTTTTTTCGGTACCAGGAATGGAACTCACGACTTTGCACTTGCCGGGCAGGCCTTTATACCACTGAGCTAAATCCCCAGCCCCCTGGCCCTGTTTTTTTTAACTTTGAGGCAGAGTCTCAAAAAGTTGCTCATGCTGGGCCGGACATCTTCCTGCCTGAGCCCCCTAGGTAGCTGGGATTATCGGAGTGCAGCACCAGGCTCCTCCACATGCATTCATTCAAGTCTCACCCCCTCCTCAGCCCGCAAACACAGACAGCTGCACACTGTGAGCCCTTCCTGAGTGGCTGGGCTTCCAGGAATCTATCCACTCCTCCCACACACACTTATGTAGCACCTGCCCTCCATCTGCAGCACTGGGGACACCAGAATGACAGGTCTGCGTCCTCCCTGGGCACTCTGCCTCAGGGATGGGCAGTGGCTGGGTCTGTTTACTGGTGCCATAACAAAATAACACAGGCTGGTAACTTATGAAGAACAGAGGTTTAAGTGGGATATGGTAGTACACGCCTGTAATTCCAGCATTTGGGAGGCTGAGGCAGGAGGATCAGAGGTTGCAACCAGGCCAGACCCCTTAGCAAGATCCTATATGCTGTGGCTCTGTGGTGGGCATTGGCCTGGCACACTAGTGCCCTGGGCTCTGTCCCCAATGCTCCAAAAGCAGGCAGTTTTGCTTAGCTTGGGTACCGCATCAGGGAAACCTGAGATGGAGGTCGTGCCCTGTGTAGGGGGCTTTGTGCTTCGGGTGAAAGGGGCAGCAGATCAAGCTGTCTCCCTGTCATAGTCATCAGTGCCACCACTGGCTCCACCTGCAGGACCCCATGGGACCCTAATCAGTTCCATGGGTCACGGCAGGCCTCCTGGGGGAAGCTCCCAGCACAGGAGCTTTGGAGATACCTTGCCAGCCCCCAGGACAAAGGGTCTCAGGAGAGGCCTGGGCAAATCTTGCAGGAGAGGTGGTGGGTGAGGCTCTCCAGGCTGCCAGCGGCCAGTGCAAAGGCCCCAGGGTACAGTGGTGTGGGCGGCAAGAGCTATGCTAGATGCATGGCCTTTTGTGGGTCCCAGGGCCATGCTGGTACTGACAGGAGGAAATGACGCTCGAGGTCCAGCAGCCCCACCTGAGGTACCCACACAGGGCATCGGGCCTTCAGACAGCTTTGGCCATGTCACTTTCCTGCGGCTGCTGTTGCTGCTGGAATCAGGCATGAGGCCAGACGGCAGAGCCCCCAGGCAGTGGTCCCCAGGGACAGAGACTAGCATCCCCTGCTGGGCCTGCACCAGGGCCACCCTGGGGGAGAGTCCACTCCAGCCTCCGTTACTTGGCTGGGGATACTGTGACAGTATACCCCCAGTTTTTGCAGTGCTTGGAATCCAGGGTTATACCCTCCGCGGTGTCCGGGAAGCTCCCCGAGCTGATGGTGTCAGAGCTGCTGCCTGCCCCTCCTGCTACCCCGACTGCTGAGCTGCCCCTGGGGTCTGTGGTTACTGCCGTACCTTGGCACCCACCATGCCCTGCACCAGGGCGTCTGGCTGTCTCCTGGGCAGCTCTCCTGTCCCAGCCCTGGGTCACCCCTGGGCCAAGGCTCCCGCAGCGCCCAGCCATTACCATCCCCACGCCCCATCCTCAGGAGGAGAAGGAGAAGCGGCGCCTGGAGCAGTTGGAGCGCAAGAAGGAGACGCAGCGCCTGCTGGAGGAGGAGGACTCGAAGCTTAGGGGCGGAAGGGCGCCTCGCGCGGCACCCAGCAAGCTCACTCGTGCACAGATCGAGGATTCGCTGCGCCGCGAGCAGCAACATCGCGAGGCTCCCGAGCCAGGTGGGAGGTGGGGCGGAGCAGGGCACGGGGTGGGGTCCTCGGCCCCCTACTGATTGTTGCTGTGTGGTCCCAACAGAGAAAGCCAAGAGCCACCTGGAGGTGCCGCTGGAGGAGAACGTGAACCGCCGCGTGCAGGATGAGGGCAGTGTGGAGGCGCGCACCATCGAGGACGCCATCGCTGTGCTCAGGTGATGGGGCGGGGCTATGTAGTTTGGGGGTGGGGTTAGGGTCTTGGAGCTGTGCCTGTGGGTCTGGGTGTGGCTTAGACCCTGGGTGGGTTCTGTGGAGCTTAGGCGAGGCTAGGACCTGGGGTGGGGCCTGGCCATCTGGACCCGGCCCAAGCCCAGCTGATGCGCCCCATTTCCCCTGCAGCGTAGCGGAGGAGGCTGACCGGCACCCAGAACGGCGGATGCGGGCGGCTTTCACGGCCTTCGAGGAGGCCCAGCTGCCTCGACTCAAGCAGGAGAACCCCAACATGCGGCTGTCCCAGCTGAAGCAGCTGCTAAAGAAGGAGTGGTTGCGCTCCCCCGAGAACCCCATGAACCAGCGGGCCGTGCCCTTCAATGCCCCCAAGTGAGACCGGAACTGAGGACACCGCCCCGTCTTGGGGTCCAGGCTGCCACCCTGTACACCCTCCCTCTAGCTGGGTCACCAGGATTGCAGAGTAGTGCTGGCCCAGGTGCCGTCAACACCACCTCGGGATGGAGGGTCCCCTCCCTCCTCAGAGACATCCTCACCTTGGTGGTCATTGTCCGTGGCCACGGCTGAGTGCCCAATAAAGGCAGGCGAGGCTGTGCTAGGCGGTGTGCCCTTGATGCTGAGGGAGAGGGGCGGCCGGCTTGGGAGGTGCAAAGGGAAACCACGCCTGAGGAGAGAGCCAGGCCTGGGAGTAAGTACCCTGTAAGGAATTGAGGTCATCAGTGATGGGGAAACTGAGGCACGGTGGTTGGGAGCAGGTAAAGCTCTGACCAGGTGTTTTCTACCACTCTCAGCCGAGTGGTACCCCTTTTCCACCCTGCCCACCTCCTTGTCCTCAGATTCTGAGACAAAGCCAGTGGGACCCCCTCTACCCTGTTCCTTCTTCTGGCAAGAAGGAGGCCGGGCACCTTTACTTCCAACTGCTGGGGAGAAGTAGGAAGAAAGGTTCCAAACTGGAGTCCCACATGGACAACATAGCAAGACATAGTCTCCCAAACAAAAAAGGGCTGGGGTTACAGAGTTTTAGTCCATAGAATAAAGCAAGGAAAGAAGGAAGGGTGGATGACTGTAGAGCCCAGAGGTGTCCCCAGCCTTGAGGAGGTCGAGGCTGGGTTGAGTAGGGTTGGGCTTCAGTTGAGGTAAGGAAGGTTTCCTGGAGAAGGGCTCTTAAGGATGTATAGGGATTCTTCACCCAGGAGAGACCCATGATGTCTACTTACAAAGGCCTGGCAGTCACAACTTCTGTTAAAGAAAGGGGTAGCATTAATAATTGGGTGGGGTTGGGTTGGAGGCCACTCAGCAGGCATGTGCAGGAGAGAACCCTCCCCCCAAAGCAAGCCTTCCTAGAGGTTTGGGTACCTACAGGAGCACAGCTGACAACCCCTGGCCACGCAAGCGCCGCGGCCCCCGCACGACCCCCGTTACGGACAGGGAAGAGGCTGCCTGGATCTCCCAGTAGGGCAGCACTGGAGCCACATGGAAACAGTGCGCGGCCAGGCCTCATGCTACTGCCTCTTTGAAGGTCTCAGGCGAGGGCCTCGGTGGTGTAAACCTCACTTGCCTCTCCCCTAAAACGGGACTAAAGACGGTGCCCCAGACAGCTCGATCCCAGCATTCAGCAGACTGAGGCAGGAGGCTCGCGAGATTTCAAGGCCTGCTTAGGCCACGTAGCGAGACACCGGCTCAAAACAGTGCCCAGTGCTAGGCCGGGTGGAGAACTCCGACTGCCGCCTGGGAAGGGCAGGTCCCTGAGAAGGGTCCAGCGAGAAGCCTCCCGCGTGCTCGTGGCGGGGCCCTGAGGCTGGGGACGAGTGGAGGGCGGGGGTCGGGGCGGGGTGACTTTAGGAAGCGTCCGCGTGAGACGAGCAGCGGGTTTCGCGCGGCTGTGGGAGCCACGGGAGGGCAAGGTCCGCCGAAGTCCTGCAGGGTGGCCGGGGTGAGGATAAAACTCGGGCCCGGAGCCAGAGGACCGCGTCAGCCCTCGCTCTGTAGACAAAGGCGGCTCGCTCACTCCTTTTTGCACAAAAGCACCTTTTCACATGGGTTACGCCCCTGCGGAATCCCGAGTGTGCGCGTGCGCGCCAGGAGCAGGGAATCCCCGGCGAGGGAGGGGTTGTTGCAGGAGAGTTCCGTGCGCTCCCAGCCCTCCTCGCGCCCGCGCGTTGCCAGGACGACCGGGCTGGGCCGAAGGGGCCTCCAGTCGTGCTCTACACATGCGTTGGGGTAGCCCGCCTCGTGCTAGGGCTTCCCCTTCTCGCGCCCAGACGAGGGGCAGGGCCGCGGGGCGCATGCGCGGACCCCCGGCCGTCACCCCCTCCCTCCGCCCGCGGTGCCGGGGAATCCTCTCCCGCCGCAGTGCGCAGTGGGGGCGGGGCGGGGAAACCGGCTCAAACCGGAGTGGGGTTCACCAAAGAGGTGGCGGAGGAGGGAGCGCGAGCAGGGTCTTCCCCGGGTTCCCGCTCTGGCCCCCGCAGTCGCCTTGGCAACCGGGTGCGCAAGCCGCAGTGCGGGGGCGGGGGCGGCCTCGGGGAAGCCGGGCGGCTGTGCGCGTGCGCGGGGCTGGGAGCGCCGGCCGGGGTTCCCCTCTGCGCCCCGGGGACCGGGAGGAGGGTGGAGATGGGGACCACGAGGAGAGGGCAGAGGATGGAGACGCGAACGAGGGGAAGGAGGAAGGGCGCGGCGGGAGTAGGGCGAGAACAAAGGAGAACAGCCAGAAGGGGGACTTGGGGAGGGCAGCGGCCACGGAGAGGAGCGGGACAAAGAGGCTGGGGGGTGGGGGCGGCTGGGATCCGGCTGGGATCCGCAGGTCTCCGAAACAGGCTGAAGACGGGAACCACGGGCGCCCAGTTAAACTGGCTTCTTAGGGTAACCGCGCCGTGCTCCGAGCGCAGCCCGGCCGGCGGCGAGTACACGGACGGAGCGCCCGCGCCCCGAAGTCAGCGGCGCCCCGCTGCCCTCGGGCTCTGCTCGCTGACCGAGTGGGGCGCTGGGAGAGCCTGGCCGCGGCGTCCTTGTTCCCTAGGGCGCGCACCGTGTCCAGCCTTTGTGTGTTTGAACAAAGTAGTTTCCCTGTCACCCCTCAGATTTCAGAACGGGGTGGGAGATAACCAAACACCACCGGAGCTAGTGCAAGAGTAAAGGACAGCCCCGGGGGATCCCGGCCCTGCACGCCTGGCGCTGCTCTGCTGTGCCCTCCTTGTTCTTGTCCACGCTGCCCCCTCCAGCCCAGCTCTGTGGTGGGGGACGCGGTCCCCGTGGACCGTTTTCCCAGCGGCAGACAGCTACACGGGCTTAGCCACCTCGGCAGGAAATGGAAGGCCTGGGTCGGCGTGGATCAGCGTCCGCGTCCCCAGGGCTGCCGTCGGGGCAGAGGCCGCCCCTTACCCGTCCGCGCCGTGACCCTGAGGCCCTTGTCCCCTGGGCGGGGGGGGGGGGGATGCTTCAAGCAGTGATCGCATCGCGCCCAGAGCCGGGGACAACAAGAACCAAAAACCTGTGAGAGGACCTTGGATGGAGCCTAGACGGGGAACTGAGTAGGGGAGACCCGGGGAGGGGACTGCAGGGCCCAGGCCCCGAAGCCGGGCGTGGCCGGGTTGTAAAAGGGTCAGGGATTGTGGGGGCCCAGGGAAAGTCAGAGTCCTCCGGATGGCCTAGGAGAGAGGGAGATGGGGTACGGCTTGCCGGCCAGGGATGCAACCTGACACAGGGACAGAAATCTGTTGTGTGCCACAGAGGAAGCGACAATGCCACAGTATTCCCTTTGGAGCCTGGGAAGAATCAGGCTCCACGGGGACGATTTGGGGGTCCGCAGGGTGCAGGGGGAACCCTTAGGGACAGGCGAGCCCTTGTCATTCTTTGGCTTTTCTCGTGCGGCTGATGTCACCCCCGAGATGCTGGGCGGCGCCTCGGACCTCTTGATTTCTGCCCAGGGCGTCCCTCTTTGTTCTGTCACTGCGCACAGGCCAGGCCCGCAGCATCCTTAGTGCGTGGCTCGTGGGGCCCGCAGGGTAGGAAGGGGTCGCCAGCCCCATCCGAGCGCAGGATCCCCGTCCCCCCCCCCCCCCGGGCGCGCGGGGCTTTCCACAGCGGCTCCCCGCTGGGGGCTCACGAGAGGGAGACTATTTTTAGAATATTTGGAAGAGGAAAATTTTTTTAAAAAAGGATTGGGGCGCGCGGAGCCTCCCGGCGGCCAGGAGAAAATCCCCTGGCCCATGCCGCCGTGGAAGGGAGATGGGGTTTCAGGCGCGGGGCGGGGGCTGCAAAGGGACCCCCGGGGCGCCTCGCCTGGGAACCAGCGGCCCAGTAGTGCAAACAGCCCCGCAGAGCTGCAGGGACCCGGGAGGCGGGGTGGCCGCTGTCCTTGGTGGACCCGGCTCAGACTGGAACCTGGGCAGCCAAGGTCGCCTCCATAGTTTCTAGTGGGCCCCTCCAGCTCTGATGACTGTGACCTCAGGAGCCGCACTGCTGTCCCCCGGCATGGTGACCTTCAGCGGGGTCCCGCTCTGCTTCCCCCAGGGCGCTCGGAGGGGATCCCCGATTGCGCAGGGGGAGGGGCGTCTCCGGCGAGCACGGAGACAGAGAAGTTTCTGGGCTTTGTTTCCCGGTCCCCAGGCTCCCCCTCCCTGTCGGGGACCCTCCCGGTCCCCAGGGCGCGCCGGGCCGGCTGGGCGGGGACCCGGGGTTCCTGCCTCCCTCTCGGGGCTCCGCCTCCTTTCTGGGGGCCGGCTCAGCCCAGGGCCAGGGAACCGCGTGCGCCGAGCTGCCGGGGTGCTGCGCCGCGCCGGGTCGGGGGCTGCGCGCCCGCGGCCTTAGTTTCCCCCGCTGGAAATCGCGCGCCTGCGTCGGCACCGCAGAGGCTCTCCCTGCCCGGGAGCCTCTCGGATTTGCTGAGGGGAGCAGGGGCGGGCCGGAGGGGCTCCCCTCTCCTCCTCTCCCCACCCCTCCGCTCCCTCCTTGTGCGCCCTTCCCTCCCTTCCCTGCGCGGGCGCCGCCTCCCGCCCGGTGCGCTCGGCTGTGCTCGGCTCCACGGCGCGGGCTCCGCGGCTGGCGCCTCCGGGTGAGTGGACAGCGGCGCGGGCGGGGGTCCCAGCCTGATCCCTTCCTCCTTATGGGAGGACAGGGATCCCTTGTGTTCCCCCAACAGGGACCCCACCCCTAGGTCCCCAGGAAGGGGAGGAGGCTCCAGCGCCCGGGCTAGGTACGGGGAGGGAGGAGGGCGGGGACCCGGGGCTCCCTCCAGTGGGGAGCTGGGCCCGCGTTCCCTCCGTCTCTTCCGCGTGCTGGGGATTTCCCGGGCTGCCCCTCTCCCCGCAGTGGGGGGACCCCAACACGCCGGCCACCGTGCAGCCACCACCCCGTTTCCCACACTCCACAGAGCACAGAGTGGGGTAGCTGGGTGGGGGGAGGCATCCAAGGCCCCAGAGGGTGGTGCTGGCCCAAGGTCACCCGACGGCCGTGGGGCAGAGCCTCCGGCCCAGGGCCCTGCCACCAGGTCCCCTGCGGGTCAGCTGTTGCCTGGCTCTGGGGTGCACTATGGGGTGCGAGAGCTAGGGGAGCCCTATGGCTTCATCCCTTGGGTTCTGAGACCGCCCCCTTTTCTTGTCGCCCCCCTCGTCCCTCTGTCCGGGCATCTCTCAGGGCACTGGGCAGGGGCAATCCCGGAACAAGGGGTGAGAAGGAAGGAGCCGCCTGGGCCGACTCAGGTCCCAGCTGGGCGCCCAAGTTCATGCTGGCTGTCCCTCCGGCACCCCCAGACCTGCCCCTCCTGACTGGGGGCTGGGCGTGGAATTGTGGGGGACACAGCAAGCAGACAGTGCCCAGCGTCCAGGGGGGACCAGGGGCTGGGCTCACCCTCAGGCCACCAGGATGCAGAGCCACCATCCGTGAGTTCCTGGCACTCCAAGGTGACCCCTGTTGTTGTAGCGAGTCAGAGGGCCTGGCCCCCTACACCCAAGGAAGACCCTGCGGGACTGAAGGGCACAGGCCTGGGGCAGCAGCACTGTGAGCAACCCCTGTGCTCCAGTGTGAGTGAGGCCACACTTGGGCAGAAAGCCTGGCGGCTGGGGAGAGAGTGCAGACCTGTGACAGTGGCAACTGGGGTGATAATAGCAGCAATGGGTTTGTGGGCCCAGGAGGTTCTGCACTGTCTCCTGTCACAGGACTCCTAGAGAGGCTGTTGACCTGCCCAGTGTCACATAGCCCAGGAGGACAGTCAAATCATATTGGCAGGACCCAAATCAGGTTGTCAGGACTAACATCCAGTCCTGCCATCCTGACTCCTGTGATTTCTGACTGACCTTTGGAGCCGCCCAGGGGAATATGGTGGTTAGTCAATTGACAAACACTGAGTGGCTAATTACTGTGCCAGTAATTAGGGCTGAGCACTGGGAATATAGCAAGCACTGAGGCAGGTGCAAGTCAGCCCTATGGGGCTTCTTGGGCCATCGGTTAAGAAAGTGAGATGGACTGTGCGGAAAATAGAACACGGGGAAGTGTTAGAGAATGGCCCAGGGAGGCCGAGTGCAGGGGCACACCTGTGATCTGAGCCACTCTTGGAGGCTTAGGAAAGACAATCCCAAGTTCCAGGCAACTCCGTCCAAGCCCCATTTCAGAATTTAAAAGCAGGGAAAGAAAGCTCCATGGGAGAGCACTTGGCTAGGGCTCCATGTCTGCTATCAGAAACAATCAAAACACAAGAAATAAACAGAATGAGCAGGAGAGGAAAGTCTCCGGGGAGCTGAGCGTGACCTGAGACCTGAAGGGGAGCCCCTGAGGCAGGAGATGGGGAAACAGCATATGCAAAGGTTCTGAGATCGGAACCATTCTGTGTGTATGTAGCACTGAGGGTTGAACCCAGGACCTTTGCACTTAGCTATATCCCCACCCACATCACTGGCTTTTTTTTTTTTTTTAACAAGGTTTTTTGCTAACTCACTCAATTCCCCAGGTTAAGCTCAAACTAGGCATCTTCCTGCCTCAGTCTCCAAAGTGCTGGGCTCACAGGCCAACACACCCAGCTGCATTTGACATATTCGAGGCTGGTGAGGACTCAGGTAGAATAGAGTGGACCTGGAGGAGAGAGAGGATGCAGAGGAGGTGGAGGGGTTGGCAGGGAGGGAACTTGGACCCGTGCGAGCCACAGAGTGTTTGGGAGCAGGGGAGAGGACTGGTGCGGTTTCTGATGTCACAGGCCCTGGGCTGCCATGGAGGACAATGATCGTCAGAGGCTGCAGCATCCCAGACAGCATCTGGAGCTCTGGCTGGGTGGGGACCGGGTACCAAGCCTAGGAGGAGCCTGTGTGCCTGGCCTCCCAGCACTCAGCGGACTGAGGCAGGAGGATCACAACAAGTTGGAGACCATGCTGGACTATATAGAGAGACCCTACCTCAAACACAAACAAACAAACAAAGCTCCCCCAGAACAGAAAAACACTAGCCAAATCACTGCAAAAGGCGGCTGGAAACAGCAGACATTTACTCTCCTGTCATCCTGGAGGCCAGAAGTCCAAAAGCCATATCCACCTTGCAGCCCCTGCAAGGCTGGGCCATTCTGTTCTGTGCCTCGAGTGTGGGCAGGCATTTTCCCAGTGTCTGTGTTGTCACATGACTTCCTTATGGGCACCCCAGGCAAGTACAGTGGTGCATACGGATAAGGCCCAATTATTAGGGAGGCTGAGGCAAGAAGATTCCAAGTTCAAGGTCAGCCTGGGCCATTTAGGAAGAATGTGTCTCAGAAAAGGAAGAAAATCAGATACATTCGTGCCTGCATGGCAAGCCCAAGGTGTTTAGTTTGATTTCCAGTACCAAAAAACCCAAAATGAAATGATTCATTATGCATATCTAAAGTGTACCAATAAAATTTTTAAAAAGATATAGAAAAAGAGCTTGGGATTCAATCCCCAATACTGTAAAAAAAGAGAAAAAGATGGAACCCCCCCCACACCCTATGAGATTACAGTCTACCCCATCCACTGTGATTTTTGTTTTTGCCTTTTTTTTTTTTTTCCTTGTCTTTTTGAGACTGGGTCTCATTAGGCAGTTCAGGCTGGCCTTGAGATCACTGTGTAGCCCAGGCTGGTCTTGAACTCCAATGATCCTCTTGCCTCACCGTGCCAAGTGCCAGAATGGCAGGCCTGCATCACCACATTCTGGTTGATCTCTTATTTGAACTCTATCTGCAGATCCTGTTTCCAAACAATGTCCCATTCTGAGGTTCTGCAGGGGTGCCTCAAATTTTAGGGGGACACAGTTCAAACCAGCCACATGGCAGGACACCAGAGTCAAGCTCTGAGCCCCTGGGCAAGAGAGGTGGCCTGAGTCACCCCAGCCAGAGTATGCAGAGGGAGGGGGGCCCAGATGTCTGGGTCAGGAGAGGCCCTGGGCCTGCTGTCATGGGCAGCCTAGTTCCACAGCACTGATCTCAGGGTCACTGTGATCTCAGGTGGGAGGGACCCTGTCTGTCTGGACTGTGGCTGGATCACACTTTAGACCAGCACCGCTGGTCCTCCCATTCCTCTCCTTCACCCTCCCATCCTGCCTCAGGACCTTTGCACGACATTGCTGGGTCTACAGGCCCTGTTCTCTTCCTTCAAAAAGTTTGCTATTTGTTTGTTGTTTTGATACAGGGGATTGAACTCACAGTCTTGGACTTGCCAGGCAGGTGCCCATGCCACTGAGCTAAATCCTCAGTCCTTGTTTGTTTGTTTATTTATCTTTCTGTGGTACTGGAAGTTGAAGCTAGTTGAGCTACATCTTCAGCCTTTTAAAAAAAAAATTTTTTTTTTTTGAGATACAGTGTCTGTCACTAAATTTCCCAGGCTGGGCACCAACTCACAGTCCTCCTGCCTAAGTGTCTTGAGTACTGGGATGGCAGACCTGTGCTACCACCCCCCTGGCTAATGTTCACTGGCCCTAGAGGATGCCCCTGACCACCCTCACAAAAGACCCCCACCTCTGGTCCTGTTTCCTCTTTCTGTTGTTTTTGTGGCTCCAGGGTGGTAACCAGAGCCTTGCATCCTGCAGGCCTCACCCCAACTCCCTGCTGGAGGACCCTTGCTGGAGGAGGAGCCTGGTCTGCAGGCTCAGCTCCCCTGCCCCAGGTGTGGGAATGAACAAGGGGCCCCTCAGGAGGCCTCCCTCACCTCCCTCTGTCCATGGCTGGCTGATAGGACAGGAGTGGCCAGGCCACCTCCAGCTCAGGCCATAGCCCCTGGGCAGGAAGGATGGAGGGGCCCACAGCGGGCTATGAGTGCCAACTTTGTGAATTTCTGTCTGTTTGCAGGCTGGGCCAGGAACTCAGTATAAAAGCTTTTCCCAATGCAGGGACTCGAAGGAGACCTGAGTGCGGAGCCGGGTGTCAGGGCTGGGGTGGGTTTCTGATCCCCAGGGAGCTGTGGGTGGCACTTTCAGTGCTGTGCAAAGGGCTGAGTAAAACGGAATCCAGCCCTTTGGGAGGCTGAGGCTGGAAGGTCGAAAGTTCAAATCAGGGGAGGGGCAATTTAGCAAGAGCCTGTCTCAGTGCAGTAGAAAGGGCTGGAGAGGAGCTCTGTGCAAAGGTCCTGGTTCAATCCCCAGTACTAAAAAACAGCAAACAAACCAAAAGGCTGGGGTAAGGAGACAGCAGAGGGAGGAGACCCCGGGGACATGGAGGACTGGGAGAGTGCCCTACAGCTGCAGGTGGCCTCTTGTCACTGTCACCCCAGGGCCCAGTCCCATCTGGGCCTTCCCATGAGCATGGCCCAGGCCTCCATGACCGACTTGTCCTGGACAGTGTCACCGCATCCCACCGCAACCTTGGACCCCGAGGTCCTGCTCAGCCTCCGTTCAGTCACCAGCCCACCTGTAGCCCCCGTCGCCGTCTCCAGTCTTTTACCAGGGCATTTCATCCATCCATCCACTCATTTGCTCATCCCAGCTGTTTCTGTGCTCGGCAGAACAAACATGGGCGCCACAGGTGCAGTCAGAGGCTCCCGACCTGGGCCAGGGCTCAGGGTCAGGAAGGAGACACACGGGTGGGGCAGGTGGGGGACGGAAGTGGGGCCCAGAACAGGGGACAGAGTTGACTGGGCAGCCCGGCGCTGCTGCAGGGCCAGGCCTCAGTGGGGCGCCCGCCTCTGTCCCCACTGGGTATTATCAAGGCTGCCTGGATGAGACAGCCCAAGACTGACAGCTTGTCTGGATCCTGGAGAAAGGAGCCCGCCCAGACCTAGCGATTCCAGTTTCCCTGGACTCCTGCCGCCTGCCATTCGGGCTTAGTCTGGGGGGTCAACACTGGGGTCTTGATGAGAGCAGGTGTCTCCCCAAAGGTGCCCTCCACCGATATCCAGCAGATTCCCCTGCAAGCCGCCACTCCCCATCTGCCCACACCTTGTCACGCCCCCGCAGCTCTGAGTAGAGCCCCAGGTCTTTGAGGGACCCAGCCGGTCCCTTGGCCAAGTAGTTCTTGTGGGGTGCTCAGCCCCCAGGCACGCAGGAGTGAGGGGCAGCTGTAGTTAGCACTCAATGTGGAGGGAAGGCAGGGTAGCCAGGGGTCCCAAGGGCTGTGGCTCTGCTGGGGTTGCCCCACCCCGGTCACGTGGGCGCAGACGCCTTGGGGGGACCAAACACGAGCCGCGAGGGGGGAGACGAATAGGCGCTCGAGAGCATGGGTCTTTAAATGTGGGCGGGGCCTTCGGGGTCGAAGGGGCGGGGCCTTGCGGGACTCAGCCAGTCGGCAGCGGCGCCCGCCTGGCCCCGCCCCCGCTCCCTCCCCGCGGGGCGGGCGCTCGCCCCCCGGCCCGGCCCGCACCCTGGGCCGTGGGGGATGCGGCGGCCACCCCCGTGCTCCGCGCGCCGCCCAGTGCCTCTTGCCCCGCTCCGGCCCGCGAGACCCCGGCTGCGCGAGACCCTCGCGGCTACAGCGCCGCGTCCTCAGGTACGGGTGGGACAGCGCGAGCCCCTTTCGCAGGCGCGGGGCGCGCGTGGGCGGCAGGGCGCGGGTCCCACAGCCTCGGGGGGCGCGGGGCGGGTGTGGAGCGCAGTCGCCAACTTCACGGTGGGGGCTCGCCTGGGCGCCCGACTGGGGGCACGGGGTCCCCGTTTGCGAACCCGCAATCGCTGGGTCGGGTCAGGCGGCCGGAGCCCTGAAGCTGGCCTCGCACGCAGCCCGTCCGCTGCCTCGAGTCCCCGAAGTGGCGCGGATGCGAGGTGCTGCTGGCCCGGCGCCCGGACGGGGACCTAGGCTGGCTCCCCGCGCCCCAGCGCAGGGGGCAAGGGCAGCGTCCGTCCCGCGGAGTGCGCCCCGAGCGCCAGCCGGGATCCCCCAGTGCCCGCACATCCGGGGCCACACCGCAGGCCCCGCTGCCCTGGAAGTTTCTGCGTGTCCCGGTGTCCCGCTCCGGGTGGGGGTGGGGGCCCTGCCCGGGATGACAGGCAGGTGACACTTTCTCTTGACCCAGTTCTCCAGGATGGAAAGAGGCGACTGCCACAATGTCTGGCCACAACTGGTACGGGGTGGCCGCGCTGGGGACCCTTCTCAAAGGAGGCAGGCAGGGAGGGCAATGATTTGGTCACGCGTTGGGACATTTGAGAGTGCATCCCCCAGCCCGCTGCTTCAATCTACATATCATTTTGGGGGTATTTTGTTTGGTTGAGGCAGGGTTTTACTGTGTAGTCCAAGCTTGCCTCAGACTTGTAGGGGACTCTCCTGTCTCAGCCTCCTGAGTGCTGGGGTCTCAGATGTGTGCCACCATGCCCCCAAGGGTTCACCTTGGGGATCTGGAAGTCTAGGCTGGGTTCTTTATCTTTCCTTGAGGCTGTGAAGTGGGGAGCACACTTGAGCCACCCCCTGCTCCCTGATTTTCTTCTGGGGGAAACCCTGACCTTCCACTTTCCCCAAAACTGCATATCCTGTACGTTGCAGATGCCCCCACCCTAGCTTTTGGGGAACAGGAGTCCTGTGCCTGGACACATGTGATGATAGGGTACTCAGACCCCAGTGTGAGCAGCAAAATGTTCCCACCCCACAAGCATCCCTCAGGCTGTCTTGGAAGCCTCCCCACAAAGTCCGTGTTATGAGGTTATGAGGACACCCAGCCTGGGCCTGGGATCTCCCAGTGGGTCCATCCTGTGCAAGGCACTGAGACCCCCATGGACCCCAGTGTGTGGCCTGCCTGCAGCAGGCCAGGAAAGGACCCTGAAAGGGGCAGACACTGGCACACAGGCGCCAGGCCCAGCAGCCCTGGAAATGGGCCATCTCTCCTGGGACCCTCAGTGAGCCTATAGTCCTGAACCCCAGGGAGATCAGGGAGGTGACAGAACCTTACAGCCCCTGGCTCTCAGCTTGCCGGCCCTGGTGCTCATTTAGTTTCTGCCCTCCTAGCTGTGTGACCTTGGGCACAGTGCTATCCCCTCTGAGCTTTGCCTCTTGCATTTGAAATGGGAATGGGTGTGCCTCCTGCCTCCCCAATTGATGAGAGGGGTGACATGTGGCAGTTCCCACCAAGGGCTCTGTCAGTCACAGAGTGGGTGCCCTCGAAGCCCTCTGCCTTCAGCACTCTGGGAAGCCACCCTTGCTGTGTCCCCTCCCCCAGGGCACCGTAGGACACACTGCAGGTGGAGGGACATGGCCCATTGGTGGCTTGGTGCATGCTTGGTGGCTGAGTCACACCCGAGTGGCTCTCTGAGCCCTGCATTTTGGAAGATCGCTCCCAGCAGCCCTCACAGGGCAGTGCACATGGGCTGACAGCAGGGCTCCTTATCCCTTCCCATGTCTCATGGAGCAGCCTGGGGTGCAGCTTGCCATAGGCCAGGGGTGAGCATTTGCATGCGTGGAACTCAGGGTGAGATCACTCCGTCCCCTCAAGCACTGGCATGCCTCAGACACCTTGTGCTGGCCAGCAGGGTGGCCCACTGTAACTGCAGCCAATCTGGACCTGAGGCAGGAGGACCTCAAATTCAAGCCGGTGTGGGCCCTGTAGTGAGGGCTGGAGGTGTTGCTCGGCACTTGCAGAGTGTGCCCGGAGACTTGGTTCATCCTCAGTACTGCACAAAAATACAAAGTAAAAATAAACTGGCCGGGGTTGGGGATTTAGCTCAGCAGCCTAAGCACCTGCCTTGCAAGCAGGTGGTTGTGAGTTCAATCCCCGGTAACGATAAAAATGAAAAAGACAAAAGAATAAATAAATAAACTGGCCGGTGTTGGCCCAGAAGAAACCAGGCCTTATAAACCTCGAAGTGCTCAAATAAATAAACCATAGCTTAGCTGGTAACCGTAAGGGCGGAGACTACAGGTAGCATGACCAAAGTACCTCCCATTCCAGCCCCATGCCTCAGTTTCCCTATCTATACAACTGGCCAGGTCCAGGTCCCCCTTCTTGCACCCTGGAGCTTGTTGGGGCCAGAGGCAGGCTCAGGATCTCTGTGCGCACTGCCCTGACCTTTGGTGTCCCATGGCTACCACCTGAGCCTGCTGCGTACGCTGTCTGCATGCATGAGTGCTGCTGGGAGTGGAGCCCGTGACCCTCCCACAGCTGCATCCCTAGACCTTTTAATTTTTTGAGACAAGGTCTGACTAAACTGCGCAGGCTGGACTAGAATTTGGGATCCTCCTGCCTCAGCCTTCCAAGGGCTGGGATTATAGGCATGTGCCACCTTATCTGACTTGCCCTTTCTCTGTTTTTAAATGTTATAATAAGCAGGCATAATGCTGCATGCCTGCAATCCCAGCACTCAGGTGACTGAGGCAGGAGTACCCAGGGTTCAAGGCCAGTCCGGCTACATAGGGAGACACTATCTCAAAAGTAAATAAATAAATAGCAACAAAATGCATTCACTATTTCATAAGCAGGTGAGACAACTGCTGTTGTCTTTTTAAAAAAATTTTTGCAGTGGGACCCAGGGCCTGCACACTGGGTGCAGTCCTCAGCCCTTTTTTATTTTCAGAGAAGGACTCACTACATCCCTAACTGCCCAGGTTTTGCCAACCCTTGGTGGCACATGCCTATGATCCCAGCACTTGGAGGCTGAGGCAGGAGGATCACCATGCGTTCAAGAGCAGCCGGGGCTACACAGTGAGTTCAAGGCCAGCCTGAACTAAATAACAAGATCTGTCTCAAGGGAAAAAAAAAAAAAAAAAAAGACAAATAAAATAAATTGCCCAGGCTGGGTTCGAACTTCCCCTCCTACCTCAGCCTTGGCCTCCCAGTTCTGGGATCACATGCAGTGGACCTGCCCAGCCGAAATCACGCCCACAAACCCTCCTGGTGGTTTTGACCTCACACCGTGGGGCTGAGGGTCGCTCTGTGCCGGGCTGTGGCAGGCAGGGTTGCCCAGGGGAAGTCAGTGTGGCCACAGGGTGGGGTGGAGTTGTTCCCCCAAGGTGTGGGTTGGGGGAGAGCAGCACTGGGGAGCCCTGGTGGGATTGGAGCAAAAGAGGACCTAGGTGTGTGGGGGCTTCCAGGCCTTGCACAGCAGCGAGGACCCCGCTGGCCCCGTGACAGGTCCACATCTCCACCCCCACTTGTCCCCACAGGTCAGCTTGGAATCCCTGCCGCCGTGCCATGCCAGGCCCTGGACACCACGCCACTTGCCCAGCCACCGCGCCCAGGTGGCCATGATCGGCCACAGCCGCAATGGCAGTGCGGGGTGGCCGCTGGGTAGCGGGCCCGGTATGCTGGGCCGCGACCCCCTGGACCCCGAAGCTGGTCGCCCTGAGCAGCCCCTGCATGGCCCTGGGCTGCAGGTGCTGTTGGCCAAGAGCGAGCCTGCCCGCCTGTCCCCTGGCAGTCTCCGTGGGCAGCCCCAGGACCAATCAGAGGAGGAGGACGAGGATGAGGAGGATGAGGCTGACCGCCCGAGGGCCAGGGCCCGGCCACCCACTGTGGGCCACCGGCTGGGGCACCGGCGGGCACTGTTCGAGAAGCGGAAGCGGCTCAGCGACTATGCACTCATCTTCGGCATGTTTGGCATTGTCGTCATGGTGACAGAGACAGAGCTGTCCTGGGGTGTCTACACCAAGGTGGGAGTCCTGGGAGCACCCGTGGGTACAGGGAAGGAGCAGGCCCGGGACTGCTGAGACCTGCATCCCCTCCCGTGCCTGGTTATGTGGGGATGGATTCCAGGGAGGGCCTCGAGCGACCAGGCCTCCTGGATTTGGAGCTAAAATGCAAAGCTCTCGGAGAGCCTGGGAACCCGGAGGATGATGAGGCACGGTGGTAGGTGCTCCACCTGACCGTCCCTGACACCCGGCCCTGAGGCATCCCTTGTCCCTTCTGTCCCCAGGCATCCCTGTACTCCTTTGCCCTGAAATGCCTCATCAGCCTGTCCACAGTCATCCTGCTGGGCCTTGTTGTGCTGTACCACGCCCGGGAGATCCAGGTGGGTGGCCCTGCCCCACAGACGTCCCTGTGCCTTACATCCATGGCCAAGTTCACAACTAGGCTGAAGGAGGACTGCAAGCTCCAGCTTATGCTGGGCGATTTAGCAGGACTTTGTCTCAAAATAAAAAATGAACAGGGCCATGGAGGTATAAGCCCTGGATGTGTCCCAGCACCTCTGCAACCAGCACAGAACCCTGCTGGCGAGCAGTGTAAACAGCAGCCCTGTGCACTGCCTGGTTTGAGGGTTGCAAATCCAAGCTCCAGGCCTGGCAGGGTGAGGCCTCTGCAGGACAGCAGGGCAGACACAGCTCCCCAGCCCCCTCTAGACTCTGCTGGTACCTGAGGCTGGTGGCTTGGGGTGCAGTGCCCTGCTTTTTTGGCGGGGAGAGTACTAAGAATCGAACTCGGGGTCTCTTGCTTGCCACTGAGCTGTATCTCCGATGCATGCCCTGCTGTCTTGAAGGTCCATGTCCTCTCTTGTGGGGGGAACCCTGTCTAAATAACACCATGTTTTTTTCTTTGTTTTCAATACCAGGAATTGAGCTCAGAGTCTAGTGGTCTATCCTCAGCCCTTTCAATTTCTAGATGTTGATTTTTTTTTGTCTTTTTCCGTTTTATCGGTACCAGAGATCGAACTCACGACTGCCTACTTGCAAGGCAGACGCTTATGCCACTGAGCTAAATCCCCAGCCCCTAGATGTTGATTTTTTTCCCCCACATTTTTGTTTTGTTTTTTGAGGTAGGGTCTTGATGTAGTTTAGGATGGTCTCAAATTCTCAGCGATCTTCCTGCCTCAGCATCCTGAGTGCTGGAATCATAGGCATGGGCCACCACACTGGACAAATACTTTAACCATTCACTCTGTTATTCCCTTGTCTCACCCCACTCCCAGTTTCCCATTTTGGGCGGTTTAGTGATTTGATGGACTGTTGTTTGTTTTTGTTGTTGTTGTTTTTGGGTTTTTTTTTTTTTGGTCTTTTTGAGATAGTTTCTTTGTGCAATTCAGGCTGGCCTTGAATTCCCAGAGATTCTCCTGCCTCAGCCTCCCAAGTGTATATGGATCACATACGTCCCCCTTTTACCTACCCTTACGTGTCCTCTAGTTTTTCTTCTTCTTTTTTTTAATATTGAAAAGAGATCTTGCTAAGTCACTAAACTAGCCAGGCTGGGTTCCAAGTCGAGATCCTCCACGGTTGCTCCATTTAGACTCCCTGCCACAGACCACCAGGGGAGTTCGGTCCTCTGCCGGCCGGCCGGGGTGGGTTTCCGGCCTTCGCGCCTGACCCACCCCGCCGCCCCGCTTAGCTCTTCATGGCTGACAACGGCGCGGACGACTGGCGCATCGCCATGACCCGCGAGCGAATCCTGCTCATCTCGCTGGAGCTGGCAGTGTGTGCCATCCACCCGGTGCCCGGCCACTACCGCTTCACCTGGACGGCGCGACTGGCCTTCACGTACGCGCCGTCGGTGGCCGAGGCCGACGTGGACGTGCTGCTGTCCATCCCCATGTTCCTGCGCCTCTACCTGCTGGGCCGCGTTCTGCTGCTGCACAGCAAGATCTTCACGGACGCGTCGTCGCGCAGCATCGGCGCGCTCAACAAGATCACCTTCAACACGCGCTTCGTCATGAAGACGCTCATGACCATCTGCCCCGGCACCGTGCTGCTGGTCTTCAGCATCTCCTCCTGGGTCATCGCCGCCTGGACCGTGCGTGTGTGCGAGAGGTGCGCACGCGCCCCTCGCCCCGCCCCTCTGCGTGCCCGCCCCTCCAGGCCACGCCCCCGGGGGCGGGGCTCCGCGGGCTGGAGGCTGACCTCTGGCCGGGGAGCCCCTCCGGCCCCTGCCCCCCACATTTAACCAGCTTTCCTTCTCCCTCCTGCCCGCCCTGCCGGACCGCAGGGAAGACATGTGAGTGCTCGGCGCCGCCTTGCCGCTGCCCCTGCCCTCCTCCCTGCTGCTCTCCAAGCTGCCCTCCCAGGAATTTATGATTCGCTGCTGCGGGCGGAGGGAGGCGGGTGGGCGTGGCCCCGAGGCCCGCCCTGCGTGCGGGGCGCTGCTGGCTTCCAGCCCTGGAGCCCCATCAGCGGGGAAACTTAGGCTCCAGGGGCGGCTCGCGCGCCGGGCGCAGCGCCTGGTGGTCCGAGGGTGTCCTTGCTGGCCCCAGAAGGGGACATGGGAGCCAGGCCAGGAGGGCGGATTGGGGTCCTGGGGACCCCGGCAGGGCCGGCACGCAGCCAAGTCCTAAATTCCGGACCCCCAGCGCCGCTCGCGCCTCTCCCGCCTGGCTGCGTCCCCGCCCATCGTGTTACCTGGCCTTGCTTCCACTCCGTGTGAGTCGGGGTGCAGCCCTGCGCTCCCAAACACCCGGGTCCAGGGATCTGCCTTATCTCCTGTGGGTCCCTCAACTCCCACGGGGTCCCAAGCGGGGGAGACCCCGGAGCGCACTGCAGCTTAGGAGCCCTGAGAGACCCCCGCCCTGCCCAGACCCCCCAGCCCTGGGCCCCGTGCGCCCCCCCCAACAGGCCCCGGATCCCCTGAGCGGCTCCCACTGCTGTCCCAGCCGGTTCCGCCTCACTCCCCGCTGGTGCTGGCGCCCTTGGCCGTCCTGTGTCCGTGTGTCTGTCCATGGGCCCAGGTCCCTGCACAGGTGGGGGTGGCGTGTCACACTCCCGGGCCGGGAAAGGTAGCAGACTGCACAAGGGGGGAGGTCAGAAGCCATGGAGGCCCAGGGATGGTGGCATCCAGCGCTCGGAGGCTGAGGCAGGAAGATCTCTGTGAGTTTAAGCCCAGCCTAGGCTGCATAGCGAGACTCTGTTATGAAGGAGGTGTGTGTGGAGGTCCTATCCGGCCCCCAGGGGCTGCTCACTCCCTTTGCAGGTTCCCTGACCGGGCCTCCCACTCCACCCGCAGGTACCATGACAAGCAGGAGGTGACTAGCAACTTCCTGGGGGCCATGTGGCTCATCTCCATCACCTTCCTGTCCATCGGCTATGGAGACATGGTGCCACACACCTACTGCGGGAAGGGTGTGTGCCTGCTGACTGGCATCATGGTGAGGCCCCCACCACCCCGTGCCCGTGGCCTCCTGGTGTCACCCAAGGGAGCTGTCCTTGGTCCATTGTTCTTCACAAGCAGCCCATGGACAGAGCACTTGATGCTTCTGTGCCTCAGTTTCCCTGGTGGTCACCACTTCTTCCATAGTTGCCAGGACCAAGTCAGCCCATTTATGTGAGACACCTCAAACTATGAAGGTGTGGAGAACATCTGTGTCACTTGGTGGGCCCAGGAGCATCCATCTTGCTCCCTCTTCCATGAAGCTCCCTGGCCATTCTTTTTCCTGGCTGTGTAGTATTTCAGACAGAGATTCTAGTGAAGTGCGTCATCACTGTTGGCAGAGCTTTTCCTGACAACAGGCTTTGGGGCCTCTTGACCTAAAACTGAAACTGAGTGATGTGGCATAGGCCGGTACTAGCACACGGGAGGCTGAAACAGACTGAAACATGAGTTCAAAGTCAGCCTAGGCTACATAATGAAACTCTGCCCTACCCTTAGAAAGCTAAGTTGCCCAGCCTGGGCTCAAGCTTTTGATCCTCCTGGCTCAGGCTCCCAAGTAGCTTGGGTCCCTGGTCTGCACCCTTGTACCAGGCTTCTCTTCCCTTTCATATCCCCGAGCTACATTGTCCCTCAGTGTTGCCAGGAACAAGATGAGCTGGGCCAATGTGGGGTGTGTAACAAGGGTGGAGCCCAGGGGCCTCTGCAGGACACTGATGTCTCCTCTGCCCACACAGGGAGCTGGCTGCACCGCGCTAGTGGTGGCTGTGGTGGCCCGGAAGCTGGAGCTCACCAAGGCCGAGAAGCATGTGCACAACTTCATGATGGACACACAGCTCACCAAGCGGGTGAGGATCCCACATGTGCAGCTTGACCAAGTTCATACTGCTCAGGTGTTGTGAGCAAGGGGAGTATGCGAGACTCAGCCACACTACCCAAGTGTGAACATATACGTGCAGCCCTGCCTTACTGACCAGGCTTCCAGAAGTTTCAGGAAGTTTCTAGAAGCTTCTAGAGGTTTCCAGAAATTCCCCACTCTTGTTTTTTTGTTTTGTTTTGTTTTTGTTTGTTTTGCCTTTTTTGTGTATTCTCTAGCCTGAGGAACTGTTCTTTTTTGGGGCCCCAGGTAAAAAATGCGGCTGCTAATGTTCTCAGGGAGACATGGCTTATCTACAAACACACCAGGCTGGTAAAGAAGCCAGACCAAGCTCGGGTTCGGAAACACCAGCGTAAGTTCCTCCAAGCCATCCATCAGTAAGTCCAGAACCTTTGCGGCTTGCATTTCCATGTCCACCTAGCAAGAGGTGGCCTGATACGGCCCTGGGAGATGGCCAAGGTTAGGTGGGGTGAAAAGCTGGTTGGGGATTACAGTTCTTTGCTGGATAGGATGGGGAGACAGCGGGAGGACCCTGGACTCAGCCAAGACAGTCACCTCAGATCAGCCTTGGAAGTCCCCAGCATGAGTGACAGAGCAAGCCTCCTTCCCTGGAACAATCACTTTCCCTTTCAATTTAAAATGGTTTTCCCTTTTTGCTTTCGCTGCAAGGAAGCTCAGAATGATTCCCATGGTCAGATCAATGAGGTCTTGTGGGATATCAGAAATACTTTAATTTCCTTTGTTGCTATGGATCTCAACCATGTGACTGTTACAACCCCTTGGGGACTTTACAAAATGTCACCAGCCATGTATGATTCAGTCAGGGTGAGAGTCCAGGTGCAGCTGGGGGCCCTGATTCCCCAGGGAGAAGTGCCCTGTTTAGTGTGGCAACAGTGGGCGGATGTGGCACAGCAGCATGGCCCTGACACCCCAGCACTCTGAGAGGCTGAGACAGCAGGATCCAAAGTTCAGCCCAGCTCTGAGACAAGGCCCTGTCTGCTCAAGATAAAATTTATTTTTTTGTTTTATGTTTTTTGATTTTTGTTGTTATTATTTGCTTAGATGCATGAGGGGGCAGAGGGCTGTTGAAACAGGGTGTTGCTAGGTAGCCCAGGCTGTTGTCAAACTCTTGCTAGGTAGCCCAGGCTGCCTTAGCCTCATGAGTACTGGTGTCACTGGCGTGTGCCTCTAGGCCCCGCCCAGTTTTGCACAGAGTTAACAGTCACGTGAGATTAGGGTCACCCTAGTCAGGCTGCAAAGAGGCCTGTTTCCAGTGACAGCCCGACTCCGAGGTCCTGGGGCACCTGAAGCCAGTGTAGCCTTGGGGGGACTCCATGCACCCCCAGTGGGAAGGTCCCAGGGTGGCCGGTGCTTGGCATAGCGGTGCCCGCTCGGCAGCTACAGGCTTGGTCCCCCAGGGGCCACAGCACTGGAGCGGGAGGGGTGGGCAGCACCCAGGCCTCGAGACACTAAACTACCTGTGGTTTCCTCCCTCTGCCGGCTCCTCCAGGGCTCAGAAGTAAGTTCCGGGCTGCGGGCCGGGTGCATGGCGTGGCCGGGGCTGGGTGCATGCGTGCCCCTGAGTGGGGTCCCCTCTGCCCTGGACTGTGCAGGCCCGGGTCCGGTCGCCAAGCTGCCCCTGACCCGGCCCCCTCTGCGTCCCCAGGCTCCGCAGCGTGAAGATCGAGCAGGGGAGGCTGAACGACCAGGCCAACTCGCTGGCCGACCTGGCCAAGGTGAAGGCAGCCCTGCGGGCAGGGGGAAAGGCGGGAAGTGCCGGAAACCCAAGGCACGCAGTGGTACACACCTGACACCCCAGCACTGGGGATCAGAGGCAGGGGGATCACTGCGAGCTCAGGCCCAGCCTGGGCTACACGGCAAGATCCTCTCTCCAAAATTCAAAACCAAACAAAATGAATATGCCTGGCACAACGGTGCACGTGTAGAATCCCAGCCACTCGGGAGGCTGAGGCGGAGGGTTGGAAGTTCAGGCCCAGTCTGGGCAGTATATCGAGGGTCCATCTCAAAGCAGAAAGGGCTAGGAAAGTGGCTGAGGGGTGAGTGATATGCGCCCAGCCCTGGGCTCCACCCCAGCACCCTCTTCAGGAAAAAGCCACACAGACATAAAAAGACCGAAAAACTCAATGCATGGCATGAAACAGGCATTTTAATTTTGGTTTGTTTTATTGTTCAGTTTGTTTTTGGTTTTGGTTTTTTGAGACCGGGTCCCACTATGTAGGCTGGGCTTGAACTCCTATCAAGTGCTGAGATGGTGGTCACAGCCACGGCACCTGGCTGGGCATTTTAATTTGGACCAGCCACAGAACACCACTGTTAGAAACTGAAATTGGAAGCCGGGTGTAGCGGCCCATGCCTGCAATCCCAGCACTCAGGAGGCTGAGGCAGGAGGATTTCTTTCAGTTCTGGACTAGTCTAGGCTACAAAGTGAGTTCAAAACCAGCCTGCAGTAAAAAATGAGGCCTGTCTCAGAAGGAAGGGAGGGAGGAAGGAAATTGAAGATTTTTTTTCTTTTCCCTGGGAATTGAACCCAGGACTGGTCCTGAGCTCAGCAGGCACTTGGTCTGAGCTCCACCCCAGGCCTGCAATTTGGTTATTAAAAACTCAGTTTCATAAGTGCTGTTACCTCATAAGATCCAGTTAACAGAGCATTCTTTGAAATGAGTCTTTAATTCTATAGAATCATACAAGTTTCTAATTTTTCTTAAGAGTAACAAACTTAAAATGTTTTTCAGTATTAGATTTTGTGATGTTTTCTTTTTCCCCAGTGTTGGGGATGGCATCCAGGATCTGGTACACCTAGATGCATCCCCAGCCATTTTATTTTATTTTATTTTATTGTTTATTTTATTGAGATAGGGTATCACTGTGTAGTCCAGGCTGCTCTTGCACTCACTTATGCAGCTCAGGCTGGCTTCAAACTCACGGTGATCCTCCTGCCTCAGCCTCCAAAGTATTGGGACCACAGGCACGTGCCACCACACCTGGCTGCTTTTGATTTTGAGACAGCACCTCACTTTGCCCAGACTAGTTTTGAAGTCCTGGGCTCAAGCAATCCTCCTGCCTCAGCCTCCAGAACAGCTGGGGCCACAAGCTCTGCCACCAGAAATATTGAATATTTCTCTCGCTGACACAAACCAGCTTTCCATTCTAAATTTTAGGAAAACAATAAATAAACTTAGAGCCCAAAAAGCAACGGGGTTAGATGTGGTCCCTGTAGACATCACCCTGTGTCCCTGGGTGGGTGGCAGCAATGGAGGGGACCTGGCCAGAAGGGGGCTGGGAAGGAGACTGAGCTTCAGTCCAGCCTGGTCCCTTCCCTGATCAGGCACTGGGGTGTGGGGTCCCCCATGGTCTCAGCACCCCAAGGTTGCCCTGTACCCTCCTCACCAGTGGCCCCCATTCCTGCAGACCCAGGGCATCATGTACGAACTGCTGTCAGAGCTGCATGGCCAGCACGAGGAGCTGGAGGCCCGCCTGGCCATGCTCGAGGCCCGCCTGGACTCATTGGGCGCCTCCCTGCAGGCGCTGCCTGGCCTTGTCGCCCAAGCCACGCGGCCACTGTCACCCCGGCCCGGACCTGGTCCTGGCCCAGCAGCCCTGAGCCCACCCCATCGCTGGCTGCCCACTGGCCCCTCAGACTGCGGCTGACCCCTGCCCACCTGGACCCCAATCTTGGCCATCGTGTGGCTGGCAGCCCGGACTGCACCCCTGGGGCTTGAGACGCAGGAGCTGGGCCCCAGGACCACTGGGCATCTTCTGGCCACCAGCCTGGGACTGTGCCCAGTAGCAGCTGGGAGCGTTCTCACCCGTCCATGGAGACTCAGGGCCCACACACTTTGGCTTGGCCCTTGCACTGGGCCCGAGGGACACCAGTTCCCAGACCTCACTCACCCACAGCCATGCCGGGCCATGCGGTTGGGGACAGCTCTTTGGAGCCATCAATGCCAGCCCTATCTGCAGCCACCCGGCCAAGGACAGGGCCAGGTGCTGGGCGAAGGAGGCAGCAGATGTCGGATGCTGGGCCCTGGCCAGTGCAGGCGGTGCCGTGGGCAAGGGGTCCATGGGCCACTGCACTCAAGTTTGGCATCCAGTGTTTGAAGGCTTGGGGTGTAAATTCCAAGGGCAGGGTGGTGGCGAGAGGGAAACTCAGGCTTAGAAGGCCAAACACGTGCCCAAGGCCAGGCGGTGAGTGCAGAGGGATGCAACGAGCCATACTTAATTCCAACTGGGGCCCAGAGGCAGACCTCTGACTGGGCACGGTGGCACACACTTGTAATCTCAGCACCTGAGAGGCTGAGGCAGGAGGATCGCCACAAATTGGAGGCCAGCCTGGGCTACATGGGGAGCCTCTGTCTCAAAAAATAAATAAATAAAAGTCAATGAAACAACAGGAACAGCTTGGCTTTGGTGTCAGAGACCGCTGGGGGTAGTGTGATGTAGAGCCGTTTTGGGAAACCAGGTCCAGGTGGCTTGGGGGGAGCTGGGGCTCCCAGCAGGCATGCAGAATCCAAACCCCACCTCCAGGCTCTGAGCAGGGCAGGGCAGGCACTTGGCAGATGCAGGGGAGCGGTCGGGGGGGGGGGGCGCCCAGGTAACTGGCCAGGTTCTCTGGGACAAGGGCACCCCGGAACCAGAGGGATAGAGGAGGCCCTGGGGCCACTGGTCGGACTCGGACAGTGGCCGCCTTGTCCCTCTAGAGACCTCCGCTGTGTACTCTCTAAAAAGAGGTGATAAACAGAGGACCCTCACCAATGGGTCAGGCACTCAGTAGGTGTTCAGTAAACGTCTCTTCGGGGCTGGGTTCACAAGGGGGTTAGAAGGGCCTGGGTGGGGAAACTGAGGCCAGGGAGGGCGGGACTGGTCCGAGTGCGGGAGATGGGGCTCAGGAACCAGCGGTCAGTGCAGTGAGGGCGCCATAGGGGAATCCACGTGCGGTGGGGAAAGAGGGGGACCAGGTCTCCCGAAGGTGACACCTGAGCGGGTGAGGTGTCGGGATGAGATGCGCACGGGGCGGAGCCCGGGCCTAAGCCGCCTGAACCTCCGCCCCGCCCCAGGGTGGCGCTGTCCCCGCCCGGTCCGGCGGAGGCGCAGGACCCGGAAGTCGCCAGCGCGGGACCGAGCGCCGCGCAGCGCCATGCGCCCTGGTGGCGCGGTGCGCTTCGCGCTGGAGCTGGCGCGGGGCCCGGGCGGTGCGGTGCGCGCAGGGGAGCGGCTGCGGGGCCGGGTGCTGCTGGAGGTGGCAGGTCCGCTGCGGGTCCGCGCGCTCGAGGTGGCGGCGCGCGGAGGGGCTGCTGCGCACTGGCTGGAGGCGCGCAGCGTGGGCGGCCGCGCCGTGACACGCGACTTCACCGCGGCCGAGACCCTCCTGCGCTGGCGACAGCTGCTGCTCCCAGGTGAGGCGCGCGGACCCCACTCCGGCGCCGTCCACGGACCCCGATGGGACCCCGCGCGCTGGTGGCTCCTCCCGTGCCCGGAGCCGCCACCCCCGGAGGGGGCCCATCCCAGGGCCGTGGTGCGCGCGCGACCCACATGCTTGGAGACCCTTCTCCAAGCCGGGGCCCCTCGTGGGAACCCCGCTGGGAACCGTGAGCCCCTCCATGGGTCCTAGGTTTAGGATCCCCAGTTCTCAGAGAAGGTCCTGATGTCATTCACATGCTCCCCAAAGCCTTGCCTCAGTTTACCGCTCGGTGTCTGCCGCTGTGAATTCGACCGCGTGGTGTCGGGGTCAAGATGGCAGTGTGTCCAGCCACGGGGAGGGGCGGGGGTGGGGTCGCGTCACCCGAGGGTCCCGGGATCCTCGCGCGCTTCCCAGAAAGGGGATGCTGTACCCCGGCCTCGCCGCACGGCTCAGGGGAGTGGCCCGCGTCTCGGGGCCGCCACTTCCGGCGACGCCAGACCCCACAGTCAGCTCCAGGCGGACTGGGCTAGGCGGAGGCACCTGGGTGGCTGTGCGGGGTCCTGATCACCCGCGGAACCCTGATGCAGCGCGACGTAGGGCCCGGAAGGCGCTTCCTTCCCCGGGGCTCACTTGGGCGCGAGCGGTGGAGCACACTGGTAACCCCGGCGCTCACTTGGGAGGCTGAGGCAGAAGCTCCGCGAGTTCAAGGGTTGCCTGGTCAATGTAGCCCGTCTCAAAACAAAAAACAAACAAACAAAAAAAGCGGAAATGTAGCTTGGTGGGGCAACAGCGCCCCTGGGCTCCTTTCTCAGTCCTGGGGGCGGGGAAGGTTGGAGCCCGAGGCCCTCCTAAAACATTGGGGGAGGTCTTAGCAGACCCTTTCTATGACGGTCATGCTGTGTGTCCCGGACGCAACGTGGACTTTATCTCTGCTCTCTCCCTCTTTTTCTGTTTGCTCGGCCCGAGCTCGCTCTGCAGAGCCAGTTTCTCCCAATCCGTCGGTTGGGCTTCCTTTTTTTTGTTTTGGGTTTTTTTTTTTTTTTTTTTTGTCTCTAATTTGCCAACGATTCTCTTGCCTCAGCCTCCGAGTGCTGGATTATAGAAGTGCGCCACCACGACGGCTGGTTTTGCTTTCTTGAATAAATTTTGCCGCTGCTTAAAACAAAACAACACAACACCAAACGCGGAAGGGACAGCGCTGGCGCGGCTGCCGCCTGGGCTGGGTTGGGCTGAGCCGGGCTGGCTCGGCCCCTGCTGCACTCTCAGACGCACGCTGGCCCTGGCTTGGGATTGGGGGTTCCTCAATCACCCCAGCCCAGCCCTCCCCTCAGCTGACTGCACCTGCAGCCCTTTCCTGTCTGCTTGGGTTCCCCGTCTCGCACTGAGGCGTTGCTGTCTCGAGGGGTCCCCATGGCTCCGGGTTAGGCTCCGGGGGTATCTGCCCGGGTGTGATGGGCGCCGGAGCCGCAGCGCTAAACGGCGCCACCAGAGGGCGCCATCACCCCACGGACGCGCTCAGGCACGCCCCCCGCGACAGCTTCCTGGTGGAAACTGAGGCCCGGAGGAGAGTTGCGAGGGCAGGCCGGTGACGGCATAGAGATGGGGTCGTGCTCGAGGTACGGTGATCCGTGCGGGCCCCACTAGGCCCAATCTTATCTCCCGGCCCTCGAGAGTGGAAACTCAGGTTGAAAGGTAGTCCCCAATTTGGACTGGACGTGCTTCGGGTCCGGTCTGCAAGTGTCAGCCGGTTGATGATTAAGCCGAGTACAGGCGGCTGGCGCGGGAACTCCGTTTCTTCTGCCGTGTTACGGGACACGGAGAGACCCGGCCGCTTCTGCGCGCAGCCGCGCGGGGCGGTGTGTGTTTTGCTCCACGCCAGTGTGCGGAGCCACGCCCCCTTCTGGCCCTATTGGTTGACTCCCTCCCTGGGTGGGCGTGGCTTGCGTCTGCGGTCACGCCCTCCTCCCGGCCGTATAAAAGAAACGCCAGCGAGCTGCTGGAGTTGCTGGCCTGTTCGGCGAGTTTGCTTTCGCGTTTGTACCAGCTGTGAGTTTGAGACCCGCGACAGCAGCTCCCCTGCCCGTGTCTCCGCGCCGCGGGTTCGAGGCCCGGGTGTGTGCGTTCAGTGTATTCGCTTCCCTGCCGAGGCGGGATGCTGTTCGACAAAGTGAAGGCGTTCGCCGTGCAGCTGGAGGGCGGGACGGCGGGCGCGGAGCCCGTATTCAGTGGCGGCCAGTGGGTGGCGGGCCGGGTGCTGCTGGAGCTGGCGAGTGCGGTGAGCGCCGGCTCCCTGGAGCTGCGGGCGCGGGGCCGCGCGCACGCGCACTGGACCGAGTCGCGCAGCACGGGCTCCAGCGTGGCGTACACACAGAGCTACAGCGAGCGCGTGGACTTCGTGAGCCACCGCGCCACCCTGCTGACTTCAGGTGCAGTGGGGCGCCCCGGGTGACCCCGCGGCGCGTCGCTCGGTTCGCGCGCTGAACTCCTCTCTCCACCGCAGACACAGGCGAGCCCACGACCCTGCCCGCCGGGCGCCACGAGTTCGCCTTCAGCTTCCAGCTGCCCCTGTGAGTGAGTCTGGGCGCGCTGGGGGGGGGGGTGCTGGGTAGGGACTGGGATCCCGGAACTGTCCCCCACGGGAAGGGCCCCCCACGGTGCATCTCCACCCCCCGCCCGAGCTCCTCACACTGCCTGCTCCCTGCACTCCAGGACCCTGGTGACCTCCTTTGAGGGCAGGCACGGCAGCGTGCGCTACTCAGTCAAGGCCACGCTGCGCCGACCCTGGGCCCCCGCGCGCCGTGCCAGGATGGTCTTCACTGTCATCGAGAGCCTGGACATCAACACTCCCGCGCTGCTGGTGCGTGGAGGGCAGAGAGGGGACCCAAGCAGGTGCGGTCACTGTGGGCCCCCGGAGCTGGGGCAGGAGCCCGTCGTGTGCACCCGCTCTGTGTCCCGGGTCTCCCTGACACTGGTTATAAGACCTTCTCCCCCAAGGAGCTGGGGATTTAGCTCAGCGGCATAAGCGCCTGCCTTGCAAGCAGGCAGTCGTGAGTTCGATCCCTGGTACCGAAAAAGACAAAAAAAAAAAAAAAAGAGCTTCTCCCCCAGCGAAGGACTATTTTTTGTTTCTTTGTATTGTTTTGCTTGTTTGACCCAGGGCTGCACTGGGTATCGGGGCTCACCTCAATCCAAATCTGATCCTCCTGCCTCAGCCTCCCCAGTGCTGGGATGATGACCTGTGGGCTTCATGCAGTGTTATTAGAGGGTCCCTTTTAGGAAGATGTGGTGTGTTTGCTAATAGCTCTCCGCTGAGGAACAGCACCCAGGCCCTGCGCCCAGCTCCCTCGGCTCACTGGTGTCCTGCACCCCCTCACCCTCCTGGCAGGCACCCCAAGCTGGAGCCCGGGAGAAGCTTGCCCGCTCCTGGTACTGTAACCGAGGCCTGGTGTCCCTGTCCGCCAAGATCAACCGCAAAGGCTACACCCCAGGTACCTGACTGGGGTGGATCAGGAGCCAGGGCGGGATGGGCATGGGGGAAACTGAGGCCCAGCACTCCCTCCCTCAGGAGAGGTGATCCCCATCTTCGCCAAGGTCGACAACAGCTGCACGCGCCCTGTACAGCCCCGCGCAGCCCTGGTGCAGACTCAAACGTTCATGGCCAGGGGTGCCCAGAAGCAGAAGTGCCTAGTGGTGGCCAGCCTGGCTGGGGAGCCAGTGGCCCCAGGGCAGTGCGCCCTGTGGCAGGGCCGGGCACTACACATCCCCCCAGTGGGGCCCTCCATTCTGCACTGCCATGTACTGCGTGTGGACTACTCACTTAAGGTACAGCAACATCCTTCTGGCCCTGGCAGCAGGATCCTCAGGGAGCAGACATGGCTGCCACTGTGCCTGCCATCACACACTGCTCCTCCCTCAGGTTTGCGTTGATATACCAGGTTCCTCGAAGCTGCTCCTGGAGCTGCCCCTGGTCATCGGCACTGTGCCCTTGTATCCTTTTGGCAGCCGCACCTCTAGTGTGGGGAGCCACGCTGGCTTCCTGCTGGAGTGGGGGCTGAGCTCCCTGCCTGAGCAGCCTGAAGGTGAGCACCCTCCCCTGCTGGGGCACCCATGGGTGGCTGGATGTTAAGTCACACTGAAAGATAGGTGGCCGCAGATCCACGCCACAAGCCTGGCTCACCATGTTGCCCTTCTCTAGCCCCTCCAGAGTATGCAGACGTGGTGACAGAGGAGGAGGAGGCGGCTGTGGCTGCCACACAGGGCACAATGCCATTACTGCCAGACACCCCCATGAGCCTTGAAGGCCCCTACTTCGCTTACCTACAGCAGTGCCGCTACCACCCACCACCCCTGTACTCGGAGGTGAGCTCAGGGGTTCCAGACATAGCCCTTTCCTATCCTCTCTGACCCCTGTGCCTTGAAGTTTCAAAGGTGATAGAGCCCCAGCTTACCTGGCCTACCCTAGGCATCACCCCCTGACTCACCGAAGTGTTAAACTCAGGAGGATCCAAACCCACCTGCCCAGTCCATGAGGCCTCGCTGCATGACCTGCTGAGCAGTGACCAGACTCCTCAGGGATGAGGCTACACAGACTTCAGCCACTGTGACCACAGAGAACTCCAAGGGCCAGCAGCTGGACTGCATTGGAACCAGGGAAACTGAGTCTCGGCACAAGGAAGGCAGTGCTGATCCAGCATCACCATCACGCAAGGTTAAAGACGATCCCACCAGGACCCTGGCACATGAGGATGGAATCATTTGTCCAGCACAGCCCTCTGGGAAATGTGAGCCTGGCAGTGCCCAGCCTGTGGCCAGTGCAGTCTGGGGGAGACAGAGCCAGAGCCAGACACAGACACTTGAGAAATCAGAGGGAGGACCCGGGAGAGTCCCACAGGGAAGCAGAGAAGGCTTCCTCGAGGACATTTGAGCTGGGGCTTTGGCATGTGAATAGGAGCTCAGCATCAGATGAGCAGGAAGAGAAGGCCAGAGCTACGTGACATCTGGCGGCCACCCTTTGATCTCAGAACCAGGGTTCTTAAATAGAGAGTCCCAGCCCAGGCCACATCGTGAGCCTGGACAGGCAAGAGGACAGGGGACCAGGACTTGAGGCCTCGGTGGGGGCAGCGGCTGTGGCCTTTGAGCTGCTAGTTCCTAGCCAGCAGGCACCTCCCGAGCCCTCAAGTCTCAGGCTGCTGAGAACCCAAGAGCTGGGGCAGGCCCGTGGCACAGAGGGCCTTCAGGACGCCTGGGGGAGCTGGAGATCCCCACCTGGATCCCCTCCCTGACTGGGGCTGGGCCGGGGGACTCGGCCATCCCCCCCCAGGCTGTCACCCCACCCCTTTTGTACAGTTCTTTTTGTAAAATAAAAGCGTGTACCATGAGGCCAGTGTGCTGATTTCTCCCAGCCGCTATAGCCCTGAGCCTCTGGCTTAGGCATGGGTTCTGCTGGGAGGATGGGGAGGATCATGGTCGGGAAGGGGAAACTGAGGCAGGGCTAGGAGTAGGCAGGGCCATGCAGAGATCCTGCCTGTCCACTCCTGGGCTTTTCTTTTCTTTTTCTTTTTTTTTTTTTTTTTTTAAATCGGTACCGGGGATGGAACTCACGACCGCCTGCTTGCAAGGCAGGCGCTTATGCCCCTGAGCTAAATCCCCAGCCCCTAATCCTGGGCTTTTCAAACTGGCAGCGATGTCCACACGTGGTGGAGGACTGGGCCAGAGAGTCCTGTGTCCCTGGGAGGAGCCCTTCCCTCCCTGCCCGGTGCTTGGCTGTTTCTGTCTCTGGGACTCTGCCTACTTCGCTGTGTAGCCCAGACTGATCTGCTAAGGCAGGAGAGCCTCTTGCCTCAGTCTCCCAAGAGTACCACTGTACTGGGCTGGACTTGGTTTATCCTGAACATATCAGTGGGTGACATACCATGTGGCTGTTTGCATTTGGCTGCTGTCATTTGGTCTGTTTCTCAGGCTCACCCATCCTGCAGCACGGATCAGTGCCCTGCTCCTTTTCCTGGTCATGTAATAGTCCACTGCGCAGAGGGAACATCTCCTTTCTCCATCAATTCACAGGAGAATGCTTGAGCCATTTCCAGGCATGAGCTACAGCATCACCAGTGTACCCTGAGGCTTGCTTAGCTCACTTCCCTCTTAGCAGCTCTGGCGACACAAGATTGTCCTGGAGCCCAAAAGATTGCAGGGAGAGCTTCACATGGCCTCACTGCCCGGACCTCACAGCTCGGCCCCGCCCACAGGCCAAGGCTCCGCCCAGGGCCAGAGGCCCCGCCCCTAGGAGCTGGTCCCGCCCACTGGCGTGTCTGCTTAGGATCCAGAGCAGGTAGAGGGGCAGAGGTCGGCGATGGGTCCGAGGCCCGCGAGTCCCGCGTGTTGGGCAGGTGGGGAAAGTTCTGGTGCTGCGCAGCCCGGGAGACCAGAGCTGGCGGCTTTGCTTTCTCTGTGTTTATTTTCTCGTTTATTTTGAGGCCCTGGCGCTGCGCACTGAGCTACCCCAGCCTGCCTGCTTGCCTGCGCTCTTTCATTAAGAGCAGGGCCCACTGCTGGGGGTTTAGCTCAGCGGCATAAGCACCTGCCTTGCAAGCAGGCAGTCATGAGTTCGATCCCCGGTTCAGATAAAAAGAAAAAAGACAAAAAAAACAAAAACAAAAAAGCAGGGGCCCACTAAGTCCTCAGGCTACGCTCGAACTTGCGAACCCTCTGCCGCGTGCGCCAGAGCCTCCGACTGGCTGGCTCCCAAGATATTTTGAGATTTTTTTTTTTTTTTTTTTTTTTTTGTCTTTTTCTTTTTTATCGGTACCGGGGAATCGAACTCACGACTGCCTGCTTGCAAGGCAGACGCTTATGCCGCTGAGCTAAATCCCCAGCCCCTATTTTGAGATATTTTATGAAGCTGCTGCGGCCCATAGTGAAGGGGCTGGAAAGGCCGATTGCCTGCTGTGAGCACTCACCGGAAAGGCTGCGGGTGAGGAGGTGGAGCCCACACCGGTGATCTCAGCCTCGGGGTCCTGAGGCCGGCTGAAGGACGGCTGTGAGGCCAGGCCAGCCTGGGCTGCAGAGCAACACCCTGCCTCTTTCGTTCTTTTCTTTTCTTTTTTTTTTTTTTTTTTTTTTGTACTGGGGATCAAACTCACGACTGTGTGCTTGCAAGGCAGGCTTTTATGCCGCTGAACTAAATCCCCGACCCAAGACCCTGTCTCAATAAAATAATCCGTCCTGCTAGGCTCCTGGGCTCAGGGTCCTCCGGGCCTCCCACCCACTGCAGGCAAGGCATGAGCTCTGGCCTCGGGAGGCGTGCAGGCCGACGCCAGGTGTTTACCCGCAGCCTGGGCAGGGAGGGCAGACGGCCATGTCCCCGGGACTCCTGAGTCTGCAGCTCCAGGGAACCCGATCCCAGGGACGCTTTCCGGCCCAGATCAGTGTGGAGCAGGGCAGAGCCAGCACCCGAGTCCTACTGCGGGCACCCTGGGCACATGGGCGTGGGGAGGTGGCCAGTTCCACCACCCAGGAAATGAAAATCCCAGCCCCCAGCCTGTAGCTGTCCCTCCAGTCCTGGCCCAGCTGCTCTGGGAATGCCCAACCTCAGGACCTTTGCACACCCTTAGCCACCTCGGAACTGCCCACTTAGATGGTTACTTGTTTGTCCACTTGTTTGTCTAAGACTGTGAGGTCAGGACCAGGTTGTGGCTGTGCCTCCAGCCCCAAAAGGCATGAGGAGGGTTGTGGACTGACTAAAGGACTGAGGAACCCCTGCTTTGTTTGGGTGAAGCTTAGTGGGGGACCCGTAGGATCATTGCACATAAGGATCCCTGAGTGCCCACCTCTGCCGCTATTCCTCATCTGTTATGTCTCTGTCACCATCTGTTATGTCTCTGTCACCGGTCCCTAGCGGTGGCCGGGTGCCAGGCCAGTGGAGGGGGGCATCCCCACTTGTTCTCGCCGAGCTGCCTGGAGGGGTGCCAATCTGGGCTGCGGTTCAGGAATCTGGAGCTGCTAGCTCCAGCCAGCAGCATGGCCATTGCCTGCCACTGCCTCTGGCCCAGCACATTCTGTCCCGATCGGACTGGGGGCGGCAGGGAGGGACTTGTTCCTGCCCAGCCAGCTCCAGTTACAGCACAGCCTGTCCAGGCTGGGTCCCCAGGGTGCAGCCTGTGGAGCCCTCCTGTCCCAGGCCCAGGCTTAGACCTTCCTAGATGAGGCTGCTGCCACCAGCATGTGGTGACCCCAGGCCCTTTGCATCTGCTTTGTGACTGCCTGCACCCATCCCCTGACTCAGCCTGGCATCTCCGGCAGCTCCATACTTGCTTGTTTGCTGCATGGTTACTGCCCAACCCTCCATGGGTGCCGCTGGGGAACTCGGGAGTCTGTCCTTGATGTTTAAGGAAGCCCTGGCTCCCAGCAGGGGCCCAGGCGGAAGAGGTGACATGTGCAGTGACTGCCTGGTGCCACACCCAGGGGGTCGGAAGGGCACATGGGACAGTTAGGGGTGGCTGACTCCTCTACCCTACCCAGCTTGGCTCACAGGAAACTGAGGTGGCCGGGGTGGGGGGCTTGGATGCACTCCAAGGCCCACTTCCTGGACACATGACCATCTCTGGACACCTCAGACACAGCGTGGATTCAGGGCCAGGCAGATGGCACTGCCCCAGCCAATCACTCTGGAACAGTCCCAAGGACACATGATAGAGACAAGGACACTTCCAGTGTCGGGGTCACTGAGAAGTCAAAGGGAAATGGAGGCTGGAGAATTCCAGGAAGGTTTCTGAGGGGAGAGGATATCAGAACTGGAGCTTTGACGGATGCAGAGGAGTTCACTAGGGAAGGGTATTCTAGGCAATGACAATGCCATATTCTCAGCTGCTTTGGTGGCACCATGGGCCAGGACATAGACAAGAGGGGCTGAGTGGCAAATAGGGGCATCAGGTTGGCACCACCACTCTGACCTTCGTCTGTTCACTGGCAAAGCACGAGTGTGAGATGAGTACTTAGGGCACGGGGCTGTGGGGCTGGGTTCCTGCCAGGCACGCGCAGCTCACGACAGGAAGGTGCCCTCGAGGGGCCCCCGCCGCATTTCCTGCGCTTGCCCACCTCCCATTGTGCGCATGCGCTTCTGTCAGGGCCAGCCTGGGCGGCACATGTGAGTCCTCTCCTTTCTGCGTGTGGGTCTGGGACTCGGCCCCAGCAGGGTCCTCAGGACTGCGGAGCCCAGGGCTGCCCTGATCCAGCTGCCAATGGTGACCTTAGAGTCCACCGCTTGCCTGCTCCCAGCCCAGCCCAGAGTGACTGTCATCCCGTCTGCTCCAGCCGCTGAGGCAGGAGGATCTCCCGAGCAGGTTAAATCTCAAAAACATGCAACGAAGGGCTGGGCCGTTGCTCAAGGGAAGCGCGGCCCTGGATGCCTGCTGGTCCACTGGATGTGGATACTCTGCCCTCCTCAGGGCTCCCTGCACTGGCTCTGTGCTGTCCTGTCCAGCGTGAGAGCCTGTGTGACCCCAGGGCCTTTGCATGGCTGCACTTGACTCCTGTAGACCTCAGGATGATGGCCTCAGGTGAGTCACCGCCCTTCTCCTAAGTTGTCCCCATCTCACCCTGAGCTCAGAGCCCAGCTCCCAGAGCAGGCCGCACTTCCTCTGGAAGCCTCAGTTTCCTCCCTGGGCATGTGGCCTAGCCTCCCAGGGTCCCCTAGAAAGGACAAATTCTGGATTTGAAGGAGACCACAGCCTTTGGCCTCCCCATACCCAGTGCAAAGCAGCTACAGTGTCAAGCTGCCTCCTAAATGTGTTCCTTGCCAACAAGCTTCTACTCACCCTTCAATACCCTACCTCCAATGCCTTCTTCTCCAGACTGAGCTCATCCCTCTCTGCTTCCCATATCCATCTTCGTCTTTCTTGATCCTGAACCCTCAACAGTGTGTTTGGATCCTGCTTGGCCCTCTCCAGAAAGGCCACAGCTGTTTCCCACATGCCAGGCCCCAAGGTCTCCTTATGAGTGTGGTCCAGCCACACAAGCCTCCACTAAAACAGGTGCAGCCAACTTCAGGACCTTTGCACCTGCTGCCACTGCTGCCGGGGTTCCTCAGAAACCCTTCCCCTCCTCACATCACGTTCCTGCCCTCTGCCCCTAGAAAGAAGCTCCCTGTCCTGTTCTTTTGTTTTGTCTGTGTTTTGTGATAGCCTCTCACTCTGTAGTCCAGACTGTGATTCCTAAACTTGTGATGATCTTCCTACCTCAGCCTTCTGAGTGCTGGGATGACAGGCATGCGCCACCAGCCTGAAAAAATCTGCACTATTTTGGCAGCTCGGCCCATTCCCAAGACAGGAACCCAAGGTCAAGAGGGGTCTGTGCCATCCCCACCAAGCTGCGTGTTACCCCACTCCCGTACCCTCTGTGGCTGTTACCCAGAAGTCTGCAGCCCTGCCCTGCAACATAGGCCCCTCTTTCCTCTCTGCCTGACTCCCCAGTTCCGTGTCACAAGGGACCGGCCACCAGGCATGGGAGGACACACCTGCGGTCCCGGCACTCTGGGAGGCTGAGGCAGTCACGGTCTCCTGGGCGCTGGAGGGACTTAGTGAGAGTCTGGGTTAAATTCACAAGAACAACTTAAAGGGCGGGGGCAGAGCTTGGCGCAGGACTTCCTGCTCACCACAAGGCAGGCCAGAGCCGGGCTGGGGTGGGTGTCAGCCCTTCTGCCACCAGGCTTCCCCGAGGCCCAGGACACTGTTTACCAAGTATCGAGTGACGCGTGCCGGGCATGGTGACAGCGCCTCTGGGTGACGGGAGGCCAGCCCTGCAGGGACCAGCTAGGCCACTTCCGGATGCGGGGGGGGGGGTGGTGGCAGGGGATCCAGGGCCTGAGTCACCCGAGTTGTGGGTGTCTGGGTCGCGACTTCCTCCTGCACAGTGGGCTCCATGGCAGAGCAGGTGCCCGGAAGGCCTACAGGTCCCCCACTTGAGATGCACGGTGAATGCTCTTCCTTTTAAGTACAAGAACACCCCACACAGCACCCCATGACTGACACCTGGGCTATGCTTAGGGTCACAAGGAACACTGAAGCTACCAGCAAGACTGTCATCATAGCACCCTAGGAGGCTGAGGCAGGAGAGTTCCAAGCTCAGCAGCTAGAGCTCCGTGCAAAGGCCCTGGGTTCAATTCCCAGGACCAGAAACAAAATAGCCTTGCATGAAAGACAAGAGTCAGGTGGTGACTAAATGTGTGAAAAGCACTTACAGAAGTCATCAATTGCCTGCTCAGTCCTGGGTGCTGGGCAGAACCTGAAGCCTTGGGGGTGCCCAGTGCCTCAGCCATGCACCCAGCCCTCACCATTAGTCACTGAGCGCCTACTGTGAATGGAGCTGGGGTGCTCCGGTCACAGGAATCCGGGCTTCATGCCCCTGAGATCCTGCATGGCCCAGGCCTGCAACACCAACGCCTTGAGGATGGGCAGAACCCTAACACCCCATGGGCACACACCTGTCGTCCCAGCATCCTGGGAGGCTGAGGCAGGAGGATCAAAAGGTCAAGCCCAGTCTGGGGAGACTCAGCGATGTAGCCAGGCTGTGTCTCACACTACAAAGGGCTGGGGTGCAGCTCAGTGTGGGGGCCTGGGTTCAATTCCCAGGTTGAAAATAAAGCTACCAAATAAATCAATCTCACGTGTGTGAATACCGAATAGTTTCCCTAATGTAAGTAATGATTCAAATATATAAAAGTATGTGGTAATCATGATTCCCCATTATGTGGCCTTGAAGCCTTATAAAGTTTTCACTTATTAATTGGAAAGGCTTTATTCTGGGCTGCTTGATATGGACATATTTGAAGCTATAGTATATGAAGTTATATTCAAATATTTCAAGGAAAAAGACAGACACTATGGTAACTACTATTAAGTTGGGTTATTTGGTGGTGAAGCACTAGGTTGCTGAAACTGTCATGGTTTGACCTGTATTGTTATATTGTTATGTCCTGTTTTATCTCAATCTCTCCCTTATTCATTAAAAAATTATTTAGTTATTTTTTATGATTTTTTAATTAAGGGGAAAAATTTTTAAAAATTAGCAGGATATATTATAGTAACTTTTTTTGATTTCCTATTAACTTGTTTTGAAGTCCTGTAATACTCCCACGATCTTGTTTTGACTGATTAGACTCTGTTCCATTCTATATGATAGTATCAAGTTTGAGGTATAGGCAACTACTTTGAAGGCAATAAGATTCACTAAGATGCCCATTCTGGTTTGACTATTGTCTCCTTTGGAAGTCCTGTAATGTTTACAATGCTTAAGTTTTATTGGTCTTGTTCTCTACTGTTTTGTTCAACTTTATAATACCTAATGGATAGACAATTCTTTTTAAGGAAACAAGAGACATCGCTGATAACCATTGTTGATAACCTTGTACTCTGTTTTACATCATGTGCTATGTCTATCCTTGGTTTTGATTGACAGCTTTGTTTTGCCATATTTGACTTTATTCTCTCCCAAAAAAAAAGTAAGAAGAACTATGGAGTAATAAAACCCAAAATGTGTAAATTTTGTTGTAAAAAAGAGAGGGGAAAAAAGAGCTCTAAAGGATACAACAGCAAGTGTGTTTAGGGGTGTTAAATAACTGACCATATTAATGTTTTTGGTTGGATCATTGAACACAACTGTTTGCAGTCTCCCTGTTTGAATGTCCACTTTGTATGCTTTGATACTGTGATTTGAGCAACTATCTCTAAGATGATAATGTGTGATCTATTAACTGGTGATTTCTTACTGTTTTTTTGGTTTTGTTTTTGTTTTTGTTTTTGTTTTTGTTTTTGTTTTTGTAGTCTGTATTACTTGTACCCTTACACCACTTTGTTTTGTTTTGTTTTTTCTCTTTTTCCTTTTAAATAAAATTAAAAAAAAAAAAGAAAATAAAGCTACCGCTGGACATGGTGGCTCCCACCTGTAATCCCAGCACTTGGGAGGCTGAGGCAGGAGGATCGTTGTGAGTTCAAGATCAGCCTGGGATACAAAATGAGCTCAAGGTCAGCCTGAACTGCACAGCGAGACCCGGTCTCAAAAAGACAAAAAAAAAAAAAAAAAAAAAAAAAAGAAAGAAAGAAAGAAAGAAAAAGAAAAGAAAGCTACCACTGCCATCGCCCCCCGGGGGGCAGGTGGAGTAAGGGGGACCAGGGGGTCTCAGAGACGGCTGCACCCTGGATCCACCACAGCCTCACGGCCGGCCGGCCACACCCTGAGTCCAGCTCAGTGCCTCAATGAGTGAGTGGAAAAAGGGGTGAGCCCGGCACCCCATCATGTCCTGACTAAGGGTTAGCATCAGAGACAGATGGAGAGACAGAGTGAGACAGAGAGACACACAGAGAGATACAGCACAGAGAGACCCAGGAGAGGAGAGGAAGCCTGGGGCGCAGTGACCCCCGCAGCCGCCTGGAGGGACCCCGCAGTCCGGTGACCGCATCACCTCGGCCGGCCGGTGAGCTGAGTCAGCCCGGTGTCGCCTCTGGGGCCGCCGGGAGCCACCTCGGCAGGGGGCGGCGGGCCGGTGGGAAGTGGGGGACGCGGGACGTGCGGGGCTCTGCGGCCGGCCGGAACAAGGCGCAGGCCCGCCGCATTCCGGGCTTTTCCTCCGCGGCTCCCCGGCTCCCTTCTCAGGAGAGACAAGACTGCTCGAGGGCGACCGCGGCTAATGTTTCCCACACTTCAAAGTAATTAGGAGGGAAAATGTAATTGTGACACAGGGTCTCCCTGTGTGGCTCAGGCTGGCCTTGAAATGACAGAGATCCTCCTGCCTCAGCCTCCCCAGTGCCATGGTGACAGATGTGTGCTACCACGCCTGGCAGGAGGGAGGATGGTGCGTGCCCTTGCCACGAACAAATAATAAATGTTTGAGCCAATGAGTGAGTTACAGGCCAATTTGATAAATCGTACCTGGGTCAAGTAAGGATAAAATAGAACCTTGCTTAAAGAAAGAGGCCAAGCTGGGCATGGTGGCCCAGACTGGCATCCCAGCACTTGGGAGGCTGAAGCAGGCGGATCGCTGTGAGTTCAAGGCCAGCCTGGGCTGCATAGTGAGATCCTTCCCCAGCCCCTCCCCAAACAGATAAAGACAGGAGGAGGAATTGGTCTCCGGGGTGCGGGCACCGATGAGGCGCCCTGCCTGGGCTTGATCTGAGGTACAGTCTAACTCGGGAACAGGGTGAGATGGGGCACCCCGCCTGCAGATGCTCTGTGTTAACCATTGGCCCAGGGCCCGGGGGCTCAGGCCTGACCCCTCGGCTTCCACAAGCCAGCCTTGCCCAACCCAGCCTAATTAGCATGGCATTGATTATGCAGCCTAATTAGCACTGATTATGCAGTCCTGGCCACACCCCCTGCCCATGGGCTTTGGGCACCAAGACGTCCAGAAATGAGATAAAAAGTCAAGACCTCCATGGAAGGGGTGAGCAAAGTTGCTACCTGCAGGCGTGAACCCTCCTGCTCCAGCCCTCAAGCCCACCACAGGCTCTAGGGCTTAAAACACTCAGTCTGTGCCTGTCATCCCCACCCTCAGGAGGCCGAGGCAGGAGGATGGCCACAAGTTTTAACTTCCTATGGGTTGGTCAGGGTACAACCGCCTTGTACGTCAGAGCATCTGAGGTAAACTGAGGCAGGAGTAGTATCACACATACATAGAGAACTCCCACAAGGCACAGGGAGCACAGAGAACCCCGAGGGCTGCAGGGAGGGCATGGGTGGCACAGGGAAGGTCAGTGTCACCTGGTAATTAGGAAGATGCCAGTCCAGTGCTGACCAACTGCACAATCCAGCGATACCAGAAGTTGCCCAACACACTGACTCACAGGACAACCACAGAGAGCTGGGGGCGTGTGGCAGGCACTGAGGCAGCAGGAAAGCCCCCGGGGTTGGGGGCCCTGGAACCCCCAGTCCAGGCCCCCTAGGGTCCAAGGGAAAGGCACCTCCTGTTGCCACAGCCCAAGTGCCTGTCAGAGACAGGGATGGGCAGATGCAGGAGGCTATTATTTGGGGGTGGGAAGAAGGTACCCACTCTGGCCCCCTCGAAAACACCCACCACCTGGCAGCTATGGAAACTGGGCCATCAGCACATGGGCTCCTGCCAGAGTGATGGAACAATTAATACCTAGTGATTGGTAAGCACTCAGTGCATGTTCACTGAGTGGATAATAAAAAGCCAGGTGATTTGCAGAGATAAGTTTCACATGACAGGAACAGACCTCTGAAGTACAGGGGTCCCCTATGTGTAATGGTCCAACTGACAGCCTTTGAGTTTTTTTTTTTCCCAAATCCCTTTTATTTCAAGGAGAAAAAAGTGAAGAAAAAAAAATTTCAAAAGGTCCATCAAGGCCAACAGTGCTATATACATTGTGCACCATCACCCCCAAGTCAGTCACCCAGGCCTGTGGAGTTTGTGTGGGTTTTTTGGTTTGTTTTTGGTACCAGGGATTGAACTCACGACCTAGGGCTGGCAGGCAAATGCCTTTGCCACTGAGCTAAATCCCCCGCCTGCCTGTGGAGTTTCTGACCTGAGGGTGCCTGGCTGCCAGAACTGCCCCCGCCTGGTCCAATGTGAGGGCACCAGGCAGGGGACAGCGCCCTCTTGGCCTCAGTTTCCCAGCTGTGGGCGGGGGAGGAGCAGTGATGCTGAGGTGGTGACCCGAGGGAACATCGGGGAACCCCACCCTGTCCCCTGGGAGTGGACTCAGGTGTATGCGGCCAGCCGTGTCCCCAAGCCCTGGCCCTGGCCTGCCCTGGAGGAGGCCCTTGGAAAAGACTGTCCCTGTGAGGGCCTAGGAGTGTGCAGGTCAGGGACACGCTTGGTGCAGGCTCCTGCCTGCCAGTGGCCAGGGAGGGCGACATCGGAGCTGAGGTCAGAAGCAAGTGGGACTCAGGTGCCCTGGGAGGAGGCCGGGCCAGGCTGTGTAAAGGTCCTGGGGCAGAGCCGCCTGGCCCGCTGGGAGGTGCTGGGGAGCGGGGCTCCTCAGCCAGGCAGAGGAGGGAGAGCTGGGCAGCGCCTCCCGGGAGAGGGAACCCAGGCTACGAGGGCAGAGGATGGGCCAGGGCACAGGCAGGGGTGGCCCCAGGTGCCCTGAGTCACCAGCCCTGAGGCCACACCGCCCCATCCCTCTCCTCTGATTTTATCTCCTCTGTGGAAGGGTTCCACCATTTTCGGTGCAGAAGCCTGACTCAGCCTCACCGATCCATTCTCCCCCATCAACAACCCTGCTTTACAGAAGGGGAAACTGAGGCTTGGAGGGGCAGGGCCTTGTCTGGCTCAGAGAGTAGCAGAGGCTGGATCCAGACTCAGGCCAGGTCACATGGTTTGTGGTGGGGGATGCATCCCTAGGCCCAGTCCCTCCCGGCTCTGTTCCTTGCCCCAGTGTGCAAATGGGGTCCTGAGGTCAATGGGGGGCTCTGGGGGTACAAGTCAGGCATGGGCAATCCAGCCCCGGAGTCAAGGGAGCAAGGTGGGTCCCCAGCAACCTGGGCAGAAGGGACCTTGTGATGAGGGACAAACAGCTGCACCCTGGGACAAACAGGCTGAGGCCCCAGGGTCAGGCACCATCCTGGCCAGGCCCTGTCAGCAGCCAGGAGGACTGATCGCCCACCCCCAGGTGGGAAAACTGAGGTTGGGCGAGCCCAGGCTGCACTGCAGGGCTCGGGGAGGGAGACCTTTGTTGACTGACCAAGTGGCTTGTTCTGCCCTTGGGCTCCCAGGAGGGAAACCAGCCTCCTCTGCCCACGGAGACCTCCCTCCTGCTGTCTCCCAAGAGCCTGGGGCCTTGGCAGTTGTGGCTACATGAGCCTCGGCAGCAGGGGACTTGGGCGGGTTCCAACTGAGCTCAGTTAAACATTCTCAGGGATTTGGAGCCCAGGAGGCCCCTCTGAGGAGACAGAGCTGGTGGGGACATCATGAGGGAGGGGATACAGCAAGGAGCAAGCACAGGCCGGGAAGAAGAGGGAACAGAGGCCAAGGAGCCTGTGCTCTGGGAGGCTGAGGCAGGAGGATCGCCAGCTTGAGATTCAAGTAGTGAACATGAGCCCTAGGTGAGCGCCAGGTCACCCTTGGCGGAGTTGGGGTGGTTGCACAGGTGATCTGGCCTGGCCCAGGCCCCTGCCCGAGAGAAACAAGAGCCCATGGAAAGTGATGTTATTGGCAAGGCCACTGGGCTGGCAGGGAGTCCACAGGCCACTGCCGTGACTGCCCCAGGTCACACCCACATGACCCAGTTCCCTACAGTACAAACCAAGAGAGCTGAAGATAGGCGCTGTTTCCACCAAAACCTCACAGCTGCTGTGGGTGGAAACAGCCAGGTGCCTGTCAGTAGTGAGAAGATACACATGGGGTTTGCCAGTCCCCTTGTGGAATATTACTCAGCCAGGAACAGGGACAGGGTGCTGCTCTATGCCATAGTATGGGTGGACCTCAGAACTGTAGGGCTGAGTAACAGCTGCCAGGCACGCAAGGCCAAAAGGGTGTGATCCCAGTGATATGAAGTGTCTAGCTCAGGCAGAGCCGCAGAGATAGAAAGCAGACTGGTGACTGCCCGGGCCGGGGAGGGCCAGCATCTCTGCATGTAATAAAATCACTGAATTTTGCATTTCAAAGGGCGAAATTGTATAGGCATGGTGAGGTGTACTGGGATCCCAACACTCAGGAGGCTGAGGCAGGAGGATTGTCCTGAGTCTGAGGCCAGCCTGAGCTACTTAGTGAGATCGTGTTTCAAAAAACTCCCAAACAGGGGCAGGGGATTTAGCTCAGCGGCATAAGCACCTGCCTTGCAAGCAGGCAGTCGTGAATTCGATCCCCGGTACAGATAAAAAGGAAAAAGACAAAAAAAAAAAAAAAAAAAAACCTCTCAAACAAACCAAAAACCCCAACAGAAACAAGAGAAAGAACAGAAAGTCTGGGTTGGGGGCACGCGCCGGAGGTCAGGGGCTGCTGAGTCCCCGGGTCACCTCTTGCAGTCTAGTCCCATCTTGGCTGACAAACACAGAGGTTTCTGGGAAGATGAGGCAGGGTGTGCGCTGGGCAGCCCAGGTCCCGTCCCAGGAGCTGCTGGCATCTCGGGTGTGAGAGGCCTCCAGTACTGGCCACACAACAGTTGTTCAGTAAACACGGACTGGCGTGCACGAGCCCCCAGATTCCACCGCAGCCCCGCGAAGCTGAACCAAAGTTCTGCTGACCCAGGACGCCCAACCGGCTCGGACCGCCACGAGGCGTCCTGCGTTACAGTCCATGTCCCCAATCGGCCTGATCCAAGCTCCTTGGTGACCTCAGACTCTCCTCATCCGGCAGGCTCCCCTGGGGAAACTGAGGCTCTCGAGGGCGGCCCCACCAGCCGCCAGCCTGCACCTTGCCTCAGCCCCACCCCTTTCTGCCACAAACTGCAGCGGCCGCGGGCTGACCACTGCCCTGGCTCCGAAACCGGAAAAGCGCGTTTGCAAACTGGGGCGCGGAGGAGGGAGCGCGGGTGCCCCCTGGTGGCCGCGGCGAGGATGCACCGCCTGGGCTTGGCCGGGCACGCCCTGTGGCGTCCAGGTGGGCAGGCGCCTAAGAACCGGCCGGGTGATCGCAATCGCTGTCCGGCGCCGCTGCCTCGTCCCCCGGCCCGCAGCCCCGCCGCGGGGCCTCCAGCAGCAGCGGGGCACGCGGGACATCCTCCGCCGCCGAAGGTTCCCGGTTCTGCGCGGCCAGCCGGGAGTGCCAGGGCGGCTCTGTCCCTGGCACCTCATCTGCGCCCTCGCACTTCTCCACCACCAGCGTCTCGGGCGGGAGCGCCTCCTCCACGCAGTCCACCCAGGTTGGCCACAGGCACTGCGGGACAGAGAGGCGGGGCCGACCTGGAGGCGGGGCCATAGCGGAGGGGGTGGGGCCTCCACACCCCTGCCAATCCGAGATGGCGCTGCTCCAAAGCCCCTCCCTCAGCCCGCCCCACAGGGCTGGTTCCCCATTTCCATTCGTGGAGCCCTCAATAGACGGGCACTTGGCCGCGCCCACCCATGGGCACATGACCCGAGCACACCCAATTAGCAGGGCAGCCAGCCCCTGGCTTCAGCCATTGGGTCATACCTAGGCATGTGACCTAAAATAACCCAATCAGGGATGGCCTTGAGCCTGTTGCAAGTCAATGGGGAAATGGGTGAGGCTGCCAGGAGGCAGCCCTACCCCCGAGGCAGAGGCTGAGGCAGGAGGGTCACTGCGAGTTTGAGGCCAACCTGGGTTACACGACTCAAAACTACGACAAGCAGCTGAGTAGATTTTTGGAAGGGAGGATTTACCTGCTCCCTTTGGCTATCCTCGAATGTCACTGCGATACTGGCACAAGGCGTGGGCAGAGGTGGCCACAGGTACCGTGCGGCCCTGGGAAGAAGAGGACAGGTCAGAAAGCGGGGCTGCCGGCCTCGGCTTCCTGCTTCGTGGTTCTGCCTTCATCGCTGTTAGAGTTTTTTTCCTGTTTTGTTCGTGTTTGTTTGAGACAGGGTCTCGCTAAGTAGCCCAGGCTGGCCCGGGACTCCCCGCGATCCTCCTGCCTCAGCCTCCCGCGTGTGTTGGGGTTCGTCACCATTGGGTTATGCAGGTATAAGGTTGTGGGTTCAAATGTCACATCTGCCCCCTCTGCTGGGTAAACCCCGAGAGCCCGGACCCATTTTTTCCTGTGGGAAACCAGCACACAGGGCTTCCTGGACTGTGGGGGGCACGCATTACCTGCTCAGGCCGAGGCACCCCAGGGTGCCCACCAGAAGGATAGTCACAAAGCTGCCCAGGGACACGGACAGGATGAACACCTGGGACTCCTGCGGGGCTGAGGCAAGAGAGCCTGGGTAGGTAGAGGACTGGGAGACTGGGGCATCAGCAGGGGTACAGCCCCCTGCTCTTGCCTCCCCATTCCCAGAAACCCCAGGGCTGGGGGAGCAGAGCCTGACAGAGGATCCTTCCCCAATCCCTGAAGTCAGTTGGTCAGTCATTGATCAGAGGTAAAGCAAGAAAGTCTTTGTGGAGGAGGGAGCTTTTGATTTGGGTTTTGAAGGATGACCAGAAGTTTGACAACAGGAGAACAAATTTTCCAAGCAGCTAGGCCTGCTGCCTTATCTCTTCCCAAGTAGCCGGGGGAGATGCAAGCAGGTCTAGCTGGTACTTTCTCCTGAATGCAGTAGGGAGCCCCGGGAGGGAGGGGTGCAGGGGAGCTCACCCAAGCTGAAGTACTGGGGCGGGCTCCAGGTGCCCTGCAGCCAGGCTGTGTCTGCGCGCACCTGCACTGTGTATCTGGTGCCGGGCCGCAGGTCCCGGACGGTGACTTGGGTCTCCGTGGGTGACACCAGCCACTCTGTGAGAGGTGGTTTGTGTTTTCAGCACCGGGGATCGGACTCAGGAGACAGTGTCTCAGTAGTTGCCCAGCCCGGGCCAGAACCTGCAACCCTCCTGCCTCAGCCTCTCAGGTGCCCCAATGCTCTAATTTCAAGGATGGGGTGACAGAAGCGTGGGGGTCTCGCACCTGCCACACGGCCGCCGTCCTCTGCGCAGCGCACCGCATAGGCCGTCAGGACACCAGGGCAGCCATGCAGCGGGGACGGTGCCCAGGCCACGGCCGCAGAGCGCTCGCTGTAGTTCTGCACCCACACATGTGGCGGGGTCCCGGCCACGGAGGCTGCAATGGCACCAGGTCCCCATCACCGCCCGGTGACAAATGCTCCAGACTCAGTTTCCCCACCTGTAAAGTGGGCCGCGGGTTCCACCACAGCCTCGTGCGCTTCCCTGATACTCAGGGCCACTCACCATTGCCCCCAAAGTAGTAGGAGGACAGCACGGTTGACCACGCCGTGGGTTTCTCGGGGTGTGCAGAGGCGAAGATGCTGACACGGAAACACTGGTCCTGTCCTGTGGCCCCGGGAGCTGGGCTCCAGCTGTGAGTCCCTGGGAGGGCGAACAAGGGCTCAGCCATCAACTAGAGTGAATTCCAACCTCTGGGTGTGCTGCCCTCAACATCTGCTAGAAAGACCCGCTAAACTCTTACTCATGCTTCAAAGCCCTTGCACCAATGCTCCTTCCTAGAGAATCACTTTCCTATGTACATTTGCAGTGTGTCCTCATCTGCATTGCGGATCAGGGCTGTCTGTTCCCAGCTGTTTTCCCTCAGGCTGGAAACTCCACAAGGTCCAGGCAGATGCTGTGACTGGGTTTTCAGTCAGACCCCAGGAAGAGGGCAATGGCTGCGTGGGCCCCACGGGCCCTCCTGTGCCGTACCTGATCCTGCTGAGCCTGGATCCTGTGGTGACAGCAAAGTGCAGTTGGGGGCAGTGTCCTGGCCACATGGCTGCCACTCCACGCAGTGGGTCACACCCGGGGCCCGCGCCTCCCAGCGCAGGGCTGTCCCGTCGGCCCCCACGCTCACTGTCAGGGCCTCGGGTCCTGGGGAACACGGGAGAGTCACGCGGGACAAACGCCTGGCCCTGCCCCTGAGTCCCCACCCACTGTCGCCCTCCCTTCCTGACCCGGGCCCCAGCAGGGTCCCCGTGGGCCGCCATCGCCATCGGACAGTGCTGGGCGGTGCAGCTGTCATCCCAGCACTGGAGAGGTGGAGGCAGGAGGCTCAGTGGGAGGCCAAGGCCTGCCTGAGCCAGAGTGAGGCCTGTCCGGCAGGAAGGAGGCGAGGACGGCCACACTGTCTTTTTTGTTTGTTTCTTGGGGACAGCGTTTTTCTGAATTCACATTTGAGATCCTCCTGCCTCAGCCTCCGGTGCGTTAGGCTCTCGCTGCAGTCCTCTCCCACGCTTCCATGACCGAACCCTCCGAGCTGAGGCCCCGCTGCCTCCCCCACCTCCCTCACCCCGCGGGCACCTGTGTGGGTGGCGGCGGGCACGGCGGGGACCCGCAGCATCTGCTCGGGGCCCCAGCCCAGGCTGGTGCGGGCCACGACGGCCACGTCGTAGGCGCCGCCCGAGAGGAGGAGCTTGCGTCTCCCCAGGCGCACGGTCCGCGTGGCCTTGGCCTGGCAGGGACAGGACCGCATGTGCACTCGCAGGAAGTAGGCGACTTTCGCCCCGGACGTCGCCCCCCGACAGCCCTCGGGAAGCTCGGGCTCTGGCAGCTGCGGGAACAGGACGCGTGGGGACTGTTGGGGGGACAGGCGCGTCGCCCCTGACCTGCACCCGTGGGGGAGCTGAAGGGACCAGCACGCGTCTCCAAGGTGCCTCCATTTGGGGGAAATCAACAAAACCCAGAGAGCTGGGAAAGCGTTTTGGACGCAGCTGCTGCCGAAGCCCAGAAATTATCCGGGGGGGAAAAAGAACTGCGATTTTTCTTTGGGTTTTTTGAGAAAGGGTCTCACTATGTACTCCAGGCTGGCCTTGAACTTGAGGCGATCCTCCTGCCTCAGCCTCCTGAGAGCTGGGCTCACAGGTGTGAGCCACTGTGCCAGCAGGAATTTGGGTTAGAAGCTTAGATTTTAAAGAGGAGAGAGGGGGCCTCAGCTTTGCTCCCACAAGAGACACTGCTCTTTGCCTTAATTTCCCTCTGTAAACCAGAGCTAACTAGGCTCCAGCCGCCGAGTTGCTCGAGTTGCTCGGAGACGGTAGGCAAAGGTCTTCCACCGCGGCCTAGCACCCCAGCTTCCCGGCTGGGGCTTCTGTCGAATCCCCTACAGGCCGCTCCCCCCACCCCCGGGCTGCGCCCAGCGCCCTGGGAGGCCGAGGCAGGGGGTCACAGGTTCCAGCCCAGCCTGGACGACCTAGCGAGACCCAGTCTCGGAGGGAAAACTGAAAAGGTCCGGGTGCTGTGGCACCCGCCTCTGCTGTGCCCACCAGTCTCAGGGTCCCGGCCCGCGCCTCGCCCACAGGGCGCCCCGGCCACCCCGACCCCAACGCCTGTCACCTGCTCAGGCGCGGTCAGCAGCCTCCGGCGCCCATCCTGGCCCAGCTGCGCCAGCTCCAGCGTCACCGCGGGCTGCGGGAAGCTTTCTGCAGGGACAGGGACACGCAGGGATGGGAGGGGTGCAAGAGCGGCCAGCTGGGGGAAGCCGGGGGGGGGGGGGACGCAGGGGCGGGGCCCCAGCCCGTGACGTCACTGCAGCGCAGCCCCGTGACGTCACGGTGGCCCTTCCGCTCACCAGGGGGCACGCACTCGGGGTCGCTCCAGTCGCTCCAGGGGCCTCCCGGGGCCCCAGACCAATGCAGCCTCCGCCAGCGGAACTGGAATTCCTGGGCCTCGGCAGCCTCCAGAGGACACAGGCAGGACCCTGAGGAGGGGACACGGGCAGGGCCCCGGGAGATGGCACGGCCGGACCCCGGGGAGGGGGCGCCGCCCACTGCGTGCACAGGGAGCCCAAGGCCCGGGTGACCCACCCTCGGCTCCGGCCGCAGAGTCACGGGGTGGGGGAACCGGAACCGGACGGGGAGAGACCCAGACGCTCCCCACCCCAGCGGCAGGACCCCGCGGGGCGCGCGCGCTTACTGGAGCGACCGCTGTCGCCATGGTCACCACCACCGAAGCCAGGCTCGTCCTGCAGCCCGCAGTCACCCTGAGAAGAGACCGCGTGTGTCACACACGCGTGGGCGTGAAAACGCAGCCGCTTCCTCCCCGCCTTTCCGCATCTTCCTTCCTGCCAGGCCCGGTGCGCACGCCTGAGCCCAGCACCTGGGAGGCTGAGGCAGGAGGGTGGCTGCGAGTCCCGAGTCCCGTCTCAAAGGGACAAAAACAAAAGAAAACGAAGGGCGAACCTTCCCCGCCAGTCCTTCCCTCCGCCATGGGTTTTGAGGCGGGGTCTCCCCGCTGAGCTGCCTCCCGAGCCCTGTCATCTCAGCTGTGACGCAGTGTCCCACCGAGTCACCAAGAGCCCGGGCTGGCTGCGTCTCAGTCTCAGTGTCTGCGTCCCCAGCCCCAGCCCGGTCTCAGGCTGTACCTCCTGGGGAAACTGAGGCTGGCTGGGGTGCAGCGTCTGGGGAAGGTGAGGCCACAGCTGGCCAGCCTACCCCCCTCTCCCAGGTTTTGCGAGGTGCAGTGAGCAGGGGGCTGCCGTGCTACCCAAGGGGGACTAGGGACCGGGTGCCCTGGGCAGGCTGGGTCCCCGCTAGCCCAGAAACCAAGCTCACCAGCTCCCATGCGCGGCCAGGCCCTCGGCGCCGGAACTGCAGCTGCGTACTGTCCTCTGGGACCTCCCAGGCCATCTGCAGCCATCCAGGGGGCAGATACTTCCGGGTGGCGCTGCGCGGGCGCTCATATTTCACTGCAGGTGGAGGGAATGCTGGGGGGGGCAACCAGGAATTCTGCCCCCTCCCCCCAGGCCCCGGGGAACAAACTGGGTCCCCAGAGGAGAATCAGGGGCTCCCTCACAGGTTCCAGGAGAGTCCAGGGCTCCCCATGATCCAAACAGTCCAGAGAAGCTAGGGGCATGCCTGTGCCACCAGCCCCTTGGGAAGTTGAGGCAGGAGGGTCCCATTTTTCAAGCCCAGCCTGGAGTAGTTTAGCAAGACCCTCTCTCAAAATAAAACAAAGCTGGGGATGTAGCTCAGCGTGAAGGCCCTGCGTTTCTTCCCCAGTACTTACTGCAAAGACAAATGTGTCAAGGGAGAGAGGATTTATACACAGGGTCCTGACAGTGCAGATACTTTATAGGATTAATCGCCAGGCCCAACAGAGCCATAGCGAGAGAGGGACTTGTGCAAACTGTGGACCAGGGGGATAAGCGACTTTTTTTTTTTTTTTGGAAATCTCAACTAGACCTATAGCATGGAGCCTGACTAGTGAGAGACAAGAGTAACTGGCTGCGCCTTGATCATACCATACCTGATCTCCTATTCCTTGCCATTGTATGAACTGTATAGTGTGATGCATTGAGTTGCGTGTCAGTGGCAAAATGACCACTCCAGGAAGAGGTGACACATGCCCACTGGGGTCACCTGGTCTTTGTGTGTTGATCAGACCTAATCTTGGCAGATCTCTGCCCTTCATATGTCTGACTACTCACTCCCTAGTCCAGCCCTGGCCCTGGAGGTGGAGCCCCGGACCTGTTGCCTGGTAGACAGGCACTCTGCCACTGTGCTACACCCCTGATCCCTGATCCCATTTTGTTTGATTTTGAGACAGGCTCTCACCGCATGCCTTGCGTTGGATTTGAGCTTTTGATCCTCCTGCCTCAGCCTTCAAAGTAGCTCGAATGACAGGTGTGCACCTTCATGTCTGGCTTTATGTAGGACGCAATATTTTGCTGCCTGTGGGTTTTGTTTTTGTTTTTTGAGACAAGGTCTTACTCTGTTGCTCAGGTTGGCCTTTAACTCACTACATAGTCCAAGCTGGCCTCCAACTCTCAGCAGTCTTCCTGCCTCAGCCTCCCTGGGATAACAGCTGTGTATCACCAAGCCTGGCTATACATTTTTGTTCAAAATACTGTGTTACAGGCTGGAAGTACAGCCTAGGGGTAAGCCTTTGCCCAGCACAGGTGCAGCCCTGGGTTTTATGCCTACCCTCTCAGGAAAATCAAATAACCCAATTGCCATGCAAGCCAAGCATGGTGGTGCATGCCTGTCATCCCAGCACTCGGGAGGCTGAGGCAGGAGGATCTCCACCAACTCAAGGCCAACCTGAGCTATATGGGGAGACCCTGTCTCAAAAAAAATGAAACTAAATAAATAAAGCAAATGTGTCCCGTGCAGTACTTTCCTCTGAACTCGTTTTGTTTGGTGGCCCTAAATTTCCCCCCTGCCCATCGCCCCCGGCCCTAGGTGCCCACACCCCAGGTGCCCTGGTGGGAAGAGGTGAGAGGAGCAGGGAAGGCGACAGAGACCGAGGACGGCGCTGACCCCATTCGTGCAGCCGCAGGGTGATCTCAGGCGACCTCTCTGTCCAGTTGGCGGCCCGGGACTCCACCCAGAGCATGACGCTGCGGAGCACCGGCACCCCATCCTGGTCCGAGAACCGCAGCCGGGTGGCCGAGCCCGCCCAGAAGTAGCAGCAGGGCCCGGGGCGGAGGCTGCGGGGAGGGAGCACCCTGAGCTGGGCCAGGCCGGGCCTCCCCTCCACCCGCCCGTTGGGGTTTGCTCCTGTGGTGCTGGGAGTGAACCCCGGGGCTCCTCACTGGGCTCCAGCTTCACCCTTTTTTGTTATTTTTATTTCTAGGCAGGATCTTCCAAATTGCTGAGTGGTTAAACATGTGATCCGCCTGCCTCAGCCTCCAAAATAGTTGGGATTACAGAAGTGTGTCTCTAACTCCACTCTCCCCCAGCCTGGAGTTTGTTTGAAAATGAGCCTAAGATTCAGGAGTCTGAGAGATTCCCAAATCTTCTCCCTGGCCAGTATAGAGTGAAGGAAGAAATGCACGCATGGATGAATGGGTGGGTGGATGGAAGGAGTTGGGGTGGATGGGTAGATGGACAGATGGACAGGTAGAGGGGTGGACAGATGGCAGGTGAGTGGATGCATCGATGGGTGGGTGGGTGGAAGGGAGTGGGGGTGGGGAGGCATGCACAGGTGGGTGAGCAGATGCATGGGTGGGTGGCTGGGTGATGAGTGTTGGATAGAAGGACAGATGGATAGACAGATGGATGGGGGAGGATGTGGGGAAGGAAATACCAGAGACCCGGTGGCTGCCCCCACACGCTGACCCCAGGACCCCGCCTCTCTCCTGGGACAAGCCTGGGAGCGGTGGAGCACTGTTCCCGCTGAGGTCACTCTGTGCCCACAGGCACTCAGTGGGCGGCGGGTTGGGGGCCGTGGCTGTGTCCTCACCAGCACCGCAGGAAGTGGCTGACACCCTCCCTGGGGCCGTCGTAGCGCCAGGAGCACTCGTAGTGGCCCCCACCAAACACCCGGTAGCAGCTCAGGTCCCTGGGGCCTAGGCCGGAGCCTGCGAGAGAAACCTTGGGGTGAGGGGACCCCGCGGAGCAGTGCGGGGCCTCCCCAGCCCTGCCCCGGCTGTCCAGGTGCTGGCCTGGGTCCCCGGCCGTCCCAGGGTCTCAGCCATCCCAGGCCAGTGCTCTCTACTGCACTGAACCCCACATCTCATACCCAGTTTCTCCTTGACTGGCGGAACCCTGACCGTAAGCCGAGCCACAGCTACTGCATCCCCTCTCCCTGGCCCGTCTCCCACAGCTTGCTGCCTGCACAGTCACCCATCTGCTGTGGCCCTCGGGGATGGCTGGGCCCACGGCAGATCCCCGAGTCTGCAGCTCTGCCTGCACATAGTAGGTGCGCAGTTAAAAACCCGAGCAGGGCGGCACTGGGCGGCCAGGCCAGTGTCAAACCGCTGGGCCCCAGCCTCAGCCTCCCTGAATGTAATGAGACCAAACCGAGCACCCGCCACCCCACGCCTCACACCTGAGTTCCCATGGGGAGAAGGCAGGTCCTGAAAACAGCATTCGGCGGGCCTGCAGGCACCTACAAAGGCACCCATGTGATGGTGACATCCGGGCCATGCAGTGTGGGGACAGGGACGCGGCAGGGTCACACACAAGCCATCCCCTGTCTGCCCACCTGTGTTCCCCTGCACCACCTGCTTACTGTCCCCCACCCAGCCACCCACCCACTGAGCCATCGGTGCTCTGTGACACCAGCGGGACAGAACGGCCCCCTAAGGTCCCCCTGCAGCTTCCCGAGAGGGTTCAGCACTCTCCTCGGCCTCCCCGGGGTCCTGCACCCCCAGACACCTGAGGCCCTCGAAGAGGTCCGGACCCCAGCCTGCCGCACATCGCGGGAACTCACCGCTCTGCCAGGACAGCGGGGGAAGGAGGAGGAGGAGGACGCCCAGCGGGGCCACCAGCCGCCCCATCAGGGTCCCCGGGGCCGTCCCCTTCTTGGAACACGTTGAGGCTGAACAAAAAAAAAAAGACCAAGAAAAAAAAAGTGTCACGTCCTCTCCCTCGGAGGGCGTCAAAGTGAGAGGCGCCCAGGAAGTCAGCTGCCCGCAAAGGCAAAGCCACCGCGGGGCGCTGCTGGGGACGTGCGATCCGAGCTGGCGGGGTCCCCTTGCTGCTCACCACCCACCCGGTCCCCAGCATCTGACGGTGTTTCCGGGGCTCCGAAGGCTCCTGGGCAGTGCGACCAGTGCCGGAGGTGATGAGTGACAAGTGCTGTGGCACACACCTGTCACCCAGTACTGGGGAGGCTGAGGCAGGAGGATGCCAAGGCTGAGCCTAGCCTGGGCAGTTTAGTTAGTGAGCAAGACCCCGTCTGAAAATAAAAAGTAAAAAAGGGGGTGGGGCAAGAGATAGCTCAAGTTCCGTCCTGAGGACATCAAAATTAATTGATAATTAAAGTTTTGAAAAATGGTGAATTTTCAAACACATGTTTCCCATAAAGGAAAGATGTTCCCAGAGTCCCAGGGTAGCGGGGAGGGGGGAGGGGGTGGGGGGCTACTTTCTGGGGCAAAGGATCTGGGGAAACTGAGGCCCAGGCGGGCAGGCGCAGGCAGGGGGAGTCCTTCCTCTGCGGAGCCCGGATGCAGGGTCAGCTGCTCTGGCCCGGGCCAGGCGCCCCGAGGCCCATGAGGTCAGCGCCTGCAGGACAAAGGGGACAGTGTCCAGCGCCTGGCACAGTGGGCACGGGGCCGGGGCCTGGAGAGACGGCAGGACAAAGGGAGACAGAAAGACAGGGATGGAGAGAGAGGTAGAGAGGAGCAGCCGGGCGGGCGCGGGTCCCCTGTTACTCAGGAGGCTGAGGCGGGAGGGTTTCACACTAGAGGCCAGCCTGGGCCACTTAGGGAGACCCCATTTTAAAGTAAACAGGAAGGAAGTGGAGACAGGTGGTGCTTGTGCCAAACCAGGATCCCCGCTTTATTCTCCTGAGACCCCGCCCCATCCCAGGAGACCTGTCCCTGCTCCATTTTTCAGGTGAGGAAATCGAGTCCAGAAGTGGGGACCAGGCCACCCGAGGCTCCAGCCAGAGAAGACGGGTCCCATTAGCCCCAGGGGGGTTGAGCTCTGACCCTTTGGAATAATTGCTGGTGCCCAGTGTGCCCTCCACATCCACCCCGGCCTCAGTTTCCCCTCTGCACCATGGGCTGCAGTGGGCTGGGGGGGTCCGTGAATGTGTCCTCTCTGTGTTCTCCACCCTCCTCACACCTCCCGCCTGTATCCCAAAGTCAGGGCAGCCCCAGAGAAGGCGGAGCTGGGCCTGGGCCTTAGGAATCAGGGGGACAGTGGGGGCTCGTTCCCAGAGGGCTCCTTTGGGGCAGGTGGAGCTGGCCAGGCGGGCAGGACCCAAGCTGCCAGCTGTGGGGCCCGCCTGGCCCACCTGAGGGTCGGGCAGCCTGCCCCCTCCGCCTGCTCAGGCCTCCACATTTAGCTGAAATAAACTCCGAGATCTGCCCCACTTTCAGTTGCCCCAGTAGGCTTTCGGGGAGGGGCGAGCAGGAAGGAATGAGTCACAGGGGCCCGGAAATCCTGACTGGAGGAACCGCAGAATGTCCCCTCCCCCTCGGTTTCTTCCCTCTTCTCAGGCAGAGTGACTTTAAACTAAACTCAGTGAAGGCCAAACTTCCCTCCATATGGCCGAAGGATCATCTACAGAGGGCTTTGAAGAATGGGTAGGAGTTGTCAAGAGGGTCGCTTTGTTCACTTATTAACATACTCATAGATACCATTCATCAATAAGATTTTTCTTATTTAATCAGGACTTTCTAATGGCTGGATCATTTGAAGGTTTTTGAAGAATATCAAGGAAAAACTCCATCATCGACCACGCTCCTGCGCCTCTCGGAGACCTAAGGAGAGATTGGATGGTGAGCTCCCTGCCAGGAACACTATGGGGAGGTGCAGATCCTTTAAGAGGCGGGTTCTGCTGGAAGCCAGGTCATTGGGGACGTAGCCTTGGGAACCTGGGACCCAGCTCTGTCCTCTTTCTGCTTTGTGCCCTGACCTCCCTACCAGGATGGACCAGAGAAGCCAGCCAGGGAGCCCTGTCTGAAACCCAGAAACCTTGGGCCCAAATAAATCCTTTCCTCTTTTTAAATGGATTATCCCTGGTATTTTGTCACAGTGAAGGAATGAAACAGATTTATGTAATTCACAAGAAAAAAAATGTGTTTGTTTATTCAATCAATGCACTCTGAAAGCCAAAGACAATCCAAAGTGGAATTCGAAGGACTTAGGCCTTCACCATGGAAAATCTTCAGTCGGTCAGTCAATCAACAAACACTCCCTGCTGCCCACAGAGGCATTGAGGAGGCAGTGCTGGGCAAGCTTCCTCCAGGTGGAGCAAAGACATTTGAGACCTCACTAATGGCGGTCCCTCCTACAGCTCTCCTCTTTGGGTCCCGGGAATCCCCTTCCCAGATGCCAGCCAAAATCCCCACAAATTCTCTGAATGGCTGAGAGCCTGCATCACGTGTTCACCTTAAGCCAATCACCAGAGGCCGATGTGAGAAAAAGACAGCGGGTCCGGGCCCATCCTAACCTGGATTAACCAGGAGTAGGAGAGTGGGTCTAGCTTCTGAACCGCGGGAAGTATGGGAGCTGCAAACGGATTTGCTTCTAGCCGGGTAGCCATGCAGCCCGCAGCGCAGCTGGCCCTGCGGAGGTTTCAGCGCATCACTGTTTAGCGCCACTGTGCCCCAAGTCTGCGCGAGACCTGCTCATATCCAAAGCTTAGTCATTGTTGAAATGCAGGTTACACTGGTGCTGCTTTAAAAAACAGGCTGGCAGCTGGTCACAAACTTAACAGGAGAGGTAACATATGGCCCAGGGAATCCACTTTCAGGTACGTCCGCAAGGGAACTGAAAACTCGTTCACACAAAACTGCATAAGCCTGGCAAGAGTCATTCCCGGCAACTCTCATCCAGGAGCCACGCAGAGGAAAACCCAAGTGAGGGTCCAGCCGCACGATGGAAAGTTACTTGGTTGTGAACAGGAACGAAGCTCTGATATTAACTACCACGAAGATGAATCTTATAAACATGATCTGAGTGAAAAGAAATAGGCGAGCTGGGTGTGCCCGCCTGTCATCCCAGCGCTCGGGAGGCTGAGGCAGGAGGATCCTTGGGAGTTTGAGACCAGCCTGGTCTACAAAGTGAGCTCAAGGCCAGCCTGAACTGCATAGAGAGACCCTGTCTCAAAAAGACAAAAAGTAAATTAATAAATAGGAAAAAAAAAGTAGGCACAAAAGACCACATAAGAGGATCAGAGGCTGGACGTGGGGCATGGAGTGACACTTCCTGAGAGTGGGGTTTCTCAGGGGGATAACAAAAGTGTCCTGGAATCATATGCTGGCAATGGTAGCCCAGGTCTGTAGCTATGGAAAAAGCCACTGGACTGTACACTTATACGAGGTGAATTGCATAGTATGTGAGCTATGTTCTTTTATTTATTTATTTTTTAGGCAGGGTCTCGCTATGTAGCCCAGGCTGACCTTGAACTCATGGTGAGCCTCTTGCCTCAGCCTCCCAAGTGCCAGGATTACTGGTGTGCACCACTACGCCTGGTTTTTTATTGTTTGTTTCGGCAGAGCTGGACTTGGAATCTAGGGCCTCCTGTGTCTCAGACAAGGGCTCGCCACAGAGCCACACCCCGACCCAGTTACGTCAATTGAAATAATTGTGTGGGAAAATTAAGTGGTTCTTGGTCAGTTTGCATTTTGATTTGTTCGATCTGGCCACAATAAATCCGTGGAACCTTGTTCTCTTAAAACAATTGGTGCCGAGTGTGGCGTGCACACCTGTAATCCCAGCACTCGGGAGGCTAAGTCTGGAGGATTACCACGAGTTTGAGGCCAGCCTGAACTACAGAGTGAGACCCTGTGTCCAAAATCCCAAAAAAGAACTCAATGTTTCGCCCACCAGGAATAACTGCATTATTTCCTCTCCAGTATGCTGTGCTGAGAATATACCCATGTTCTCCTCACTGAGCTACAGCTCCAAGGCTTTTTAAAAACTTTTTTAAAGATAGAGTCTCATTGAGTCACCCAGTCACCAGGCTGGGTGAGAGCGTCCTGTCTCAGCTTCCCAGAGTGCTGGGATTACTGGCGTGCACCACCTTGCCAGGAAATAATAAAGAGCAGCATGAGACCGATAAGAAGAAGCAGGGAAAGAACCTTTCACCAGGGGGAGGGAATCAAGGCCTAGAGATCGGGAGGAATTAAGATCCGCTCTGTGCTTGGGTCAGTCCCGCGAGGAGGACACACACTGTGTACCCCAGACAGGACCCAGCGGGGGAATGGCCTGAAACACTATCCTTCCTCCTCACTGCTGGGTTTGTGGACTCCGTATTTTTGGCCTCTGAGCGGCGTCTCTGCCATCAGGCCGTGTGCCTTGGACACCCCGAGTCCACTGTGAGTGGCAAGAGTCACTACCAGGGTGTTTACTTCCACTGGGCGTGGTGGATCACAGCCCGAGGGAAGCTGAGGCAGGAGGGTGGCTATGCTGTACGTCTAAAGCCAGCCCAGGCTGCACAGTGAGCTCAAGGCCAGCCTGACTACACGGCAGCGAGACTCTGTCTCACAAAAAAACAACAAAGTAATGTTTACCTCTGCGGATGGACTGGGCCTCGAAGGGCGGGGCCAGCGATCCCCCCCCCACAGCTGGGGGCGGAGCCTTCTCAGTGGGCCCGACGGAGTGGGGCGGGGCCAGGCGGCGTCAGCTGACCGGATTGGCCAATGGCGCGTGGCGGCGGGGTCCGGCAGGCCAGGGGCGGGGCGGGGGCGGGGCCTTGCGGACAGCGGGCCATGGACGAGCCGAGCCTCCTGCGGCGCCGCGGGCTACAGGTGAGGCCCCGCGCGGGTGGGCTGCGGACGGACTCGAGGGGCTGGAGGCTCCCGTGGTCGGGCCGGGCGGGGCGGGACCGGTAGGCACGGGGAAACTGAGGCAGGGGGAGGAGCCCAGGTCCTGCCCTAGGCACGGGGCTCCCGAGTGCGTCCCCGCTGGTGTGGAGTGGGCGTCCCCAGCCGACACCTGGGACGCCGAGGTGAAGGCAGCGCGCGGGGACGGGAGCTGGGCTCGGCGCCCCCCGTGGCACCCTTGTCCCGTCGGGATCCGCAGCAGCTTGCGCCCGAGCGCACCATATGTTCGGATACGTTCCTCGGGCATCCAATAGTAAGGGGCCGGCGGGGACCCTGCCCGCATCGCCGGCTCCGCTGCAGCGGCTTGGATCAAGGAGGCAGGGGCTGCCCATACGTGCAGGAAACTGAGGCTCGGGCCTGGGAGATCCACCCCCTGCGCTCTTCGCCGGCCTCCTCAGAGGTTCGGAGGAGACATGGGGACCCCATTTTTCAGTTTCCCGGGCCATCAGGGCCTCCTTTCCGGGCCCCTGCCTGCGCAGGATCTGTATTCTGGAGGTGGCCTCTTGGGGAGGACCTAAACATGGGGGCAACAGAGACCTCAGTAGGAATCACCCGGGGTAGGTGACTCTCTCGAGCCTCAGTTTCCGCATCTGTAACATCTCTACATTGGGAACTGAGATCCGGCTGTACTGCTCAGGCTTAGGTCGGACCCCAAGAAGTCACCAGGTGGGCAGGTCAAGGACCTGTCCACAGGCGCTGAGCTCCCACTGGGGACCTGGCTGGTGACCTATCAGCCCCACTACCGGGAGCTGGTGGCAGGCAGCTGATCTTGGCATTGCTGGGGGTGGCACAGCGTGTTTCTGGACGTGGAAAAGACAGAGGGAAGCTGAGGCCTGGAGAAGAGAGAGCCGGCTGGGTGGGGGTCAGAGATGAGGCTGGAGAGACCCCAGCTGCAAGACTTGGAACTTGGGGCTGTTTGAGGCATAGCCGAGCTGCAGGTTGGATCTCCCTCTGGGGGCATCGTGAGGCGGGTGCAGAATGGGGGCACTCAGGTCAGAGGCAGGAGAAGGGGTCACAGCAAGGGGAGGAGGGGGACCCCCGCTGCAAGGGGGGGCAGTACGGCCTTGCCTGGAGCCCCAGTTAGATGCAAACCCCGCCCTCAGCCTCTTAAAATAGAGAAACCGCCTCCAGGTAGGAGAATGGGGGCGCTGCTGACGTCAGGAAATGGGCCTTGTTCCATTTTGGGGGCGGACATTCCAGATGACAGGTCCTACATGACCAGAAGAGAAACTGAGGCTCAGAGCTGCAAATCACTGCCCAGGGCTTGAAGGTGTAGGGAACAGGATTTGAACCCAGGGAGTGCTGGCTCCAGACCCACCCAGCGCAGGCCACATGAGGTCGAGGGAGGCAAAGGGCATGGACGTGACACATGGAAAGTCCTTGAAGCACAAGCAGAGTGATTTACCCAGGGAGCAAACAGGAAGTGATTACTGGTGCAGAACTACACGGGGTTGCTGGCTGGGGGCAGTGCTGACATCGAGGAGGTTAGACTTCCTCTCTAGGGTAATGGGGAGCCATGAAGGGTGCTAGAGTAGGAGAGGCTGACTCCTGTGGAGCCAGAAGGGGACAAAAACGAGGTCAGAGGGTCAAGAAGGAGATAGGAATAAAAGCCAAAGCAGGGGAAGATTATTACAATTATAAAATAATAGTAAAGCGGTACTAAATGTTCCCATCAGTGGACCAAGCAGTCTGTGTATTTAGTTCTCCTCACAGCCAGAGTGGTTAATGCTATTATTAGTTGCATTTTTCAGAAGGGGTAAAGTGAAGCTCAGGGAAGGAACATAACGGGGAAGCCAGACAGCAGCAATGTTAAGCCATGTGGCAGGCCAGAGTGGCATCAAGGTCAACGCCTTGGGAAAAATCTGGAGTCCTATCCTGGCTGGGTTCATTGGCCAGGCCCTGCCCGGATAATGGAAGTCGGTCCAGCCAATTGAATGGCTGCTGCTTGCGAGAGCCAATCAGATTTCCGGGAGGTCAACCATTGGCAGAGATCAAAGAGTCAATTCATAAAAATCTTGGGTTCTCAAACAAGTGGTGATTGGCCAATCAGGACAATAGCACAAGGATCCTGTCCAATGAGATTGGGCTAAGCCAGACCTGTGGCTGCCCGCAGGAGGGGTCTTACCTCTGACTCTAGGTACAGTGGTTTGCTTGGACCCTGGGTCATACGTGCAGGGAGTGGTCCTGCCTAGTTTGGGTTAAATGCAGTGTCCTGTCTAACATCTCCAAGCACCAGTTAACAAGGGATCATCTGGGGCAGGGTGTGATGGCACAGGCCTGTAATCCCAGCACACAGGAGGCTGAGGCTGGAGGATCGAAGCAAGGTCCAGACTAGCCTGGCCTGGACTACATAGAAAGACCTTGACCCAAGGCCCAACCAACCAACCAACCTGTGAGCTATTCTTATTATTTTCATCATTTTCCACTTGAAAGTTTGCTTTACACGTGACAGAATTTCAAAACACCAGATCCTCAAACAGGAAATCTTCAGGACAGAAAAGATGGCCAAGGCCCATGTCGAGCTTGTGTCTCTTGCTGCTGGGACACAGAAGATCCACTCCTAGAAGCCACTCTGCTTCTCCAAGGCCTGGTTCTACTTTGCCCCCTCCTCCAGGAAGCCCTCCAGGCATAATCTTCAGTGCTGATTCCACTGGCCTCCACTCTTCGCCTGCACTGGGCACTGCAGGCCAGACTGAGGAAGCCTGGTTGCCCTCTTGGGGTCTGTCCCAAGCCCTCCGGTGTGGGGTGCCTGTGCCAGTTCTTGTTCTCCAAACTGGAGGGCTCTCTGATGGGGCTGGAACTGGGGGTACACTCACCGGCAGTCCAGTGGGCGGCTCTCCGCAGGGACCAGCCATTCAGGAAGGGCTTCTCGAGGCCAGAATTGTTTTCCTCCCCAAAACTTGGGTCCCCACAGAGGCCTCCCCCCAAGCTCCATCCCAGCCCAAGCTGCATGCAGATCCCTCCCTTCCAGTCGAGTTTTATCCGGCTTTCCCCGGACACTCAGGCAGTAGAGGGTTGGGAGGATACACAGGGACAGCTGTGCTGGGAACATGACTGTCAGACCCATGTGAGGCTGGGCTGGGTCAGGGTGGTAGCCTCTGGGGCGTCTGGGTTTGAGTCCTTCTGTTTATAGCTAGCCAGGCGGTCGGTGGGGGCTTCAACGAGATCCCACGGCAACATAGAGGCCAGAAGCAGATTCCGAGGCATTGGTGGCGTGGCGATGCCTCAGGGTCTATGACTGGTTTCCTGAATGGTAATGAGCACCTTGTCCCCAGAGGAACTCAAGCAGATAGTGTGGGGGACCTCAGCACAATGGATCATTCTCCTCCCCTACTTGGAAAGCCTCGGTTTTCTGAGCTCAGGGTGGCTGAGATCAGGCCTGAGGGTGGCGCTCCAACCCTTCCCCTGGTGCTCTGGGGCGAGCCCCCCCATCCCCGTTGTCCAGCACCTGGCAGCTTCAGGCCCCCTCTCATTGACTGTGGGGGCTGATGGTTGCCATGGCGAACACCCGCATCCAGACGTGGGCAGTCTGGAACCCACCAAGGTAAAAATAGCCATGTGTCCGCAACATGAGCCACCCCAGTGTGTGTGTGCTGGGGATGGGAGGGCGGTCCGTGAGACTCGGCTTCTCTCAGAACCTTAGTTTCCCTGCCTGTAACCCTCCGGTGGGCGGCTGCAGAATACTGGGGACATTATTTTCCAGAACCTTCCTAACGTTATCCCCAAGTTACAGATAGAGAAACGGAGGCACTTCACTGGACCACTTGCTGGGCCAGTAAGGAACAGGCACTACAGCGGAGACTCAGGTTGGGAGCCCCGGGATTAGCGTTCGGACTCCACAGGTGTTAGGATTTCTGTCTCAGGCCAGCCACGCCTGAGCGTCGACCCCAAAAACCACGGTGCTCTGCCCTGCACGTAGGAAGCTGTCTGGGACATGCTCAGGCAGTGTGCTTGGCCTACAAAGGCTTGCAAAAGGGAGGCAGCTGTCATCCCAGCACTTGGGAGGCTGAGGCAGGAGGATTGCCACAAGTTCCACAGCAGCCTGGGCTGCATAGTGAGCGCAAAACCACCCTAAACTACACAGCAAGACCCTGTCTCAAAAGAAAAATAATATTTCTTCAGCTTTATATTTATATTTTTTCTTGTGGTTCTGGGGATTGAGCCCAGGCTCTTTGCACCTTTTATATTTGTTTTTTGTTTTGTTTTTGTCTTTCTGATACAGGGTCTCACTATGCAGTCCAGGCTGGCCTTGAGCTCACTTTGTAGCCCAACCTGGTCTGGAGCTTGCAACAATCTTCCTGCCTCATCCTAGCGAGTGCTAGGAGGCATGCGCCACCACTCCTGGCTGTATATTTGATTTTTGAGACAAGGTCTTGCTAAATCGCTAAACCTCCAGGGTGAACTCACATTTGCAATCCTCTTGCGTCAGCCTTCCAGAGTGCTGGGATTACAGATGTGCACCATTACACCCAGCACTGCTTCCTTTTTTAAGTAAAAGTATTTTTAAATTAGTTATGGTGTCACATGCCTATGATCCCAGCGATCAGGCAGCTGAAGCAGAAGGGTTGCCATGTGTTCAAGGCCTGCCTGGAATACATACAAAGATCCTGTCTCAGAAAACACATATTTAAAAAGAAGGAAAGAAGGCAAGAATACACATTTGCTAGGCGGGGAGTCCAGGAGGGTACTTAGGATGGGACCTGAGATGTGAGCTTGCAGTTGCAAAGGCTCTGGGGAAGGAGGCCTCCATAAAGCTGATTTGGGGCATAATGGGTCAGACAGAGGTCAGGGTTCAAAGGGCCTGACGTCCTGGGAATGATACGAATCTCTCTTCTTTTTCAGAAAGAGTTGAGCCTGCCGCGCCGGGGCCGCAGGTGAGTTCCCCTGGGGCTGGGGGACGCGGTGCTGGCAGCAGGTGGTGAACTGCATGCGGACTCCGCCTCATCTGATCCTCCCCTGGAATTCGCTGAGCGCTTAGCAAGCGTCTCACTAGGCTGTCACGGGGCCGGGAAACCCCTGTCTGTATGCAAATGTATGCAAATGAGAACCCGAGTCGTAGCTGCTCACCGAGTTTAAGGGCGCAGGCGTGGAATGTGACGATGCTTGAGGCCCGAGTCCCCTAGTTCCAGCTCGGATGCCTTCTACGACGAGGGCCTCACTCTGAGGGCACGCGAGGAGAAAGCAATGTGCCCCGCCTCACACGGGCGTCCCTTTGGCTGGCGTTTGCGGGCCTCCCTAAGCGCAAAGCGCGTCCCCGCGCTGTCTACCCCGATAGCAGGTGGGGACACCAGAGCCCGGATGTCGCGTCCTGACACCCCGTGTTGGCGGAGTGCTTTTGCCTGAGCCAGGGGTTGAGAAACACTCAGCAAACACTTACCGACTGTGTGCTGGGGCCTGTGGGAGGCGCGGGGGACCCAGGGAGCCCGTATTTCCAGGAGGAGGGGAGGGCGGAGTGAGGGATTCACTAGAAGCGGACAGAGTGGGGCTGGGCGCTTTGGCCCAGAATATGGGGTCTCTTGGAGGAGGTGGTCTCCCTCAGGCGCCGCGGGGACGGCAGATGGGCGAGCAGGAAGGAGGCCTCTGGGCCCTGGCCATCTGCCTCTGCCGGCCTGGGGCTGGCCAGCTGGTGGGGCGAGGCTCCATTACACCGGCCTTTGCCCAGGCAGGGGGCAGAGTGGTGGCCAACGAGTCAATCTCAGGGGGCAAAGTCCGGAGCCTCAGGGTAGGACCAGCTGAGACTCCTTGAGGAGACGCCCCCACTTTCCACAGTCCCCTCCGTCCTTGGCTGCCCAGCTGCCTGGCTGGGACACCTTGGGCTTCAGGGGCCAGAGGGGGACGCAGATGCCACCCGATCTCTGACGGACAAGGCGGGGACAGAGTATGGGGACCCTCGCAGGGACGGCCTCGCGGAGACGGGGACCCTGGGGCGCAAGGGGACCTGGGCACACGGACCTGCGGAAGCTTGGCCTGGCGGGGTGCTTGGGTCCGGGGGGCTGGGTGGCGCGACGGTGCTAGGGCGCAACAAGTGAGAACCCCGAGCCTGCGAGGTCCCCAGTCCCTGGCCACGGTGAAGGTGGGAGGGCGGGGAGCGATGGAGCAATCGAGCCGGCCGAGGAGTCAGGCCCGCCCTTCCTTTCCGGCCGCGCGCTGCAAGTGGATCCGGCCCCGGCGGTCTCAGGGTCTCACCGGGAAAGGGTGGCCCGCCCGTCGCGCGGGGCTGCGCGCTGGTGCAGGCTGGAGCCACGCCCTGGGAGCCTGCGCCCACCGCCTCTGCAGGGCCTGACTGCGCCGTGCCACGCCCACCCATGGGCAGGATCTCAGTCTCCCCACCCTCACGGGGCGGGGTCTTATTCGCCCCGCCCGCAAGGGGCGGAGTCAGCCTCGCCCAGCTCAGGGCCACGCACGGTCGGTCGCCGCCGCCCCGGATCGCGCCAGGATCCGGGGCAGAAGTCTCCCGCAGGGCGTCGGCAGCCGGCGGTGTAGACGCAGCGTGGACTCGCCATGAAGTCGCGCAGGGATAAGCTGCACATCCCGGCCCTGACCCTCGAGTGAGTGCCCCGCGGGGCATGGGCACTCGGGAGGACACTGCCACCGCCCCGCACGCGTCCCGGCGCCGCCTCCGGGGAGTCCTCACGGCGCACCGGTGCTCGCTTGGATCCGGATCGGGCCGCCTGCGGGGCGTTGCCAGGTCACGGCCGCCTCTCTCTTCGCAGTCTGTCCCCGAGCAGCCAGAGCCCCGCGCTGCTCAGCCCCAGCAGCCCCTGCAGTCCCTGCAGCCCCTCGCTGGGCCTGCACCTCTGGAGGTGAGTGACTCGTGGCCTCGGTTTCCCTCTGCACGCGGCCCTACTGCCTCCTCCGTCTGGCGTGGAGGGACTTAGGCCTGGCTGGCAGGGTCCTGCCTCCGACAGGTGGCCGAGTGAGGCAGGAACTTGAGGTGTGGCTCAAGGACTCTCTGGCCAGGTGCAAGGTTCCCATGTGCCTTGGACCTGGGCGGGACCAGAATGCTCAGCCAGATCCGGAGATCAGCCTGTGTCCCAGCTGCCCAAATTGAGACCCCTGCACCTGGGGCCTGTGTTTATGCCACCCTCCATGACAGGCCAGGGCTCAGGCTGCCAACTGTATACCTGAGGGAATATTGTGGCCTCCTCACATTTTTGTTTGGCAAATGAATAAGCTTTAGTATGAATAAGGTTCTTAGCTGATGTCTTTGGCCTTTTTAATTTTCCTCTGGTACTGGGAATTGAACTCAGAACACTGTGCTTGCCAAGCAGGTTCTCGTGTCACTGAGCTATATCCCCAATCCTCCATTAGCTTTTAATGAGAAGAGAGAGCAATGTGGAGCCCACAGTTGGTGCCAGGCAGCAGGCAGGTATCTTCATGCAAATGGCAAGCACTTAGTAGATACCTACTGGTTTCCAGGTGCTGAGGGCATAGATGTGAACAAGAAGAAAGCTGTCTCTCTCTTTGGGGGTGCTCAGTTCCCCAGGGGAGGTGACCAGCAAACACTGAAATGGATAAAAGAGACATTTTCATGTGGGGACCTGCAGTAATGTTGACATGTGAGTCATAGAAGATTGGTGCCAGCCAGTGTGAAGGTTCTGGGGCAGGAGGGAGGTTTTTCTAGCCTCTTTGGCTGCCTCTACAGGGAGCTGTTTGGGGACAGGAATGGATTTGTGGAGATAGGAGGCAGGTAGTACAAAAATCCAAGCCAAAGGTGGCGTACCATGGGGACATCACCAGGGAACATCGCCTGGGGGCCACAGGAGAATGGTGGGCCCAGGGCTCCTGGCCACTGGGCCAGTGCCATGAGTGCTTGGCCTTTGTGAGGCCGAGACAGCGTAGCGGAGACACCTCTGGCTACCTGAGCCGAGTGGGTTTTACCAAGAGAAAATGGAGGCACAGAGAGTATGGGGCCAGCGCAGAGACCACCAGGCTCCCCAGTCACCACCAGGGGGCAGCAGAGCCACATGGCTGGAGTCACTCGAGGAAACCTGGCCCTGCTTCAGGGATTTAGCCCTGAAGTCTCATGAACTTTTCATTGGCTTGTGTACCAGCCTTTTGCACCTTAGTATGAATGCAGTTGTCAGAGCCTAGCTGTAAGCCCTCACTGACCCTCCAGGTGCAGACAGGCCCAGCCTCAGGCCCTTTGCACATGCTGTGCCTCAGCCCATTGCTCCATTCTCTTCTGTCTGCTGGATCTGCACGAGAACCTCAGAAGGGAGGACTTCCAGGCCTTCCCATTCTTGCCAGATCCCCCTCACACCCTTGGCTTGTCTGTGTGCTTTCAGGGACCCCAACCAAAGGTCTGAACCCCACGTCTTCTGATATGCTCACGGAGTTGTTTTAATGCGCACAGCCAGGATGAATAGTGAAGAGCTACAAGGCTCCATCTGTGCAGGTGGCATGCCAGTAGTCTGCAGCAGTTCCTTTGGGGGCCTCGAATGCCAAGGCAGGAGGAAGGTGGAATTTCTAGCTCGGATAGGAGATGTAGGATGGGAGAGGCACTGACAGCTCAGAGGAAGGTGGGCAGCCTGGACTGACTACAGGTTGCGTGCGTGGGGATCTGTACAGCCACCCGGGGCTTCGATGTCAGGAGCCCCTAGCATGTCAGAGAGAAGCAGCCGCCAGGCACCCAGACCGAGGCAAGAGAGTCACGCAGTAGCGTGAGTTTGCCGGGAGGGCACTAGGGAGCCATAGAGAATGCGTAAGCGCGGGAGGGCGCCCTCTAGTGGGCACTTGAGACCCGCCTTCGGGGCAGGGCTGAGTCAAGCAGCAGCCCCTGAACCTGCCAGCAGAGGAGTTAACAGAGGCCACGTAGGCGAGGGAGACGCAGGTGCTAGGGATGCCAGGGCACTGGCATATGTCGCGGGGCGCCTGTGGCTGTGTTCTGCACATGTGCCGAAGTGTTTCCCTCCCAGGTTGGGTCGTGACAGCCTGTGGAGGCCGTGGCTTCCACCCCACCCTCCTGGGACCCCAGAAACTGGAGCTTCCATCTCCTTCCTATGCCTGGCTCCGGACAGACACCAGGGAGTCCCTTCACGCATCCCGTGGGGCACAAAACAAGTCCAAAGCCTGGAGTGGTGTCATGTGCCTGTCGTCCCAGGCCTATCAGGAGGCTGAGTCAGAAGGGTTGCAAGTTGGAGCCCGGGCTGGCTAAGTTAGTGACTTAGTGAGATCCAGTCTCCAGAAAATATGAAATGAAATGAAATTAAAAAGGGTGGAGATAGCTGGGCATGGTGACCACAGTGTTTGGGAGGCTGAGACAGGAGGGTCAATGGAGTTCAAAGCCAGCCTGAACTGCATAATGAGACCCTGCCAAATGCAGATGTCGCTCAGTGTGAAGGCCCTGGGTTCAGTTCCCAGTAACTGGGGGAAAAAAGAGCCCAGAATCCACACACTTTTCTCTATCACCCCCTTCCTGACCTGGGCCTCATTGTCCCCCCAACACTGTCCCAGCCCCTCGCTGGCCTCCTGCTCCATCCTGTCCCTGCTGTCCCTGGCAGACACAGATGGAAATGCCCCATCTCTGCCGCGCTCCAGCACCCTCCGTGGCGCTCTGCTGCACCGACAGTGACCGCATGGTTTTCTATGATCACCCAGCTCGTGTCCCTGGGACCCCACTTGGGACCCGAGCTCCTCTTTTTTCAGCGGCCCCTGGCTGCAGTGTTACAGGGCCCTGGCTGAGTCCCTGCCGTCTGCTAGCACGGCATGCTTTCTTCACACTGCCTTTGACTTTGTCTTGTGTTGTCATTCCTGGGTTTTCTCTGTTCCGCAGCCCATACTGGGGCTTTGGGGACAGAGTTTGTGTTGCCTGGACTTCACCGCGTCTCAGAGTTCAGCACAGGGCCAGGCTCAGTCAGCGTTTGTTGAGTGAAGGAAGGACCGGAGGTGGGTGTGTAAGCTCTGGGTCTGGGAAACCTGGGGAGAAGGATGACTCTCAGGGGTGGCACTGGGCATGGAAGGGACATAGCCTAACCTGTGACTTGAGACAGGAGTGGGTTCAGGCTACACGCTGGGTTGCAGCACCTACCCGTGCCTCAGTTTCCCACAGGTTAGTCTGATGTTCGCGCACAAGGTAAACAGGTGTTCTCAGGCCTCGTGCAGCCCTGACTCTGCCCGCTTCTCCGCCGGACCGCAGAGGGGGAGACTGAGGTTGGAGAAGGCCTGGGCTGCGGGTCACCACATACAGTGGGCGTCAGGGCCCTGATTCAGCTGGCAGCGCCCTCTGTGCCAGCCGGGTCTCCCAAGAGCCCCCAGCCCGGAGAGGGGAAATCTGTCAAACGCACACTAGGGCCTGGGAACTGGGTTTTGCCACCCCGGATTTTGGGCGACGGAGACAGAGAAGGTGACAGCGGGACCAGGGCCTGGGCGCTGGGCCAGGGTCAGCACTGAGTGGGGTAGGAGGGAGTGAACGGGGACGACAGTTACCGGGTTGCAGGGGCCCGGCCTCCGCCCAAGCCTCACTAGCCGCCAACGCCCCGCCCCCGCCAACGCCACTGGCCCTGGCAACGCCCCGCCCCGCCGCCCTCTGCCTTGGCAACGCCCCGCCCCCGTCCCACCGCCATGGCAACGCTCCGCCTACTCGCCCGCGGGCGAGCCCGCAGCTTCGCTTCCGCGTCGCGGGCCCCGCCCCCCAGCCAGGCCCCGCCCCTGCTCTCGGGCGGGGTTCCCGGCCACGCTGGGGCGCGCGCTCCCTCCCGCCGCCCCCCGCCCGCGGCCCCGCGGGCTCGCGGCCCCCGCTCGGCCTGCTCGCGGGGCTTCAGGCCGATCCCGCCGCAGGGTCGCGCCCCGCCCCGCCCGCTGCGCCCCCGCGCGTTCCGGGCCTCGGGTGGCGGCGGCGGCGGCGGCACAAAGGGAAGCAGCATGTCCGACCCCAGCTACTGGACGGCGGTGGCGGCCCCCGGGCACCGCAGCCGCCTGGCCAAAGGCGCGCTGCTTCAGCGCTCCAAGAGGTAGGGGACTAGGGGGTCCCCTCGGTGCCGAGGGCGGGGGTGGAATGTGGGCGTCCCGGGGTCCCGGGCGCCATCTCCGCCCCCCCCCCCCGAGTAGGTGTCCGCCGACCTCCAGCGTCACAGCCGGGTGGGACCCCACTGGGATTCGAACCCAGGTCTCAGGTCGCCAGGAGCTTGGGAAAACAGGCCACTCTGCCCCGGGTTGCTCAACGGAAACGCTAGCTGTCGAGCAAACATCTGCTGCTGCGTGAGACAGCCCCGGGGCGGAGAGTGAGGCCTGGGGAGCCGGGTTCACCCCAGGCCCCTGCCGGCCTCCTGGATTGTGGGTTCCTCTCTGGAAAGCTGAGAGGCTGAGGCAGAGCTGTGCACCCCACAGAACCACGCAGAGCTGCGTGGCCTCGGGCAGCTGCCCAGCCTCTCTGTGCTCCGTTTGTCAGCCAGGCCCGGTTCGGGCAGTGAGAACACGGAATGGGCAATCGAGGCTTAGGCTCCACTCCCGGAGGGGCCGTTGTGGGCCCCTGCACAGACGGGGGTTACAGGAAGTAGCCGCGGCCCTGCTCTCCTCCTCAAGCTGATTCTCCCTGTGCGGGCTGGAGGAAGAGGTCACTGGAGGTCCTCTGCTCTGGTCCTGGGCCTTCCTGAGCCAGGGAGACTGTGCAGACCGTGGCACTCAGTAGATGCCCTGGAGGTGACCGGTGAAGCCCGGCTGGCCTGCAGACCCCACTGCGCTGTGTGTTACAGGCCCAGCCTCTGAGGCCCCAGGAGGCCGCCCAGTTCATCCGCTTCCCCTCAAGGTGACAGCAGCACAGTAGGGTGGGGCGAAGGGGTGCGGACCCAGGTGCTACCGGGATGGCCGCAGAGGATGTGGTAACAGGCAGTGCGCACGTGTGTCAGGAGGGGAAGAGGTGGCCGGATGTCACATGCACTTTTCAGTTTGCTTCTGCACCTCGGGCCAGGGGAGCAGGGTTCCCCGCGGCCGGGCATGCCTGTCATCTCAGCTTGGGAGGCTGAGGCAGGAGGATCCATGTGACTTCGAGGCAACGTGGGCTTCACAGCAAGACTGCCACAAAAACAGCAACAACAAAAATGAAGCCTGCAGCTGTTGGCATCAAGGGCCTCAGTTTCTCAATTTGGAAGTGGGTGTGGCTGGTCCCCCACCCTTTGTGGGTTTGTTGGGGTCTGTGAGGTGACTGCAGAGACGTTGCCTGAGACCCTTCTCCCTCCAGGGGCCCCTGTCCTGTGTAGATGGGGAGAGCAGTTCCAATCTGTACAGGGGCTTCAACCCCTCAGCTGCGGGGCTTTGGGTCCACTCTCCCATCATCCTTTGAGGTGTACACAGGCAAACTGAGGTTCAGAGACACGGCCTGTGTGGAGGTGTGGACAGGCAGGGCCTCCCCTCGCTGCCACGATGTTGGTTCTGTGCAGTTTCCTGTCACTGCCATCCCCTCTCCCGGGCCACCTCAGCGCCTGAGTGAGGCCCGGGCTGCCTCTCTGCCTGGCGCTGGGGAGCTACGTTGGCGGCTGTGTGGGCTCAGGCGCCTATCAGAGGAGCCAGCCAATCAGAGGAGCCAGCCGTTGCCAAGTGACTGCCGAGTGACTGCCGGGTGGGGGGGCAGCCCCCTTCCCCGTGACCCTCTGCAGTGGCTGGGGCTGGGCCGGGGTCCAGGTGGGTGGCGCAGGCCCTGCAAGGTACTGGAGCAGCAGGGGCCTGGGGGCCAGCTGGAGGGGGGAAAGGATAGGGTGGAAGGCAGGCAGGTGACAGACCCCGGGCTAGCAGGAACAGGTTGACCAGGGGTTGCTGGTGCAGATGGGTACTCAGGGAGGCCCAAGGGACAGGGCAGTGCTCAGGGCTGTGGGCTCACAGAAGAGCATAGTTTCTGTTCAGCCTCTTTGTTGGTTTTTGGGTTTTTTTCTTTTTGGTTTGGTCTCTTCTTTCTTTCTTTCTTTCTTTTTTTTTTTTTTTGAGGGGGAGCCTGTAACATAACCCATGCTGGTCCAAACTTGGTATGACCCTCCTGCCTCAGCCTCCCAAGTGCTAGGATGACAGGCAGAGCCAGCACGCCTGGCTGCAACCTCCCTGGGGCAAGGGTCTCAGGGCTGTAAACATGAAGCTGGCCCAGGGGGTCCTGGTCACCCACAGCAGTCACTGTGAGGCTGACTCGTAGTGACATTTGGCCAGTGGTCACTCCCTGCCAGGCCTGGACACTGAGGGATCGGCTAAGGCCTTAGCGGGGGAGCTGGCCCCTTGGAGCCACAGCCCTGACCCCGTTTGACCCCTTGTGCCCCCCTCCACCCGCAGCTGCCGCAGCGGAAACCGCAAAAGCTTGGTGGTTGGGACGCCGTCTCCAACTCTCTCCCGGCCATTGTCACCGCTGTCCATCCCCACCGGTGAGTACAGGAGCAGCAGACCAGTGGCCAGGCACACGCACGGAGTTCTGTCTTGGCCTCCACTGACTCAGTTTCCCTGCCTCCTCCTTAGCAGGCAGCAGCCCTTTGGACAGCCCACGGAACTTCTCGGCCGCATCCGCTATCAACTTCCCCTTTGCCCGAAGGTGAGTGGCCGTGGGCAGTCGGGGGGACAGGGCTGGGGTCCCTCGTGGCAGCAGCAGTGGCAGGACCGCCTCTCACCCACCTTTGTCTCCTCTGCCCCATGACGTTCCCTGATGACCGTCACTCCCTCCCTCCTCCCTTCCTCTGTGCCCTGCAGCCAGGTCTCACGAAGTGACAGGTAATGGCCAACCTGTGTCATCATTAACTCACTAACCAGTCACTAACCGGTCATGCAGAGCTGATGCCACCCAGCTAACTCTGCTGAGTTTCCTGAGTGCCCGCTCGCTCCCTGCTGCGGGCTGTGAACCCAGGGCTGGGGACTCCTCAGTCCAGCGGGATGGCCAGTGTGTCCCCCAACGGCTACAAGTGAAGGTCGAAGCTTGATGGGGCCACACTGGCTGGGTAAGGGTGGGCTTCCTGAAGGAAGTGTGCAAAGGCCCAAAGCACCAGATCCACGGGACCGGAACCTGCCAGCTGCTGCCTTTGCCCTGGTCCTCAGAGCCACAGGCCTGGCCCTTCTACCCCCCACCTCTGTCCCCACTGCAGGGCTGACGGCAGAAGATGGTCCCTCGCATCCCTCCCGTCTTCCGGCTATGGAACCAATACACCCAGCTCCACTGTCTCGGTACCCATGGCCCCACCTAGGCGGGCGAGGCATGGCGAGGACACATCTTGGGTGTTTTCCAGGACTCAGATAGTTTTATCCAGTTATCAGACATCCCTGCTACTGACTCCCTGCCACCACCACCACCACCACCACCACCACCCCCCCCCCGCATGGGCTACCCAGTGCCCCTGGGAAACTCAGCCTTGGTCCCAAGGTCCCCTAGTCTGGAGGACACAGATGTCCCCCAACTGTGAGGTTGGGATCAGGCCAGAAGGACATCTACCTAGGACTTGCTGAAAGTGGGGGGGGGGGGCATTAGAGGTGAGGCTTTGAGGGCTGCCTAGGAAATAGGCATGAGAACAGGAGGGGCCCTGATGCCGTCTGGCTGTGGCCCTGACCCCCACCTCCCGCAGTCAAGCTCATCCTCCCGGGAGCGTCTCCATCAGCTTCCCTTCCAGCCGACGCCGGATGAGCTGCGCTTCCTGTCCAAGCATTTCCGCAGCTCCGAGAGCGTGGTGGATGAGGAGGGTGGCCGCTCACCCCGCCTGCGCCCCCGCTCCCGCAGCCTCAGGTTGGCCCCCGACCTCCGCCCTTTACTGTGCTGCCTGGGGATCACACTGTACCCGCTGGGCCACCTCTGTCCGCCGGCCCCTCCCTGGATTGGCTTTAGGTCCCGTGATACACCAGCCATCTATCCCCCTGCAGCCCGGGCCGCGCCACCGGCAGCTTTGATAATGAGATCGTGATGATGAACCATGTGTACCGGGAGCGGTTCCCCAAGGTGGGTGCTGCTCCCGTCCTCACCCTGTCTTCCCCAACCCTGGCCCACAGCTGTCCTCGCCCCCAGGGCTCTGAGCTGCTGTCTGCTGTCGCTCTCCAGGCCACAGCTCAGATGGAGGGCAGGCTGCAGGAATTCCTGGCCGCCTACGCTCCCGGCGCCCGGCTGGCGCTGGCCGACGGCGTCCTGGGCTTCATCCATCACCAGATTGTGGAGCTGGCCCGGGACTGCCTGGCCAAGTCCGGTGAGGCGCTGGTCACCTCGCGCTACTTCCTGGAGATGCAGGAGAAGCTGGAGCGGCTGCTGCAGGATGTGGGTGTGGGGGCGTGGCCAGAGGGGAGGGCGGGGTTTGTAGGCGGGGCGGGAGGGGCTTTGCTGGGAGGGCTGGGGTTGGAGTGGGTGGGGCTAAGGCAGGGTGCAGGGCAGGAGCTTGGCAAGGTGGGCGGGGCTCCAGTAAGGGCTGGGTTGGGTGGTACTTTTACAGTGGGTGTGTGCTGGGCGGGGCATGAAGCATTGCCATGCCCCACTCCAGGCTCATGACAGATCCGATAGCGAGGAGGTTGGCTTCATCGTCCAGCTTGTCCGGAAGCTGCTGATCATCATCTCCAGGCCAGCCCGGCTCCTCGAGTGCCTGGTGAGTCTTTGGCCTGAGGCCTTGGCTGGACCAGCAGCCCAGGAGGCAGTGGCCACCGGGCAGGGTCTCGGAGGATACATGGTGAGGCACACAGCCTTGTGAACGGCTCTGCCTCCGCCCCCAGGAGTTCGACCCCGAGGAGTTCTATCACCTGCTGGAGGCTGCAGAGGGCCAGGCGCGCGAGGGCCAGGGCATCAAGACTGACCTGCCGCAGTACATCATTGGGCAGCTGGGCCTTGCCAAGGACCCTCTGGAGGGTGAGTGGGAGGAAGGGGGTGGAAGCGATAGGGGCGGCACTCCGGCCAAGACCCAGAGGCCAGAGAAGCCTGAGGAAGAAGGGAGGGTCGGAGGGGATGCAGGCCTGGTCTGGGCGCCACAGCAGGTGGGTACCCAGTGGGCACACGGGCCCTTTGGACCTGCTGGAAGTTGCTGGGTGATGGATCCACAAGGCTTAGAAGCTTAGCCACCCTCCTGCTTGGGCTCACAGAGATCGGGCCTCTGAGTGACATCGACGGAGGACAGCGCCCTGCTCCTGAATCACCAGAGGTGTGTATCTGAGTATCTGGCCCTCTTCTGTCTTATGCATCCCCTTGTAAGCCAGGCAGCCACAAGAAGGACGGGGACACCTGTGACTTAGTGAGGAAAGTAGCAGTAAGTCAGGCTGCCTTGATGCAGAGGCCTGGTGAAGACAGACTGGGAAAGGCACTGAAAAGTTGGGTTTTGAAGGATCTGTAGAAGTTTGTTAGGAGGCAGGCACAGCTTGAAAAATGTTCAGCAACTTGGAAGCTGATTTGAGAAGTCTGGGAGAGCGGAGGTGGCGTTGGCACTGGGACAGGCAACATGGACTTAGGGATGTGGAAGCATCTAGCTCATTCTGTAGTGGGGCAGGACCTTGAGCTCTTCCTGTCTGCAGAACCGTGCCCTGGGTGGCCCATCACGGAGAAAGCCCTGTGAGAGTGACTTTGAGACCATCAAGCTCATCAGCAACGGGGCCTACGGGTGAGTCCTCAGGTCCCTGGGGGTGGCTGAGGCCCAGGGTCCCTGATGTCAGCCTGTACCTCATATGTAGTCCCAACACTCTGGAGGCTAAATCGGGAAGATCACTATGACTTCAAGGCCAGCCTGGGCTACCAAGTGAGCTGAAGGCCAGCCTGAGCTGTATGGTGAGACCCTGTCTCAAAAAGAAAAAGGAAAAAACCCTTATACCTTGTCAGTGAGGCTTACAGGGGTTCCCTTGAGGTGCACACAGGGAAACTGAGGCTGCAGAAGTTGCAGCCTAGGATGGGCTCTTTCCCCAGTTGAGGTTTGGAGAGCTACAGGGGGTGTATTTCTTGCTCGAAGACTAAACACAGGTGCAGGAAATTACCACAGAGAAAAGGGGCAGAGGAGACCATGGGGGGATGGGCACTGAAGAAAAGGTTTAAGTGTCTGTGTAGGAGTCTGTGTCACAGCTGCCAGAGCAGCAGCCTCCTGAGCAGCAGCCTCCTAGGGGCTTTGCCTCTTCAGCATTTAGCTTATCTATGGCTAGAAGCAAATTCACAAAAGTGCAGAGCCTCAGGCCCAAACTCTGCTTGCTTGCACCACGTTCCACCATACAGATGTGGAACCATTCAAGCTGGTTCCCAGTAGGTGGCAAGCAAAGGGTCTCAGCCCAGTGTGCAAGAATAAATGAATGGGGCTGTACCCAGTGGCACCCACCTGTCAGCCCAGCTGCTTCGGAGGCTGAGGCAGGAGGATCACGAGTCCAGCCTAGAGGGCTGGGATTTAGTCAGACCCTGTCTCAAAATAAAGGACACAAAAAGCCGAGGTCTGGCTCCATGGTGATGGTGGGAGAAGCGAGCAGCAGACAGGTGGCCCTGGGTTCAGGTCCAGTGGGGTTCCAACCCTCAGCAACGCTCCCTTCCCCCAGGGCCGTGTACCTGGTGCGGCACCGCCACACGCGGCAGCGCTTCGCCATCAAAAAGATCAACAAGCAGAACCTGATGCTGCGGAACCAGATCCAGCAGGTGTTCGTGGAGCGTGACATCCTCACGTTCGCCGAGAACCCTTTCGTGGTCAGCATGTTCTGCTCCTTCGAGACGCGGCGCCATCTCTGCATGGTTATGGAGTATGTGGAAGGTACTCACGCATGCGCCAGCCGTGAGGGGAGCCCCTCCTCAGGGGCGGGGCCAGGGCGGGGGCGCTGCCTGAGGGATGGGGGGGCATGAGCCCAGGGCCACGTCCCCCTCCCCAGGCGGCGACTGTGCCACGCTGCTGAAGAACATGGGCCCGCTGCCTGTGGACATGGCGCGCATGTACTTCGCCGAGACAGTGCTAGCTCTCGAGTACTTGCACAACTACGGCATCGTGCACCGCGACCTCAAGCCCGACAAGTGAGGGGCGGGACCACAGAATCTGTGGGCGGGGCTTTGTGGGTGTGCGGTGCGTGGGGCAGGGTGCGTGGTATGGGCGGGGCCTGTTGGGGCGGGGCATGCAGGGGTGGAGTTTAGGCTATGGGTGTGCCGTGGTGGGGCGGGGCCTTGATCGGGGACTGTGATTGGCCCTGGTACCTCACTTAAACTGTGCTGGAATCCTGGATCTCTCTAGTATAGGCAGACAAAAATGTAACTCTCATGGAGGCCCAGGTAGGAGGATCACAAGTTCAAGGCCAGGCTTGCATTTTGCCAGATCCTGTGTCAAATTAAAAAATTTTGTTTGTTTTTTTGTTGTTGTTTTGTTGTTTTTGTTTTGTTTTGGTTTTTTATGGGTACTGGGGATCGAAACTCACGACCGCCTGCTTGCAAGGCAGGTGCTTATGCCGCTGAGCTAAATCCCCAGCCCAGTTTTTGGTTTTTTTTGTACTGGGGATGGAACTCATGACCTGGTGTTTGCCAGGCAGGCACTTGTGCGGCAGAGCTAAACCCCTAACCCAAAATAGAATTTGTATAATGGGTAGGGTCTGTGCTTAGCATGGGCAGCAGACTGGCTCCAGGTCCCCCCAGATGACCCAGTGTGTGGAGCCCCCAGTGCCTTCTACTAAGTGGTGGAGTGTTTGCATAGATCCCCAGGCCGACCTCACGCTCGGGATCCTCCTGCCTCAGCTTCCTTGTGTGCCCCAGCCCCATTTGTCACTTGACTCTTTCCAGTCCTTGTGTGGATGCTGGGACCCCTGGGCACCCTAGTCCTGGCTGGTATAGCCAGCGCAGGTGACAGGAGTATCAAGCATTGTGCCTGCCCTGAGTACCCCCTCTGCTCTCCCCCGTAGCCTGCTCATCACCTCGCTGGGCCACATCAAGCTGACCGACTTTGGGCTGTCCAAGATCGGGCTCATGAGCATGGCCACAAACCTCTATGAAGGTCACATTGAGAAGGACGCGCGCGAGTTTGTGGACAAACAGGTGTGCGGGCAGGCGAGCAGGGACAGCCCAAGTGTGAGCCCTGACCCCCCAGGGGCTGGGACAGGGATGGTGCCAGACTGCCAGCTTCAGTGGCATACCTGTCCTAGTTCCCAGGAGGCTGAGGCAGGTGGTCACAAGTTCCAGATGGGCCTGGGCAGCTTAGCAGCTTAGCAAGGCTCTGTCTGAACAAAAGCAAAGAATGGAAAAGTAGAGAGCAGATCAGCTTTTTGTGATTGTAACACCCCAGTCCCCAGCCCAGCCCTCTGCCTTTCTGTCTCCCTGCTGGGGGCTGCCTCAGTTTCCTGCTCTGCCCTGACAGGTGTGTGGGACCCCTGAGTACATCGCCCCCGAAGTGATCTTCTGCCAGGGCTACGGAAAGCCTGTGGACTGGTGGGCCATGGGAATCATCCTCTACGAGTTCCTGGTGGGCTGTGTGCCATTCTTCGGGGACACACCAGAGGAGCTGTTTGGGCAGGTGGTCAGTGGTGCGTGCCCCACACAGCCCTGGGTTTGAGTCCCAGGCCACACAGTGTCACGAAGGAGTCGCCTGCATGGTGCATGAGGGGTGTGTCCTGTGCAGAGGTGGATGGGGCCTCCCCATCCTCACTTCTGCCCTCATTTCAGATGAGATCATGTGGCCGGAAGGGGAGGAGGCGCTTCCAGCTGACGCCCAAGACCTCATCACCAGGCTGCTGCGTCAGAGCCCGATGGACCGTCTGGGCACTGGTATGGAGGTGTCCTCCCAGCCTGGGGCCCAGGGAGTAAACAGAGATAGGAGCCAGGATTTTAAAGATAAGAAGTTTTTCTTTAGAAGGTACATGTAGAAGGGGACTGGGAAGCGGGGTTTTGAAGGAAGTATAGGAGTTTAGCAAAAGCTAGAACAAGACCTTGAAGGGTTAGGAGGTGGTTAGGGCTTTCCAGGGGACACCAAGGCTTTGTAAGTGAGGGGACCTGCGAAGTCACTGGAGTTGTGTCCTGAGGCTTCAGAGGCCTAGCTCACAGGATGCAAAGGCCACTTCCTGCTCTAGGTATCCTTTGAGGAGGTCCTGCAGAGAGAAGGTGGGGCACCCAGGGGCTCGCAGGGGTGAGGCGGGGACCCCAGCACTCAGCCAGCCACGTCCACAGGGGGTACCCACGAAGTCAAGCAGCACCCCTTCTTCCTGGGCCTGGACTGGGCGGGGCTGCTGCGACACAAGGCCGAGTTCGTGCCACAGCTGGAGGCCGAGGATGACACCAGCTACTTCGACAGTATGTGAGCAGGCCCTGAGGCGGGTTGGCGCCCTAAATCCTGCCTCCCCCAGCTGGGCCTCCCAGGCAGTTGGTTCCGGAGCCAGGGCGGGGTTAGCTCAGTGGCGCAGCACCCGCCAGGGAAGGCTGAGGCCGTGAGTTCAATTCCTGGTACCAGAAAAAAAACAGAATTCCCATCCACGGGGCTCTGGTGGCAGGGATGACCCTGGGAGTTGTTTCTTGGGAACCTGCTGGGTCCCCAGCATCCCCTGGTGGCCCCAGCTCAGGTGCCTCCCCGCCCCCACAGCACGCTCAGAACGCTACCGCCACCTGGGCTCCGAGGACGAGGAGACCAACGATGAGGAGTCCTCCACCGAGATCCCGCAGTTCTCCTCCTGTTCCCATCGTTTCAGCAAGGTGCGCCAGGCTGGGCCAGGGCGGCCGGGCACAGAGGGGACGGGACACCCGCGCCGTCTGCCTGTCCCACCTTCTGAAATAGCGAAAAAAACAGACCACGTTAGCCACGAGCTGAGACGCTTCTGATACAGTGTCTCACTGTCATTCAGCCTGGCCTTGAACTTACAGGGATCCTCCTGCCTCGGCCTCCTGACTGCTGGGATGACAGGCATGCGCCCCCAGCCACACCCTGCTTTTTCTTACTGCGCTTCAGGTCTATAGCAGCTCTGAGTTCCTGGCTGTGCAGCCCACGCCCACCTTTGCTGAAAGGAGCTGCAGCGTGGACCGGGAAGAGGGCTGGGACCGGGGCAGCGACGGGGACGGCGGGCCCCGGCTGAGCACTGAGGTCCGGTAGGTGCCCAGGGTGCCAAGCCCCATTGAGCTTCCCAGTCTCCTGGAAGGTGGACCCCAAAATCTGATGTTGCGGGCTGGGGATTTAGCTCAGCAGCATAAGCGCCTGTCTTGCAAGCAGGCGGTTGTGAGTTCAATCCCCGGTTGTGAGTTCAATCCCCGGTACTGATAAAAAGGAAAAAGACAAAAAAAAAAAAAAAAAAAAAGATCTGATGTTGCTGTACCAGAGGCCAGACTCAGCCCCCAGCGACCTCACTACCTCTGACTTTGCAAGGGTGACCTCGGCAGACATAAAGCAGCTGTGCCCTGTCAGTGTTTGGCTAGTAAAACTTCTATTTATCCTTCAAATCCCACAACTACCCACATCCCCTAGAGGATACTAGTGGGAAGGTGGATTTTGAAGGTTGAATAGGAGTTCTCCAGAACTCCACCTGTATTTGCCCCCTGGTGACTGAGCGTGTGACACAGGCTTCACCCCTTCTGGCAGGCTGAGGTCCTGGACGTCCTCTGGGTCCTCCTGTTACTCATCGTCATCTCAACTTGATCGGGGCCCCAGCCCATCACTCCTGAGCAACATCAGTCTAGACACAATGCCCAAGTTTGCCTTCTCGTCAGAGGATGAGGCAGCAGGCCTAGCCCCCGTGGACCCCAAAAAGCCTGTCTTCATCCTTGGGGAACCTGACCCCCCACCACCGACCACCCCAGTAACACCGAAACCCTCAAGTCTTTCTGGTAGGTGGGACCCAACATGAGAGTAGTGTTACAAAAAGTTTCCCAAACGAAGGGTTATTTGAGAAGGGTTTTTAAGGATGAGTAGGCGTTCTCCAAGGATAACAAAGACTTTAAAATGGCTACAGAGAGACCTGAAGCCCCTCAGTAGTTTCAGTCAAGGGGTAACACCTCCAGGAGAGGGCTGGAGTCTTGTTAGCCCCAATAGGGGAAGCCAAAGGTTCAATAGGGGTGTGGGAGGCGGCCTGTCAGAGGAGAGGTTTGAACAGCTTGGAAAGGGTGTATAGGGAGAGGGCTCTGCAGGAATGAAGGCCAGGAGTCCAGATGTGTGCGGAGCCCAAGGAGATGACCAAGTGTTATAGGGACTGGCGGGGGAGAGGGCACCCCTGACCCAGTTCCCCACAGCCGACCCGGTGGGCCTCAGCCATGCTCGGCTCCGGAGCAACAGCACGGGTGCCCGGCACTCCACGCCCCGGGCCTTGGACACTGGCCGGGGCCGTCGACTCGGGGCCACAAGAGACCCTGCCATCGACAAGCCTAAGGCTGCCCCCAGTGGGGGCAGCAGCAGCAGCAGCGGGGGCCGTGTGCCCAAGTCGGCATCCGTGTCAGCCCTGTCCCTCATCATCACAACAGGTAACTGTGGCAGTGCCTGGGGCAAGGGACTCGGAACATGGGGTGGTATCCCCCGCATGTGTAAGGGTCCTGTGGCCACATGAGTGTGCAACCCAAGGGGACAGAGCAGTGGCCCTGGGGGCGGCAGGCAAGGCATCACCGACGCTCTTCCCTGCTCCCCACAGATGATGGCAGCGGTGGCCCCCTCATGAGCCCATTGTCCCCACGTTCACTGTCCTCAAACCCGTCCTCACGAGACTCCTCGCCAAGCCGGGACCCCTCCCCAGTGTGCAGCAGCCTGCGGCCCCCCGTGGTCATCCACAGCTCAGGCAAGAAGTACGGCTTCAGCCTGCGTGCCATCCGTGTCTACATGGGCGACAGCAACGTCTACACCGTGCACCATGTGGTTTGGGTGCGTGGGGGTGCAGGCTGCAGGCCCGGGCGGGCTGTTTCCCCCTCGGGGCACATGGCTCGGGCCCTGGCCAGAGTAGGGGTGGCAATCCAGGGCCGCTGGGCTCTTTTTTCCATCCTTGTTACTTTGGGGGTACTCTCCCTGCCCACCACATGCCCTGAAACTGCCCCCAGGGTTGGGGAGACCGAAACAGGGAGGCCTGCAGGGGACCCAGCAAGGGCACAAACTCCAGATTCAAGACAGGAACCCTGACCCGCTGTGTCCCCAGAGCGTGGAGGAGGGGAGCCCCGCACAGGAGGCTGGGCTGCGCTCAGGGGACCTGGTCACGCACATCAATGGCGAGTCCGTGCTGGGCCTGGTGCATCGCGACGTGGTGGAGCTGCTGCTGAAGGTCAGTGGGGGGGTGGGGCGGCGGAAACCTGGGCCTGGCCGCAGCCTGGCCACACCTCCAGCCATGGCCACGCCCCCTTTGAAAAGCCACGCCCCAGACAGCCTGGGGCCCGACAGCTCCCCAGTACTGATGGGAGCCGACCCGACCTCCCTCACAGAGCGGGAATAAGATCTCGCTGCGAACCACGGCACTGGAGAACACGTCCATCAGGGTGGGCCCGGCCCGCAGGGACGCAGCTAACGGGCGCATGGCGCGACGCAGCAAGCGCAGCCGGCGGCGGGAAACTCAGGACCGGTGAGCAGCCCGCAGGACCCATGTGGCCGGGTTAGCAGGGGGCCAGGCAGTGCTCATCATGCCCTTGCCTATGTCCCCATGCCCGCAGGCGGAAGTCATTGTTCAAGAAGATCTCCAAGCAGTCGTCTGTCCTGCACACCAGCCGCAGTTTCTCCTCCGGCCTCCACCACTCACTGTCCTCCAGCGAGAGCCTGCCAGGGTCCCCCACCCACAGCCTGTCGCCCAGCCCCACCACCCCTTGCCGCAGCCCAGCACCCGATGGCAGAACCAACACAGGTGCCCAGATTGAGGGGGTGGGATGATGAGGATGAGGAACAGAAGAGGGTGAAAGAGGTGGGGCTTTGATGCATGAATGGAAGTTGGGTGTGTCTAGGCCAAAGGAATGCCACGGTGGCAACAACAGGGAAAAATGTGGGCTTTGGCAAGTTTGGGCGGTCCTGGAAGCCCCACCTCCAGTCTGGGGACGCTGAGGCCAGCAGTGCTGACCAACACCTGCCACCCACAGATACTGTGTCCCCGCCCAGCGGATCCCCAAACTCCAGCAGTCCTGCGTCCCCTGCCACCGCCTGCCATGCCCGCCCCAGCTCCCTGCACGGCCTGGCTGCCAAGCTGGGGCCGCCTCGGCACAAGGGCGGGCGCCGGAAGTCCACCAGCAGCATCCCGCCCTCACCGCTGGCCTGCCTGACCGCGCCCACCCCTCCACCACGCTCACCCTCACCGCTGCCAGGCCACACGCCCACCCCTGCCCGGTCCCCGATGCTGCGCCGCGGGCAGTCAGCGGACAAGCTGGGCATGGGTGAGCGGCCGAGTGAGAGGCCTGACTCGGAGCTGGTGATTATGCGGCGGCTGCATCTGTCCGAGCGCCGGGACTCCTTCAAGAAGCAAGAGGCCGTACAGGAGGTCAGCTTCGACGAGGAGGCACCTGGGGCAGCGCCCCCACCCGTGTCTGTGCCACAGATCGCAGTGCAGGGTGCAGAGCCCGCACCCATCAGCAAGGACTGAGCCCGGCCCAAGACCCCAGCTTTGAGCTGTTAGCGTGGGCCTGTGGCGTGTGAGGGAGACAGGCATCGCCTCCCTCCAGCCTGCTCTGCGTGTAGCGGGGGCCTGGAGCAGCTGGCTGGATGCAGGCAACCTTGTACATAGCGAATCCCGCCACTAATTTATTACTTTTTCTAAGCAATACCGGGCTGAGTTGCCTGGCTGGTGGCCACTGGGTCCCCAGCCTCGCAGACCCCGCCCGGGCTGGGAAGCAAGCACTTTGGACTGGTCATCTGTGTGCCTGTACGGTAGTCGCCCTGCCCCTCGTGTGCAATCGGTACCTGACTTAATGGCTGCCCCAAGACCGAGCTTATGCATCCGGGCCTAGTTTGACTATGACCGAAAAGTCCACAAATGATGTCCCTGCCCCTCCAAAACCATAAGAGACTGGTACCTGAAGACAGCGTCCCACTGTTCTGGCTGCTGGGGTTTTGATGGAAGAGTAAGAGTTCACCGGTCTAGGGTGTTGTCAGTCTGAACTAAAAGGGCATTGCTGAGTGGAGAGGCGGGTGTCCCACCCACCACGTGTCCAGGGATGTTCCACCACCACCACCCCCATGTGTCCAGGCTCCCCGGGAGGAGTGTGCAGTGAGGAAGCCCAGCTGCACAGGTAGGGAGGCCGGGGTATGAATTTCGGCTTCACTGTGTGGCGCTGAGAAAGTGGCTTTCTCACTCTGTGCCTCACTTTCCTTATGTTTACAAAACTAATCCCAGCCATTATGTATTAAGCGCCCAATGTGTGTGCCAAGTGCTTTGCTTGTGGCTCCTCCCTCAGCCAGCTGCTGGAGCTGGTGACCTTGCGACCTCTGGGACCCAAACAGCTGAGGCCCAGCCAGGGGCTGCTCTCTGCCCACCCTGGGCCCCCAAGAGGCTTGTGGGAGGGAGGCTCGGCCACGCCCGCGGTGGGCGTGGCCCCATCCTCATCCAATGGGGTGTCATGTGTAAATACGTCCCTGAGGCTTCCTGTCCACCGCGACGAGCTACGGTAGGGATGTCTAGGGATGTCACAGCACTGTGTCCCTCCCAGCTCGCCGGCACCCCAGCCTGGGCTTGCAGGACAAAACATGGCCATGCATGACATGTCCCTCCTTCCATCCTGGAGCTGGCAGTGAATAAAAGTCCACATTTACAGAGTCTGCATTTGTGAGACCGAGTGGGTGAAGTCTCTAGGCTAGAATGCATTGGATGTGGATTTTGAAGGTTGCATAGGAGTTCGCCGTTGCCATTCTCCCAACAATTTGATTCTGGAAGCTGCCAGTACCCTATGAGGGACCATCTCGGGTAATTCCCGTTTTGTTTTATTCAAACCAGGCTTGTCTGTAGTCTCAGCTATGCAGGAGGCTGGAGCCCAGGAGTTAAGAGACTAGCTGAGACAACAGAATGAGAAGAAAGAAAAATGAAAGCCTTCACTTAGTCACCAATCTAGACCCCTGAGCTACGTGACTAAAACAAAGGACGCCACGTTCGCGTCCCTATGGTCCTGCTTTATGCTGCGGCTGTGCCAAGCAATTTGTGTCCCAGCCGAACTCAGCCCGAGCGCCCTCGGCTACTTCCGGCTCTCGTGGCCACGCCCTCACTCAGCCCTGTTAACAATCGCGCCTCTTCAGGCAGCCTTCAATCACTAGGCGGTTTCCCGACGCTCCGGGTTGCCATGGGAACACGTTTAACTCCGCCCTCGCCGCCACCGGTTCGGCTGCTTCCTAAAAATCGGAGCTTTCCGTGGCAAGCGTGTTTCCCTTTCCTCTTCCGTCTTGTTCCCTACGCCCAAGGCCGCCTCAAATCCCCTGTCTAAGCCGTTTACAATCCCGCAATTTCCGGAACCCCCGGCGAGGTCTGAGTCTAAATGTGCGCAGGGCTTCCATTTGGTGCAAAGCTCTCTCAGATCCTTTCAGAAACGGTCGGTGGTGTCCGGATCCGCCTCTCCCGCCAGTCCTTGTGGAGCATATTCAGCCATTTCCGAAATCATTCTTGTGTCTCAGAGTCCCGCTGAATCCAACATTAGTCCAACAGCGGATCAGAGCGCTCACCGACCCGATTGCGCTCGGTTGTTTCCGGAAATGCTCGGTTGTCTCGTGGCAACCTCCTGCCGGCCAGTCCCGCGGGAGTACGTTCGGTTCTTTCCGGAAACTCTCGGGTGTTTCCCCCCCTTTCCACCCACCTCCAGACCTTTATCTCAGCCTCTTTTCACCCGCCCAGGCCGAATGTGTTCGGCTGTTTCCGTCGGGGGCGGGCCCGGGCGCTCGGAATCGCGGCGGCGGCGACTGACGCGGGGATCCCGCGGCTTGCGGCGACGGCGGCCGCCGTGGAGCCACGGGACCAGCTCGGCTCGGCGTGACGGCGGTCGCGGCCAGGTGAGTCGGGTCCGGCCGTGTGGCCGGCGGGGCCGCAACACTCGTGGGGCCGAGGCTCGGGGCCAGGGTGCTGGGCCGCAGGAATGGGGACCCAGCAGGGTGGCTGGGCCCTGGCGGGCGTCGGGCCGAGACACCATGGGATCCGTGCGGCGATCAGAGAGGCTCAGCACGGGGGTGCTCCGACCTCGTGTGCAACATTTCGGGTTGCGGTGGTCAGTGCGCCCCACTTCCGGCCTCCTGGCGCGACGCGAGGTCCACGCGGGCCAGAACGCGCGTTTGCGTGAGCAGCAGACCCGCGCCTTCTCGCATACCCTGGCCGGAGACCCCACCTCCTAAATCGGGGTACGCTTTTTTCCTCACACGCGCAGACCCGTGCAGGCGGTGCAGGCGAGGCCTCAGTGCTCTCGCAAGAATCCCGTACGCCTCAGTTTCCCCACCTGTAGAATGTGCAGGACCAGGGCCGTAGTCCACCGCTTCTGGGCTCCTATGAATGCAGCTCCAGGCTGAGGCTGGCCCGCTTCGCGGGTAGCGCCTCCTGCAGCCTTTCCCAGCCTCCCCAGTCCCCGTCCATAGCCCCCACCCCACTGAGCCTCAGGGAACACAGAACCTACAGGACTGGCCTGGGAACGTGGGTGCCCTTCTCTCCCCTCGACAGCCCAGGCCCTGGGGACTTCACCCTGCCTCTGTACCCCGACTTGTCCCAGCTAGGGTCCCTTTGGGCTCTTCCCACACCTCTCCTCCGCTTCCACAAGTGAGCTGGGCCGCAAGTGAGCCAGGCAGGGACTCCCAAGCTGTCCTGATGTCCCTTTGCTTGAAGCTATGAGCAGGCCTTGGAGACACAGTGTCCCTTTGGGTCTCCTTCTCCACCTCCTTATGCCTCTGTTGTCCCTCCCTGTACAGCCAGTCTCCAAAATACTCAGAGTATCCCAGGGATCACCTCACCCACCCTTGAGTTTAATTGGCCATGTCTCTGCTACATCCTGACATTTTCTGGGCCTGGGAGCTGGGTGGATCTGGGTTCCAGCCCTGGCTTCTTCCTGGCCAGATCTATGCACCCTGCCCAAGCCTCAGTTTCCCCATTGCCATCAGGGCTGATGGACAGCTGGTTTACCAGCCCTGCAGGGTGTCCTCAAGAACAGGTTCTTGGCAGCCCAACAACCCAGGGAGGGCTAAAATGCCCATTATAAAGCTGGGGAAACTGAGACCCAGAGCATAGCAGGCACTGGCCCAGAGCTCACTCATGTCCCCAACCAGGGATTTGAGCCCTATCCATTCTAGGTGAAGGAAGAGCCCTCCTGGCTGACACTGTCCTATCTTCCCCGGTAGGTTGGCATCTCTAGTGGAGTATGGTGACAGCCCTCTCTTTCGGCTCCCTCCTGAGGCACAGCTGGAAGAGCTGGCAGCCCAGGGTGCCAGTGGCCCTGTGCTACCATCGGATGGCAAACATGGTGGCTGAGTGAGCTGGCATCAAGCACCGACACCCTTCCACCAGTTGGTGAATGGTAGGGAAGTGACAGTCGGCAGTGGTCACCATCACAGAATGATGGCAGGAAGTAGGGTATGAGTGGTCCCTAAGGTCACCTGTGACTCCTGCTGCAGAGAAATCTGAACGCCCCCAACCCCGCAGCCCAGCCTCCCACACCCACCCTGGCCCATGGGGCCCAGGGGGCCCCTAGTCAGTGCCCAAAGGTGACAGCAACAGAGTGGCCCCTCGCACAGCATGGCGGGCACCGATGGCTTCCAATACCGCGCGCTGTACCCGTTCCGGCGCGAGCGGCCGGAGGATCTGGAGCTGCTGCCCGGTGACCTGCTGGTGGTGAGCCGAGCAGCCCTACAGGCGCTGGGCGTGACGGATGGCGGCGAGCGCTGCCCACAGGCTGTGGGCTGGATGCCTGGCTTCAATGAGCGAACACGGCAGCGGGGCGACTTCCCAGGCACCTACGTGGAATTCCTGGGGCCCGTGTCCCTAGCCAGACTCGGCCCCCGTACCCGTGGCCCCCGCCCCCTGCCTGCCAGGCCCCGAGATGAACCTCCAGAGCCAGGTGAGCGCACAAGGTCCTCCCAGGCCCCAGCCTCTCTGCTTCCCCATGGGGACCCCATGTGTCATCGGATGTCCGTGTAGGGACACTGCTGGCGTTGCTGGAGCCTGACCCTGCCCTCATGGTGCTCACTCTCAGAAGAGACAGGAACACAGTGACTGATGCAGTGACCAGGATGTGGGGACAGTGGTGGGCAGCAGAGGCAGGTGGGGCAGCCACAGCAGTGGGGACACTGGTGTCAGTGGGATCCAGAGCTCAGCCTGCAGTGGGAAGGCTCCCTGTAGGGCCCCTTGTACCTTGATTTCACACCACAAAAAGGAGCTGCAGAGCATTGAGAAGGCCAGGCCTTGGGTCACCCCTGTGACCCCACCCTGTAATGGGAAAGATGACACAGGGTGTGGACATCCGCTGAAGTCACTGCGTGCTGATTCAGGGGCTGCATTCAGCTAGGGAAACTGAGGCTCCAGCTTAGAGAAGAAGCTGTGGGGTAGGCAGGACCAGCCCAGTTGGAGGAGGCAAGTTCCTAAGGACGCGCCCACCCGGTGCCTAAGCCCCAGGGACAGAGGTGCAGTCCAGGGCCGCAGCTGGGGGCGCCCGGAGGAGAACGCTGGCCTGGGCCTCGCAGCATCTGGTGTCTTGCAGGCATTCGTCCCACTGGGCTGCGGGAGCAGGAATAGGAGACGGCTCCGGCCGGGCTCCCAGCCAGAATCTGCCGCTGCCCCCGGTGACAGCACCACCCTCCCTGCCTGGCAGGGCCCCAGCACCACTCGGCTCCATCTGCAGCTCTCAGGCCTGTGCCCTCGGCTGCAGGAGGCCTCGGTTTCCCCGTCCAGATGGCAGTGCTGTCCCTGCACAGCCTCAGGCCCTGCTGCTTCAGATGCCCCTCCCCCAGGGGTCCTGGCCCCAGTCAGGGGCTAGCGAGGGCTGCCATCGTGAGCTCCAGCTGGCTGTGTGCCCGGACTCCTGCCTGTGGGGCCTTCTCCGCTCCTGCCGCCCAGCTTTACAGCCAGATCCCTGAAACACCAGGGCCCCCGTAGCTAGGACAGCACCCACCTCCTCTTCCCACTCTGTGCTGGCCTCCCAGGCTCCGGCACCTGGCCCGTCACTCAGACAGGCGCAGGCCCCAGCCTGCCCCTGCCAGGTGCCAGGGCGTCCCCGCTGGGGCCAAGCTGGAGAGTGTGGGCTGGGAGGACATACATGAGGCGCTTGATGCCTGCTCTGTGGGCTCGAAGCCCTTAAAAGGGGGAGAAGTCATTCTGAGAAGGAAAATTAGAAAATGAGGGGAGCCATTCAGACTCAGAGCAGCATGAGTTTCCTTTTTTTCCTTTTCAGCCCCTTTTCTGTTTGGCGGAAGAATCTAGAGCAGGAGCCGGGCGTGGTGGTGCACGCCTATATTCCCAGCACTGTGGGAGGCTGAGGCAGGAGGATTGTAAACTCAAGCCCAGCCTGGGAAGTTTAACAAGCCCCTGTCTCTAAATAAAAGGGCTGGGTTTGGAGTTCAGTGCCTGGGCTTTCAGGGCCGGGACGCTGGCAAGGTAGGTGAGAGGACTGCACCATCTTAGGGTGCTTCCCTGGAACACCCAGAGAGGGTGTGTCCTACACCCTAGGCTGCACAGCAGCTCTGCTGGAACCTGGAACCTGTTGTGTGAGTTGTTGTGTTCCCCTAGGGAAACCTCACCAATCATGTGGCCTCAGACAGTAAACTTCACAGTGTCACCTTTCTATGGTCAGGGTTCAGGACCTCGCTGCTGCCCCCAGGCAGGGCCAGAGGCCCCCTGCTTCCAAAGGCTCCTGGGGTGACCAGGCAAGGGCAGCTGCTTATCCGCATTCTGCTGGTGGCCCGTGGCCTCAGGGAGACGCTGAGGAGGGGAGGCCAAGGTCATGCACAGCTTTTGCTGTCCTCCCACTACCCCAAGCCAGTAGGGTTAGGAGCGCCATAAGGACCAGGACCTGTGTTTTGGGACAGCTTGGTCCCTGAAGTTGAGTACATCCCCAGCATTGTCTCCACCCATTCAGGCCTCACCCTCCCCGACCTGCCCGAGCAGTTCACCCCTCCGGATGTGGCACCCCCCATCCTGGCGAAGCTGGTGGAGGCAATCGAGCTTACAGGTGAGCTCAGCTGGGTGACGGGGGAGCCCTCCACCGAACCCCCATACCACACCTGCCAACCCTGCAGCCAGCAGCAGCACGTGGGCTTATGTGCCTGTCTGTCCCCAGGACTGGACACCGAGTGCCACTGCCGGCCTGAGCTGCCGGCGCCGCGCACAGGTGAGGGGGCCTCCTGGTGGGTCGGAGGTGGGGGTGGTCGAATGCCACGGCAGCTGTCACAGGTCCCCACCCTGTGCAGACTGGTCCCTGATCGACCTGGACCAGTGGGATGCCAGTGCCCTGTCCGACGCCATCAAGAGCTTCCTGCTGGCCCTGCCTGCACCTCTGGTTTTGCCTGAGGCTGCTGCCGAGGCACACCGGGCCCTGCGGGGTGAGCCAGGGACCCGAGGGGCTGGCACAGGAGCGGGGGTGGGGTGGACCTGCATGGTCGCTAGAGCAGCTACCTGCCCACCTCGTTCGCAGATGCTCGGGGACCCCTGGGGCCGGTGCTGGAGCCCCCCACGCTGCCACTGCACCGGGCGATCACGCTGCGCTTCCTGCTCCGGCACCTGGGCCGGGCGGCCCGACGTGCTCCTGCCCGGGGCCCCACGGTACATGCCCTGGCCACGGCCTTTGGGCCACTCCTGCTGCGCGCACCCCCAGCCCTGGTTCCAGCCTCTGTGCAGCCGACAGGGGGCGCCCTGTCTGAGGGGTAAGTGGGGCCGCGTGGGGCTGCTGAGTCTTGGGCAGAGATTGGGGCTCCACCGTGGGAGTGGCATGAGATGGGGCTGTGTCTGGTCCCCTGCGCCCTGTGCCCACCACAAGCATGCCCATCAGCCCTGCCCCATGAACACCGCCCTCTTCCCCCAGTACCGAGCCCAGCCCCGACTTCCCAGTGCTGCTGCTGGAGAAGCTGCTGCAGGAACATCTGGAAGAGCAGGAGGCTGCGCCCCCAGGTGACCCCAATCGCGCCCAGTCCCTCAAACTGGGGCCTTGGAGGCCAACTCCCCGGCCTGATACGTGCCGTGTCCCTGTCCCTAGCCTTGCCGCCGAAGCCCTCCAAGGCGAAGCCTGCAGCCCCTGTCCTAGCCAATGGGGGCAGCGCGCCCTCCCTGCAGGATGCGGAGTGGTACTGGGGTGACATCTCTAGGTACGGCCCGGCGGATGAGGGGCAGGTCCAGGCTCCAGGGTGCAGGCCCAGGCTCAGCACTGCCCTTCTTGCAGGGAGGAGGTGAACGAGAAATTGCGAGACACACCGGATGGGACCTTCCTGGTTCGAGATGCATCCAGCAAGATCCAGGGAGAGTACACACTCACCCTCAGGTGGGCCTGCAGGCTGGGCAGGGACCGGGCAGGGGAGGGCCGGAGCCAGGTCCACCATTCTGTGCGCTCTCCAGGAAAGGCGGCAATAACAAACTCATCAAGGTCTTCCACCGCGACGGCCACTACGGCTTCTCAGAGCCGCTGACCTTCCGATCCGTGGTGGACCTCATTACACACTACCGTCACGAGTCACTGGCCCAGTACAATGCCAAGCTGGACACAAGGCTGCTGTACCCTGTGTCACGGCTGCAGCAGGACCAGGTGGTCAAGGAGGACAGCGTGGAGGCCGTGGGCGCCCAGCTCAAGGTCTACCACCAGCAGTACCAGGACAAGAGCCGCGAGTACGACCAGCTCTATGAGGAGTACACACGTACCTCGCAGGTGGGAGCCGCCGGAGAAACTGAGGCAGGAGCTCACGGGACCGGGCCCGCCTCTGTGCTTGCTTCCATTTGGCGCTTTAGGGGACTGGGGGTGGAAGCCAGAGCTCTCGCACTGAGTGGCATCCCAGCACTTTGTAATTTTAGGCAGGGCTCAGATTTCTAATGCTCCTGCCTACCAGGTAGCCGGGATCACAGGTGAGCCCCACTTTGCTTGCTGTGGATGTGGCTTTAACAGCTAAGTCAAAGCTAGGCGTGGTGGTGGACACCTGTGATACCAGCACCCAGGAGGCTGAGGCAGGAGGATCATCACGTCGAGCTCAAGGCCAGCCTGGGTGACTCTGTGAGACTGTCTCAAACGAAAAAACAAAGCAGGTACAGAGGTGCACTCCTGTGATCACAGAGTCACAGCCGTTCAGGAGGCTGAGGCAGGAGGATCAGAAATTTGTGTCCAGCCCGGACCAGTTAGTGACTTAGCAAGGCCCTATCTCAAAAAAATTCAGAAAATGGGCTGAGAACGTAGCTCAGTGCAAAGGCCCTGGGTTCAGATCCCAGTCCTGCAAAAACCAAAAAATCCAAAAGGAATATTGTAACCTTAGAGATGAGTTAGTCTCCCCTGAGCCTCGGTTTCTGAGGAGACCCTATGAGATAATGCATGGGAAGTGTTGGGTGCAGCATCTGCCCTGAGAAACAACCCGGTGAGCTACAGCAAGGAGACTCCTGGTAACAGGGTGTAAAGGGAAGGGGGGTGGGGTCTGAAGGCTGTGTAAGATTTCATGTCTAGCAGAGGCATAGTACTCTTGGAGGAAGGAGCAGAGGGAGACACCTCTGCCTCACCTCTTCCCCCAGGAGCTGCAGATGAAGCGCACGGCAATCGAAGCCTTCAACGAGACGATCAAGATCTTCGAAGAGCAGGGCCAGACCCAGGAGAGGTGCAGCAAGGAGTATCTGGAGCGCTTCCGGCGTGAGGGCAACGAGAAGGAGATGCAGAGGTGAGTGAGCCCCGGCAGGCTCTCGGGAGGGAATTGGGCAGGCAACGGCTGGCGTTCTTGGCGCAGAGCAAAGGCCAGCAGAAATGGGCTTTGAAGGCTGGCGAGTTCGCCAGAGAGGAGAGGCTAGGGGCAGCAGTGACCGCCCAGGCGCCTCTGAGCTGTCCCTCCCCCAGGATCCTGCTCAACTCCGAGCGCCTCAAGTCCCGCATCGCCGAGATCCATGAGAGCCGCACAAAGCTGGAGCAGGACCTGCGGGCCCAGGCCTCAGACAACCGGGAGATCGACAAGCGCATGAACAGCCTCAAGCCCGACCTCCTGCAGCTGCGCAAGATCCGTGATCAGTACCTCCTGTGAGTGTCGCACCCGGCCACCAGGGGGCGCGCGGACCTACCGCCTGTCCCTCAGGCCCCGCCCCATCCTCCAGTCCATCAGGCCCAGCCCCATCCCCTGTCCATCAGGCTCGGCCCCGCCCTCCTGTCCATCAGGCCCAGGCCAGTGACGCTGCCTCCTGGGAGGCTGAGCCAAGTGAACCACAGGTTGGAGTCTGGCCTGAACACCTCAGACCCTGTCTTAAAATAAAAACTTTCAGGGCCGGGGATATAGTTTAGCCGCATAAGTGCTCACCTAGCAAGCCTGAGGTCATGAGTTGGATCCCTAGTACCCCCTCACCCAAGAGAAAATCTGGGGCTGGGCCTTGTTCCAAATTTGTGTCCTGCCTCTACCTCCCTAGGAAGCCTACCCTGGTGGGTACTATAGGGCCAGAGTCCAGGGAAAGGGGGTCTTGGTTGTGGCATCCAGAACCTCAGCTCGGGGCCCTGTGGCGCTCTCCATTTCTGCAGCAGAGGCTTAGCCAAAGCTCACCTGCCCTCTTCCTCTTAGGTGGCTTACCCAGAAAGGAACCCGGCAGAAGAAGATCAATGAGTGGCTGGGGATCAGAAACGAGACCGAGGAGTGAGTGCCCCCCAGAAGGGTGGGGACTATGGGAGGCAGGTTTTGAAGGCCAAATAGAAGTTCTTCAGGTGGTATTGCTGGCCAGCCAGTGAGCAGGACCCCTCTCCACCTTCCCTGCAGCCAGTATGCGCTGATGATGGAGGATGAGGAAGACCTGCCCCACCACGAGGAGCGCACGTGGTACGTGGGCAAGATCAACCGCACGCAGGCCGAGGGCATGTTGAGCGGCAAGCGAGACGGCACCTTCCTCATCCGGGAGAGCAGCCAGCGCGGCTGCTATGCCTGCTCTGTGGTGTGAGTGCAGGGCCTCCCTGGGGGGTGGACAGGGGAGGCGAGACGCCGCGTGCTGACCCTGCTCCCGCGCCTGCAGGGTGGACGGCGACACGAAGCACTGCGTCATCTACCGCACAGCCAGCGGCTTTGGCTTTGCCGAGCCCTACAATCTGTATGGCTCCCTCAAGGAGCTGGTGCTGCACTACCAGCGTGCATCCCTGGTGCAGCACAATGATGCGCTGCCCGTCACACTGGCGCACCCAGTGCGAGCGCCTGGGCCAGGGCCCCCGCCACCTGCTGCCCGCTGAGGCAGGGCCGCGTCGCCCGGGCAGGTCCCGCCCCGCGCGCCCCGACTTCCCCTCCGGCAGTTCCCAGGAAGCAGAAGAGCCCAAAATACACTCGGGCCCTGCCTCTGGGGGCCACCGCCTGCTGGGCCACAAAGTCCCTGGGTCTGGATTCCCCTGTCACACCCTCCCCCGGGCAACCTATCCCGTTTCTAACTGCCCTGTGCCCAAGCCGCACCCAGCCAGATTTTGTACGGTACATTGTTATCTGATCGCTACGACATAAAACTGACCAAGGTGGCCGAGTGTCCTGGGGACGCTGGGATGGGTGAATCGCCATGGGTTTAGTTCCAGGAGGGACAGTGCCTGGACCACAGAGGCAGGGCCTCCACCGCCACTTGGGATCGCGCCAAGATTCTGAGCTCCATCCCAGGCGGGCTCTGGTCTGCTGGGGTCTCCAACTTGCCCTCTGGCCTCAGCCTCCCAAAGTTTGGAATATAGGAGGCCCTACCCCTGGGAAGTCAACTCCTACACTCGTGCAGGCTTCCTCACCACCCCATGTCACCAACTGCAGCCTGGCAGGCCACCAGTGACCTCTGTGTCCCGGAAGTGTCAGCATCACTGGCCTTATAGACCCTCTGCAGCGTGGGTCCCGGGGACCCCGTGGGGCCTTTGGCCTGCAGCTCAGGCCTTCCTATCCTAGCGGGCCCGACTATACCATGGCACCCTCACCACTGAGGGGCCACCTCGGCGCCAATGAGGGAGCACAGTGTGTCTCCTCCTGGCCCCCCAGAACTCGAGACCCTGAGCTGTCCCTGTCATCCTAGCACCCTGGGAAGATCACAAGTGCCAGCTCAGCCTTGACAGCTGAGCAAGACCCTGGGGTCTCCAACTAAATGGGAACTCAGAGCGGGTTGGGGTTCTCCCACCCCCATACCCCCACAGTGTCGCCAGCCAGATGGGGCACCAGACAGACAGCAGGAACTGGGAGGGGTGTGGTCACCTGCGGGCTGCTGGCATGAGTAGACCCAGCTCGGCTCCCACCCCAGGAGGAAGCAGGCGGGCAGAGGCGACACAGCACGAACTCTGGGGACACGGCCTGCCCGGCAAGCACCTGGCCACTGATTCCTGTCCTTGCCAGAAGTAGCCGTGGCCCCACTCCCATCAGGTCCCCAAAAGCTTGGGTGGCGCTCCTCAGGATCTGCCCCCCCCCCCACTCCCTCACCCCTGCTATACAACGTCTTTGGCCAGCCGCTTCTGCTTTGTGGTCCCAGCCTGGCTAGGAAAGGCTGGGGCCGGGGAAGGGACTCTGCTGCGGCTCCTGCTCACCATGACACTGGCTGAGCCCTAGGGCGGGGACCCCAATCCTCCCCTCCCTCGCTGTCCCGTGAGGCGGCATTGCCTCCGGAGCCTGGCCGGCCGGGGGCGTGGCCGGGAGGGAATGGGCAGGGCTCGGAGGGGGGCGGGGCCCGGCCCAGGTTAAAGCCCCGCGCGCGCTCCCGGTCGGTCCGTCCCGCCGAGATGGCCCTGCCTTCCCGTGTGCCATTTCTGCTGCTCCTGCTACTGCCTAGCGTCCCCGCGACGGCCCCGGCCGCCTCCGAGGTAGGGACTGCGGCTGAGCTGGGATCCCCAGCGTCCTCCGTGGGGCAGGGATAGGGCCAGGGCCGGAGCAGCAGGCGGGGGCGGCCAAAGGGGCGCCGGGCGGACAGCGTCACGGAGCTGCGTGGGAGCCTGGTTGGGCGGGTGGGGCGGGAGCCGGGAGCGCAAGCATTAGGCGCCGGCGGTATGCGGTATGCGCAGCCCCGCAAACCGAGCCGCTTGCGCAGGCGCGAGCTCTGCCCCCGGAGGCCCTGCTTGCCCGGGGTTTTCCATGGGAGGGGGGGTACACGCCTGCCATGTGGGAGGCTGATCCTGTGTTTTGAAGCCAAATGTAGATTAATAGCATTTAAGATGCAGTCAAAAGCTGGCTGTTGGCGTATGCCTGTCATCCCAGTACTCAGGAGGCTGAAGCAGGAGAATCACATCGCGGCCAGCCTGGTTCACATAGCAAGACTTTGTCTGAAAAAAATCGAAGTCAGTAAAGCAGGTTGGGCTTGGTGGTGTACCTCTGTCATCCTAGCAGTCGAGAGACTGCATAACGAGTTAAGGCCAGTGTGGACTACGTGGTGTGGCCCTGACTGTCTTGGTTACTTTTATCTCATTGCTGAGAGGAATACCCAGTGCCCAAAATTAAGGATGAGTGAGGCTTTTTTTGTTGTTGTTTTGGTTTTTTTTTTTTTTTTTTTTGTCTCTCTTGTTTTTATCGGTACCAGGGATCGAACTCATGGCTGCCTGCTTGCAAGGCAGGCGCTTATGCCGCTGAGCTAAATCCCCAGCCCCGATGAGTGGTTTGTTTAGCTCAGTTTGTGGAGGTTTCAGTCCCTTTAATTAGCTGGCTTCAGGCAGGATGGTACCGGACAACACTTCAAGGCAGCGGAAGACAGCAAAAGCAGCCAGAGTAAAAGGCATCAAGTCAGCCTCTTCTCCCTTCCGCTGTAATCAGGCTGCCCCTCCAGGTGGGGGTCCCACTCATCACCTCCCTGCCTGGCTCCTGCAGGGCCTCAGGATGTTTACCAAGTGAGGACCTCGGGTCCCTGCTGAGTCAACCTTTTCACATTGACACAGTGTATTAACCATTACTCAGGAGGCTGAAGCAGGAAAATCGAACCTAGTTCGAGACCAACCTCAACTACATGGTTAAAAAAAAAATTAAAAAGAAGGCAAATGTCTAGAGTACAGGAGCGCACTGGGCGGATCAGGGGCCTGCGGGGATGCCACCGGACTGGGAGGATGACAGAGACTGTACCTCCCCCAGGCGCATGGCCTGAGTCTGCGGAGGACTCCAAGGGTGACCGACGCGCCCCTGGTGGATGTCGCCTTGTACTACGAGGCACTGTGCATGGGCTGCCGGGTGTTCTTGGTGCGCGACCTCTTTCCCACCTGGCTAATGGTGATGGAGATCCTCAACGTCACGCTGGTGCCCTATGGGAACGCAGTGGTACGCAGGCAGGGAAACCGAGGCTGGGGAGGGGCGGGGCGGGGCGGGGCTGCGCCTGTCACCGCCCTCACGGGCTCTCCATCCCACAGGAGCAGAGCGTCAACGGGACGTGGGTGTTCAAGTGCCAGCACGGCGAGCAGGAGTGCAGACTCAACAAGGTGGAGGTGAGCAGGGCACCTCAGGGGGTCTGGGGGGGCCGGGCCAGGTCTGAGGCACCTGCCTCACCCAGTCCCCTTCCCAGGCCTGTGTGCTGGACCAGCTGCACCCAAACGCCGCCTTCCTGACCATTGTGTGCCTGGAGGAGTTGGATGACATGGAGAAAAACCTGGCACCGGTGAGCAGCCCTGTCCTCGCTCTGGAGAACAAAAGCCCAGTGTTGCCATCACTTGGGAGGCTGAGGCAGGAGAATCCCAACTTGGGCTTCATAGCAAAACCTTCATCTCTGAAGGGCCAGGGATGTAGCTCAGTGGCGAAACGCCTGCCTGGCAAGCGTGAGGTCCTAAATTCAATCCCCAGTACAGAAAAAAAATTAGAAACTCTTATCTCTAAAGCAGGGGGCCAAAGATCTCTTGGCAGTGACCCCTGGAAAACCTCCTAGAAGAGTAATCTCTGAGCTTTGTTTGCAAGGGTACTTAGGAATGTGCAGAGGACAGGGACAGGGAAAATAACTGTCCCAGGGCTGATTCACCTGCTCTGCTCACCTTGTCACCCATCAGACATCCAGGCCACCCATAGGCTCGCAACCCTGATACTCCCACTTGGCAGGGCTACCAAGGAGCTGGGGGTGTGGAGAGAAGGAGGAAAGTTGTTCTGGGCTGGGGGAACAGAGTGCACAGAAGCTCAGAGTATGGGGACATGCCATGGAGGGTGGAGTTGCAGAGCTGAGCTTGAAGGCATGGCCCGGACATCTGCTGTTCATGGGCATTTCTGCTGGGCCATCGGGCCAACTGAGGGCCATGAGGCAACTGGGGACAGTTGAGGAGATAACGGGTAGGAAGCTGAGGCAAGGCCCTGTGCATCCCCATTGCAGTGTCTACAGATCTACGCGCCCAATGTGACTGCTGACAGCATCTTGGCCTGTGCCACCGGGGAACGTGGGACTCAGCTGCTCCACCACAATGCACAGCTCACGGATGCCCTGCAGCCGCCACATGAATATGTACCCTGGATCCTTGTCAATGGGGTGAGGAGCAGGGGTGGCTGAGGCAGGAGGATCTCTAGCTGGTGCCCAGGTTGAACAACTTGATTTAAAGAGATCTTGTCTCAAACTGACTAAAACTAGGGGTGTGGCTCAGTGCCAGAGGTTGCTGAGCATGGGGTAGGGGCCTGGGTTCCACCTCCTGCACACCAGAAGAAGTGGGGACAGGTGGAGATGTGGGATCTTTTTTTTGGTTTCATGCAGAAACCTCTGAAAGACCCGAGCCAGCTCCTGAGTCTGGTGTGCCAGCTGTACCAGGTAAGCTGGGCGTAGCACCCGGGCAGCCCTGCTGCTGTAGGCAGAATTGGCAGTGTCCTGTGGGGATGCCTGGACTGCAGAGCGTCCTTCCCTCTCCAGGGTGAGGAGAAGCCGGATATCTGCTCATCCATGGGCAGCACCCCCAGGGAAGTCTGCTTCAAATGAGGGCCGTGGCCTTGCCGGAGCCCACAGAGAACAAGAGCCCAGCGGCCCTGTTTCTCTGTCCAACTTCAGCAGAGAAGCCACACCAAAGAACCCTTACTCATCCTACAGAGCACACTCCCCACTTCCCCTCCTGTGATAGAGAATTTTGCCTGACTGACAGTGGTGCTAAGTCTAAACTCATTTGATAAATAATAAACCATTTTGATTGTTAATTCAGTCTTTGTGGATTTAGTTTTTGTTTGTATTATTTGCTTTGTTTTGGTCGGGTGTGTGTGTGTGTGCGTGTGTGCACACACGCGCACGTATGTGTATTGTTTTTTTTTTGTTTTTTGTCTTTTTCATTTTTATCGGTACCGGGGATTGAACTCACGACTGCCTGCTAGCAAGGCAGGTGCTTATGCCGCTGAGCTAAATCCCCAGCCCCTGTGTATTGTTTTTTGAGGCTGGGTCTCCCTGTTATTCCAGGCAGGCCTCAAACTCATAAGCCTCCTGCCTCTGCCTCTCCAGTGCTGGGCTCATGGGACCCCTTTATCCCTCAGAGACCCTAGTGTCTGCCTGGTGTGTGTTGGTAAGTGGCCCTGATATTCCAGGTGCCAGACTCTACTGCATCTTGGAGAAAAAAATTCCAAAATGGCTCAGGGAAGATTAAAAAAAAAAGGAATAAACCGGAACTTGTGGCTTATCTTGAGATAAACCCAAGTAACCTTTGTCAGGAGAGGCCCATCTCCCAGGGGCCACAGCTGCCCCAGAAATCGGCCCTCCTGCACCCTACCTTGTGGTGGCGGGGTGGGGGGGATTCAGTGGCAACACCTCCACAGATGCAGAGCTGTGGCCCCACAAAAGGGCCGGCTTCAAAGGAAAGGGGTTCAGGAGAAAACCACTCACCTGGCAGCAAGGCTCTGGGCCGGGCAAAGTCCAGGGCTCAGGCAAGGAGGAAGCCAAGGGGGAGGGGAAGGGGGAGGCCCGGCTCAGTCTCCTGCTAGGTCCTCAGGCTTCGGCCCTCAAGCCTGGGTTTCACTGACCCTTGCACTTGTCTGAACGCTTCCCTCCCTGGGCCCACACTTGGGCCACCGACCCGCCCAGCACAGCTGCTGAACTGCTCCCTCTTGGCCCTGCCACGCCTCAGGCCACTTCTGCTTTTTTTTTTTTTTTTAACGGGTACTAGGGATCGAACTCACGACCGTCTGCTTGCAAGGCAGGTGCTTATGCCGCTGAGCTAAATCCCCAGCCCCCACTTCTGCTTTCTTTTAACTCTGTGCTTCGTTCTACTGCCATCCTGCACCGGGCCTTGGGAATTGGGCTTTCTTGAGGGGCCATGTGGGAACTAATAAATGGCTATGAGACAACTGGAAGATGAGTTAAGCATCTAGGCCAGATGTGACGAGGAGGCTGAGGCAGGAGAATGCAGAAGGATTCTTGGGAGTTGGAGGTCATACCTCACCAGGCAGTGAGACCCCATCTCAGAACTCCCAAAACAAAACAAACGTACATCTAGGACTGGGATGTAGCTCAGCGGCATAGGCGCCTGCCTGGCAAGCACGAGGTCCTGAGTTGGATTCCCGGTACCAAAAAAACAAGAACAAAAAAACCCCCGCACATCAAGTGTGAATCCAGGCATTTTGGCACATGGCCCGCCCATCATCCCAGCACACTCAGGAGGCTGAAGGAGGAGGGTCCGCTGAGGCCAGGAGTTTGACACAGCCTGGGCAACACAGGGAAACCCTGTCCCCAAAATAGTTCATTTAGCACGGGCTTACAGTGTTTGCTTTTTCCTTGCGACATACTGAGAGAAACATTTTAGCTGAGGGGCCCCACAAAAACGGTGTAGGAGGACAGGATTTGGCCCACGGACTAAACCGTGAAGTGTAGAGAACAAATATAGATTTCCACTGAAACACAGTTTCCTGCAAGAACACAGGAGGTGAAAAAGAGGATCCCCGATTTGCGCAGGCGCACAAAGTTGCTGAGACATGAATTAATGCAAATCACAAGGCACCAAAGGGCGTCTGAAGTTTTACTTTTATTCATTATTTCCCTTTGCGGTGTCGGGGAGGCTTAGTTATACCTCCGGGCCTTTTCAGGATTTATTTGGGAACCAGGTTTAGCTGAATTTCCCAGACTAGTCTTGAATTTGCAATCCTCCTGCCTCAGCGTCCCGAGAAGCTGGGGTTATAAACCTGTGCCACCTCTTCTAGTTCTTTCAGGTTTTTTGGTTTTTTTGTTTTGTTTTGTTTTGTTTTGTTTTGTTTTGTCTTTTTTGAGACAGTGTCTCACTGTTCATTTCTGGCTGGACGTGAGCTCACTTTGTAGCTCAGGTTGGTCTCCAACTTGCAACGATCCTCCTGCCTTAGTTTCCCGAGTGCTGGGATTTTATTAGTATTTTGAGACAGGGTCTATTATGTAGCTCAGGCTGCCTTGAATTTACTATGTAGCCCAAGGGGCCTCGAACTCAGGGAGATCCTCCTGACTCAGGGATCCCTCCTTAGTGCTGAAATTACAGGCGTGCACCACAACACAGAGGGTCAATGCAGGAACCTGGCTGCTACAGGACGACTGTCACAAAACCTCAGCTCTTTCTCCCTACACTTGCAGAAAGCCGCGAAATGGACTTCCAGCACCTGCAGCTGCGTAGGTCACGAGATCAACACCGCAGTTAAGTCCTGCCGAAATTGAAATCTGCATGGCAACTAGGCCCGAGAGCACAGTGCCTATCTCCGATTGGTCATTTTCGATTTAGGAGGCGAGGCTACAGTCCCTGATTTCCTTGTGCAGTCCCCATCTTTGGTTGGACAGTACTTTAAGCAGGGGTGTGGCTACGGGTAGCATCGGCCAGTGTATGAAGGAACAGGGAAACAAAGGTATAACGTCACCACTTGACTGAGCGAAACTTATTTGCAATTGGTGCGCCAGCTACGGAGGCGGTGAACGGTTCGCCATCGATCAACCTTGGAAAGGCATGACTGCTTTTTATTGGACAATATTTCTGGGGGCGGGCTAAATCTGGCTCAAGACGATTGGTTAGTGCCTCGGGGAGGGCAGGTAGAGCGTAAAAACAGATCGGATTGGTGAACTCTGGTGTGGGTGGGCACTAGGAAAGCGATAGGGACTCGCGATTGGCCCGGACAGCTGGGGCGGGTGGGACGGGGTGGTAAGCGGGTTCCGGGCGGGTGGCCATGGCGCCGGGGACCTGGCGCTGGGTGCGCGGGGTCTGGGCGGCGTGTCAGCCCCTGTTCCACGGCCGTGCGTTGCTCGTCACCAACACGCTGGGCTGCGGCGTGCTCATGGCGGCCGGGGACGGCGCGCGGCAGGCCTGGGAGATCCGTGCGCGGCCCGGCCAGACGTATAGCCCTCGGCGCTCAGGTGAGGACCGCGCTGCTGCTCTTTACCCGTCACCTTTGACACTTCACTCGGATTCGGGGATCCCCGGCCGGACAGGCGGGCCGTGACCCCTGAGCCGTAGACCCTGCCAGACCCTCCCTGAGTGTCTTCGGGTCGCCGTCCCCTCCACTCTGGGTCTTGTCCCTCCAGCCCAGACTACGCCTGGCGCGGCGCCTTTTTCGCCGGTCCCGGGGAGGGAGGGCGTGGCGGGTGCTGCGCCTGATCCTGCCCGTCTCCAGCCCGCATGTTCGCCGTGGGCTGCAGCATGGGCCCCTTCCTACACTACTGGTACCTGTGGCTGGACCACGTCCTCCCCGCCGCGGGCCTGCGCGGCCTCCCGAACGTCGTCAGGAAGGTGCTCATGGACCAGCTGGTGGCCTCGCCGCTGCTGGGCGTCTGGTACTTCCTGGGTAAGGACGGGAACGCCAGACGGTCCGGGTGGGAGTGGGTACTCGCGCTCCCCGGAGCAGCGACACAGCTGGGACTGGAGGAGCCCAGGCTCAGGCCCAGCCTTGCAAGCTCGGTGTCCCATTGGGGAAGGGGCCTGAAGATGATGGGCTGCCCGGCCCCAAGTCTCCTCTGGGGCCCATGTTTATGTGCAGGGGGAGCGCCTCGCCCTTGTCCCTGGTCCCTTGCTGTCACTCCCGTCACACCTGCCCATCATCCTGCCACCACGCCACTCAGCTGTCTGACACTCGGTTTCCTTTCCAGGCCTTGGCTGTCTGGAGGGCCAGACACTGAGTCAGAGCTGCCAGGAGCTGCAGGAGAAGTTCTGGGAATTCTACAAGGTGGGAGGAGTCCTCTGGGGACACGCCCCCGTAGCCAAAGCCACGCCCCTCATCACCTTTGAGGCCAAGCCTCCCAGAGCCCCTACACCCCTCACGCGCCCCTTTCCCCCACTTCCACAGGCTGACTGGTGTGTGTGGCCCGCTGCGCAGCTGGTGAACTTTCTTTTCGTGCCCCCCCAGTTCCGGGTCACCTACGTCAACAGCCTGACGCTGGGCTGGGACACGTACCTGTCCTACCTGAAATATCGGGTGAGCTCGGTGGGCTTGAGTGTCCCTGGCCCCAAATGGCACTGCAGGTGCAGCAGGAAGTGGGGATGAGCCGGCATCTCATGGTGGGTGGGTCTGGTGCAGGGCCAGGAGTCCTCCCCAGGTCCCCGTGTGACTGTCTAGTGGGACTCATCCCTAGGGCAGTGACTGATAGGGGAAGTGCTGGGAGGCACCTGGCAGTGACCATAGCCTCTGTGGGACAGATCCCTGCGACTCTAGCGCCCCAGGCTGGGGACTGAGGACTAGATGCCGGCCAGGGCCAGCCACCTCGGAGCGGGACTGACTCCTCCGGCTGCAGGATCCCCGCCCTCAGCTCCCCAGCTGTTCTTCGAGAGCTCGTGGCCCAGCGTCTAGGCCCCAGCACTGCCGAGACCACTCCAGGGCGCCCCATAGCCCTGCCAGAGCCACACTGAGAACCCATTCAACTGCCATCCCAGGGTGGCAGGTACCACTACAGCAACACCGCATTGTCCATTCGCTTTATTGGAATGTGGTGGTGGTGGTGTGACATTTCCTAGGGGGCCGGGGTGCACGTTGGACACTCACGACGTCAGAACAGGGCTGGGGGCCCAGCAGCCCCCCACCCACTCAGGAAGCTGAGACTGAGGGAGCCTCACCAGACGCTGACCCCATGGTCCGAAGGGTATTCGGAGCAGGATCTCAGGGCGGGCTGGAGGATACCTCCTGTCACCCAACCGGCCAGTTCCAGGTGTCACCTGGCCTCTGCTTTGCAACCAAGGACTGTGATGGTAGATTAGAAAAACCAACCGGGGAGGAGGGCGGCGGAGAGTGGGAAGCGGGATGTTGTCAATAAATAAATAAATAACTACGATAATAAATACAGGACGGCAGGGGCGGGGCCATTGCCCAGGGGTGGGGCCTGGCAGGGGTGGGGCCCTCAGCAGGCGCAGTCCTGGTGCGGGGGCGCCTGCTGTTCGCTGAGCTGCGGACCTTGCTTGGCGCCCGTGACTGCGGGGTCTGCCGTGTCCAGGGACTCAGACATCTTCTCGCAGATGACGTCCACCAGACGCTCGAAGGTCTGCTTTACGTTAATGTTGTCCTTGGCACTGGCCTCAAAGAACTCGAATCCTACAGTGGGCAATTGTGGCAGGGAATAGAGCTGCCTTCCCGGGCCTGCATCGCCTATTGGGGTCCTGCGTGACCATCAGTTCCCCCGAGGGGCCCTCCTGTTCCCCCCACCTACAGCACAACACACAGGATCTGTCTGTCTGTCTGTCTCTCTCTCTCTGACCTTTGTTTCCTTTGCCCTGCTTCAATCCACAGCCACCCTCACCAAGCCCTGCACAGCCTGGCTCCCAGTGAACTCTTCCCACCTGGGTCTCACCTTCTAATTACAAAATCAGGAGCCTTGCAGTGGCCCGGCACCCCCCAACATGAATCCAGAGAGAGTGAGGGCATCAGAATGAATCACTCTCTCTATTGTGAACTCCTATACATCCATCAAAATCCATCTCATGTGGTTCTTGAAGTGTCCATTTGTAGAGAGTGTGAATTGCTAGGATCTGAATCCATGCCCTATCCTGGCTCACTGTATGCATTAGGTGCATCTCCCCCACATCAGTGGCCTGTGTGATACTCACCAAGGTGGTCAGCCAGCTGCCGGCCACGTTCCGATGACACCACACGCTCGTCTTCCATGTCACACTTGTTACCCACCAGCAGCACTTGGGCGTTGTCCCATGAGTAGGTCTTGATCTGCGTGGACCTGCAGGAGTTGGCCATGGGTGTTTACAGCTGGGAGGCCCCAAAGGGGAGGATTCAGGGTCCAATCACTGAGACACATTCCCTATCCCATTTTATTTGTGGCTGAGATAGCATTTGACTCACTGTATAGCTCAGACTGGCCTTGAACTCACTGCGTAGCCCAGGCTGCCCTCAAACTCACAGAGACGAGATCTCAGCCTCCTGAGGACAGGGATTCCAGGTGCACATTTTGCACCTGTACAGGACCCAGCTGGTTCCTCAGCTTCAGTCCCTCCTGCCCCCTGGGGTTGCCCATTTCCCTATATGTCCACAGTGTTCCCTCCTGGACCCTCCTCTCCCTCCATGCCAGGCCCAGCAGGGTGAGGCCTCACCAGTCCTGCACGGCATTGAAGGACTCCTCGTTGGTGATATCGTACATGAGAATGAAGCCCATAGCACCACGGTAGTAGGCTGTGGTGATGGTGCGGTACCGCTCCTGTCCTGCCGTGTCCTGTAGGGAAAGAACCAGGGCTCAGGACCCAGGACACAGTGTGGCACAGCCTGTGTGACCTGGCTGGGGCAGGGACAGCAGCCAGGTCACCTGAACCACCACACAGAGTTGCCTCCCCTCCAGCACTCCCTCAGTCACTCAATAAGCACCACCAGGCTGGTCACCCTGTGGGTTCAGGGGACACAGTGTTAACCGGAGGATGTGAGTCCCTGCCCTCCTGGGACAGGAACAGCCACACAAGCACGGCCTGAAGCAGTGCAGCAAGGGCAGGCGCAAAAGGCAAGAGGAAAGGGGGATGGAGAGAGGTTCAAGACCAGGAGAGGCAGGCATGGCAGCTTCAGGAGGCTGAGGCAGGAGGATCACAAGTTTGAACCCAGCCTGGGCAACTCAGTGACTTACTGAGAGCTTGTGTCAAAATAAAAAATTAAGGGGCTGGGGATTTAGCTCAGCAGCATAAGCACCTGCCTTGCAAGCAGGCAGTCGTGAGTTCGATCCCTGGTACCGATAAAAAAAATAAAAAAAATAACTAAAAAGACAAAAAGTTAAGCCAGGCATGGTGGCTTAGTCTCAGCATTCGGGAGGCTGAGGCAGGAGGATCCTTGTGAGTTTGAGGCCAGCCTGGGGTACAAAGTGAGCTCCAGACCAGCCTGAACTGCATAGTGAGACCGTCTCAGACAAAAAGAAGTAATAATAATCAACACCTGAAGAGAGGCAGGTGCAAGATGGTGACAGCAGCTATGGAGAGGCCATGCCACACTGACCCACCTCAGTCCTTTGTGGGAGCACTGTCTTTGGGAACAAGACCTGCCTGACCCTGGTGCCAAGCAAGGCTGAGAATGGTGAGAGCGAGAGCGAGAGCCAGGGTTGGGCACCAGTGGTGTGCACCTGGTCCAGGCCAGGGTGGCAGTGAGTGACAAGGGAAGGGGACCAGGCCAGCTGTAGTGCAGGGGGGGGGGATGGGAGCCCACCCACCCAGATCTGCAGCTTGATCCTCTTGTCATTGCGGTAGATGGTCTTGACCTTGAAGTCGATGCCCACGGTGCTGACAAAAGCCGGTGTGAAGGAATCATCAGCGTAGCGGAAGAGGAAGGATGTCTTCCCCACGCTGCTGTTGCCGATGATCAGGATTTTGAACATGTAGTCGAAGTTCTGGTCCGAAGACTCCTTCTGCCCATAGCGAGAGTCTGTGGCAGATGCCATCTGGAGGAGCAAGGAGACAGCGTAAGTGGGTTCCCACATTCCCACAGGCCAGGCTGGAGACAAATGACCCCATAGGGAGCCCCAGTATTCATGGGGTTCCCCAGCAGAGTCTTGCTGTGACCTTGGGATGTTTCTAAGGTGGGGCTCAAGGAGACAAAGGTAGGGATGTCTCTGTACCCCAGATTGGCCTGGAACCCTAAACCCCGTTGTGGGACCCGGGGTGTGGGTTGGAACTACAATTGGCCACTACTATTAACCTTTCCTGGCCCCAGGAAGGGTGCATCCCAAGTCTTCGGCCACCCTGATCCCAAGCCCCTGGGCTGAAAGCTCGCACTGACGCCTCTGCAGCATGTGACACAGGCGAACGTGCACAGCTCACGTGCAGCTGGCACCGCAGGCACCCGCACACGGCCTGCAGACACGCGTGCCCTACAGACATGCGGGTGCGAACCCCAATGGCCACAAAGGTGGAACCGCCACACCTGTACACACATCAATCTCCACACGGGAACGTGCAGACCCACCCGGGCGCCCGGCTCCCCGCACCCATGCAGGCGTGTGCGTCTCTGTCACCTGGCCAAGCAGGCACACGCACCATCCACATGCTTAGCCGCACGGTGTGGCTGGCGCGCACCGTGGCTTCGCCACTGACCCCGACCGGATCACCGGGCAGACCTAGGTCCACACGCAAGGGTGTATAGTCCCAGGCACCGGCGCGCACGCACACGAGTGTGCACACCACGCGCACGCGCACGCAGCAGCCTCCCGCGCGCACCGCGGCCTGCAGGCGCGCCCTCCCCTCCCCCTCCGCCGCAGCGCCCGGTGGAGGTGCCGGGGGAGGGGCATATTGGGGGCGCCGGTGCGCGTGCGGGCGCCCGGTACCCCGATCCCCGGAGCGCGTTCCCGCCCTGCTCCCCGCCGCGTCCCCGTTGCAGTCAAATGAAGGTTATGCGGGCCCCAGCGGGGCGCGCAGCTGCCGGAGCTCACCTCGTCCTGCACCCAGGTGGCAGCGACCAAGCGGTGGAGACTTCTCGGGCGGTGGCGGCGACGGGAGCCCGGAGTTGGCGTGGAGCTGCGCGACAGCAGCGACAGCGGTGCAGCGATAGCTTGGCCCCTGCAGTCCCCGGTGACGTCCTGCAAAGAGCGGGGCGGGGCCGCACCTGCAGACGCGGCGTGACGCAGAAGGGGCGTGGCAGAGCATGCAGATGAGCTGTTGCGTCATGGGGTGGGGCCTCGCCTAGAACCGTGGCCGGAGCCGGCTTGCAGCGGGAAAGGGCGGGGCTCTCTCACAGATTGACTTGTTACAGGGGCGGACCCAAACTGGGCTCCCCAGCAAGTGGGGGTGGCTCCAGGCCTCGCTCCGCCTCTGCCCGCCTCTGGAGGCCGGGCTGCCTGTAAGCTTCTCATTGGTTTTAATAGTCGAGCGACTGACCAATTCACCAATCAGACGCTGTCAACTCCCTCCTCCTCTCCGGAGATAGCTCTCAGCTATTTGAAGGGCGGAGAACCTGCGGCCTCGCAGGTGCCGGGGTCTTGGAAAGGGCGTCGCTCCCCACTAGCAAGCACCCCAAGTCCGCGTCTCCTACAGCCCAAGCCTCGTCCGAGGTGCCGTGACGCCTCACTTAATGCCCCTTGCCCTAATTTCAGAGACGGGGAACTGCATGCAGTTGGCGAGATGATGGTTCCATGCCCTACCCACCCCAATATTTAGGCTCAGAATACATAAAAAAGAGGACAGAGGGACGAGAGGTCCCCATCCAGTTTCGGGTGTGTTAGACCCCTAGGTGGAGCCGATAGGGACCCTACCCTCCCGCGTCTGAAGCTGTAAGACGCAGACAAAATGGGATCAGTACGGCCCCCTGGCGGTCCCCAGAAATGGAGGGTGGGCGCCCCAGAACCCTCCTCTGGCGCCTCCCCCGCCCCCGTTGTCCTGGAAAACAAGACGAAGTCAGGGTTAGAGAACCATCCTGTGTCTTAAACCTCCAAAGACCGGAAAAGCGGGGTACAGGAGAGACACCCCGCACTGCTGGCGGGAGACTTAAGGGGTCACGGTGCACCACGCGTGGCCCCTCGAGGCAAATGTCAGATTCTTTGAGCGGGGATTCCGAGACCCCCAGTCCCGGGGGTCCTGACTGCCCCCCCCCCCCGTTTTTGTACCACATTTGGGAACAATGGAGCCCCATCCCTGGGGCCCCGCCTACTTGTAGACAGCTGCCAGCTGCGGGGTGCTGCGCCCAATAGCTGCGCCTGCGCCGCGCGTGGGGCACCCACCGCACCCTGCCCTGCACATCAGAGATGTAGCTTTGCTCAGGGTGACCTATTCATCTCCCTCCCCCACCCACGGCGGAGGTCAAATTCAGAGCAAAACATAAATAGCAGTTGTGCGCGCGACCCCCGTGGGGGTTGGAGTCGGCCTAGGGGAGGAGGAGAGGCTGAGTCAGGCGACCGCAAAAACACCCAGGGGCAGGCAGCCGCTAGGATGGCCATCCGCTTCTGGTTTGCTTAAAAATAAAAACAGTAGGCTGCGCGTGATGGCTGAGTAACTCCAGTACTTGGAAGGCTGAGGCAGGGGATTACAAGTTTGAGGCCACCCCTGCGTAACAGCGCGAGGCCTTCACATGGAAACGTGGAAGGCGCTGGCGATGTAGCCCAGTGCGCAAGCGCTGGGTTCAAACCTCAGTGCCACCGCCCAAGGGAAGAAAAAATTTTGGGTTTTTGTAGGATTCTTTGAGAAACAGAATGGGAAATACGAAATTAGTGAGAGACGGGTCCTGAATGGGTTGCCCACATTTTTTAAAATTGACCATTCTAATTTATCTGTTACCCATCTGTGAGCTGTGGCATTCAGGATTCACACCTGGGCACGGGTGCCCAGTACCACCGTGCCATCAAATGAACGACAACTTTGGTCATGGAAATGAGGGAGGAACTTGAGGAAGAGGAAACACTATTTCTGCGCTGGATTTGGAGACAGGGTTTCGCTGGCCTTGAACTGGCGGCAACCTTCCTGCCTCAGCCTCCCAGTGATGCAGCCGTTTATGTACACTGCTGGGACCTGTCACGCACTGCGTCCCACGCGGGGCCTAACGACCAAGGTTCTCATGGACAGGTAAAGGCGGGACGCGGCCGGAAGCGAGCGACTGCACTGACTTGTACCCACAGTTTATTTTCTTCTTTTCGTGCCCCCATTCTTGGCAGACTCTTTGCAGACGAGGGAGGAAAGGCACCCGCGAGGAACTGTCCTAAGTTCGCGACCCGGGTGGGCTCTGGTTTTTCCGGGAGGAACCTCGGCGTCAGTGATGACGAGGAAGCGCAGCCCCGGTTATCATAATATTTATGATCGAAGCCAGCTGGCCCCGCAGGATGACGCGGATCGCGCGTGCGTTTCCGGCCCACAGAGAACCGGACGCCGCTGCGCTGCCCGCTCCCGCCGCCAGGGACCGCTGCTGACCAACATCGGCTCCTGACCCCTCCTCCCCGGCTGATAAACCACGGTTCCGTGCCTCCGTTTCCCCACTCGTCCAGTAGGACTTTTGGGGGGGGCGGTTATGTGAGGCCAGGGCTCACCACTGAGCCACACCTTCAGGCCTTTTAATTTTTCATGTTGTGCCATTGTGTTGCTACGTAGCCCAGGCTGGCCTTTAAATCACTACCCTCCTGCCTCAGCCTCCTGGAACTCGGCACCACCGTCACTGACTGGGCCACTAATATTAGAAAACGGGGTGTCCTGAAGCCTAAAGGGTTTACTGAGCCCCAGAGAAACATCTAAAGGCCCCAAATTTCTAAGATATTTTCCGGCAGGTCACAGGCATCATGCCCTCAACCAAAGTACAGCAAAGATCTGGGATTGGGCTACAGCGGGGACACTGAGGCCCAGACAGATATGATCGACAAGAAAACACTTCCAGACTCCAGGGCGACCCTAGAGCAGCCCCAGAGTGATTCACAGAGCCCACAGGGTAGGGGAGGGTTTGGTGGCTGTCACCTATTACCAAGGAGACCAAGTGGCGAACACGGCCTGCTGTCCTGGCCAGACGGGGTCAGAGTGGTCACCGCAGGCCGAAGATGGCAGTGTGAGCGCTGGCCTGGCAGCGCCTGGGAGCCCCCCAGCCCGAAAGGAGAAGACAGGGTGTGAGGAAAGACAGGAGGAGGAGGAGGAGGTGGCAAGGTGCCGCACACGTGTGATCCCAGCACTCTAGCAGGCTGAGGCAGGGGATCCCACATGTAAAGTCAGCCCAGGCAACTCAATGGTTTAGTAAGACCCTGTCTCAAAACAATAAAACAGGGGCCGGCCTGGAGCTGGGCATGAAGGCTCTGGGTTCAAAACCAAACACACCAAAGGGAAACGGAAAGGAAGCAGGTGAACCCTGGGCTCCGGGCAACTGCTGGGAAGGCGGCCCTGCTGGATGCCAGCCCTCCCGTACCGATGAGAGGCTGAGGCCTTGAGCCTCACGCTTCCCACCTGGTCTATGGTCAGCTCCTCAAAACCTTGCCGGTCCCCGCTGCCCGAGGGGACAGGAGCTAACCATACGGACACCCTGCAGCTGCAGCCTGCTCCTCTTCTGCTTCCTCCAGCATCAGCTCAAAGGGGGGAACCTGTCGGGGGCCCCCTTCTCTGAGCCACCCATGTCCAAGGGGCTCCAAGGGACCCTGCTGCGGTACCAGGACCTGTTGTCCTCCAGCGTATCCAACAGGTCCAGTGTGTCAGGGTGGACCAGGTCAGCCCATGTCTCCCACAGAGGTGGGCAATGTAGTCAATGAAGCCCACCTGGAAAGCGGCACAGAGAAGGCAACAGGTGTGTGGTGAGTCACAGTGCACCCTGGAACTCGTGCATCTTCTAGGTATTTGGCCATATTGTTTCCACTGCTTGGAATTCCATTTCCCAACTCCTATTTAACCTGCAAAATCCTATTCATATAACCCTTCATAGAAATGAAGGGGTCAGAGCATCTGCTTGGCACATGTGAAGTCCTAGGTTCTGTCACTAGCACCAGAAGGTGAGGATTAAGCTGGGGTTGTGGGAGTGCCTCAGCCCCTCCTTTCCCTCCCACTTCCAAGCCATCACAGTGCAGTCACCACACACCTGGGACTTCTCCACCGAGGCTGTGTGCATGTGGCACATGGGGCTGACGGCCAGGCTGGACTCATGCTCCCTGTCGCCCTGCCAGAAGAACTCAGCCATGATGGGACCTGTCCACTGACGGTAGAGGGGCAATGGCTTGGTGGGGTTGCCGAGGTCAGTGCAGTGGCCCAAGTTTTGCAGGACCTGTGGGGTTCGGGATCAAGACTCAGGGAGCTGACTCGGCCCAGCCCTGCCACCCTGTTACAGGAGGGGAAACTGAGGCACGCAGCTGGAGTCTCCCCCACCTGGATGCGGTCAGCATAGGTGTCCAACAGCAGGAGGCCAGGCTCGTCACTTTCTTGGTCTCCACCATGGTCTTGAGGTCAGCCAGCAGGTTCATGCGCTTGGACATGTCGGTGGCCAGGACCTGGGGACGCCGAGGCAGGCGTGAGCACACACAGGATGAAGCCAAGCTCGTGCCAAGGGGCTGCACCTTGCCTCACCATGTCAATCACCATCCTGCGCAGACTCAGCCACTGCTTGGCGTTCAAGTTCCAGAAGATGTCACAGTTGTCAGCCTGCAGCAGCGTGAAGCCCACCGCCAAATGATGGTTCTCCAGCACAGAGATGTCGCCGTACATCAGCGCCAGCTCTGACTCTGCAGGAAGCGGAAGCTTCAAGTCCACCCACCCAGCACACTCGATCCAAAGGCAGGTTTTCGGGCTCCTTGGAGAACTCCTACCCGCACTTGGAAGGCCCAACTCTAAATGCCCACTCCTCGCGAAAGTCACCTAGTCCCTCTATCAGATCTGACTGTGCAGCGATGGAGGTGTCTTGTTCAGCTCTGTCCACCAAAGTGTGTGTGTGAACAGGGAGGACAAGGCCTAGCCTGCCCCATCGCAACTCACTGGTGTTGATGAGAAACTGGTTGGAGACGCCAAGGTGGTCTACGCACGTCGTGGATGGCGCTGGCGAAGATGGCAGCCAGGACCTCTAGGTCTGTGAAGACCTCCTGCCCAGGCTTGAGCTGTGAGGGCTGGGCAGCCGCCCAAGCCCCGCCCACACTCGACAAGCCCCGCCACCTACCTGCAGCAAGGGGCGGTACCTCGAGTGCGGGGCGTGGCCAGCAGCACATGCACAGACTGAGCCAAGTCAGCTGCGTGCAGGCTGTTGTGACAGGCCACATCGGCGAGGTAGTGACCTTCAAGCGTCAGCAGGTAGGTGGCCAGCATGTCCACTAGGATCTGGAATGTCTTTAGCAGGTCCCGCTCCTGGTCCATCACAGGCCCTCAATCCTTGAGGCTCCAGCACAAATTGCTTCTATTTGTTTCCTCTTGTGAACTCCTATATCGCCTTCAAAGCCCTCTCCTGCAGGGTGCTCTCCCTTGCTCTCTCCTAAACTTCTTCACTCCCGGGCCTGCTATAGTCCACTCCCCACCTCAGGACTGTTCTCTCCAGAGCACAGGCGTTTTTTCAGAGCCAGGCCCAGGGACTGAGGTTTGTAGTCAATGTAGTGAACACCTATTCATCCGTCAATACCCTGCTCAAAATATTCCACTCAACAGCATCAGAGAAGCATTGAAGAGTGTGTGTCCCTGAGTTGTTGGGTGGGAAGAGGAGGACACCCTGAGGTATGAGTAGCCAAAGTCACAGGCAGTACCTGGAAGATGCTGAACAGGATGGCTGTCAGGGGCCGGTTCCCACTTAGATCAACCACTTGGAACACGTTGAGGCCCCACTTGTTGGTGTCTTCCAGTTCCTGAAAATGAGACAGTCAGTGGCCCCAGCAGCACTGCGCTGATTCAGAGCCCCGCCCTCTCACGCGGGCCCACCTTTGCCAGCTGCCCCTCCTAGTCCGTCTTCACCCCGAAGCGCAGGACGGTGGCCGCAGACAGGCCGGGCTTGGAAGCCCGCGGAGGCCGGCAGTCTCGGACAGGGGCCGCGGGTGCACTCCACGTCAGCGTGCTGGTCTGTGTGGGGGAGGGCTCAGCGGGGTCTCAGTCCTAGAGCCAGCCCAGCCACCACCACTAAGTAGTTGTTGCCAAACAACTGCCCGGCCTCCCCTATCTGTCGTGGCTGGTTCTGGCGACCCCTTCTGCTACGTGTGGCACGCAGCGTCCTGTCTCTCAGGCTGGAGACCCAAGCCTCTAATGCCCTCCAAACGGCAAACTTCTACTCCTATCTCACAGCCCTAGCTGTCAAGCCCCGTCCACCCGGAAGTAACCCTTCTTCCTCCGCAGCTCACCCAGGAAGGTCCGGGAGATGTATTTGGACACCTGGTTCCTGGAGCCGCTGGTTTCGGACAGGTGGATCAGCTCTCGATTCAGCACGCGCTTGAACTGCGGAAAAGGAGGGGCGGGGACCAGGACTGGCCAGGACCTACGGGAGGCAGAATTAGGGGGAAGGGGCGGCTCTGCCCGCGGTTCAGGCAACACGGGGTGACACTCACCTGGGCAAAGGGTGTCATGATCAGGTCTTCGTCTCTGCTGGGAGACGGCGGTTGGAGAGAGCCCAGGTCCTCTCACCCAACTCCCTCAGAGACCCACAGCCACCCCTAATCAGCCTCTCTGTGTCTCATAAGTGGGGAAGCTGAGTTCCAAGGACAAGCGGTCTTAGCAGAATCAGGCCAGAAGCAATTTGCCCGCCAGGGGACTCGAATCCCCGTGTTGGTTTGCATACTGCCTTAATATATCTGGGTCACCAGTCGCACCCCAAACCATTCCAAGACCAAGCAGATAACACTGCCTGTTATAATGGGCTACACATTCAATTGAAAAATTAGCTGCCTGGCAAACTCCTACTTAAGCTGGAAAACCTATTTCAAAAGGTGCCTTGAAGGAGTTTCCTGAACAGAGAAACAGTAGAAAGAAGAGAGCAAAGGAAAGTGGGGGAGGCCGCGTCCCGGGAGCCCCGACTTACAGGTCGCTGGCGGCAGAGGAGTTCCGAGACTCGGCCTTTGGCGACAGCTCACAGTCGCTGTCTGACGGGTACAGGAAGGGCTCTGCCCGCTGGCTGTGGGAGCCCGGGGCCTGGGCGGCCCTGCTGCATGAGGGCCCATTGTCCAGGTCAAAGCTGGAGGTGGGAGGGACAGCAGTCAGGGGCCAGGGGTGAGCTGGGTGTCTTAGCATCCTCCCAGGGGTGGGTGGGTTTGGGGTGTCTCTCTGGACCCGGGGCCCGGTTCAGGTGTCCCCAAGCGGTCTCTGCAGCTCTCCCAGGCCCATGCCACGCGTTTCTAAGTGAGCCTGGCAAACCACATCCCCAAGGGCTCTTAGGAAGTGAAATCCAGAAGGACGGGGGCTCCCGGATCAGTTTGGCCACGTCCTAACCCTTTCGGCACCCAAACCTGGCCTTCGGGACACAGCTGGGTTGGTCCCGGGCACCTATGTCCCTCGTGTTGGGGTCCGAGAAAGGATGTGAGGCAAGGGCCAGGGCGCAGGAGTGGGGTTGACGACTCTGGACAGTCACGGGCTGGGTGGGTCTCAAGCTTTTATGTCCTTGGGGGAGCACAGGCTGCTCTCAAACTCGGTGGATCCTCCTGCCTCAGCCTCCTGCGTGCTGGATCACAGGTGTGCACCACTGTGCCCTGCTGGGTTGTGGCTGTGGAGAAAGTGTTGGATGAACCAGCAGAGGCGGGGGGGGGGGGGGGGGGGCACCGGGACCGCCCACAACTCAGGGCTGCTGGCCAAGAGCCAGTGTCCACTCGGCTCCCAAAGGTCACAGAGAGGCCTGTCCAGAGGCTTGGGCAGGGCCAGCCCAATCTGGCCCAGGGGGAAATGAGCCCGCGCCTCGCTGAGTGAGGTCCTGTTGCGCTGAGCTGGACGGTCCTAGCGCGTTGGTTATGGCGAGTTCGACCACTTTCTGCTGCTTGAGACAGCACGGGTGGGCTCGGGTGACTTCGTGCCTCTCCGGCACCGTCCGGCTATCTTCGGGAGGCCCGGGACCCTGCGCAAGTATATTCGGCTTTTTCCGCTAAGCCTGGTCTTTTCCATCTAGTTGCTTTGGATTCCATGACGTCTCGCAGGGGTGGGAATTATTAACTCTTCCCTGCCCGAGGTGGGGTGCAACCGGGTGGGCATGCGTGTGCTCTGAGGGCGTGGGGAACCCCAAACTTGCCCTCTGTAATGAAGGCCTGCAGGTCAACCCCTAAAGCACTCTCTCACTCTTCTGAAAGTGTTCAGGAAAACGCACGTAGTCACAAATAGAGAAACTGAGGCTGGGAGCAGCTGCGGGGTTCAGGGTTCGAATCCAATCCCAGGCAGAAAGGGTTAAGGGGAGGGTTGGATTTTCCAGGGTGCAACGGCCCTATTTTTATTTCTGTTCTAAACTTAACTCGGGAGGCAGGGTCAAGGTTGATTCCATGACGTGGACAGCCGTTGGTGAGGCCACCCGGGCTGTGAGAACTCGCGGCTGCTCACTAATCAGACGGGTAAATTGAGTCAGGAGATCCAGCAGCCTCGGGACTGATCTTGGGTCCAGCCTGTGGCAGACCCACCCTCTCCCAGGGTTCAGGTCCCATGGGTGCCTCCTGGGCTCCTCTGCTGAGCCCTCGGAAGGCCCCCTTGCCCACCCCCAGCCTACTTTCAGGCTGAAATGGCGCCATCAGCCTCTCCCCCAGCTGCCACTGTCCAGTTGTGCTCCCCTAGAGAAGGGATCTCCCGTTCCTGTGCCTCAGTTTCCCCATGGACCCTGCAGAGAGCACCGGGACAGGTGGGGAAACTGAGTCGCAGTTGGCAACACCTACTGCCAAAAAGGAGAAACTGAGGCACAGGGTGCCTTGCTACTGCCAAAGCGTAAATTTGACACCAGATGAACTCAGATGCCAGCCCTGCGCCCCCTCAGCCCCTCGATGTCGGAACTGCTTCTAGAAGGACGGAACTTGAACCCAGGGCAGAGGCCTTACCCTCAGACCTGCACCTGGCCAAGCGTACTTGCGGCCTCTGTGTCCCTGCCGTCCCTGTTAGGCCTCCATGTGTGTGTGGCCTGAGGTCCCCCGGGGGACACCCAGGGCTCAGCTGCAGCCCGCCCCAGTGCCCACTCCCTCTCCAGTCCTGGCCCCAGGCTGCAGAGTCAGGAGGAGGTCCTCACCATAGCGGATGGGCCACCGTGAAGCAGCGCTGCAGGCAGAAGCTCTGTTTCACCAGCAGCTTCCAGAAGAGCCCCGGAGAGCTTCGGGGGGACTCCGGGAGGGACCCGGAGGCCACGGCCACCGTCACGGGGCCCTACATAGCCAGGGCCCAAAAGGCTGCGTGGAGCAGGATGCAGGGACTTTTGAGGTCCACCGGGAGGCGGGACCAGGTGAGAGTGGAGGGGCCGCCCCACCTCCTCACGACGCTCCCCGAGGACCCCAGGGTAAACTGAGGCACCAGGCCAGCTGCTACCCATGGCAGGCCCTCGCCAGAGGACATAAACTGACCTGACGCCACCTCCTTCTGCAGCCCCGCTGTCCCCAGGCCTCGGTACGGGGCCAGACCCTTCGCCTGCTCCCCCTCCCGCGTTTCCAAGATGAAAACACACAAATTCGCCCCCTTGTCTACCAATCGTCTGCCCTTTGTCAGGTGGGGAAACCGAGGCCCAAGCCAGGGGGACGGGCATGGACCATCCTTGCAGGGCATGGGGCTGCGATCCAGCTCCCCTCTTCACCCCCAGGTCCCTTCGCGGCCCTCACCTGAGCTGACACTGCCCAGACCTCACCCGTGCTGGACAAACATCCACTGCCGCTCTGCAGAGCCTTCCGCCGCCCCTCCCGCCCCGCAGGCCACAAGCACTGCAAGGGCATCGCTGGAGCCGGGGTCCCCGCCCCACTGCACAGGAGGGGAAACTGAGTCCCAGGGCGTCCTGGGCACAGACAGTCCATGCCCGAGCCCCAGGCATGGGGCTACCGTATCTCTTGGGAACCCGAGACCAGGGCCAGTGCCAGGAACACACTACCAAGGAGACCACAACCACCGAACAGACGGGACGCGAGGCTTCCGCAGGCTGGCCAGGAGCCCCTCTGCTGGACACCTGGCGGGACCCCAATCTCGCTGTCCCTGAGACAGAAATACCATCTGTGTGTCACTCTCAGGCCGAAACTAATTATAGCCGCTTCCTGAGCGACTGAAACCGCCAGGATGGGAGGAGCCCCCCAGCCCGTGGTCCCCAGGGCCTGTTAGTGCCAGGTCAGTGATCAGACGTGGTTTTTTTGGTTTTGTTTTGTTTTTGATACAGGGTCTTTTATGTAGTTCAGGCTGGCCTTGAACTCCCTGGCTAGCCCAGGCTGGTCTTGACTTTGCACAGTGCTCCTCCTGCCTCAGCCTCCTGAGTGCTGGAATTACAGATGTGCCCCAATTCGCCCAGCTGGTTATCATACTCCTAACGTTTGGTCTCTAGGTCGCATTTTAAATAATTCATTAAGAATCTTGACTGTGCTGTGATTAGTAGTTTTGATGATAGACAAACAGGTGCTGAGAGTGGAAATCAAGAGCCCACAGTGCTCGGAGCCCAGCATCCTACACTTGGGAGGCATCAGCCCCACCTGGGAGAGGGAGACAGGAGGACCCTGTCCCTGTGTCGCTGCCCAGCCTGAGAAGGTGCCTCGAAGTCTCCAGTGCCCTTATTGCACCACTGCCTTGATTTCCCCATTTTGGCTGTTTCTTCTCAGGGCAGGTGCTTTTCTCCTCTGCTACCAGGAGGCTCCAGAGAAAAAGGTGCGTCCCTTTCTTTTGGGGGACGCTGTGCTTGAGTTTGATGACACCTCCCAGGGGCTTAGTGTAGCCCACTCCATCCTCTTCCTTCAGAACCCTCCCTCGAGCCACATGTGCACTCTCTCCAGCCTGAGGCTGTGCACCTTCTGTTCCTCCTCATTAAGACACCTTTCCCTGCATTCCCCCGTCCATCTCTTCCATCCTCCCAGCTGAACCTAAGACCCGGTCTTGAACTTGGCATCCCAGGGTTCCCCCGGGTTGGTCCGACCCCTGCCCACGTATGTGCACTCATGCTCGGGACTCAGCACACGAGCAGCCAGACCACACCTGCCTTCCTGAGCCTGCTCAGCCCCAGGCCAGCCCACGCTGAGTCTGTTTTCTTTCTTGAAAATGGAAAAGCCTGAGCCACCAGGAGAGAGGCGTGGGCGCAGGCCCTGCGGTTACCTGGGGTCAGCTCCACGGCCCACTCTGGGCCCCTGATACTTCCAGGGCCTGGCGGGGGCAACAAGCCAGGTTTGGTCACGTGAGAAACCAGCAGCGCCCGGTGGTCCATGGCCTAAATTGGGAGTAAAGGGAGCTGAGAGAAAGAAGCGATTCACTCAGGTCTCTCAGCCTGGCCTCAGGCCCCTCCTCCAGCCAAAAGCCTGGGGTCACTGGGCCTTGCTCCTTGGGGTTTGAGCCCCTGCACAGCAGCAGGGACGTTACTGGCATCTCTGGCTCTGAGGATCCGGGTTTTTTGTTTTGTTTTTAATTTTTACAGAGAGTCTTGGTATGTAGCCCAGGCTGGCCTCAGACTCTCAGTGACCCTCCTGCCTCAGCCTCCAGAATGCTGAGATGACACCGCGCTAAAAGGAGCCCGGCTAAAAGGAGCCTTCACTGAAAGAGAGCAGAGCCCGCCCACCGCCTACCCACCCACCCGCTACGAGCCAAACTGCCGGATCCGGCCTCCTCGGGAAAGGCCCCGCCCATTTCAGCCCAGTCCCGGACCCCGCCTCTTTCTTTCAGGCCCCGCCCTCCCGCCGACAGCCCCGCCCCACATCCAAGCCTCGCCCACCAGACGCAGACCACGCCCATCAGCCTCCACAAGCCCCGTCCAGCCACCGCGGAAACACGCCCACTTCTTTGCCCCGCCCACCGGAGCCTCAGCCACGCCCACCTTCGCTGCGGGAGGCAGGCGGGCAGCGAGCGCTGCGTGGCCTCCAGCCCGCGTCTTGCTCCCACGCTCGGGCAAGGTTGTTGGGGTCCGAGTAGCAACTGCTGGATGCGGATCGGGCGCCCACGCTGCCGCCACAGGTGCTTCGGGGGCCTGGGTGAGCCCTGGCGACCCCATTCCGGGCCCAGCCTGCTGCAGGGCTCTGCCGGGTCGGTGACCCCCGGAGTGGCCATGGCCGGGCTGTCCCGAGCCGTCCCCGCAGCTCGTGCCCAGGCGGGGAGGACACACGCGTGGGAGCCCCGCAGGATCGGCCCGGAGCTGCAGAGCAACGGGGTCAGGGCGGAGGCCCCAGGCCGGGTGGGGGTCAGGGCCGGGCGGGGCGGGGCGCGGTGCCCGGGCGCTGTCCCCCGGGCGGTGCTGAAGCAGGCGGCAGGGCCCGGGCGGTCGGGGCGAGGCGCTGTCTGCGCCCCCCGGTGCTGACGGTGCTGACGCCGGGTCCTCACGGGCGCTCCCAGCCCTCTCCGGCGACAGCGACCAGGAGGGGTCTGGTGGAACCGAGCAGGTGGGGACAGGCGGGCCCTCCGCTCGGGAAGGCCGCCAGCCTCGCCCTGAGCGTGCGCCCCGGAGGCCGGGGTCCTGGAGGCCGGGACTTGGGGGGCCGCGGAGGCCAGGGCCACGCGCGGAGGGGAGGCCTCTGTCTCCCCTGGCGGACACCCCCGGGACCCTTCTGGGGCCCACCGCCCCAAGCCAGCGCGGGAGGAGGGGCGCAAGGTCGGAACCCGCCTCCTTTGTTCAGCGGTAGCCCAGGGACCGGGCCGCAGCGCCGCGGAACCCCAAGACCTACCGGCCCCCCGCGATCAGACCGTGCACGGGAAGGCAGGCACGCTCCGCTCCCCGCCCCCGGCCGGGCTCGTCTTGGGGGAGCCGGGAAAGGCGAGAACATTTTCCCCGGAGCAGAGGGCTGGGCGTGTAGGTGCGGGGCACAGAGTGCCGGCGCTGGGTGGGGCAGGCGGACACTGGGGGCGACCGCTGGGCGTAGCGGGTCCCGGGTCGGCTCCAGGAGTCTCTGGGGGAGGCTTCGCTTGGAGGCCGTGACCCCCCGCCCACCGGCTCCCGGCCTGAAGGAATGAGACTGAGTTCAAGCCACACGAGCACCCCGGCTTGCTGTGAAACGCATTGAAAGTGTCTCCCCAAGATAGGGCGGTCATCCCACCACTCCGGGAGGCTGAGGCAGGAGATCCTAAGTAAAGGGAATGAAATGACAGCGTTTGTAGGACCTCGGACCCCTGCACATCCGGCTCCCCTCTGTCCCAGCCTGCTGGCAGCCCCAAGGTGGAAGTGTCCCTTGGTAAATTCCTGGGCTATCAGGCCCCCGTCCGACCCTCAGGCACCCACCTGGTCCGGCCTCCAGGATTGCCCACCTGGACCCACCTCAGGGTCCTCCTGGGTCATCATTGTGTCCCCTTCGGCCTGGGGCAGCCAGCCCATCCTTCCCCCCACCACAGCCCTGTGTCTTGCAGGTTCCAGTCACCCAATTCCCTGCTCCCATCCAGGTCCCTGTACCAGCCTTCTAGGGACGTTTCCAGTCTCCGGGCTTCGCAGCACTGTTCCACTGTAGGGCACACTGTTCCCTGCACTTGCCTGCCGACCACCTTCTTCCAGCAGCGTTTCCTCCAAAGCCAGCGCTGCCATGCAGGCCTCCCAGCCACCTCACCCACCTCCTCCTCACCTGCCCGGCGCCTGGCTTTGCCCCGTCCCTCGGGCTCGCATGGTGAACTTCACCTGGGGGCTCAGCTCTGCCTCAACAGGGGCCCAGGGGCAGCTGCCCAGCGGGGGCAGCAGAGGGCTCCCCGGACGAGACCCGCTGCCCTGGGGACTCCAGGGGCAGAGCCCCAGTCCACCAGCTCCCAGACCCGCTGGAGAGAAAGCAAGGAGAGGGCACAGCAAGTTGGGTCAAGTTCCGTCCGGGGCAGCTGCTCTTGTCCCCTCCATGTGTTCCCCAAGCCGGGCTACCACTCAGAACCCCCCTTCCTCTTCCAGGGAGAGGGGTGCACATCTCAGCCTCAGATTTTTATTTTGTTGAGACAGGGTTTCCCTGTGTAACCCAGGGTAACCTCAAACACATCGAGAGCATCCTGCCTCAGCCTCCTGCATGCTGGAATGGCAGGTGTGTGCCACCACCCCGGGGGATGTGACAGTGCCTGGGCCCCCCAAGCAGGATGTTCATCCCCGAGAGCATTCGCAATGCCAGTGTCACAGCAGTGCTCCGCAGCTGGGAGGATCACAAGTTCGGGACCAGTTTGGTGGATTTAGTGAGACACTGTCTCAAAATAAAGATTAACCTGGGGGTGGTGGATCGTACCTCTCACCTCAGCCCTTGGGAGGCTGAGCAGGAGAATCTCGGTGAATTCAAGGCCAGCCTGGACTACACAGTGAGGGCCTGACTCAAAACCAAAAAGTCAGCCAGCCAGGTGAGCTGGTGCATCCCTGTGATCCCAGTACTCGGGAGGCTGAGGCAGGAGGATCTTGAGTTCCAGGCCAGCCTGGGCTACACCTTGAAGGCTGGAAGGAGATCTGTCCATGGAGCTGACCCCGCTTAAGGACAGTAAATTGAAACTCACAGCCTTGGGGACATTGTGTGCTGGGGACTAGTGGGGACAGATGTGGACATGGGAGCAGGCACGGATGTGTGGGAGAGAGGGAGGAGGAGGAGCCGGCAGGAGTTGGACCCCGCTCTTCCGCCCTGTCCCCCTGGGGGTGTGACACACCCTGCCCCGTGCTCAGGCGAGAGTGAGATCTGCAGCTTGCGGCTCCCCAGGGAGGTTTCCTGGCAGCCTTGAGGGCATGGGAGGCAGCGGCATTGTGCGCAAGGCAGAGGTGCCCCGCCAGGTCCTGTCCCTCTGCTACCTGGGGAAACACTACCCGCGGCAGAGACCCTTGCTTACAGCTATGTATCCATTCAACAGACACCAAATGAGCCAGGTGTGAAGCCAGACAGCTGTGATCCAGCATCAGGAGGCTGAGGCAGGAGGACCCCTGCAAGATCAAGGCCAACCTGGGCTAGATGGCGAGACTGTCTCAGAAAGACAAAGCAAGCCACAAATGGCAAGAGTTTCCATAATCCAGACAGAAGAAAGCCTCGAAGGGCAACTGGGGGCGGGGTGGGGCAGTCAGTCCCTGAGGAGGTCACTTGGCCGGGAGACTTGAGGCACGGAGCCTGCCCAGGAGGGGACGGGGGACTGGTGGGGCCGCCCCGCCCTGGGTGGGGCCCTGCGTGACTCCCTTGTCACTGTTGCTGTCCAGTGCGCCCTGGCTGGGTCCAGACTCTCCATCCTCCTGCCTCAGCCTCCCGGAGTGCTGGCATCACAGGTGTGCACCGCTGTGCCGGGCTGCGCCCAGCCACACAGCTGCAGTGACCGCTGCTCTGAGGCCTCTGCTGACTGCCGTCGTTTCCTCCTGCCTCAGTTTCCTACCTGAAGCCGCAGACCCACGCTGGAGGATGCGGCCTGGTTTCCCCCTGTGCTGGCCAGGGCCAGGTGAGTGACCCTTCTCCTTTCTCCTCCCACACGCGCTATGCACAGCTGCCCTGCCACTCTCCGGGCTCTGTGAGCCTCAGTTTCCCCCAGAGCCACCCTCCAGCAGCTGTGAGTATTCAGGAGCGAGGCTCGGGTCCCTGTGCTCACCTCGCCCAGCAGGAAGGACAGTGACTTCCTGCTGTGTCTCCCTGGGGGCGAGGCTGTGAGACCTGGGACCCCACACAGGGACTCCCCAGCCCAGACTCCTTTTTGTGGTAGGAGGGGTCCCCGGCCCCAGGCCACCTGAGACCCTCAAGGTGGGTCCCCTGGACTCCCTGGAGCAGGAGGGGTGCTGGGCCAGGCCAAGAGGTCACCCTGGGTTCCCCCTTCCCTAAGGGATGCTCAGACTGCCCGGGAGCCGGGCCGGGCACCTGGAGGGCAGGTGGCAGGATGGGTGCTGCAGGTGTAGCTGGCGATGCCAGGGAGGCAGGGTGGGGTCACCAAGCCAAGTCAGAGCCCGGGACTCCAAGTGGCACCTGTGACAGACCAGAGGGCTTTGGGAACACGGGGCTCCAGGAGAGGCAGTCACCAACCATGTTCAGTCGTCTCTTGTCCCCAGGCTGGAAGCAGCAGCTACAGCCAGAACCTGGACCCGGGGACAGGGTGGGTGGCAGGTACGTGGTGCCTGGGCACAGGGACCCAGTCTCCTGAAGCTGCCACCTACCTGCCGCACCTCCCTCCCCCACCAGACCAGCAGAGCACGACCGGATCATGGGGCCTTGGGAGGGGCAGTGAGCCCCCTCTGCGCCCCCACCCCAACCACACCTCCTGGGCTACGTGGGGCCCCCTCTGTCCTGGGGAGCAGCGTACGCAGTCCCCGGCCCCCTAACCTTCGTGCCAGCTCTGCCCTGATCCTGCTATACCCGATCCATCTTGCCAAAGTCTCTGGTCCTGATAGTGGTGGCCAGGAACTTCCTTGGGGAGTCCCCACCTGGGGCAGTACCCCACTGTAGTTGCTGCAGCCCTGCAACCTGCTGGCCACGTTGCTCTATCACTGCCAGGGTTCCCACCCCAGGACCTTTGCATCGCTGCACCCACCTCCTGGAACTCCTGGCCATCCCCTCCCACCACTCAGATCCCTGCGCCTCCTCTCTGGCCCAGCAAACCTGGACTGGCCAGCCCCATTTCTCGTCCCTCTCCCTTGACCAAACTGGTCCATGAGGACACAAATATGGTCCTCACTATGTCTGTGACAGAGAACAGGGCATACAGTAGGTGCTCAATAAACGCTGCTCACATGAACCCACAACTCAGGAGGCCTTGGGTGAACTTTCGGGATTTTATTTGTTTGTTCTGTCTCTTATTGTTGGATACCCCATCTTGCTGTGTTGATCAGGCTGGTCTTGAACTCCTAGGCTCACACAATCCTCTTGCCTCAGCCTCCTGAGCAGAGGAGCCAGGACCCCAGGAGCCTGGCCCAGTGGCTACTACGGGCCTTGGCCGAGCCCTTTCGGGCGCCCAGCCGAGAAGCCCCGTTTGTCTCCCTGCCCAGTCGCGGTCACTTGGATCATTGTTGGCTCACGCGGTCCTGCAGAAGGAACACAGAGGGGACACTCAGGCCAAGTGGGGAGGTGGCAGTGGCCCCACCAAGTGGCCCCAGCTCACCATGGACACCTCGTCCAGTGGGAGGAACTCAGACGGACCCCGGTGGTGGTGCCTCACAACCAGCAGCACGGACCCGATGAGCACCAGGGACACCAGGATACACACGACTATCACCACGGCCGGGTTCCGGTGTGACATGGGTGTCTGGGTGTCCCCTGGGGGATGGGAGATGCCTGGGATCAGCCCTGAGACGCAGACCCCTGCAGGACCCAAAGCAATCCTGCTGCCTTGGTCTCCCCAGTTCTGGGATTTCGGGCGTGCGCCACCATGTCCGGCTCAAAATATATAATTGACAGCTTGTCCCGCATGCGGCCGGGAGGACAGGACCTGCGCGAGGCACTGTGGATCCCAGCCAGGCCCGGTGGTGCACGCTCCGGGGCTGTGCCTCCCTCTGGTGGCCGCAACCAGAACTGCAACCAGGTAGTCGCACCTCTGCCCGGAACCCAGGCCCTGCCCGCTTACCCTGGGCCGGGGTGGAGGAAGAGGGGGCCCAGGGCGGGAGCGAGGGTGTGGAGTCGGACGCCAGAGTGGGCTCTGAACTGGGGGACTCAGAGGTGGATTGGCTGACTGTCATGGGGTGCGGGGTGCCAGAGGGCACCCCGGATTCTGCAGTGGTAGAGCTGAGCTGGGATGTGGCGATTTCCTCGGTCCCAGGGGGGCTGGGCTGCGGGGTGGACGCGTCCCCAGGACTTGAGGAGCTGGCGTCGGGGGGAAAAGTCGCAGGGGTGGCAGAAATGCTCGCTGATTCCGTGTGTGGTGAAGAAGCATCTGGAAAGAAAGAAAAGAATAGTGTGGTTCTCGGGAACTGTGGTTCCGACCCGGCGGTGTAGGCGCTGGAGGTTGGGGGGGCACTGCTCAGGCTGCGGAGCACTGCGCATGCGCCTGGCCCTGGGTTCCACTCCAGCCTCGGAAAGGAGAGGCTGAGGCAGGAGGATCGCCGCGAATTCGAGGCCAGCCTGGACGACACAGTAGGACCCTGTTTTGAAAGCACCCAAGAAAATGAATCAATAAAAGCAAAAATGAATACACATCCCACCCTCACCCGGGACCTAAGGCTGGAGCCGCTTGGGCCTTGGGTGGACCGGTCCCCGCCGGGGTGCTCCTGGTGTGTGTGTCGCCCCCTGGTGCCCATAACCAGAACTGCAGCTAGGTATCGCAGCCTCTGCCCGGAACCCAGGCCCTGCCCGCTTACCCTGGGCTGGGGTGGAGGAAGAGGGGGCCCAGGGCGAGAGCGAGGGTGTGGAGTCGGACGCCGGAGTGGGCTCTGAACTGGGGGACTCAGAGGTGGATTGGCTGACTGTCATGGGGTGCGGGGTGCCAGAGGGCACCCCGGATTCTGCAGTGGTAGAGCTGAGCTGGGATGTGGCGATTTCCTCGGTCCCAGGGGGGCTGGGCTGCGGGGTGGACGCGTCCCCAGGACTTGAGAAGCTGGCGTCCGGGGAAAAATTCGCAGGGGAGGCAGAAATGTTCGCTGATTCCATGTGTGGTGAAGAAGCATCTGGAAAGAAAGAAAAGAATAGTGTGGTTCCCGGGAACTGTGGTTCCGACCCGGCGGTGTAGGCGCTGGAGGTTTGGGGGGGCACCGCTCAGGCTACAGAGCACTGCGCATGTCGAAAGAGAGGCTGAGGCAGGAGAATCGCCGCGAGTTCAAGGACTGCCTGGAGGACACAGTGAGACCATGTCTCAACCAACCAATCAATCAATTAATTTTAAGAAAGAAAAAAACCCGCCCAGTTTTTGGGGAGACCAAGACTAACTTGGGGCAAGATAGGGTTGCTCAGTGAGAAACTGAGGTTCCCTCAAGAGGTCAAGCTGTCTTTTTTGCTCCTTTCCAGCCCCTACTGGAGCCCCTACCCTGGAAGCCCTCTGGCGGGGGCGGCCACAGCCCAAGAAGGTGCTGAGCGCTGCGGGAACCACCAGAGACGCAGTTTCCTTTGCAACTGGCTTATTAGCTTATTTTATTATTTTTTTTAAATTTTGAGACAGGGTCTCAGTGGACCACCAAGTTGCCCAGGCTGGGCCTGCACTCCTACCTCAGCCTGAGTGTCTGGGTGTGTGTCACCACACCAAGCTTCTTCGGGGTTTACTTTGGTCACTTTGGCAGGGCCGAGCCGGGGCAGGCTGAGGCGAGCCAGAGGGCAAGCTGTGCCCACAGCGACCTCCGGGCAGGCGGGCACCGGGGACCCGCCCCCGGCCGCTCCTCTGCCCTGGGCACAGTGCTGCGCCTCTTCCTGCCTCGCCCCGGGCCAGGCCGGGCCCTGAAACGCGGAAACAACCCTGGCCCCAGCCGGCCCGGGCCTCGCCCCACCCCGCTGGCCCCGGGGTGACAGGTGCACCCCGCTGAACACAAGGAACCAAGGCAGAGTCTGGCCTTAGAGGGCCAGGGAAGGTGATTCAGGAGCCCAGGAGGAACCGGGGCGGGGGCGCCCCAGGGCACAGTCAGGGAAACACTGAGGGGACCAGGGGAGCACAGGTGCCCCGACAGCGACCAAGCAGGGGTCTTTCCAGGGGGTGCGCAGGGGCCTGATCTCCCCACCTCCGTCCAAGAGCAGCAGCCGGGACCTCCCGTTCCAATCGGGGCAGGCGCAGGGGTCCGAGCCTGAGTTTCCAGCTACTCAGGACCCCTCGGAGGAGACTACCCCGGCCACGGTGTCCAGCCTTGGCACCGCGAATTGAGGGCTGGACTCAAGCGGGGAGCAAACACTGGGGTGGGGGGAGCCTCCCTCCCTGCCTAGCCGGGGACCGTGTGCAGGGCCGGAGCTCGGGAAAGCCGAGGGAGGACGCAGCGCCCTGGGCAGCGCCAGGGAGCACTCAACCTTCGGCCCGGCCACGTCCGGCTCTGGTTAAATAATGGTCTCCGCTGGGGACGGGGAGCCCGGTGTGGCACTACAGGGTCCCCCCGGACAGCGCCCTGCCACGGCCCACCGCCCATCTCCTCCGGCTCCCTGGAGTCCCGGGCTCCCTCTTACCTCTAGAGTCTTGGGCATTTGCACTCCCCAGGGACTTCAGCAGCAGGGCAAGGGCGATGGTCAGCAGCGGCAGCCGCCGGGACCCCGCCATCCCCGCTCAGGGTAGCCCAGGGCGCCGCGCGACCACCGCCAGGTGTGCGGCCAGGTGAATGCGTGGGGCGCCTCCGCGCGCCCCCTGCTGGTAGCCCGAGGGACTGCGCGGCGCAGGCGGGGCCTCGGGGTCCCGCACTGGACCTGCACAGCTCGCCTGCGCCAGAGTCCTCGAGTCCAGCTCTCAGGACCCCTGGCCGCTCCTCTTACAGCCCCAGCCGCTGTGGCGGCCCCCAAGGCTGCCCCAAACTCACTCTGTCCACACTGGAGACCGCAACACTTCCTTCTTCCTCCCCCACGTCTCTGGCCTGAGAGAGGCTGGGGATAGCCTTGAACCCTTCTCACCCACCCCAGACTGGGAGACTTTGGAGGTGAGCCCTATACCTTCCAACAGGATGGGGAAGGAACTGCTCTGGGCCAGGTCCCTCTTTTGAAGGGTTGGGGTTCTGGGGCCTCAGAGAGTACTCATCACGCGCTATATCCCCAGCCCTCTATTTTGAGACGTTATCTCACTATGCTGCTCAGGTTGGACTTGAACTTGCAGTCCTCCTGCCTCAGCCTCCCGAGCAGCTGGGACCATAGGCCTGTGCCTGTGCTGCCATGCAGGCCCAGATGAGGGTTTTGGGGGTGAAAAAGTGGCTACTACCATGGGAGGAAAGTGGCACACGGGACACCAGTTGGCAGCCCCCGACCACTAGAGACCACCGGGGGTCCCCGTGTTGGTCACACACACAGAGCCGGAGTGCAAACAGCACTGTTGGGGTCCTCCCCCCAGGATGCTCCAGACTCCCTCACCCCTCCACACCCCATGCACTCCAGTTAATTTATAGCACAGGACGCCAGACTCAGGCTGGGCGACTTTATTTGTGCGACCCAGAGAACCACCAGCCCTCCGCCGGGTCCTCTGCAGGCAGCCAGAGTCCTAAACGCCAGACCAGCGTGAAGGCTGTCGTGTTGGGCGCGGGGCCCCCGGGGCGCTGTCCCAAGGGCTTCCCATCCCCAGGAGTGCCACAGAGGTGAGGCAGGTCCGAGTGTAGTGGCCCCGCCAGGTGGCCTGCAGCATCCTGGCGGCCAGCTGCTGCTCTCTTAGCTGGCGTCGAACCTTGAAGCCCCTCCAGGCTGACTGGATGGTGGTGGCTGCTGCGTCCCAAGACTGCTGTTGGGGCTGCAGCTGCTGTTGGTACCAGAGGGTCGGCTGGCGGGTGGAGGCCCATGGTGCACCCGCCCGGCCTGTGCCGTGCACCACCCGTGTGGGGAGTGTGTGGCCACAGGTGTGGCAGGTGCGAGGACTGGCGCCCACCAGCATGACCACGCTGGGCGGGCTCCCCATCTCGGGGCGCAGGGCCTGGCACAGGCTGCAGAGGCGTGGCGGGCAGGTCTGGAAGCAGCGGTGCTCGGTGGCTGCCTTGGCCTCACTGGGAGGCTCGATCCACGTGGGTGGCAGCTGCAGCTGTTGAGCCCGCACCTCACGGACACGGTGGCCTCGCCATGCGGCCTGGATGATAGTGGTGGCTTTGTAGAGCCGCAACAGGTTACGTCGCACGCAATGTCCGCGCCAGGTGGCCTGGATGACGGTGGCCCTCTGATGCCACACCTTGATGGTCCGGCGCACCAGGTATCCGCGGGCACACGCCTGGATGACGGTCACAGCATGGATGATGATCTTCTCCATTTGCTGCAGTGACACAGTCAAGTCCTCCAGTGGCCTGGGCACTGCCACTGCTGTGTGGCCCACGTGGTCCCATGGCCCCGGGCCCTTGGGCGGCTGCTGTGGGTAATGGGGGGCCACGGCATGCTCCAGGGGCTTGACTGCCACACTGGGCACAGCAGAGGTCCACAGCTGACCACCATGTGTGCTGGCATCCACGGGGCCCTGAGGGACACCAGGGGTCAGGGATGGCTTGTGATGGCTCACAATGGGACCCATGAAACGATGGGGAAGCCAGCACTGGGGGACCTCAGGGGTCAGGGACAGCTTGTGATGACGAGCCGTGGGGCCTGTGATGTAAGGGCGGGTCTGGTCTAGCAGGGGCCCCTGGGGCTCAGTCAGTGAAGACTGGTGGCCCAGAGACACCTCACAAACTTCTGGGGACAGTCTAGGGACACCTGTGCCCTGTGCCACACCCGTGGACAGCAGGCCTGTGGCCGGCCTGGGGCTGCGTGGGGAGGCCCGGGGCACAGGCTTCTGTGCGTGCTGCAGGGGCTTGGGCCCTGCAGGGGCTGCAGGGCCATCCAGCAGTTCAGGGACCAGGCTGCCCCAGCGGGACTGGCAGGCTTTTCTCGTGCCAGGGGATAGCAGTTTCTGGGGCGCACAGGGGGCAGCTCCCCCATGGTGAAGAGCAGGGGTTGCAGGTTCTGCCCAGGACCGGCAGGGCTGCATGGGGGGCACTATGCTGGTGGCTGCCAACCACCGGGGAGGACTGGGGTTCCCTGTTTGGGCTATGGGCACCCGACGCAGACTGTCTGGAGCCAGCTGGGACAACCGTGAGATTCTACGGGCTGCTACCTTCCCCCGGGGATAACATCTGACCCCGCTGAGAGCCGCAGACTTGTGCTGAAATGCTAAGGAACCCTCAGTGGTCCCAGGAGCCAGGGGCTGTCGCGTGGCCCTGTCCACTACAGAAACCTTCTGCACACCAGGGACCCAGCCAGCAGCTTCGAGGCAGGCCCTGGGAGGTCCCCAACTGCTCAGGGACTTCCTCTGGAGAGTAGGGGTGGCCTCACTGGCCCTGAGGTGGCGGGTTGACCTTGGGGCCTGGTCCACAGCTAGGCTGGGAGCCACATTCCTGAATGGTGGCCTTTGGTCTCTGGGAAGCCTCCCCTCCACAAACAGGGGCCTGTGGTCACAAGGACCCCCTTTCCCGGGGGTCCTGTCCTGTACATATGCTGTGACCTTGGAGAACCTGGATGCACTGGGCTCCCTGTTGGACCCTGAGGCCCAGGACAGATTCTCCCATGCTGCTCTTGGCCTCAGTGTGGCCTGGTCACTCGGGGCCCTAGGCGTGCTCCTCCCAGGGTCCCTGCCAAACCTGAATGCCCTGGACAGGGCAGTGGGCGTCCTGCACTCCCCAGCAGCAGGGCCTGGGGCTGGAGCCTGAGGTTGGGCCAGCCCGGTGGCATTGGAGCCCTGGCAGGGGCCAGCAGGGTCTTCTCCAGCCAGGGCTCGATGGAAAGGGCGGGGAGAGAGTCCTACAATCAGGGACCCTGGGGGCGCGTTGTAGCCCACACACACAGGCATGGAACTCAGGGGCACCTGTGGCTCCAGCGAACTCACCACTGAACCTGAGGTCAGCCTTGGGGCCACAAATCTAGCCAGGGGTCCTATGGAGAGGCAGGGCTTCCCCCAGTTAGGGCCAGATGCTGCCAACTGCCTGGGGGCCACCCCGCCTGCCACTATAGACCTTGAGGGGAGGCCCTGCACCACACCATCCATCAAAGACCCGGGAGGGAGGCCCTGGACCGCACCATCCATCAAACATCTTTGGGGGTACTCTGGGGGGAGGTCCTGGACTGCACCATCCATCAAATACTCTGGAGGGAGGTCCTGGACCACACCATCCATCAAAGACCCTGGACAGAGACTCTGGACCACACCATCCATGGAACACCCAGTGGGGAGGTCCTGGACCACACCATCGATCACAGACTCTGGGGGGAGACCCTGGCCTACACCATCCATCACAGATTGTGGGGGGAGGCCCTGGGCCACTCCCATCACTGAGCCTGTGGCAAGACCCTGGCCCACGCCTCTGATGACAGACCCTGGGGGAAGACTGAAAGCCAGGCCACTGGTGTCTGGGACCACAGTGTCTGTAGTCATCCTGTCTTCACAGCCCTGCACCAGGCCATCACGGGCTGTGCCCATCCCAGAGGCCTGAGCAACCCCTGAGTAAAGGCAGCTGGATGGGGCCATAGGGGCCAGGCCAGGGGGCTGGTGGTGGTGCAGGGTCACTGGAAGAGGGACACTGGCCTGACAGACACTGGGCTCCAGGTCACCGAGCAGCAACTGGGCCTGGCTCGGCCTGTATCTCCTGAATACCACCCCTGCAGGGAGGCTCTGGGCCAGGCCTGAGGTCTCCAAAGGTCCCTGGGGTATCAAAGGAGCACCTATCTCCAAGACCTGAGATGCCAGGGGAGCTGTGCCATCCATCACCGGACTGCACCTCTGGTCCACAGACGCATCAGCACATGGCCAGGAGGTGTCCCCAGCCAGGTCACCTTGGGCGGCCTCTGGGGACAAGCTCAAGAATGCACTGGTTGCCAGATGGCCCTGGGGCATGCTGGTAGCCACATCCTTGAACCAGCTGTGCTGGGACACACCAGGTCCCCAGGATGGACCCAGGTTCTCCTGATAGAGATAGGGGTTTGGGACAGTGGCTGAACTTGGTGTCCTCTGATAGATCTCAGGGTTCTGATGGAATTCAAGGTATACGTGGTTAAGCTCAGGATCCTGGAGGTTTGGGACCATGCCAGTCACCATAAGACCATCATCCCTCAGGACCCTGCCACTACCCAGAAGAGCCTGGTCCAGGCCAAAGCCTGGCCTGCTGGTCACCCCAGGGTAAAATCTGCTGGAGTCAGCAGGCATAAGGACAGATGGCTGACGCTGACCAGGCTGGGCTGTGTACACTCCTGAGCCTGCCTGATCGGGGACCCCCATGGACATGGACAGTGGGTCGAGGAAACCGTGAGCTCTGTCCCAGGCCACTGGCGGCCAGGCCAGGCTTGGGGACCCCAGATTGGCTGCGCGTGGCTGGGATAGATAAGGGGACATTCTAGTAGCCAAAAATGTGCGGGCCCGTTTGAAGGCCATCTTCCTCTGGGACAAAAGGGGCTGGCTTAGGCTTGGGGCCACTACATGGGCCACAGATGGATGAGGGAAGCTAGGGGACACATCACCAGCCACGGCAGCTTGGGCAAAGGCTGGGGACCTTACATTGGCCACAGAAGATCGAGCAAATGTTGGGGACCCCCCACTGGCCACAAGAGATCCAACAAAGGTCGGGGACCCCCCACTGGTCACAAGAGATCTGGCAAATGTTGGGGACCCCCCACTGGCCATAGGAGATCGGGCAAATGTTGGGGGACCCCCACTGGCTATAGGGGATTGAGCAAAGCTTGGGGACCCCCCACTGGCCACAAGAGATCCAACAAAGGTCGGGGATCCCCCACTGGTCAAAAGAGATCTGGCAAATGTTGGGGACCCCCCACTGGCCATAGGAGATCGGGCAAATGTTGGGGGACCCCCACTGGCTATAGGGGATTGAGCAAAGTTTGGGGACCCCTCACTGGCCACAGAAGATTGGGTAAAACTTGGAGGACCCTCACTAACTATAGGGCATTGAACAAAGCTTTGAGACCCCTCACTAGCCATAGACGATCCGTTAAACATTGAGGACCTCCCACTGGCCTCAGGAGACTGGGCAGATGGCTGATGTGTCCTTGGGCCCAGCCCACTGGCCGCAGGCAGAGGCTGTTCTAGGCCCAGGGACACAGCCATGGTATCAGCCTGCCAGGGGCCCAGCCCACTGGCTGTGGGCACTGAGGCTGAGCTGGCACCCAGCCCCCCTGCCGTCACTAGCTGGGCTGGTCCAGGGGCCACCCTGCTGGCCACAGATGGTTGGTCTAGGCCCAGGGAGACCCCCATCCTGCTGGCCACAGATGGTTGATCTAGGCCCAGGGAGACCTTCGAGGACACGGTCCACTGGGATGGCACAGACCCAGGGGGCAGTGACAGACAACTGGAGGCTGGGCAAACCTTGGCAGCCCCAGAGGACTGGCCTGGGTTTGGGGTTGCCCTGCTGGCCAGCGAGGGCTGAGAGAGGGCACGAGAAAATCTGGGAGCCACAGACGTCTGCAGGCCCACAGCAGGGACCACAGAGGCCAACGACAGCGTCCTCTTGGGGCCGCGCTGGATGGTCCTCTGAGCTATTCTCTCCAACACATTCAGAGAGCTCTGACTCTCCTTATTCTCTGTGTCCCAGTGGACGCTCACAGGCAGGCAGCTGGACACCAGGGTGTGGGACGGAACAGGCACACACTTGGAGGTCACAGAGGTGGGGTTGGGGGGAGGAGGGCTCAGGCATTTCTGGCCGGCTTCCCCTGTCTTTTCTGAGGTCCCCAGCCTCCTCTGGGAACACCTCAGCGGCTTCTGAGACAGCAGGGGCTCCAGCGGGGGGCCCTCACACCAGCTCCCCTCCCAGGAGTGGTCTAGGACCTCGACCTTGGCCACGCTGCCCACGGACGCAGAGGACAGGGAGCTCTTTGAGCTGCTGTCACCCGTGCTGCAGGGCTTGGGGCCCTGGGAGGTGCTTTGGGCCGACGCACCGTGCCTGCTGGCCACCAACTCAGTAAGGGGAGACTCTGGGGAGGAGGGTAGGACAGAGGCAAGACTTTGAATTAGATCCCTTTTCTGCTGGGTGGACGGTTGGGTGCATGTAGGCTCCAACCTAGTACCTGTAGACACTTGTGATACACGGTCACCTCCCTGGCCCCTGGGAGCCTGGACTTTGCCTACCGCGACCACTTTTGGTGGAGTTGGGGGCACCTTAATGGTCTCCGGGGAGATTTTTCTGGGATTAGAGGCCTGACCCCTTCTGAAGTTCTCACAGGTGGCCTTGGACGACTGCCTTGGGCCTCTGGCCATGGTGGGGCAGTGGAGATGGGGGGTCATCTTCCTGCCCCCCGCTGCCTGACACCAGCAAACCATACCCTGACCGGTGGGAGGGGAGAGGTGGGAAGGGGCCCCCCGCCCTGACCCTCTGCTACCTGGAAGCCTCCCTGGGGCCATGCTGCCCTTGCCCAACGTCGACCCAGGACGAGGGGCCACCCTGCTGACCACATGCGGCTGCTGGGCACTGGGGGCTGGATTGCCAGTCACCAACGGCTGGCTGGAGCTCGGGCCGACGCCTGCACTGAGGAAGGGCTGCCAGGGGCTGAAACGAGGCTGCAGGGGGCACGGCCGGGGCCAGTGAGGACCGTCACCCCCCATCGCAGGGTCACTGGCACAGGCCAATCTGCTGGCCTCTGGGGCCAGGCATGCACTTTCCTTTCTGATTTGGGGGCTCAGATACCGGTCAGAGAAGACTCTGCCCAACTCTGCCCTGCAGGACAACAGGAGCTCTAGGCCGATGACAAAGGGACGCAGGGACCTGCTAGAGGCCACCCGCACCATGCGGGCAGCAGCCACAGGGAAGTGGGACAAGCAGAGTGACCCCTGGAGCATGGCCCCCCTTCCTCCGTCCCCCCATGGGCCCACAACAATGCAGTCCCAGACACCCTCCCCGGGGGTCCTGACCTGGCCTGGCTGTGGGCAGGGCCCTCGAACCGTCGCCTCCACCCTGGCTGGTGGCAGTGTAATCCTGCTGCTGGATGCTTTCGAGGTGGCTCTGGGGACAACGGCCTCAGTCCTGGGGGCTGCCTGGAACAGGGACTGGCTGAGGATGGCCCCCAGCTCTCCCTGGCACAGAGTCCGGCTCAGAGCCGCCCACTCCTCCTGGGTCAGTGCCTTGCCGAGCACTTCGGTCACCCTATTGTGCACAGCCTTGGCCAGTTCTGTGCGAAGCTCGCCCTGGGACAGCACGCGGGACAGCGTGGCACCCAACTCGCCCCAGGACAGCGTCTTGGCCAGGGACATTCCCAGCATGCCCTGGGGCAGCACCTTGAGCATGCTGGCCCCCAGGACCTCCTTGGACAAGGCCTGGTTCAAGGCGGCCCACACTTCTTGCTGCGAGAGCGCTTTGGTCAGCAGTGTGCGCAGGTCCTCCTGGGAACCCAGTGCAGCCACCAGCTCTGTGCCCAGGGCAGCAATCTTTGAGGCCACATCCTCTTGGCTGGTCACCACCTGGCTGGCTGTGGGTAGCTGGGCCCTCATGGTCTTACTGTCACCCCAGGACTCCACATTACAGCTGACGTGTGTTGTAGTGGTCGCAGTAAGCAGAGGAACCAGCGTCTCCTGGGGCTCCAGGGCTGTGGGGCGGGCGCCCTGGGTGGCCTTGCCCGGTCTGTGGTCTGGCTTCACTCTGGAGCTGGTGCTCAGTGTCCCTGAGAGCTGGCAGCAGGGGACAGGCGTCTTGGGCCCAGTCAGCAGTGGGTGGGACTGGGCCTTGCTGCCCAACTCAGTGGCCGGTTGGGCTGCAAAGACTCGCCGGGCCGTCTCTGCTGTCAGCTGCACCTGGGACTGCGTCCTGGTCAGACAGGTGACCAGGTGCCCTATGGATGGGGCCTTGCTCAGCCTGCTGGGCGGGTGCACCTGGGACTCTGCCTTGTCAGGATAGGTGGCTGGTGGTGGCTGTGATAGCGCCCTGATCTGTTCAGGGGGCGAACGGACATGGGGTGAGGCCGTCACACTGGTGGCCACCTGAGGCCGGGATGGTGCCGTCAATGGCCGTGCAGCCAGCTGTGCCTGGGGCAGACGTGGCTGGGATGGCGCCAGAGCCTTGGTTAGCGGAATGGCCACTTGAGGCCGAGGCAAGGCCTCGGCCACCTGCACTGGCATGTACACTTGGGACTGGACCTTGATGACTTCCACTCTCTGGAGAGCCTGTGCCAGGGGCTGGCGTCTGTCTGTGGTGACTCTGGCTGCTGGCACTGCCACATTGGCCTTAGACACTGAGTCCTTGCTCACTAGTTTCTGGGTGCTGGTATGGGTTTTCTTGACTTCCAAAGGGACCCTTGTGGGAGCCCTGGGAGCCCCAGGAGCCCCAGTTTCCATATGCGGCTGGGGAACAACCTTGACCCTCCCTTCAGGCCAACAAGAGAGGTCTGAGACTTTCACGGTCCCCACTGTCACCGGCCTGGTGCTCGTCGAGACCTTGGTCCTTGATGCCTCCAGGTGCAGGCTGGCAGAGCTGCTGGGGGCTCCAGCCGGCCGGGCCTTGAGGTTTCCAGAGCCCGGAAGTGTTGGGCACAGCGTCCTGAGTGCAGCTGCAACTGAGCGGATCTGGGCCGGGGTCCTGGTGATCATGGCTGCCAGACGTGTCTGGGCTGGGGCCTTAGGCGTGGAGGTGGCGGAGCGCAGCTGGGATGGTGTCTTGCACACAGTGGCTGCTGCCTGTGTAGTCTGAGGCGGGCGCACTAGGGGCGAGGCCTTCCTCATCATGGGTACCGAGGCTGGCTGGGGTGGGGATCTGCTCACGGGGGCCACCGGGCGCGTCTGGGCCTGAGGTTTGATCACAGAGGCCAACAGGGACATCTGGGGTGGGACTCGGGTCATGGGGACGGCAGGGCGAGGTGGTGGAATGCTGGTCAGTGGCGTTGGCCGAACCCGGGCTTGGGCCTTGGTCAGTGTGGGTGCCGGGCAGGTCTGGGGCTGTGTCTTGGTCAGCATGGGCACCGGGCACATCTGGGCCGGCGGGGTCTTGGTGGTGGCGGCCCTGGGATACGTCTGGGATGTGGTCCTGGTTGCTGAGGCCATTCGGAAAGTCTGGGATGGGGCCCTGAGAGGCTGTGCCTCTGCGGGGACCTGGCTGTACTTCCCAGATGGGGGTGGCTCTGGGGACCCCGCTTTAGTAGCTCTGGAAGTCATATATCTGGACTTTGCTGTGTCCACCATCATGTGGCTGTTGACCAGGCAGGGACCCCTGACTGTTGAGGTCACCGGGCCAGGCTGGCACTTGGGATCGGGGCTTCCCAGGCACCGGAGGCTGCTGGCATGGGCCTGTGGCGGCAGGGTGGTGGCTGTCGTGGGTGCACAGGGTGGGCCCCCACGCGGGGGTGGCAGCGAGATGAGCCAGGGTGTGCAGGGCTCCGGGCTAGCGGGGGCGGAGCCCTGGGGCTCCCTGCTCCCTGGGCAGGGCTGAGGACCGAAGCGCACCTGCTGCGGCGGGTGGTAGGGGATGTCGCCTTCCTCCTCTGCACGCCCCAGGGCCGGCAGCTTCCCAGAGCGGCGCAGGCGCCGGATGCTGAAGCGCCGCCAGGCCTCCTGGATGGCTTTGGCCGCCGTCATCTGGGACACGAGCTTCTGGCGCAGTCGGTGGCGCCTCCAGCTGGCCTGGATGAGGGTGGCAGCCCGGGCGTGCATCATGTCCATCTCGTCCACCAGGATGTTCCTGAAGGCCTGGCTCTCCACGACCGCGCGCAGGCGCGGCACGCGCGGAGGCGCTGCTGGATTCCGGGATGCTGCTAGTTGAGGGGGCGCCGCGGGCGGTGGGGGCGCTGCTGGATTCCGGGGTGCTGCCAGTTGTGGGGGCACCGCTGGATACTGGGGTGCTGCTAGTTGAGGGGGCGCCGCGGGCGGTGGGGGCGCTGCTGGATTCCGGGGTGCTGCCAGTTGTGGGGGCACCGCTGGATACTGGGGTGCTGTTAGTTGAAGGGGCGCCGCGGGCGGTGGGGGCGCTGCGGGATTCCTGGGTGCTGCTAGTTGTGGGGGCACGGCTGGATTGCGGGGTGCTGCCAGTTGAGGGGGCACCGCAGGCTGTGGGGGCGCTGCTGGATTCCGGGGTGCTGCCAGTTGGGGGGGCACCGCTGGATACTGGGGTGCTGCTAGTTGAGGGGGCACCGCAGGCTGTGGGGGCACCGCTGGATTCCTGGATGTTGCTAGTTGTGGGGGCACCACTGGATTCCGGGGTGCTGCTAGTTGTGGGGATGCCGCTGGATGCGGGGGCGCCGCTTGATGCAGGGCTGCGGGCTGCAGGGCGCTGGGAGGCACGTGCTGTGGCGGTGCCCCCCTAACGCTCTCCTGGAGCTTATGGCCGAGCTGGGGCTGCAGGGGGTAGTGCCCACTTGGTGACAGCTGGCTGCTGACCGGGGGCTGTGTTGCTGGCTGCATTGTGTTGGTTCCTGAGCAGGTCAGCTGGGCCTGTAGGGAGCGCAGGAGGGTGACAGTAGGGGATGTGGATGGGCAGGGGTGGGAGATCATGAGTGGATAGATCAGTCTGCTCATGGGCTGACGGAGGGAGATGGGGATGGGGAGGGCAGCTGGGTGTCTGGGTGGCTGAGCGCATGGATGGACTGATGGATGTGTGGGTGGATGAGCCGAGGATGCAGGGGCACAGGGACAGATTGATAAATAGAGCTGGATGAAGAAAGGATGGTTGGGGTAGGTAGGTGTGTGGATGGGCGGACAGATGGGCTGCAGATGGGTGCTGGCTGGGGGACACGTGGGTGGCAGGCGGTGGGCTAAGGATAGGAGGGTGCTCCCTGGCTGGGGCCCACTCTCTGAGACCAGTCCATCCTGTCCCCGGTGTCCTGCAGTTGTCCCCTCCCGCTCCTGGCCCTGGCTCCTGATCACCTTCCTCGCATCCCTCTCATGTTCATCCTCAGCCTAATGCCCCTAGCTGTCACCTAGCTGTCATCAAACTGTCTCGTGTCTCCTGCTTGCGTCTGGGTGTCTCCCCAAAGCCCCGTGCAGTCACAGCCTTTTCAGAGGTAGCTGAATGCAGAGCGTGTGGCTGACGGGTAGTGGATGCTGGGATGAGTGATGGTGGGATCCGCCCATGGATGGAGCTGTCACTGTCCTAACCCCGTGCACTGTATGCAGAAGACAGGCGACAGACAGGCCCACCTCCCCCCTCCCCTTTGCTGCTTTTGCTGTCTTCCACCACCATGCAACGTCACCCCCTGCCCGCCACCCAGCCCTGGCGCCAGCTCAGTATAGGCTGAAACCTCCACACCCTGTGGCGCTGAGGCTGGAACCCTTTCCCCGCTTAAACTCACGCAGGGGATTTAGCTCAGCAGCACAAGTGACTGCCTGGCAATCGTGAGCTCGTGAGTTTGATCCCCAGTTCAAAAAAAAACCTTGGGTGTTGGGAATTTTGTCTCAGTAAGGAGAGAAAAGTGACCCAACAGGGCTTCAGAAGGTTCGTGCACTGCTTGGTGACGCGCCCGGGTGGTGACTGAACTCTGAGTTTGCAGGAACCAGGCCTGACTCCAGGCTGGCTGGGTGCGCAGCTGGGTAGGTGGGTGGCCAAAGTCGGGGAAGGGGAAGTGTTAGTAAATAAAGCTGAAGGCACTGTGGAAAGGAGAGGCAGACACAGAGCTGGGGGGCAGCTGGGTCCACGCAGAGTGAAGTGGATTTGCATACAGAGGAGCACAGACCAGGGTGGGAGCACGGGTGGCTGGGTGGGCAACTGGGTGGGTGGGTGGAAGGATGGGGCGCTGCGTGGGCTGGGAGACATGATTCACAGGTATAGGTGCATGGAGGGGTGTGAGTGGATGAATGGATGGATGGATGAACGGACAGATGGACGACAGGTCTGTGAAATCGTTGATGGATGGGCAGATGAACGGGTGGCTGGGTGGCTGGGGCAGGGCGGGGCTAGTGGATGCACAGAGAGATGACAGAAGGATGCGGAGGAAAGAGGGCGAGGCCTGTGCCTTAGCCAGGACCTGATCACCCTGGCCCTCTTACCTTGAGGGTCACAGAGCCGGTGGCGGAGCAGGAAAGGGTGCAGTCTCAGAAGTCGGCCTGTGAGAGGAGGCCGCCTCGCGCTCTTCATACCCTGCGCTGCTCTGAGCTGGCTCTGTCTCAAGACCAAAGCAAGAAGCAAGGGCAAAGGTGACACGGCTGAGCTCCCCGGGTTGGGGTGAGTAACTCAGTGCGTGCCAGACCCCGGGTTCCAGCCTCAGCGCCACAATCACAAGGATGGCTTACTTCTTTTTAAACAACTTGGGGATTGAACCCGGGGCCCTTACACCGAATGACACCCCAAACCCTCTTTATTGGCTATTTTATTTTTTATTTAATTCTGAGACAGGGCCTCGCTAAATTACCCAGGCTGGATTTGAAGTTTCAGTCCTCCTGCCTCAGCCTCCCAGAGTGCTAGGATTACAAGTGTGTGCCACTACCTGTTGGTATAAGTAAACTGTTCGCTGGGAAATTAAGGAATTCAAGTTTCTGATCAAAGCAGTAGGATAACCTGACCCTTTTATGCCAATAGGCAAGGCACGGGCTTGCTAAGGCACGTGGTGCACACAGTCGGAGGAAGGGATCCCCCGCCACACTCCCGAAAGGAGAGTGAATTCAGAAAGCGGAGAAGTAATGGGGTGTTTTTTCCTCCCACTGTTTTTCCCCCAGACAGGGTCTCATTATGTAGTCTAGGCACCAGCCTTGAACCCACTATGTAGCCCAGGCTGGCATTGAACTTGCAGGGATCCTCCTGCCTCGGCCAAAGAGACACGGGGACTCCAGCAGCAAGATGTACACAAGTGTACCAAAAATGACAGCCAGGAAGGCTGAGAGGAGGGGCGGGGAACAGTGGTGCACACCTGCAATCCCAGCGCTCAGGAGGCTGAGGCAGGAGGATCCCTCGAAGTACAAGGGCCAGAGTGAGTTCAAGACCAGCCTAAACTGCATAGCGAACCCCTGTGAGCGGAGACTCACATGTCCCAACAGTCATTAGATGGGTAGGTGGACCAAGCGGCATCCTGGCCATGAAAAATGATTCCAAGGCCTTAGAATAATTTAATGTTTATAAACCCTGAGATTGGCATTATATCTAGAAGTGGAACAATACATATGAAGGGTTTTTTCAAAGAGTATTCAAATAGTATTTTATCAAACTCAATAGCTTTTTTTTTTTTTTTTTTTTGTCTTTTTGAGACAGGGTCTCACTATGCAGTTCAGGCTGACCTTGAGCTCACTTTGTAGCCCAAGGTCTCGAACTGGTAACAATCCTCTTGCCTCAGCCTCCCGAGTGCTGGGATTACAGCTGTGTACCACCACACTGCCTGATATATGCTTTAAATATAGACACAGGGAAGGGGATGTAGCTCAGTGGCCCAGCGCCTGCTGGCAAGTGCAGGGTCCTGAGTTCAATTCCTGGTACCCCCACCACCTCCAATAAATTAATAAATAAATGTGTGTAGACTCAGAAGGTAAAGGGGAGGCAAGGCACGGGCTTGCACAAAGTCAGAGGAAGGGATTCCCGGTCACACTCCCTAAAGGAGAGTGAATTCATGCCGGGGATTTAGCTTAGTGGCTTAAGTGCCTGCCTGGCAAGCACAAGGTCCTGAATTTGATCCCTGGTACTAAAAAAAAAAGCATTTCTGAGAGTGAACTCAGAAAGTGGAGTAGCAGTGCCTGTGTCCATGCCTTGGTGCAGAGCCACGAAGCCCAGGCAGCCCACATGGCAGAGCGGGCCCTAGAGGGTTCACGCCCTCTTAGCAGCTGGCCATGCAGCCAGACCAAAAAAACACGACAGACAGACAAGACGTGGGTGACTCCAGACACTGCTGACTGTGCCGACTGAGCTGATGTTTCCCTACGGGGACACTGGGGTGTGGAGGAGAAGAGCGACTGCCCACAGCAGCCACACAGGGCCCGCTGCCCCTTGGGGAGCCCTGCCAGCCATTAGACCTGTGCCTGTCATCTTATCACTCGGGAGGCTGAAGCAGGAGAGTCACCCGCCTGGGCTATCTAGGGAGACCATGTCTCAACCCTCCCACCCAAAAGAGAAAGAGAAAGAGAAAGGCGGGGAAGTGGAGGTGGGCAGGAACAGGGGCTTCCAAGACTCAGGAGTTAAGAGCCTGGCTGACAGTGCCACTTTGTTTCCCTGTGTCGCGCAAACCAAGCCCACAGTCTGGCCAGGATGGGCCTAGGCAGGATGAAACCCCTCAAGGCTTTGGGGACCCCTAGCACCCCTTTCTGAGTGACTGAGCTCCCTACCTGCCCATCAGAGCATCCCAGGGGAAGTCTGGGGGCATGGAGGACAGTGGTAGGGTCCCCATGTACCCACAGAGCTCAACAGGCCTACTCACCTGCCCCTGCAGCTGAATCCACCAGCCTCAGTGGCCAGCTGGGTGCCAGGCACTGCCAGGAGCCTTTGTGACCCAGCCAGGTTCCAGCCAATCCCAGCAGCCATTGGGGGAGGGGCTCCAGACGCTGGGTCAGCATGGGAGGGGACACAGGTGAACAGAGGCCGCTACCTATGGCCTGGACACTGGGGCAGAAATTTGGGATTCTGGGCACAGAGGGGACTCCAAAACCTGCCTTTCCATAATGTGGAGCTTTCACCCCTCTGGGTCCTTGCTAAGTGCCTATTGTATGTTGAAACCTGCCCCCAGTATGGAGGACACAAGGGTTTAAAAGTAGAGGCTTCCAGGCATGGTGGCGCATACGTGTTATGCCAGCGCTTGGCTGGGGCAGGAGGATCACCTAGGGTTTGAGGCGAGCCTGGACTACATAGCAGGACCTTGTCTCAAAAACTAAAACACGTAACTGGAGGCTGAGGCAGGACGATCACTTTGAGTGTGAGCTCAGCCTGAACTGCATAGTGAAGCCCTGACTCAAAAAACAAAACAAAAACCTACACAACTGGAAGCTGAGGCAGGAGGGTCATAAATTTAAGTCTTAGTCTGAAAAAAAAGGAAAACTAAGAGGGAGGTGGAATGGACCACCAAGCAAGTGAAGTCACAAAAGAGGAAAAACTTGGGGAGACCCTGGGGAGAACTGGGAGAATGGAGGCCAAGTAGATAAACAAGCAAAGACACTCTGAGGCAGGAAGGAGCTGGGTGTGAACAAAAACATGGAGGAGGCTAGTGTGGCTGTGGGAGGTCAGGAAGGGCCAAGTAGGTGGGGCCTCAGAGACATGTAGGAGTCTGTACAGGCTGCAGGGCGATTCGTTTTGGTTTTTCTTTATTTCTTCTGTGCAGGGGATTGACGACACAATCAGGGATGTGCTGCCACTGAACCATAGCCTAGCCCTGTTTTTTGGTTATTATTTTGAGACACTGTCCAGGTTGGCCTTGACTTTGAGATTTCCCTGCCCCAGCCCCCCAAGCAGGTGGGATTAAGGGCATGAGCTGCAACCGGTGTTTTGCAGAGAAGGTGCCAAGGCTGAATGCGCTTAGAGCAGGCTGGACACACTGAGACTTCCACTGTCAGAAATGGGCTTCCACTCCAGGGCTGGGTGGTATGTCCAGTCCAGCTATGTGTGGAGCTCCAGGGGCAGAGCTAGACCTGAGACCCCTCAGGGTCTCCCACAGGGCACCCATGGGCACTGTCCAGGGGCCACATCCCTGGAGGGGCACACGGGCCAGCGCCTCAAAGGCCAGGCCCCCACCCAGAGTGAGTCATCGCTCGCCAGGCCAAGGCTGACACACACCTTGGCCACAGCACAGCGGCCTCCAGCCAAGGCCACACGGCCTGGCTTCCCCTGGGAGACCTTGGGGCGTTGGCGGAGAGGCCAGCAGGGTGGGACCTGGGAGAAAACAAGGACATGAGCTGAGCTGGCTCGGTGGCGGGCACATGCCGGTAACCACAGCTACTTGGATGGCTGAAGCAGGAAGATCAAGAATCCCAGGCCAGCCTAGACCTAGCATTTAACTACAGGGTTGAGGATGGAGTTTGGTGTTAGGCTCTGAATTCAACACCCAGGGTGACAACAGACAAGGCAGCTGCATAGGACTGCAATCCTTCAGTCAATTTCAGTAGTGACCAGGGGCCCTGCTATGACAGGAGCCCCAAGGGCAATAGCAGCTGAGAAGGTGCTGGCCAGCCCACTTGTGAGCACGGTGTACATCCAGGTTGGGAGTGCAGCTCAGCTAAGTGGCTATGCAAAGGTCCTGAGGCCAGGAAAAAAGGAAACAGTGGGAGCTGAGGCCAGTGCAGTGGTAGCACAACTGCTCAGCATGTAGTATGTCCTGGACTGACCCCTCAGTACAGAAAACCAAAGGGGACTGGAGGGGTGAGAGGGGGAAAAAAAAGAGGAAGAGGAACGCAGACTCCCTCCTTCCCAGCCTCCCTGGCGTTCACCTAGGAGTTCACCTAGGAGAGGCTGTGTACATTGAGCAACCCACTTCCTGGCTGGGGACACTGAGCCCAGCAGGGGAAGGAGCATGGACCCAGTCACAGAGCCACACACTGAGCTCAGCTTAGTGGCGTACACCTGTCACTGCAGCACTCAGGAGGCTGAGGCAGGAGGATCACCACAACTGCAAGGTCAGCCTGCGCCACATAGCAAGATTCTCTCTCAACTAATAAAATATTTTTAAAACAGTATACGCAGCTCAGTGTAAAGACCCTGGGTTCACTTTCCAGGACTGTAAAAGCAAACACCAAGGCAGCGCTTGGAGCTGGGCAAAGCCGGCTGCCAGGTGGTCCAGAGGGTGACGCAGATCCACGAAGGGAAGGACCCTACCCTTGCTGGCAGTGGACTGAGGCCATGTGGTGACCTCTTGCTGTGCCTGTTCTGGCTGTGAAGTGGGCACAGCTGCCCTGGCAGGTCTAGCTGGGACCTGCCCCTGCCACCAACTGGGTGTGACACATCCCTCCAGGCCCCGCTGAGTCAGAGGCCAGGCCCCTGGGCCTGAAAACCCTGTGTGATCTCTCTGGATCTTCAAGAGACCTAAGGGTTGAAGATGCACGAGTGGGGAGCTTCGGGGGAACCCTGCTGTCCAGGCCACACTCCCAGGTCAGCCCCGCTCTGCCACCACCACCTTCTTCCCGCCGGGACCTTCCAACAAAGGACAGTGAGGTCCCCCCACCCCCTTCCCGCCCACTGCAGACCGGGACTCGGAGGCCGGAAGAGTTAAAGGGAACGCTTTGGTCTCCTTCCGGTCTTGGACGGGGGCTGTCCCTTCCCACCTCGGGGTCCCCCCTTCCCAGAAGGCAAAGGGGATACACACGTCCCCTCCCCAGCCCGGGCATCTGTGGGGCTGGCGCCTAGATGGCGCTCGCTGAGCGCCAGATGTGCAGGCCCCACCCGCGTGCCGGGTGGGGGAGGGGCGCGGTGGAGGAGGGGCGCCCCGGCTCTGCCCAGGCCCCGGGGCGGACAGGGAAGGAGGAGGCGGACAGGCGAACTGGCGTAACGAGACTTTACTGAAAACAGAACCGGGGAACCCGAGGGTTACAAACAGGAATGTGGGCTCGTGGCAAAACAAAACAACAGGGGGGCGGGGCGGGCGGCAGGGAGCGAGGCCAGAAAGAGGAGGAGCCACTTTTTTTCTTCTCGTTTCTTTAAAAAATCCAGCACGGTAAAACACACACGCACACGCAACCAGCGTTTGTTCCCGAGTAGAAACATAAATAGGGCACAGCCGGCCACTCCGTCGTCTCTTCCCAAGGCAAAAGTAGAAAGTGAAAGAAGGGGTGCGCGGGGCCCCGGCGGCGGCGCACAAAGGGCGGCAGGCACAGCAGAGGCGGCGCGGGGCGGGGGTCGTGCGCTCGCCCCCCGGGCAGGGGGTCCAGCTTGTCGATCCAAGGCGCCCTCTTCAGTCCTGGGGGTCCTCGGGGATGGGGGGGGTTCCCCAAGCCGCGCCCTCTCCGGTCCTCGGCACTCTCGGGCGGCGACCCCCAGGGACTGTCTCCTCCTAAAGAAGGATCCCCGGAAGCGCACCCTCTCTTGTCCCGGGCACCCCCGGGGGCGATCCCCGGTGCTGCCACCCACTACAAGTCCGGGGCGCCTACGCCATCCCCCGGGCGGGGGCCGCGCATGCGCGCCGCCCCGGGCTCAGTACGCGGGCACCTGGTGCTGCGGTAGCAGCTGGCAGCCGCTGTTGACGTGGCTGAGCACTTTCTGCTTGAGCTGCGCCACCTGCTCCCGCAGCAGGCTGGCGGTGGACGCCAGCTCGGTGTTCTGGCTCTTGAGCGTCTTGACCTTCTCCTCCAGGCGCGAGATGCGCTCGAGCTTGCGCTTGCGGCACTTGGAGGCGGCGATGCGGTTGCGCAGACGCTTGCGCTCCGCCTTGATCCGCTCCTGCGTGTCCATGTCGATGGGCGACAGCGGCGGGCTCTCGCCGAAGCTCGGCACGTCGGGCACCGTCTGCGGCTCGTCCTTGAGCGCGGCAAGGCGCGGAGGGCCCAGCGCGCCTGGGGGAGGCGGTGGCGGGAAGGGAACGGGCTCGGCGGAGAAGGCCACGGCCGCCGCGCCCCCCGCGGTACCCGCGCCGCCCGCGTAGCTGCTGAGGTTCGCGTAGACGGGCGCCTCTGGCGCGGGAGCCGACGCGGGCAGATCGCCGGGAGGAGCGGGCGCAGCGGGGGCCGGGGGTCCCCCCGCGGCGGCGGCGGCGCCAGCGCCTAACTGGTTCTGCTTGTGCAGGTCCTCCAAGGCCTTGACGAAGCCCTCAGCGAACTCCTGCTCCTCGCTGGCCGCCACCTTGGGGTACAGGAACTGCGTGCTCGTCGGGGTGGTGGTGACCAGCCCGTTGGACTGGATGATCAGGCGCTCGAGTTCGGGCGACGCCAGCTTGAGCAGCCCCAGGTCCGGGGACGCCAACAGCCCGTCCGAGGGCGCCGCGCTGGGGGCGCCGTCCGTTCGCAGCGAGGCAGGGGTCGGCGCAGCGCCCGGCTTGAGCGCCGCCGCCACCTGCTCGCTGAGACTCAGCGTCAGCGCATCCTTCTTCATCATGCTGCCGGTCGCCGCCGTCGGGGGCGCCCCCGGGAACAAGCGGCCCGGGGACGCGAAGCTGCTGCCACCACTGCCACTGGCGCCGCCGCCGCCCAGGCCGCTCAGCGCCTCATCGCCGTAGAAGGGTGTTTCCATCCTCCGCCGCGCCGGCCCGGGGGGGGAGTGGCCGTGGCCTCCCGGGGGGCCTGCGCCCCCCCCCGTCCGCTCAGCCCTGCGCCCGCCCCGGCCGCGGCCGCTGCCCGGCCTTCCGCTGGCGGCGGCTCCTACGACGCGCGACTCGGGCGCCCCCTTATAGCCTCGGCCTTGCGCGATGAGCTCACCGCCCCTGCTCGCTATTGGGTGTGAGTGACGTCGCTCATTTGCATAGGGAGGCGGGGCTTGGCCTTCGACTTTCGCCAGGCCGCCGTTGCCCCGGAAACGCGCGGCACAAGGCACAACAGCGCACTGCTTTGTGGGTTGACGTCATGGAGGCGGGCCGCGCTCCCGGGTCGGGTCACCCCGCCCCGAGAGCGCTATGTACTGCCGCTACCCCGGCGCCGCCTCCCGTCAAGGCGCGTCCCGGGTGGCGTGATGCGCCGGGCCACCAGACGCCGGCCCGCGGGTCCCGCCCTCCCGAAGCCCCGCCTCGTGGCCGCGCGTGGGGCCCCGGCCCGGCGGAGGCGGAGCGGCCCCGGCCCCCGGGGATGGGGGATGGGGCCCGGTGGATAAAGACTCGCGGCCTCCCCAGAGCTTCTGCAACTGCGCGGCGGAACTGACGACCTGGGCGCAGCGCGCAGGTCTGCCCCTCTCAACCTGGAGTTGAAGGCTATGTCCCTCGAGAGGCGCAAGGGGGAAGCTGGGTTCCCAGCGGGCCCTAATCGCTTCGCCACAACAGAGTCCCATGCCTGGAGTTAACTTTTTGCTTTTCCAGGTTGAGAAACTGAGGCCCCGCCGCGCTGACTGAGCTGGCTGCCTGGACTCAGGGCGGGCCTGCTTCTTGGCGCCGTGGTGGCCCTCAGGGCAGGTGGACCCCAGGGGTAGCCTGGAGAGGGTCGTGAGCCAAGTGACAGGGTGGCCCTTGCCGCGCTCCCACCAGTGTGGGACACCTGTAGCATCCCGATAACCATCCCTGGGCCTCGCGATGGAGCCAGCCCTCGACAAGGTGGTGGGGCCCAGCTCTCCCCCTGCACCCTGGCCTCATTCCTACCTATAGGCCCTTGCACTGCGATGTCCCTCACGGCCTGCTAAGGGGTCATTGGGATGCACAAGCGCCCGGTCAAGGGCTACCCCGGACTCGCCTCCTTTACTTAGGGGCTGCGTGCTCTCCAGACCCCGAGTTAACCATGACCTGGGGAATTTAGGCCAGGCCCAGGCGCTGGGCACCAGGGTCCCTGGCCACCCTACCCTTGGGCTCATTCGTTGGTGGAGGCGCCACCAGGCAGGCTGAGCTGAAGAAGCGCCTTTCTCAAGGCAGGCAAAGCTAGCAGCTGCTCTGAGCCTCATTTTTCCTCTTGTGAAAATGCAGTGTGTGATCCCACCCACCATGCACAGGGGGACATTTTTAGGGAGAATCTGTTCTTTTTGTGTCTTCAGTCTTTTGCAACAAGGTCTCCCTGTAGCCCTGGCTGGACCCAAACTCTCATAGACCCGTCCGCTATTCTGTACCAAGGCCTGGTATCACAGGCCTCACCTGCCAATAGGGAAGATTTGAAGAAGAAAGGACTCAGTTCATGTTTTCTGTAATTATTATTTGGTCAAATTTAACTGCATTTCTTTGGTTCTATGTTCTTTCGGTTTGGAGTGCCTCTATTTACCCTCTTGGCAAACTCCTGCTCATCCAGCCAGTTTTCTTCTCCAAAAGGTCTCCCCTCCTGGGATTTCACTTGGCCAAACCCTGTCCTCAGCTCCCTCGGCTTCTTTTGCTTTTGCTTTTTTGAGACAAAGTTTTGCTATGTAGTCCAGGTTCCCCTTTATCTCACTATTGCCCAGACTGGACTAGGACTGGGGACCCTCCTACCTCGGCCTCCCACAGTGCTGGGATGACAGGTGGGCAGGCACCACCATGCTGAACTCTGTGTGGGTAGAGAGGGCCGCTCCTGGTCCCAGCATGGCCACTTTCTTCCTCCCAGCGAGGGAGCCCCCCAGGACACCCTGTTCCCATCCATCCATCTGGCCCAGCCCTGATGCAGAGGCCAACCGGGGCCACCTCTGGCCTCCAGGGCTAGGGGCTACTAGAGGGTGGGACTTAGCCCACAAAGCCATCTTCTCAGGCAGGAACAGCTGGCCCAGTTCACGCAGGCATGGCTGGGGGCAGAGGAAGGTGAGGAGGATGGTTTCGAACCCTGACCTGCTAGGGGGGCCCCAGGGAGATCATTGCTGGAAGAAAGAAGCTGAGCCGATCACTCCCTAACAGGGTGCCAGGATCCATGGGGCAGCAGAGACCACAGTGCACCAAGCATGGTGGGACACACCTGTCATCCCAGCACTAAGGTGGGCTGAAGCAGGAGGATGATGGATAGTTCCAGGCCGGCCTGGGCTGCTTGTCGAGACTCTTGTCTCAAAACACCGAAATCCAACTAAGCTGCCCGTGAGTCTGTCTGGCCTTTAGTCTATCTCAGCTTCCAGAAACCCGCCATCAGCTCTGCAAAACGGGGAGCCTGGGTAAGAGGAGTGCTGGCAGGCATGGGGCCCTCTCGGGGCGCATTCCTGGGGATCGGGTTACTCGCCCAAGCTGCCCCCGCCACCCAGCTTCCTTCCTCCCTCACCAGCCTCCACCACAGCACACCCGCCCCTCCCTGTCCCAGCGCAGGTGGCAGGTGTTTGTAGTCGGCCTGCTGGCTTGTCACTGGCTACTGCCTGCCTGCCTCGGTTTACAAACCAGGGAACTGAGGCCTCACCGGCCCCACACGGCTTAAACTCCGAAGGTCCTACTTTGTGACAAGAGCCCCACTGTTCCTCTCCCCTCATTCTGAAGGCTGTGAGGAGAGTGTCTAGGCCCCGTGTTTGTTGATTGACTGACCGTTCGGAGGAAGCCCCGAAGAGCAAAGTGTGAATGTTCACTTGCTGTGTGCCCAACCCAGGTCAGCTCATTTCACTGGCAGATACTGGGGTCCCAGGAACTTTGCGGGGCGGGGGGCTGCAGATGGTGAACTGTTTCACCAGACCAACTCCAGAAAGTGGTTTTTTGCCCTTTTTGTTTCTGGCACCGGAAATTGTTCATCTATTGAGCCATGCCCTATGGCACACCGACTGCGTGCTGGGCCAGGGATTTCCACAGCCCTGCAGCGCCCCCATAAAGCTAATGCTCCATTGGCTCAAGCCTGTGATATCAGCACTCAAGAGGCTGAGGCAGGTGGATCCCCCTCGAGTTCAAGGACGGTCTGGGCATAGAATCTGTCTCAAGAAACAAAACACAGGGCAGGGGGTTTAACTCAGAGGCCTAAGTGCCTGCTTGGCAAACGCGAGGTTGTGAGTTTGATCCCCTGCAAGTCCAGCCCTAGACTGGGAAATTTCTGAAGATGTCTCTCAGTCAGTCAGTGCAAAATCCCTGGGTTCAGTCCCCAGCTCCTCCACTTTAGGGATGTCACTCTTGTCCCCTCAGACAGCACCGCCTGCTTTTGCTTTGAGTTGCTAGGAATGAAAAAGTGGCTTCTCAGAAACAGAAAAGGCAGAAAGCTGAAGTGAGACTGGGAGGGGGGCGGGGGACGCGACGTGGGTGCTTGGCTTTGCCGGCCCCTGTGGCTCTGGCCTGCCTCAACCACCTGCTGATCCGCTTCCGGGGAGCCAGGCCGCGGCAGGGCCACTCTGGCAAGGCTTCGGTCCCTTCCAGGAAATGGAAGTCCCCAGCTCCGCCCAGGGGGCTCTGGGGCCGTCCCCACCCCGGCTCGTGGGCCCCGACCGCCTTCCCCGCTGCGAATCGGGGAAGGAAGGAAGGCGGGAAGGCCGGCAGCAGCCTTACGCAGCGGCCCCATCAGCGGGGGGAGGCTGAGACAGGAGGGTCGCCGCCAGCCCGAGGTCAGCCTCAGTGACGTAGGCGGCCCAGGCCGGCCTGCACGGCAGCGCCAGGCTGTGTCAAAAGCCAAAAACCCAAGAAGGGAAATTGAGGCACTGGCCACTTCTGCCTCTGGAGGCTGCCGCCCGGACGGGGAGGCGCGGGTGGCCGCGAGCCGGGGCTCCGGAGCGCAGAGTCCGATCCCGACCCGCGCGCTCGCCTGCGGCTCCGCTCGGGACTGGGCGCGGGCTGTGCTGCGGGGAGGCCGGGCGGCGGGAGGCCGCGGCTCTGAGCCGGGGCGGGGCCGCCTGCGTCAGCGTAGACGTCAGCGCCCGGCCGGCCGCGTAGACGCAGACGTGGGCCGCAGCACCGCAGCCCAGACAGAGGCCCCAAGGCGGCGCAGGGGGAAACTGAGGCAGGGAGGGCGTAGCCTGGCGGGGTCAACAGGCCTCGCGCCGGCCCCGGTCCACACCCGCACGGCCTCCACTACTCCTCTGGGGACGGGGTTGGACCTGAGCGTGTTTCCCGGGACGCGGATATCTGGGAAGCCCCGAATGTGACCGGCTGGGGTCTGGCGCCTCGCCACGTGCGTGCCTCAGTCTCCCCGAGAGGCTGGGGGTGGGGCGCGGGCCGGGCAGCTCAGGACCCCTCCCCCACCTCCTCTTCCCGTCCCTTCTCCCCTTCCACCTCCCCTGCGCGCCCCAGCTGTTAATTAAACGCAGGGCTGGCGGCGGAGCCGCGCCGGGGGTCCCTTCCCTAGTTAACCGGGTCCGTGCAGGCCTGGCCTGGCCTCGCCGCTGCAGGGACCCGACGGGATCTCCCTGCGGGGTGCCCTCCCGGGAAGGAGCGGGTCTGGATCACACCCTTGACAGGAGCCTAGCCCAGAGATGAAGGGGAGGGAGGGACCTCGACCTCAGATTAAACCCCCCCCCCCGGGGGAGGGTGAGTCCCAGGGACTGAGATACCAGAAGAGGAGGTGACTCCCTTGTAGACGCCCTGCTGCTCGCTTGTAACCCCTGCTGTTTGGGAGGCTGAGGCAGGAGGATCAAGGCCAGCTTGGCAAATTAGGGAGAAACAAAAATGAAAAATGCCAGGAGGTCCTGTGTCACGTGCGGAAGGCACCCCAAAATGGAGCAATCCGCCTTCAGGGCGGTGCCCCAGAGCTGATCTGATCAGTATGCACGAGGACAGGGGACTCTCAGGTCACCCCACCTTGTCCCTCTGACCCTACTGGAGCACATAGGCCGGGGCCCTGTGCTCCTCGCCCCGGGCACCTGGTGGCTGCAGGTGTGGGCAACCGGAAGTGGCCCAAAAGGTGGCAAAGGTGAGAGGGACACTTGTCTGGGAGGGGTAGGGGGCTCAGTCAGCGCAGAGGATGCAGCAGACGCTGGAGGGAAGGCCTTCGGGCCTCTGCAAAGGCCCTGGGCTCCAGGATGCAGGCCTCCCGGAGAAAGTATACAGCTAGGGCCTGGAGTAGGGGCAAAGACTAGGGCATAGGACTGAGGGCGGTCCAGGGCCTTAGCAGCTGGGATCCCCGCCCTGCCTAATCTTCCCACGGGTGCCCAGGCCCCAGAGAACATGGAAGACTTAGGCCTGGGGCCCAAATGGTTCTCCCATCTCCCAGGGTAGCCTGACTCCCTGCATCCCCAGCCACCCAGACCTGAACCCCACTCCTGTCCAGTGTGCCCAGCCGTGCAGCACCCACCCTGCTAGGAGATGGGGTTGCTGCGGGCAGCACGGTCTTCGGGTGCAGCTCAAAACCTGGGTAAAAATGACTACCTCGCTGCCCCCACGCGGGGACAGCAGTGGCTGTGGTGACAAGGGACAGTGAAGCACCCGCAGGAGCATCCGGCAGGGCCCGGGTTGCAGTGGAGACGCTGACTCAGCAGCTCAGGCAGGTAGTGTAAGGGGAAGGGCGGGTACCAGCCCCCACCTGCAGCAGGGGGCGGGCCACAGAGGCCAGGAAAGGCCCGGAAGGACCACTCAGGGCCACGCCCTCTGCTGTCTCCCAGCCACCAAGTTCACAGGCCAGGATGCCCATATGAGCAGGCTCAGGGCAAGCCAAGTTGAGGACAGGCCTGGCACTGTGGCTGGGAAACAGCCTCCAGACACCTTTCCACTTCCCCCTTTCTGGGCACATCTCTGTGTCCCCTCTACATGTGCATCCTGACCCTGCCCTGCAGCACCCCTACTTGTCCCCCCAGTCCTCCCCAATGCCCCAATGCGGCCACTCCTGGGTCCCCTTGTGCACACTGGCTCAGCTGCTGCAGGGCCTTTGCACAGCCTGCTGCCTGCAGATACCGAACTCTTCGGTGTCCCTGCTGCCTGTCTCTGCTCCCGGCTCTGGAGGAGAGGCCTGGGAGGTGGCCAGGTGCCTTTGGCTTCCTGGAGCGGGGCAGGATCAAGTCCTGGAGGGACACCTGTGAAGATGCTGTGGGAGGTCAGCACAGCTCAGTGGTGGGCACCTGCGAGAACGCGTGAGGCCCTGGCTCCCATCCCCAACATAATAATGAGATGATGACAGTGACACACCAAGAGTCACGGCAGGGGCCACAGGCACATGGTGAGCGACCTGGTGAATCCAGGAAGGATGCAGACAGACGCAAGGCCCACACTATTAGTTCTAAATGGCTAATTTGAAGCTGCATACACGGTCATTGCAGCACTCAGGAGGCTGAGACAGGACTGCTGTGAGTCCAAGGCCTGAACTACACAGTGAGACACGGCCTCAAACATGTAAATAAAAAATGAAAAGCAAGTAACAACTCTTCCTGAGTATGACAACCAGGGGTCAGGGAGGCTGCCCCATGCATGTGGCCTGACTCATCCTTCACAAGGGGGGAGTGGGCAGCTGGATGCCAGGTGCCCCCCACTCCCAGCTCACACCTGCCTCTCCCTCTTACTGTACCCAGGGCAACTGAGGTCAGTCTGGAAAGCACAGTGACCCTCCCTCATCCCCTGCCCCTGCCCACCTTGAGGTTCTGGAAGGTCAAGGGTGTGGTGGCAGGAGCCTGAGATGTGTGGGCACAGGAGTCTTACGCCTGCCAGGAAGTGTCCCACCAGGCCACATTCTGCCTGTTCACTGATTATGGTGGGACAGGGCTCAGTTGCCCAGGCTAACCTTGAGTTCGGAACCCTCCTGCCTCAGCCTCCTAAGAAGCCAGGGTTACCAGGGAATGCTATGTCCAGCACATTTTCAGGGGCACTGGTAGGCAGTAAAGGTCCCTCCCACGGGGCCCCGGCTTGCAACAAGGCATGGGAAGGAGAGCGGGAGTGGGGAAGTATTTTTAGGTCCTGAAGCCAGCCTGGAAGTATTTCCCCAGCCACTGCCGGGCACGGCTGGGCCACTATTTTAGTGTCCAGTTCTAGTGGAGACAGGGCAGGGCTGAGTCATGCTGGGGCCGGAGACGGCCAGGCCAGGCGAGGTTCCCGGTGCAGGGAAACGGCCTCAGGGACCCTGCATGGTGGCCTGGGTTGGCAAGTGGGGAAATCGCCTGTTCTTGCCCAAGTGGGCACTGCCACCCCTTCACAGCTCAGCAGGCCAGGGGGGGTCGGAGTGCAGGCAGGGGGCACTGAGCGGCCACTCTTGGACGGTGCTGTGCACTTATTGAGCACCTGCAGTTTACAGGCTGCTCCCGAGATGGGGCCTTTACCATGTCATCCCCACCCCGATCTGTACCATGTACTTATTGAGCACCTCCTACATGCCAGGCTGGTCTCCACCTGGTTGCCAGCCTCCTCCCTTCACCCCTGCCCCTCAACAACCTGTGTGAGGAGCACCCACTGTTTTCCTCACTGGTGAGGAAACTGAAGCATAGGCCTTAAATTCAGCAGCACCCTTCAAGGCCCCTGATCCTGCTGTCCCTCAACTAATGGGCACTTAGGAACCTTTCTTTGGGCACCTCCTGAGCCACACCGAGCCCAGAGCTGAGGCTGCCAGCAGGGCCCATGCTGACCTACCTGTCCTTGTCCTTACCCCACCAGTCCCAGGCTCCTGCCCGAGGGAGGCTGGGTCCCTGCTGCTGTGTGACCCTGGCAGCTGCCTGCTCTCTCTGCAGCAGAGCTGTGTGGAAGTACACGGCTTAGCCTCTGCTGCCTCATGCACAGGAGCAACTGTGATCGGGTCAGTTCAGACCCAGGTTTCTAGGAGGACCAGACAGAAGACTGGGTGTGTTGATGTGTGCTGTGGTCCCAGCACTCTGGGAGGCTGAGGCACGATACTGAGTTGCAGCCCAAGGTCTCTCAGGCTGTCACCTTACACAGCCAGCTTCCTCCTCCACTCTAGTTCCTGCCCCACATCCTCCCACACCTGCTGGCCACTGGGCCTTTGCATGGCTCTTCCTGTCTGGGAAGTTCTCCAATCACCCTCTTTCCTGGCCATCTCTTGCACTGTCATGTGCCCTCCTTGACCCCTTCTTGAGGCTGGCTCCGTGGTGGGGCAGGGTAAGTAGCCCCAATTCCCTTGTTTGGTCACCATCAGGCTGACTCCCCATTCCTGTCCACCATGCACCCAGAGGGATGGCACACTGGGTGTCCACTGGTGAGGCTTGGGGCCCATTAGGTGGTGACAGGGGCCTGGCCGCGGAAGAGGGGACACTTCTGCCTCTCTGCCCCTAGCATGGGGACTAGGCCTTTGACCTAGAGCAAGGGCAGCCCGCCCCAGCAGACCTGGAGGCCCAGTCAGTGACTTTCAGTTTCTCTTCTGGCACAGCCACTGACTTCCTGAAACCAGGCCACAGAAGCTTCTGGAAGCCATCACAAGGGTGGGGCCAGGAGCTACTCAGGGACCCAAGATGAAGTGATGCCCCTCAAGAATGGATGCTGGGGACAGGGCCACCAGGGGCACTGCTGGGGAGGCCGAGCCAGCACCTCGCCTGGGCCCTGTTGCTGCCCACAGCCCTCTGTGGAGGCAGCATGAGGTCCACCGTGCCCCTACCTGGCCCGTCCCCCTAGGGCCATCGCTGGACAGGTTTGGGGTCAGCAGGGGCAGGGGGACCAGGCCAGCATCTATACCTGGCCAGGACACACAAAGCAGCGGCCAGGCGATGGCAGCCACAACGCTCGGGGGGCACCTCGGGTGTCTCCTCCTGGCCATGCTCACAGTTCCTGTTGGGGGACCCTGGGACAGGGACAGGGACAGGTGCACCCACAGCTGGGCCCACAGTCCCCTGTGCTGGGTGGGAGGGCGGCTATGGCTTCCCCCAGCCTGACTGGGGGAGGTGGATGGGCTGAGTCTGCGTTGGATCAGTCACTTTTATTTCTGTAGGGACAGTGGAGGGAGCAACTCCAGGTGTCTGACCGCATCGCCGTGAGGACCGTGGTGACAGCCACACTCGGCCACTGCCGTCACACACAGGGTTGGGGAGATGCTGCCAACCCCCAAGACACCAGTTGCAGAACAGAAGTCCCAGTGACACTTCAGGGCAATACTTTAGGGTACAAAACAGGAGACCACCTCCAGAGCAGATGTGGTCCCAGCCTCTCCTCCTCCTCTGCCGCCATCACTGCTTGACCGCCTGTCGGCCCGGCTTCTTCTCTGGCTGTCCCCGTCCCGTCCCTGGGATGCCACCACGGCCCCGGCCGCCGAACACACCTGCGGGAGGGGAGAAATGGGCTACAGCAACTGCAGGGACCCGGGAGCCCGTGACACAGGACATTCAGCCCAGAAGTGGCGAGGGAGGACACAGGATCCAGGGGAAGGCACCTTCCCAAGGGCACTGCAGACTGGGGGACGGGTGGCGTACCTGGGAGCCCCAGAGGTGCCAAAGGCCACATAGGACTCAGCCCTCTGATCCCCCAGGCCGGGCCACAGCTGAGTGCCAGTGGCCCCCACCTGTCCCTGCCCCACCAAGGACTTCCCATCCACTGGACTGAGGGACACAGGACCGATGCTCACAGCAGCCCAGGGGTCCCCAGGGGTGGGGACAGAGCAGGGTGAGACCACCCCAGCTGCTGTGGGCACCACCCTCTGCAGTGACCCGAAGGCTGTCCCCAAGCTGATGTTGCCCACCCCCGTACTCCCTCAGCGCCCACCTCTCCCAGCGCCGCCCATGCCGCGGCCACGCTGCTGCTTCTGCTGCTGCAGCCCCCCGCGCCCGCGGCCCTTGGCCACTGCCTCCTCCTTGACCATGTCGATGATCTCGTCGGGGATGCGCAGGTACTTGATGGTGCTGCCACGGATGTAGCACTCGGGCATGCGCCAGAACTTGTCCCCGTCCTGGGAGAGCCACCATGTCATAGTGCGTGCCCCAGGAAACCCTCGCCACCCCCGCCAGGTTGCGGACAGAAGCCAGGGCTCCCTTGGGGTGCGTGTTGCATGGAGGACACCCCTTGGGCTTCGCCCTGCACCCCACTCACCCGTGACGTGCAGATGACCTCACGAAGGTTGATGTTCATCCAGTTGTCGCAACTCACCAGGTGCCCGTTGTATGTCTCCCCATTCTTCAGCTCCACCAACTGGAGAGACAGGGCAGGTGTGGGGGCCCGGAGCCCCGGGGCGCGCACCCCACCTGACCCCCGCCTGGATTCAATCAACGGGACACTACTCCTCACCCTTCACCCTGGGCTAGAACCTGAAACGCTCCTGCCTCAGCCTCCCGGGGCCCGGGGCTGCCACACTCACCATGGGGTGGTTCTGCGCCGTCTTCAGCAGCGACAGGGGCAGCTGCAAGTCAAACACAGTGTGATCACTCTGACCGGGCCAAGCGCTGCACCTGGAGCAGGGGCACTGTGGAGGCCCCTTGCCATGCAGCTCCCTGCAGATGCGCCCACCCCGCAGAGCATCAGCAAGGCCCCAGCCGTGGGTCTTTGCACTGTGCCATGTGGGTCCCCTCCAGTGTTAAGGACCCCTCACTTGTTTTTTGGACAGGGTCTCTCTGTGACTCCAGGCTGGCCACCGTGCAGCCCAGGCTGGCCTCTAGCTCGAGGCGATCCTCCTGCCTCAGCCTCCCAAGTGCTGGGATTACAGGCAAGCACCACCACAGCCTCTGCACCCTAGGCCTTGGTAACTACAAAGAGATAAAATTGTGAGCCAGCACAGAGGACAGGCTTAGCACCCCAGCGCTCAAGGAGGCTGAGGCAAGAGACTTGCCCTGAGTTGAGTCCAGCATGGGCTCCATAGTGAGTTTAAGGCCAGGCTGCACTGCATAGCAAGACCCTGTCTCAAAAAACCAAAACTAACAGAACAAAGAAACACAGGAGCAAAATAAAATAAAGCCCCAGGAGGCCCTACCCAAGTGCTCCCTCCCTTGGAAGAGGAACGGTACCTGCTAAGCTCTACTGCCCCACTTCACCCTGCAGGGGAGGAAGAGGGCCCCACGTGAGACAGTGCTGAAGCCCAGCCTGGGAGGGGGGCCCAGCAGCCTGGCTCCTCCTGCTCTCTTGGTGCTGGACGCGGAGCCCAGGGCTTCTCACATGTACAGATGACCTGCAGCTAACCTCTGGCCCCAGCTTTTTAAAGACAGGGTCTCTTGGGCTCATGACCCTTCTGCCTCAGCCTCCTGTGTGTGCCACTATGCCCAACTACTCAGCTAGGTTTTAAAGACGAGTTCACCAAGTGAGTGTGGAAGTTCTTTTTTGTTTTTGAGACAGGGTCTCACAGTGCAGTTCAGGCTGATCTTGGGCTCACTTTGTGGCCAAAGCTGCTCTTGAACTTGAAAGGATCTTCCTGCCTCAGCCTCCCAAGTGCTGGATTTACAGGTATGCACCACCACACTAGGCCTCTGAAAAGTCCTTTAATACTCACACAACCAAGGTGAGCCTTCAGGGTACTTCTTATTCCATCATCCTGATTTCTTTTTTCCTTTTGCTGTATAGCCCAGGTTGGCCTCAAACTTGCGGCAATCCTCCTGCCTCAGCCTCCCAAACACTGGATATGACAGGTGTGCACTACCACATCTGGCTTAAATTTATTTTTTTAAAAAGTAAAAGGATTCTTTTTGTATTTTACTTTAAGATAAGGTCTCAAATAATTGACCAAGGCTGGTCCTGAAATCCTAGACTCCAGCAATCCTCCTGCTTTGCCCTCCAGTGTAGCCTGGACTAAGCATGTACCAGAGCACCCAACTCCGTGGTTTTCCAGCGCAGCAGGGCGTTTCACAAGTACCACCCTTTCTCCTTGGAGCTGCACTCCAGCCCCCAGTGGGGTTTTTCAAACTGGGAAAGAAATCAGTTCCTTGCATTTTTGGAACACAGGCATAACCTGGGGGTGCATTTGGGTTCCAAAAAAAAGGGCACCCTGGCGGCAGGGTCCGGGTCAAGTCCAGGATCCACTGTGACTTGGTTCTGATGGAGATCCAGCACCAGGGGCCACAGCAACCCTGGGCCCAGCACCCAGAGGCCTTCTTGAGCATCCTGCTACTGGACAGGGGGGCTGGGGCAAGAATCCTCCATCCTTCATCCTGGCAGCGCTGACAGGAAGCTAGGCCTGGCCCACTTCCTGCATGGCTTCCTGGAAGGTAAGATAAGGAGGAAGGGGAGCTGTTGCAGAAGAGCAGTTGCAGGCTTGGCCCCAGTGCTGGCCACCCTAGGGGACAGGGCTGCTGCAGACTGGCATATGGGCTGCACAGGCCTCTCCTCAGCTGATGCAGGAGTTGCCTGCTCACAAAGGCGGGACTTGGGCCCAGGGTCCCAGCTCAGGACAAATAGAAAAGCAGTGACACGGACACCTGAGCGGACAGCAGGCAGGGGCACAGCTTGGCTGCACCCACTGCGGTGCCAGTCCTGGCCGGCCAGTGTGTCCACGCCCCTGTCACCTGCCCTCTGCCCCAGACCTTTCCGGGCTAGTGGCTGCTGAAAGCGTCACCCCTGTAGCAGCCGTGCTCTCTGACAGCCACCTCTGGGTGCGGCCGCCAGCCTCTAATTACCTTGTTTATTTATTACCTGTCTCCCCAGCCAGGCTTCACAGCAGCCTTGGCCACACACTGCAGGCCTTGGGCCCCGGGGAAACTGCCAAGGAAACCCTGGCAGGAATAAACGCTGCAGGGACTCAGCCACCCTGCAGGTAAGCAGGTGCAGGGGCAGCAAGCACAGGGTGTCCCTGGATAGCACAAGGCTGGGTGGGCCTAGTGCTGAGTGCTGCCTAACCTGGGTGAGGGCTGGGTTCCTCCCCAGCACTACCCCTCAGAGAAAAGACCTTTAAAAAAAGAAAAAAAAAAGGCTGAGCTAAGCGTGGTGGCGCACCCCTGTAATCCTAGCACTCCGGAGGCTGAAGCAGGAGGATCACTGCAGGTTCGAGACCAGCCTGAACCACAGTAAGTCTATGGCCAGCCTGGACTTCTGTCTCAAAGACAGAGACCCTGAGACCCTGTCTCAAAGACAGCACACATCGTCCCAACATTCAGGAGGTTGAGGAAGGAGGATCCCCAAGAGTTTGAGACCAGCCTGGGCTACACAGCGAGAACAGGTCTCCAAAACCAGACCAAACAGTAAGCAGTGTAGAGAGAGATGGCAGAGAGCCAGGGTCACCCTGACCTAGGCCACTGAGTTTCAGGGAAGACGGCTCCTCCAGCAGGGCCGCCTCTGTGTAGACAGAGACCTGAGAGCCAAGGCCCTGAGTTCAGGGAGCTTCTATGACTCCCCCACTTTCCTGCCCCAGCTCAAACACAGAGCACCAGGGACATGGTCAGTGTTTAGTCCCTTCTCCCGTCCCATCCAACGCTGCTCCAGGACACCTCCGGAAAGCTGGTGTATTCGCAGGCAGGAGAGGCTGGAGGACTGAGCCCTGGGCTTGTACCTCTTACGGGTACTGTTCCACACAGGGATGTAATGGGGCAGGTGTGCACCTGTCATCCCAGTCACTTGAGCACAGGAAGATCAAGAGTCTGAGGCCAGCCTGAGCAATTTAACAAGATATCATAAAATGAGGTGTTTTGTTTGTTTGTTTGTTTTTAACATGGGCAGGGGTGGGCTCAGGTGGAGCAATGGCCTAACCAGAGTTTGGCCCAGGCTTGCATCCCCAGCACTGCACAAATTTTAAAAAGCCAGGAGTGGTGGTACAGGCCTGTAATACCCACACTCGGGAGGCTGACTGAGGCAGGAGGATCGCAATGTTTGAAGACAACTATACAGCGAGGCCATATTTCAAAAAAAAAGAAAAAGAAAATAGATAAGCTGGGCTCTGATGAACCAAGGCTTGCAGCTCCAGCTCCGAATGCCAAGCTGCCACCCGCAGGCTCCGGTTTCCTGCGCGTCCCCCACCGAGCTCGACACCTCCAGAACCGTGACCGTGTAATGTGTGGCCGGGGTTCTGGGGCTTGGTTTTTTTGTTGCATTTTCTTCCACTGTGAGGCGGGACGATGCACTCATCCTCTCCCGGCTGGAGACCCCCTGCCTCCCCGGGAAGACATCGCTGTGTGACCCAGGGGGAAGCCGCCCGTCTTTGTGCCGCTCCCAGCTCTCTCTACTGCGCCCCGCAAGCGCCCCTGCCTCGTTGCACAGCGGGAACCCGCGGTCGGCCGCGGCATCACGGGCATTGTCGCCGCCCGACCCTGCATCCCCGACAGCGGCGCGCCAGGACCCCAGCCTCAGTTTCTCTGCCTCGGTCAGGCGGCGAGACTCTAGGCCGGCACTGCAGACCCGCTGCAGCTCCCAGCGCCCGCCCCGAAGTCCCCGCCGGCCGCGTGCCCAGCCTCCAGGAGACCCCGCCGTCGCCTCTTCCTCACCATGTCGTCGGCGGGGGCTCGCCGGCCACTTCCGCCGCACTCTCAGCCGCTCACTTTGCCGCCTGTCACCGCCCCGCTGCGCGCCACTAGGCAGAAAAAGAGTGGCAGAGACGCGAGCGAATCAGCACTGGGTTTGAGGCTCAGACAGCCAATCGTTAAGGAAGAAGGCAGGGTCTACTGGACACGGTGGGCGGGGCGGGTCGGATTCCCGCGGGTGGAATCAGGGAAGAGCCGTAAAGTTCCCCCTCGAGTGGCGTAAAAGGGGGCGGTGCGACGCGCGTCTGCACGAGGTGCGTGGTGGATGAAAACGCATGCGCAATGGGGCCCTCGCGAGTCTGCCGCGCTGTGAATGGGGCGGCGGAGCGGCAGATATTCGTCTCCGTGGTTATTGGGTTGTGGTGTGGAATTCCTCGTTATCGTTATTCTCTATTAAGCAAAATAAATGTGGGAAGTGGGGTCGGTGAAGGTCCATCCGCTGACCAGGGTGGCGGCCAGGGCAGAACGAAGTGGCAAGCGCGATCTCTGGCGCTACGAGTGGGGCGCAGTTCAGAGATCAGGAGCTGTATCTGGAATTGTCTACTTAATATTTTTGCACTGCAATTGACAGTGGGTGATAAACTTCGAAAAGCGAAACCAGAACCGGGACTGAAGGTTCCACACAGTCCTAGCACTAGGAGGCTGAGGCAGGAGGATGGCAAGTTCTAGCCCAGTCTGCGCAAGTTGGCATATTAGCGAGATAAGGACAAATAAATAAATAGATCCTTAGAGGGCTGGTGATGTAGCTCTCAATGTGAAGGCTTCCGTTGTCGTTATGGAAAAGAAAGAAAGGAAAGTGAAACCAGCCTTCATCACAGTTCGGGTAGCTGGATTCTGAAATGAAGGTATCCACAATGTTGGTTGCTTCTGGGGGTCTTGAGGGCCGATCTGGTGACTGTCATAATCGTCACTGACCCTTGGCTTCTAGATCTTCCCATGACTTCGTGTTTGTCTCTGCAGCTCAGCCCCTCTACCCGCATTCTGAGACAGGGTCTCTCCAGGCTGCTAAATTAGCCAGGCTGGCCTTCAACTCAGTCCTCCTACCTTCAGCCTCCCAAATACTGGGATTACAACAGGCATACACCACCCCTAGCTCGGACTGGGGAATTCTATTTTTCTCTCTCTCTCTTTTTTTTTTTTTTTTTTTTTTAATCGGTACAGGGGATCGAACTCACAACGGCCTGCTTGCAAGGCAGGTGCTTATGCCACTGAGCTAAATCCCCAGCCCCCTCTCTCTTGTTTTTTGAAGGCAAGGTCTTGATAGGTAGTTTAGGCTGGCCTTGAATTCACTATGCAGCCCAAGCTGGTCTTGAACTGGTAATCCTTCTGCCTTGACCTTCTGAATGGTGCAGTTGCAGGCACATACCGCCACACCAGGAAGCCTGGGGAATTTTTTTTTCTTCAGGAACCACAATGGTACATACATTGCTCATGCCATGATTGGGGAACTATTGATGCTGATTTCTCAGCAAGATTCCCTTGTACTGGGCATAAGAAGGCTAGGCCTTCCGACCTGTCTGCCTCTTGGCGCAGGGTCAGCACCCAAACTCCTGCAGGACCCAGGAGATGGAGGGTTCTGCCATCCTCCCCGCTAGCCTGGGCATCTGTCCTCATCCCTCAAATCCCAAACCCACAAGAACCATGAAGTTTTGAGCCCTGGCTGACCATTGTCCTTCCTGATGTTTGCAGAATAAAGTGGCACTCAGAAGGAAAGAGGGGACACCTTGCTGGGCAGAAGCCTGGTCCCCCTGACATGTGTTCTTTGTTGTCCTTTTTTGAGACAGGGTCTCACTATGTAACCCAGGCTGGCCTTGAACTGATGATGATCCTCCTGCCTCAGCCTCCTGAGTACTGGGATCACAGGTATGTGCCACCAGGCCTAGCCTCTCCTGTTTCTTGAATCACAAAGTTCTCATCCTTGTTTAAACCAGTTTGTATTGAGTTTTCAATCAAAATTTTTAAAAATCAGCCATAGTCAGACATGCTGTAATCCTGGGACTCTGGGAGACTGAGGCAGGAGGACTGCAAGTTGGAGCCCAACCTGTGCAATTTAGTGAGCCCTGTCTCAAAAATAAAAATGAAGAGGGCTGGGGAAGCAGCTTAGTGTGAAGGCCTCAGGATTCCACCTCCAGCACCAAAGTTGTTTTTAAGCTAGGATCTGGCTGTGTAGTTCAGTCTGGTGATGATCCTCCTGCCTCGGCCTCCCAACTCTGGTGTGTCCCACCATGCCTGGCTCCCAGAACCGAATATAAAAAACAAAAAGGACATAAATTGTGTGAGACCAAGTGGAAGTTCTGGGGTACCCAATCCCTAAACCCCAGTCCTGGGGTAGGACTGCCTTGTCCCCCCAAACCCAAACTGGGATGTAGACTTAGAGAGCTGCTGGGGCATGGAGCCCTGAGACAAGGCTGGGGAAGGGGGCCCGCCTGGGGATCAAGAAGCAGGTGACCTGGGGACAAGAGGGGAACCCAGTCCTGTGAGGACTCCACCCATGTCATCGTGGCTTCCGGGCAAGAGTTGACAAGAATCTGGGCTCATGTGTGGTCTCAGATCGCCGCGATGGCAGGAGCACAAAGAAACCGCAGGCCAGGTCAGCTCTGATGATTTTTCTAGACTTTTTCTATGTGGGAAGCCCCCCACCTCCCCAACCTTCAGCTCAAAAGGCAATGCCTGTGCGGCTGGAAACCATGGCTGGGGTGCCCCCTGGTGGTCTCTCCCCATCACTGCAGTTTTCGTTCGCTTTCCATATGGGCGGGGACTGAGGCTTCCTTCAACCCCCACCCCAGGCCCCAAGCGCGGTGCAGGAGCCTGGCCTGAGAAGGCTGCTGACTCGGCCTTGGGAGGGGCGCTGGGGGCTGGGAGGAGAAGACCTCTTTCCTCAGGGATGTCAAAACAAGATCTTGAAAGCCAGGGAGGCTGAGTCCAGAGGTTTGCAAGTTCAAGTCCAGCCTGGACAATTGAGTGACTTAATACCCTGCTGAGCTCCATCCCCAGTCCCGGAAAACTGGTTTTTATTGCTTCACCTGCTCGCTCAGGGAGCTGGGACTGCCCTGCTGCATGCGCTTCCCTCTGCAGCACCCCCATATCTAATCACCCCTGTCTTATCCTGAGCGGCAGGGCCTTGCCACACCTAGGTGCTGTTCCCAGCGCCCTGGCCCCTGACATAGAGAAGCAGAGGTGACAGGGCTGTTCAACTGCTTTCTCTCCCCAGAGTCAGGGCCAGGGACCCAGGCCTGTCCAGCAGGGGTTCACTGCATTGCACAATTGGCCTGGAGGTCTGGCTGCCTCCACCGCAGCTGGATCCAAGCTGTACCTGACTATGTAAGAATCCTCACCTTTTCCTGCCCTTTGAACCTGGGTACTGTAGTACCCTTTTGTTGTCTTTTTGGACACAAGGTCTGGCTTTGTAGCCCAGACAGGCCTCAAACTCACAGCAATCCTCACACCTCAGCCTCCCGAGTGCTAGAATGACAGGGGTGTGCCCCTACAGCCGGCTTTTCAAAAAGTTATTTAATAAGAAGTTGCTGAGGGTCAGAATCTAAGAACAACCGTGTCCTTTTCTGCTCAGGGAACCCAGCCGCCACCTGGCCCTGCTGATGCCCAGCCAGCAGATTTCAGGGTCCAAGACCCCGGGACCAGTACACTTGTGGCTTGAGAGCCCTAGCCAGGGCTGGCCTGCTCTCAGAGCTTAGAAATAAAAGAACACAAACTGCCAGGCATGGTAGTGCCCACCTGGTGTCCCAGAATCGAGGCAACTTGGAGGACAAGGCAGGAGGACTGTTACAAGTTTGAGGCCAGCCTGGGCTTCATAGGAGACCTTGTCTCCAAACAAAGGAACAAACAAATAAACAAATAACTCTAGGAAAGAGGTGTTTCCCACGTTCAGAACAATTTCCTGATCTCCACGTTGTTTTCATGAACCATCTCCCTGGGTGAAATTCAGGGGCAATGTTGGTAGTTTTGGAATTCTGAGTCAATCTCCAGTGATATTACAATAAAGAGTTATAAAACTCTAGTGACTGAAAGAATGGGGAGCAAAGTCAGGAAAAGCCACTTACGTGCCCCTGTGCACAGTGGCATCATTTGCAAGAGCCAGAAGGTGGAAGCAGATCTAGTGCACATCAAGGGATGAACAGATAAATGGTGTGTTGGTCTCCTACATGGTGGAATACTACTCAGCCAGAAACAGGAACAAGACACTGACATGCACTATAGCGTGAATAAACTCTGAGAACCACAATACAAAAGGTGCTTTTAAATTTCTGGTATTTTCTTCCTGAAATACTTTTTTTTCCCCCGTTACGGAGAATGGATCTTGCACACAGCAGTATAGCACTAAGCTAAAGCCCTTTTTCTATCTTTTTCTTTTTGCTTATTTATTTATTTATTTATATAGGGGGGACAGGGCCTCACTATGCAGTTCAGGCTGGCCTTGAACTCACTCTGTAGTCCATGCTGGCCTCCAACTCAAGGTGATCCTCCTGCCTCAGCCTCCTGAGTGCGGGGATGACAGGCATGTGCCACTGAACCTGGCTTGCAGCTCACATTTTGTTCCTGGACATTCCCCAGTGTGTCTGACATCCAAGAGGGCCAGCTGCAGGCCTTTGTAGAAAGCTGGGCGTGGTCTGGCCTGTCCGATTCTCCTGTCAGCTGGGGTGCAGTGCCCAAAGCCTGGCAGAGTTTTCTGGGTGGCTGAGGTCCTGGCTGGTTCAGGGTTGAGGTCACCACTTGCAGTTATTTAGGTCCTGGGCAGCTTGGGGCTGATGCAGAAAACCCCCAAGCTGGCCTCTGGGCACCAGGCCAAGGCCTCACTAAAGGACTAAGGCCAGGCCTGGCTCTGGACCTGGCCAAGAGCTCAGTTCTGTGCTCTGGCTGTTTGGGAGGACCTGGCATCAGAGGCCCAAAGACAGGACCTAATGTGTGCCAGCCCGGGGCTGTCACCAACAGCAGAGTAGGCAGCTGACATCCCTCTGTGTAATGACCGTTGGGAGAGACAAGGATGCAACCACACCAGCTGCTGGAGCTCAGCCTGATGTGAGGGACGGCAGGTCTGTGGGTCCCTGCAGGCAGTTCCGGGTGAGGTTGAAGCCGTGCAAAGGTCCTAGGGCCACCTGTGGAGGACGTGCACAAGGCTGGGATGTGTGGGTGGCCAGGTCACCCCTCCAGGCCAGCGTTCTCCCTCACTTCCTGGCCTGGAGGCAGTTTTTGTGACCCTTCCAGGCTCTAGCCAGTGGCTTTAGGCAAATAACCTTTGTGCCCATGCCTGAGGTTCCCCAGGCAGCAGTGGTTAGATGGTTTTATTCTTTTTTTTTTTTTTTCTTTGAGGCAGGGTCTCATTTTGCCGTGCAGCCTGGCCTTGAACTTGCTTATGTAGCCCAGGCTGGCCTCAAACTCACGAGGATCCTCCTGCCTCAGCCTCTCAAGTGCTGGGATGACAGGCATGTTCCATCAAGCCCTCGGCCAAATTGGGGCACAGCAGGTGAACAAAGGCAGCATGCGTGCCTGGCTGGGCGTCAGCCCTTGCCCCGTGGGTGAAAATGGCCTTACTCCAGAACTTTCTAATCCCTACAAGGAGGGAAACTGAGGTCAAGAAGGGCGGAGGCGCGCACGCTGAGGGGCGGGGCGGGGCAGGGGTGGGGCCTGGGAGGGGTGGAGGAGCGGGGCGCACACGCACCCGGGGACGGGACCTCGGACGTGCTGGGGCGGGGCCTGGGGGCCGAGCGCGTGCAAGGTAATACCAGGCGAGGTAGGGGCGGGACGGGGAGGCAGGGCTGCTGCGCTCACAGGCCCACTGAGCGTTGGGCAGGGGCGGGGTCTGGGGTAGGCGCGGCCGGGGCGGGGTTTGTGCGCGCAGACCTCCGTGGCTTTGGGCCCGAGGAGGGGCGGGGCTGGGAGCGAACAGACACGGGGTGGGTGGGGCCTGCGGGTTTGGGGGCGGGTCCTCTGGCGTCACGTGGAGCGGGGGCGGGGCGGGGAAGGGAGGGGCGGGGCGGGCGTGGGGGAGCGCCGAGCCCGGTAGCTGCAGCGGACGCGCCAGTGCCTTCGCCGCGGGCCGGAGACTCCGCGGTCCCGTTATGGAGCAGCCCCGGAAGGCGGTGGTGGTGACCGGTACGCGGCGCGGGCCTGAGGCGGGGCGGGGCCTGGCGTCTGGGTGGCTGCGGGGTTGGCGGGGCTGGGGCTGGAGGCGATCGCAGGTCGCGGAGTTGTCGCCTGCGGAGCGCAGCTCGGCCCCGGCCGGAGATTGTCTCGGCCCGGTGCCCGCGGTGGCCCCGCACGCCTCCTGCCCGGCGGGGACGGGGACTGAGACAGCGGGCGCCACCTAACGGGGCCGCCCCTGCGCACCCGGCCGGGCCCTGCCCCCGGGGACAAAGCCAGATCGCGGCGCGACGCTGGCCAGGAGCCGCCTGCGACCCCGGCCCGCGGGCTCCGCTCCCGGCGGGGTCTGCGCGCGAGCCCCGGGGCCCCGGCCGCGCCGCCGGGACTTGGCCAACTTCAGCAGGCCGCGGTGTCACGCACGCTTCCGGCCCGAGGAGCGGCCCAACAGGTGCCTGCGCCCGGCGGGCTGGAGCGCGGGGCCAGGCCAGGTGTGCGGGCCGGAGCGCGGTGACACTGCCTCCGCCTTCCCGGAGCGAGGCTCCGGCTGCAGCCCTGCTTCCCTGACTCTGACAGCCGCCGGGTCCGGGGCCCAGACCTGCGGCCCCTTGCGGAGCTGTGGGTGGGTTTATTTATTTATGTCGCGAGCGTGCGGGCGGAATCCAGTGCCTCGACAAGCTCTCACCACTAAACTGCAGCCCAGCGCGGGTTTCTTATTTGTACTATTTTATTATGGGTTGTTGTTGTTGTTATTATTATTGTCTTTTTTTGAGACAAGATCTCACAGGGCAGTTCAGGCTGGTCTTGAGCTGATTATGTGGCCCAGGCTGGCCTGACTTCACAAGCAATTCTCTTGCTTCAGCCTCCCAAGTGCAGGGATTTCAGGTGTGTGCCACCATACCTGGCTTCAGTGCGTTTTATTTTTTATTGTTAGACAAGGTCACTTTTCTAAGTTGCCCAGGCTGGCCTCAGAGGTGACATCCTCTTGACTCAGCCTTCTGAGTATCGGGGATGACAAGCATGAGGCTCTGCCCGTTGAGAGGTTTATATTTTAACCTGAGTAACCACTTGCACCAGGAGGGCTGGTGACTCTTCCAGCTTCTTGCTGTGTGACCTTGAGTACCTGGCGTCACTTCTCTGGGTCTCTGAACATTATGCCAGGAAACAGCACCACAGTGCACACAGGCCACTCAGCACATCGGGCGACTGTCTGAGTTGGGAAAGGCCTTCTTACTCTGAGGTGATTCACCATGCCCATGTGTCCAGAGTAGGGAACTGAGGGGACAGACCCTACCAAGACAGTGATAACATAATTATAGGGAAGGTTGCCTGGCTCCGTGATGCTCCCCTATAATCCTCCCATTTTGGGAGGCTGAGGCAGGAGGATTGTAAATTCAAACCTATTTAGGGCAATTTGATGACTTAGTGAGACTTTGTCTCAAAATAAAAAGTAAAAAGGGCCTGGAATGTAGTTAAGTGTGAGAGCCCTGAATTCTATCCCCAGTATCTAAAAAAGAAAGAAAAATTATAGATTGTGTCGAGGTGAGCATAAGAAATTGAGGAATGAAGAAGCCACGTGTGGTGGTGCACACCTGTCATCCCAACACTGGAGGCTGAGGCAGGAGGATTGCTATAAATTTCAGGGAAGACTGGGCAGACAGGCCAGACTCGGTTTGAGAGCAGCCCGGACTACATACGGAGACCTTTTCTCCTAAACTAAAACCATCAAAGAAAACAAAACAAAAGAAGACATTGAGAAAGGAAGGGGCCAGCTTTGACACGGGGGTACAAAAGGAAGCTGGCACCCTGAGGGCAGCAAAGGATTCAGGGCCTTATCTAAAAGGAGCTTGGTGGGCAGAGACACAGCTCAGGGGCACAAACATCTGACTGGCAAGCACAAGGTCTTCAGTTGATTCCTGGTATCCCTCCCAAAAAAAGTAGCTTGGGAGTTTGGGAGGCCCTGGGTGTGACCAGATCCAGGACTTACCTCTAGTGCCACCCGAACCTGGAGCTCTGCGCCTGCTTCTCCACCCAGGAACAGTGTCAGGCCCTTGGTGGATGACATGTCACTTTGCTGCATTTACAGGGTTCGGCCCTTTTGGGGAGCATACCGTGAATGCCAGCTGGATCGCAGTCCAGGTAACTCAGACACAGGGAGTTGGCCTGGAACGGGGAGCTCCTGCCAGCTGTGCCTGGCACCCAAGAAAGTCACCTTTGAAATTCTGAAGACTGCATGAATCAGATTGTAGCCGGCGCTAAGTGTGTCTGTTGAGTTTTGTGTTTGGGGGCCCTGGCCACCCCTGCGTGGTGATTATGGGGTATTTTGGGGAGCAGGGGGTTGAGGCAGGATCTCACTATGTAACCAGGCTGGATTTGGACTTGGGGCAATCCTCCTGCCTCAGCCTCCTGAGATGACAGGAGTCCCATCAGCACCCCAGCCAGTAACAGGTTGTTCTTACAGTGAGGTGTCTTTGACCTGTGTAGGAGGGGGCACAGTGACCCCCGTAGTCACCTCCCAGCCACCCCTGCATACTGACAGAGAGGGGAGGGGCGGCTTTCTGGGTGTCCCCAGCCTGTGGGACCTTCGAAGTTTCTTACTGGATAGGCACAGGGTGGGATTGGGGGGTGACCTTGGGGAACAATGCACAGCGACACAGAAAGGTTTCTCCTTTCATGAAACTTGCCTTGGCCAAGGCCACAGTCAGACTCTATTAGTCTGGCCCATTGGCCAGCTGATTTAAAGTGGCCCCAGTCCACGCTCAGCCTCCAGCCTTCATTGGGAGTCCCTAGCAAGGGAACCCCATTATCCGACCCTCCCTCCCTGCCTCCTCACCCTGCAAACGCTGCAACCTCCACCGGGGTTGCAAACGCTTGCCTTAGGTGGGGAGCAGCAGCTTGGAGGGCCTGGCAGGGACCCTGCAGATGGGACCACAGTGTCCCGTGTCTCTGCCCAGCCGAGCCACAGACAAAAAGCAGCAGTGTGTCTACAGCCTCCCGGGTCGGCTTTGTGACGCCTCAGACAGGAGCCTTCACGGGGCTCAGGGACACAAAGCCGCGTCTGCATTCCTGGGCCCCAGACACTGCGCCTGCATGCAAATGGGAGAAAAATCAATTAAACAATCTGTGGAAACCCTCGGCCTTGGGACCAGTAGGTGGCCAGGCTGGCAGCTGTTTGTCCCCCTACCCCCGGCCTCGCCTGGCCCTCAGGGCCCCTATCCCTGCTCCCTTCTGGAGTGGCTCACACAGGAGGGGTCCCAGCTAGGTCCCAGGTACAGACATGCTCAACTGGCCCATCTGATTGGTTCCTTTTCAAAACAAAACTCTCTAGAGTCCAAAGACACACACTATGCACTCTTGTTTGTATGAGCCAGGAAATTTGGGGGGTTGGTATTGATTTTTGAGACAAGGTCTCACTGTGCAGTTCAGGCTGGCCTTGAGCTCACCGTGTTGCGCAGGCTGGTCTCACCTCATGATGATCCTCCTGCCTCAGCCTCCACCTCTGTCCTTCAGGAAGATACACCTGGGAATACCCAAGGGGTGTCTTTCAGAAGCAGTAACAGTATGTGTCTGTCCCCTCCATCCAGGGCCCAGCCAAGGGCACTTTCTGCCCTATGGGAGCCCAGCTGCGCATGCGTGAAGGAGCCCTCCTCCCTGGGGGGCGGTTGCCTTCTGCGCCCCTTGTTTCCCGCAGGGCTGGAGCTGGGAGCTGAGTTCTCTCTGGCCTTTTTCTTTGAGACCCTCATACTGAGCTCCCCCCACCCCCGTGCTTTTTATTTTTTACTTTGAGATGGAGTCTCAACTAAGTCCCTAGGTTACAAAGCCAGGCTCCACCTTGCCATCCTCCTGCCTCAGCCTCCTCAGTAGCCGGGATGACAGGCGTGCACCCCCACGTCTGGCTCTGTGCAAGGTTTTATCTTTGCTTCTCTCACCACTTCTCTCTCTGTCTCTTTCCTAATTTCCCCTTCTCTATTCCACGAGGGCAGAACTCATACCCTCATGGGGGTGGGGGACTGTGAGGTGACAGCGCAGGAGTCCCCTTCTGTTTCTCTCAGCACCCTGTTCCCCTGTGTGCTGTTGCCCTGGGTCCGGGGGGTGGCTGGGCCCAGGTAGGTGCAGGCCATGGACCCTGGGCTCAGCCTTCTGCAGTGGTCCCACCCGAGCATGTCATGGAGCGCAGTGACACACAAGGACAGTTACCACACATCCCGTCTAGACAGAACTTCTAAGGATGCCACAAGTGAACAAAGAGAGCCTTTGTCGTGGGGTTGAGGGATCAGTCAGCCGCGCAGGGCGCGGGTCTGCAGGCTGTATGCACAGTGCAGCTGGAGGAGCAGGACTCTGGGGACGCAGCGCCCCTCTCACGCACAGTCCGAATACAGAGCCCAGTGACACCCACACCACGAGGGCTTTCTGGCTGTCCCTACCCTTTAAAAAGATGGAAGCAAAACTGGGCACAGTGGTGCACGCCTGTCATCCCAGCACTCAGGAGGCTGAGGCAGGGGGATTGTGGTGAGTTTGAGGCCAGCCTGGGCTGCATAGCGAGATCCTATCCGGAAAACATACATAAGCAGGCCGCTTCTGTAACTCACAACACCTGCGCCTCTCGTCCAGTGCGGCTCCGGCCCCAGCGAAGGTGGCCCCTCTTTCTCTTGCTTTGCTTTGCCCCAAGGAAAGGAACCCAGGGGTGCTTTCCGCTGAGCTGCAGGCCTGGCCCTTTTGATTTCATTTTATCTTATTTTTATTTCCTCTACACTGGGAATTGAAGCCAGGGCCCCTGCACTGAGCTGAAACCCTAGTCTTGTTTTTATTTTTTAATTTTGAGACAGGAGCTCACTAGGTCACTAAATCTCCCAGTCTGGGCTCAAACTCCCCACCGTCCTGCGTCAGCCTTCCAGAGTGGCTGGTTATGCAGCTCTTTTTATTTTCTATTTTGAGACAGGGTCTGGTTAAATTGTCCAGCCTGAGCCTGTCATCCCATCACTCAGGAGACTGAGACAGGAGGATTGCCGTGAGAGGGAGGCCAGCCTGGGCTACATAGTGAGTTCAGGAGTACCCAAACTGCATAGCAAGCCCTTGTCTCAAAAATGGAGACAAGGGGCTGAGGATTTAGCTCAGCAGCACAAGTGCCTGCCTTGCAAGCGCGCAGTCGTGAGTTTGATCCCTGGTATAAGACAAAAAAAAGTGAAACAAAATGAGAAACTTCCATGGGCTGGGGGTTTAGCTCAGTGACCTGTGCCTACTTGGCAAACACAAAGTTGTGAGTTCAATCCCCAGTACCAAAAAAGAAAAAAAGGAGCTATCCACCAGCCCGGTTGTGTAATCCTTGACTGGGTTCTCAGTTCTTCATTCTCGGTGACTCAGCCGGCTCGCTCGCCTAGTCCCTCCTTCTGACCCCGGCAACCCGGAAATACCTTGTTTTCAGTTCTTTCAGATTTGGTAAAGTCCAAAATTTATAGTTTTTCTCCTTTTTTCTCCTTTCTTCCTCCTCTCCTTTTCCTCCTCCATATCCGTCTCATGCTGGGGGTGGCATCTAGGCTCTCACCTATACCAGGCTTTACCACTGAGCTGCACCCCCAGCCCTATTCTCTGCCCCCCAGGAAGGGACCTCACTAGGTCACTCAGACTCGCCTTAAACTCACTGGCTCAGGCTGTCACCTGCCTCAGCCTCCCAAGTAGCAGGGACTACACGCATCTACCGCCATGCCTGGCTTCTTCTCCCATAGTTTGTTCTTTGTTCTTTGCCAGTGGGCTATGTGGCCTTTGCTTTGTCTTGTTTGGGGTTTTTTGCTGTTCTTTGTTTATTTTGAGACAGGGTCTCACTAGGCAGTTTGGGCTGGCCTTGAACATAACCACATAGCCAAGGCTGGCCTTGAATTTTCAACAACCATCCTGCCTCAGCCTCCTGAGAGCTGAGGTGACAGGCGTGCACCATCAGGCCCAGCATGATTTGTCTTTAGGAGAGAAAAGAACTCAGTGACCTTTGTTTTAGCCCGGCTTCTGCTGCCTGGGACAACACAGCTTATTTCGGCGCATGGCCATGGCCCATGCTCTGGAGGCTCCATCTGGTGCCAGCAAAGTCCCCTGGCCAAGGCGAGGGCCCTGGCATAAGAGACGGGAAGCGTAGGCGGGGCCTTCCACGTGGGGACCTGCCAACCAGCAGCTTTCAGTCACACAGGTGGGAATGGCCTCCTTGTGGCTGATTTGTTCCCCAGCACAGGAGCTGGAACCTCAGGGGGGCACACTGGCCCTTTCTGCACTGTCTCACGAATTCAGGGAGCCGCCCAGGCTGAGTTTGAACTCGAGCCTCCTGCCTCTGCCCTGGATTTTGGAGGCCTGTTGCCATGCCTGGCCTCAGTCCTCCTAGTCCATCCTGGGACAAGGCCTTACTTTGCAGCTCAGGCTGCCTCTCACACATGAAGATTCTCCTGCCTCAGCCTGCCAGGTGCTGGGCTCAGAGCCGCACAGTAATTACCGAGCTCAGGGACCTCCTTAATCCTCCTGTGGTGGAAGCTTCCAATGAGCTGGGTACAGGTGTGAACCACACCCCGTGCCTAAACAGAAATTCTTCGCAAGCCTGCATTGGTGGTGCACACCTGTCATCCCAGCACTCGGTAGGCTGAGGCAGGAGGGTCTCTGTGAGTGAGTTCAGGGCTGGCCAGTGCCTCAGTTCTTGCAACCTTTACTGCCTCTCCCAGATGCTTAGTTTTTCATTGTTTCCTACAGACAAGGAAGCTGAGGCTCGGAGCCATTCAGTGTTCCTCCCAGGGTCAGGCAGGCAGGGCGTGCACCCTGCAGGCTGCAGGGACTGCGCTGGGCGTCTTTGGAGAAGGGGGCACAGGAAGCCTTGGGGCGGACAGTGGGCAGCAGGGTCCTCTGGGCCAGGTCAGGAGGTGGTGCCTGATACCCTGTGCCTCCCCCTCCCCCCAGGAGCTAGAGAAGCTGGGACTGGGTGATAGTGTGGACCTGCACGTGTACGAGATCCCGGTGGAGTACAGGACGGTGCAGCAGCTCATCCCTGCACTATGGGAGAAGCACAGCCCGCAGGTGAGGCCTTCCAGTGGGCGGCCCCGGCCCGGCTGACCCACTTGTGAGGCAGCCTTTTCTGCGGCACTCAGTTGCCTAGGCTGGACTTGAATTTGAGATCCTCCTGCCTCAGCCTCTCAAATCTGGGATTATAAGTGTGCATGGCTATGCCCAGCTGTTTTTCTTCTCTTTCTCTCTCTTTTAAAAAATTGTTTTGCTTTGTTTTTGAGACAAGGTCTGACTATGTAGGTCAGACTGGCCTTGAACTCACTATGTAGCCCAAGATGGTGTTGAACTTGGAGAGATCTTCCTGGCTCAGCCTCCGGAGCGCTGGGAACATAGGTGTGCGCCTCCACTGCTGCGCGGGCCTCCCTCCTTTCCTGGTGTCAAGTGGAGCCCAAGGCCCCCACCTGCGCTAGACCAACACTGTGCCTCTGAGCCGCACCGCAGCCCCCGGCCTTGGTTCCTGGGAGCCGGTGTCTACCCCTGGCTGGGGTCGCTAGCCATGCAGAATGGCTCAGGTCTGGAGCCGCGCTTTCCCTCTGCTGTAATCCTATGCTTAGAAAATAAAGTGTGTTCTGGTCACGTGTTGCATGAGGACAGGATCCAGGCCAAGAGAGGTCAGCAGATCATTCCGTCACGGCAGCTCCCAGAACTGTTTCAGGAAAGACGGGTGAATGGATGGAGTAAGAGGGGGAATTTCCAGGAGGATTTGCAGCACTGAGTCTTTACCATAATAATTTTATAAAAACTCAGCGTTCTTATTTCATTCACCTGTGATTGCCCTGAAGCTCATTCCCTCTAATGCCACCTTGGATATTTTAACAGCTACATAGCTGCTCATTTCCTTAACCCAGACCTTGCCTGTGAGTGTGAGTGGCTGAACTGTGTCTGGTGTTGCACTGTAATTGCAAACAAAGCCCCTCCCTTCAGACCTTTGTCTGTTTTACAGACCTTTTGGCTGGTGGGCCGCAGGGTCTGCTCCAGCAGCTGGAGGTCAGACACTAGCCCCAGGCAAAGCTGGGTGAAGATCCCAAATGCTTGGCCCGGCCAGCCCCTGCTAAGCCCTCCCTGTTGGGTTTTGGTCTGCAGCTGGTGGTGCATGTCGGGGTGTCGGGCATGGCGACCGCAGTCACACTGGAGAAATGCGGGCACAACAAGGGCTACAAGGGCCTGGACAACTGCCGCTTCTGCCCCGGCTCCCAGTGCTGTGTGGAGGATGGGCCGGAGAGCATTGACTCCATTATTGACATGGACGCCGTCTGCAAGAGGGTCACCACCCTGGGGCTGGACGTGTCGGTGACCATCTCGCAGGATGCCGGCAGGTAGGCGTGGCGGGCCCTGTGGGGTGGGCATGAGCCGGGGAGCACAGCTACTCCCACACCCTTCTCCTCCTCGCCCAAGCATGCAGCCTTGGGCAGGATGCACATGGAAGGGAACAGGAGGAAAGGGACACCACCCACTCAGCCAGTGGAATCAGTCCAGGGGGTGACCAAGGCTGCAGCCAGATTGCCCTTACTTCCACAGGAAGAAGGAGCTTTCAGGGGAAGTTTCAGGGCAAAAGTGTAACTAAGTTTACAACCGCGAAAAGTACACCTGTCCTGCACTCAGGCTGCCCTTCTTGTCCTCTGTTCTCATGTGTGTGTTGTGTGTGTGTGTGTGTGTGGTGGGGCTGGGGCTCAGACCCATCTCACCCTTCCTGGACGGACCCACACCCATCTTTTTTCCTTTGTTTCCAGACTGGGTCTTGCTAAGCTGTTGAGACCTACTGGCCTCCAACTCATGCTCCTCTTTCCTGAGCCTCCCAAGCAGCTGGGATTCCAGGCGTGTACTGTGTTGTACAACAACTGCTGGCATGGTGGTACACACCTGTTACACTAGTATTCTGGAGGCTGAGGCAGAAGGGTTGCCTGGTTAGGCTGGGCTATACATTTCAAGGGCAGTCTGCACTACAAATCAAGACCCTGTCCCAAAACAAAACAGAACAAAAAAGACGGACTTTGGCACATGTCTCCAGGGCCTCAGGTCATGATTAGTTTCCCTCATGCTTTTTTTTTTTTTTTTTTTTTTGGTCTTTTTGAGACAGGGTCTCATTATGCAGTTCAAGCTGGCCTTGAGCTCACTTTGTAGCCCAGGTTGGTCTCCAACTCGCAACAATCCTCTTGCCTCAGCCTCCTGAGTGCTGGGATTACAGGCCTGGGCCACCATACCTGGCTCCCCTGCTTTTGAACCTGCTCAAGGCAGAGCACCTCAGCAGGAGCATCAGGAGGGCGGGGCTGCTCTCTGAGGCCATGCCCCCCCAATGACCTACCTTCCTCCCACTAGGCCCCGCCTCTTAAAGGTTCCACTACTTCCCAATAGCGCCCCCTGCAGGAGTGTGGGTTTTGGAGGACATTTAGGATTCCAGCTGTGAGGCACACTACACAGTGAGTCTGACTGCGTTCCTGTGCTCTCTCCTGCCCTGTCCTGTGGCCCAGGTACCTCTGTGACTTCACCTACTATACCTCCCTGTACCAGAGCCACGGCCGCTCAGCCTTCGTTCATGTGCCGCCATTGGGCAAGCCCTACAACGCGGACCAGCTGGGCAGGGCGCTGCGGGTCATCATCGAAGAGATGCTGGACTTGCTGGAGCAGTCAGAAGGCAAGATCAGCTGCTGCCATGAACCCTGAGCACTGTCCAGAGCGAGGATCCACTCTCCTGGGGCTCTGCACTCCGCCTCCTCTCCCTCCTGCTTGGCAGCGCCCTGCTTGGAAGGAGCCCAGGACTCAGGGGCCAGGGCCAGGGGGGCCACTGTGGTCCCTTTGCCAGGTTGGCGGCGGGTAGACCAGCTGGTCCAATCTGAACGTCCCATCAGGAGCCTGGTCCCTTAAATAGACCTCTTAAAAGGGGCAGCCTCGGGCAGGCAGCTTTTGGGTTGACTGGATTTCCCTTCCTCTCCTTTTTTTGCTCTGTTTTGTTTTGAGGCAGGGTCTCAGTAGGTAGCCCAGGCTGGCCTCAGATTCACAGTGACTGTCCTGCCTCAGTCTCCCAAGTGCTGGGGCCACAGGTGTGCACCACCAGCCCGGCTCTTACTGCTTTTTTCTCTTCCCTGCCCGCTGCACCCCAAAGCGGTAGTGCTGCTGGGGGACACAGTGGGTGACTTATATTCCCTTGGGCTGAAACCTTGGCTTTGGCCAACATTAGTGTCTTTCTCCTGAGGTGCAGCCTCTTTGCCCTTGGCCCCAAACCGAACCCCAGACCTGACATCTTAGATTTGGGACCAAGAACAAGGGCCCTCCTCCCACCTTGCTCTGAGTGGCAGCCTGGGCCTGGCCATGGGACTGGGTCCTTTGAGGCCCAATAGCAGGCACAGGCCGCTGGGCTCAGGGACCCTCCAAAAAGCAGCTCCTGTCCACCTGTGACTTGTCACTGGCCACAGCGGAGCCCGGCATGCCCGGGCTTGTTTGGGGGCAGCCCCTGGCCGATGGCTCTGGAGACAGTGGGAGCATGTGATCGTCCTGCTCCCTGCAGACTTTGAGCCCAGCAGGCCCAGAGTGAGGGTAATATCGCCTGGAATAGCACAGTGCAGCCCAGTCTTGATTCCAGCTGGAGTGGGGAGCTGTCAGAGTGCCCTGGAGGTGGCCGGAGACCAGTGTGGTGTGTTGGGGCCACCTCGGCTCTGCTGCAAGGGCAGTGGTGCCCCTCAGTCCGGCTCCCTGGGGCGTGGCCCATAGGTTCCCCATGGTGGACCTGTGGGAAGCCCCTTTGTGGCTGAGGGTGTCTCCACCAGGGCGTGGTCCTGGTAGCCCAGGAACGTGTCTAGGGCTGGCAGCGGGAAGGCAGGAGGCAGTTCCAAGTGTTGCTCGTGGGAGAGCAGGGATCCATGCTGGAGAGAGATGAGGGGACGGGACGGTGGCATTCTGTGCCAGTCCCTGGGGACAGGAGGACAGCAGTGGTGCACAGAGGACCTTTGAGCAGTGGCTTGCAGGAGGAATGAGGGGCCACTGGCAGGAGGAGCAGGAGCTGGGCACCACTGGGCTAAGCAGGGACAGTCCCATCCCTGAGGATGGGGTCAGGACTCAGTGGGTTGCTCAGTGTGGAGCAGAGCCAGTGTCCCCCAGAGTCACTCAGTTGGCCAGGCTGGGCTTGAACTTGCAGTCCTCCTGCCTCAGCCTCCGGGGTGCTGGATAGTGGGCTCTGGCTGCCTTTGAGAGTGAGAAGTTCATGCCAGAAGCCAGGCTCGAGCCCCCCACAGCACACAGGGTGACAGCAGCCAGGAGCAGGGGGCGCTGCTGTCTCGCCAGGTGACCTCTGACCTCCCCTGCCTGTGAGTGTCTGAACCCGGGAGTCCTCCAGGTCGTTGGGGACCGGGCCTTGTTCTCTGGTCCCCAGCCTGTGGCCTGAAACCCAAGGGGACAGTGGCAAAGGGCTTTGTCTTTCTCCCTGGGGGGAGGGGACCTGTCTCTGTCTTATCCTTGGTTTTGGGGACCTGGGGGGCATAGCCTCACATATGCCCATGAGCACTTGACAGTAAGCCCTGCCCCAGCCCCTTTTTAAGGTTTTATTAAAGCTGGGATCTCACCGTGTAGCCCAGGGTAGCCTGGCGGTCCATATCCTCCTGCCTCAGCTTCCCCATTAGCTGGGGTGACCGGAACATCTTTCCTCATCCTGAGGGCCCCCTTCCCCCAGCTGGCCTTGCGCTGGGCTCTGCCCACTGCCATTCCCCCTCCCACCCACTCCAAGAACCCACATGATCTGGGCCCCGATATCTCAGGTTTTTGCCCCCACTGAAGTCTCTAGGAAACCCCTGCTGCCCATGGCGACTGATTTCAGTCCCCAGAGAGGCCCCCCTGTAGCTTCTTCCTGGCCCCCCGAGTCAGGGACCCCTGGGCTCCTGGAGACCCCACACCTGGCGTCCTGGAAAGCAAATAAAGCTTGATGTCCCCATCTGTGTGTCCTGTGTGTGGCCCGAGGCTGTCCTGGCCTCTGTCCTCAGCTGGTGGCAGTGACAAGCAGACCCCGTTGCACCTGCGCCCTTCGCTCTGTGGCAAAACACAGCGAGGCACCTGCCCGAGTCACACAGCAAGTGGAGCCTGCACCGTGGTTTGAACCAGGCTCTGAGGTGATGCAGCCAGCATGTCACGGCAGTGCCATCAATCCCCATCCCCAGGACAACTAGGGAGGGCCGGAAGGGGCCAGGCCTGTCCTGGACAGGGGCAGTGAACCCTGGACCCTAGGGTCCCCTCCCTTAGGACGCACTGTCTCTTTATCATCTGTTGTCTGGCTCTGTGTTTACTTAGGTTTTAATTTGAAACAGGGTCTTCCTGAGTGGCTCAGGCCAACCCTGAACCTGCGGCTCCCCTGCCTCAGACTCAGCAGTGTCGGGGGCAAGAGCCACGGGAACTGCAGCCAGTGCCAAGGGGAGGCTGAGGCGGGGCTCCATAGGGTGTTGGCTGCACCCTCAGGGGCCAGGAAGACCCTTCCTCTCTGCCCTGTGTCTCACCATGTGGTGGCAACACCTTGACGGGCCCTTTGGAGCCCTGAGCAGCCCAAAAGACCCGAGGGCTCTCCTCACTTCCACCAGCCTCGGTTTCCCTTCCTCACAGTCTTGTTTGATTGGTACTTTGTCCCCATGACACAAGGACCCTGAGGCCATGCCCAGCGGTGCACGCCTTTGAGCACAGCGCTCTGGGAGGCTGAAGCAGGAGGGTCTCAAGTTGGAACCCAGCCTGGGCAACTTAATGACATAGCGAGACACTGTCTCAAAAAGGATGGGGATGTGGCTCCGTGTGAAGGCCTTGGGTTCCATCCCGGTACCAAGGAAGAAAGGAAACTCCTCCAAGGACACAGGCCAGCAGTTTATTTTGCCTGCGGACACTGCCCCCGCTGTAGCAGTGGACACAGGAAGTTGTAGGGGGTAGGTGAGCCGCAGGGAGGTGGCCCACACACAGCTGGCCCAGGCCGCTTCCCGCTCCTGGGGCTCAGATGTTATCTGGGGGGCATTCTCCCGTGCCGCAGAGGGGCAAAAGTGTGTGGAGCTGGTGACACATTCCAGGCAGCTGACACACCAGTCATGGAGGTTTAGCCCTGCATGAGGAGGCTAAGGTCAGTGTCAGTGGGGCCTTTCCTGTCCATGTGGCTTCTCCAGAGAACTTCAGTCCACAAACTCATTCTCTCCTCTCCTTGGAGCCCCCTAGACACCCAGGTATCTCTTCAGCCCCCACGGTGCCCGTGCGCCCAACATCACCCGACTGTTTTTTCGAAGGCCATGAGAGCCTGTGGGTTGCCTGGGTCTCCTGACCCAGCACTGAGGCAGGAAGCTCTCTGAGGGTTCAAGGGCAGCCTGGACTACATAGACTCTGTCTTAAAAAAAAAAAAAAAAAAAAAAAGAAAATAATTTCCTCGCCATGACTGGGAGCTCCCACCCTCACTCTGAGAAGCAGGTCCAGACTCTAGGGTCCATAACAGCCTCCTTGGTTCCTCTCTGATCCCACTGGGCACAGGAACCCTTATCCTTCCTTTCTGTTGACCCCACCCAGACTCACTTTCCCCATGTGCTCTCCCAGGAAGGGCCATCCCCAGCCCTGCAACTAAACCTGGAAAACTTACCCATGCTTCAAAACCCCAGGCTGGGAAGGAGACACCAAAGTCATCTTGGAAACCTGGCTAATCAAGTTTGATAAGCCTGGCTAATAGTGAAGAGAGCAAATCAGTGGATTGCAGACCCTCTGTGACACTGACCTTCAGGCCTCAGGCTGGCACTAGTGACCCAGGCTTGCTTTTTTTTTTGTATTGTGCCTCAAGCTTTCATGAAGCGGGTCTCAGACTTATCCAGACAAGTCCAGGATGGCGTGTGTGTGTGTGTGTGTGTGTGTGTGTGTGTGTGTGTGTGTGGCAGGGAGGCAGGGAATGAGGGAGGGGTAAAGGCTCCAGGCTGCCTTCCTGAGTGTCCTTTCGGGATCTCCATTTGGGACTCGGGGCCCCATGCCTCTGGGGCCTGCAGCGCCACTGGGAGCCAGGCCCAGGCCTCAGTTACAGTCACGGTGCACGGGGGCGGAGGCCTGGGCAGAGAGCTTGGGGTGCACGCGGGCCTCAGCTGACTGGTTTCCTGCGGGGCTCAGGTGGCCCTGGGGTCCCTGCGGCCAGGAAGCCACACAGCTGGTCCCAGGGCTGAGCTGTCCGCTTCCAGTGGCCAGGTGGGGCCTGCTGAGTCACCGCGGTCTGCCGTGTCCCCCTCCCCCAGGCCGCCCTGCAGGCCGAGGCCCTAGGGGAAGGGGAAGAGGTTGCACCCCGCTCAGCTCACCTCTCCCTCCCCTGCTGAGGCCCTGCAAGGCAGGAGGTCGAAGCAGAAGGTTCCTGAACTCAAAGCCAGCCCAGGCCCCTTAGGGACTTAGCAGCTTAGAGTCCTGCTCTCAGAGCGATATGTCCCCACCCTGGACTGAAGTCTCAATGAGCAGAGGGGCACAGCGGGGTACATGAGCCAAGCCCACAGAGGCTCTGTGTGTCCACAGTGTCAGTATGAAGTGAGGCGGCTCGAGGCGGCTCGGAGCTCAGCACTGGACAAGCCAGGTCCCTGCGCTTGTAACCAACTGTCCACTTGTCCCCGGGTGCAGCTGCCACTTGGCAGGAGGCTGAGGCTTAGCAGATCACAGGGCGTGAGGGTAAAGACTGACAGAAGCTGGTTGTAGCACAGACCTGTCTTCCCAGCACTCAGGAAGCTGAGGCAGGAAGATTGCCAGGAGTTTAAGGCCAGCCTGGACTGCATAGTGAGACCCTGTCTCAAAAAACTAAACAACAAAGGTACAGAAATCCCAGTCTAAATTGTCACAGGATGAAACCCACCTGAAACCCCACCCTCAACCCTGGAGACCTCCCCCCAGGGTCCATTACTCAGGACTGGGCTGGGAATGAGGGTCTCCTTGGCAAAGAGTGATTTGAAAACTTTTATGTAGTTGAACCAGGACAGGCCCGTGGCCTGGCTGTTTCACTCTAGATGGGAGGCTCAGAGGAAACCTGCATGCATCTTTGTGGGGAGCTGGAGCTCAGAGACACGTTAGCATATGGTCACACCAAAGAGTACTATATAGCCATGGAAAAGGTAGGGCTGGACCAGCGAGCAAAACTGTTTAGAAAAGAGTCTTAAGCAGCAGATCACAGAGACTGCTGTTTGCATTATTTATTTATTATCTTATTTTTTTAGTACCAGGGATGGAACTCACGATCACACACTTGCAAGGCAGGCACTTATGCCGTTGAGCTAAATCCAGGCCCTGCATTTTTAAATTTCCGTTCCTTTGTGTTTTTTGGGGGGAGTTGGTTTTGGGACAGGTTTCCCTCGGTGGTCCAGGCTTGTCCTTGAACTTACAGCTCCTTCTGCCTTGGCCTCCCCAGTGTTGGGATGATAAGTGTGCATCACCACACCCAGTTTATGTTTTTAATTTGAGGCCAAGTCCTTCTAAATTGCCCAAGCCTTGAACCTGTGACCATCCTGCTTCAGCCTGCCTAGCAGCTGGAACTAGGGACATGCACGGCCACACTTGGTTCACCCACTTTTATTTCTGGCGTTTGCTGGCTGTCACCTCTCCCGTTCCTGCGCCTCCGGAGCTGAGGGCCAGCCAGGTTTGTTCTGTGCTCGGTGGAGCAGTGATTCCAGGGTCCTGTTCCTGCTCACCGCCTGCGGCCTCTGCATGCCTCCCTCCCGGCCCTTCCTTCTCTTCCCACCAGGTGGCAGGTTATGTTTTCTGGGGGGCACTGACCGTGCTGCTGGGTTTCAGCATATCCCTACAGTGTTTCTCAATTTTTTTCTTCTTTTTTTTGTCTTTTTCCTTTTTATCGGTACCAGGGATCGAACTCACCTGCTTGTAAGGCAGGCGCTTATGCCGCTGAGCTAAATCCCCAGCCCCATTCCCAGCCCTTTTGATTGTTTATTTTGAAATGGTCTCACTGAATTGCCTGAGACCCTCCTGTCTCAGCCTTCCAGAGTGCTGGGTTTTTTCCTTGGGCTTTCCTCACTCTTGTCCTTTTTTAAACAACTTATTTGTGTATTTATTTATTTAAACAGGATCTCACTATGCAGTTCACGATGGCCTTGAACTCCTGGGTAGCCCAAGCTGCCCTGAACCCATGGCGATCCTCCTGCCTCAGTCTCCTGCATGCAGGGGTAGCAGGCGTGCGTCAAGCTCAGCTGCTGTTTTCAGGCAATGCTGCTGGCCACCCTGCTGATCTTCAGTATCCCTATAGGCCCCCCAAGTAGCACTGTTTGGTCCCCAGCGTGGGGCTATAGGAAGCAGTGGGGCCCCCAGAGGGGCGGGCCCTAGGGCGGAAGTGAGGTCATGGGGCGGGGCCCTGCGGGCCTGGAGGAAGCCACCCTCTGTGCTCAGCCCCTAACAGGAACAGCGGGGCCCCTGCACACCAGTGAGCCGGAGTTGGCCTCCGCTCTGCACCCCTTGCTTCTCCCAGCATTTCCTCGCGGTGACCCCGAATGTATTAGAACCAACTTCCATGAAAATCTGTTGGCTGGTCCTAGTATGCACGCTGGTCAGTCCCAACACTCAGGAGGCTGAGACAGGAGGATCCCTTTCGGTTTGAGGCCAGCCTGGGCTACACAGTGAGACAGTGTCTCAGAAACAAAAACAAAAATAACCCCCAAAAACCTAAAAAGCAAGCAGCTGTTTTGGGGCCATCACTGCTCAGTGGTAGTGTTCATGGCTTTCCCTGTGCCTACCTGGCCTGTCCTGGCATGGAACGGTCGGGCCAGAAAAAGCTACGGCAGCCTCCAGGCTATGCGCCAAGGCGACCAGAGTGACCAGGTGACCAGGGTGACCTCATGATTCAGCACTTTCCCTCTCGCTCTGTGCCCACGGGGACCCACACATCGACTCCGGTGCCAGGGCCAGGGTCCAGGGCGGAGCTGGCCCTGGCGACCCACCTGCGGCATAGTGGGAGGCTGAGACAGGCGGCTCTGTGGGGAGCCAGGTCTTAAGTCTTGAGGGTGGGTTCTGCACCCCCCCCCTCAGGGGGAAACTGGGCCTTTGCTTTGTACACAATAAAACTATGTCAATAAATGACCGCATGAGCCAGGTGGGGCCCTGCCGGTGAGCTCAGAGCGGAAGCCACTGCCAGGCCTGCGACCTGTGCATCTGGGGTGCAGCCAGGAAGAGGCGGCCTGGAGGATCCGAGCTCACGGCTCCCAGTGCAAGCCACAGGAAGCGGACCCTGGGCGCTCCAAGGCCTGGCAGGGTCCATCTTGTCCCCTTCCCTGCTTGTGGCCCTGTAACCTGGTCACGTCCCCACCTCCATCTGTCACCTGTGAGGTGGTGGCCGTGGGTCCATGTCCTGGGACCACAGGAAGACTGTGTCTCCCTAGGCTCCTCTCCAGTCTGCACCCCAGGAAATGCGCCCTGTATCTTAGCTAATACTCACAGGTCAGCCCTCAGAAGGCCGAGGCAGGAGGATCACCAGTTGCAGCCCAGACCGGGCAACTTGGTGTCAAAAAAAAAAAACAAAACTTTTTTTTCCTTTTGTCTTTTTGAGACAAGGTCTTGCTGTGTAACCCAGGCTGACCTTCAATTCATGAAGATCCTCCTGCCTCAGCCTCCTGAGGACAGGTGCTCACCACCCTGCCCGGCTCGTCTCAAGATTTTAAAGAAGGCTGGGGCTGGGATTGCGTGCAAGGGCCCTGGGTTCAGTCCCAGTACCGGGAAATGACAACAAAGGGCCCTCACTGCTCCAGTGTTGGGCCAGTGCCCTGTTTGCACAGAGCAGTCCCCTCCGCATCCCAGAAGGCATGGGGTGTGGGGCGCCCTGCCAACCGCAGGACCACGGTCACCTCGACACCTCTGCTCCAGTTCGGCTGTGGGGAGCACTGAGGTCACCCCTGGCCACCTGCCCAAGCTTACTCACCGCCCTCTGCCGGTGAGCTCATCACCATTCCAGGTGCGGCGAGGTGGAAACCTCCATGAGACCCCGAGACACGTGAGACACGCGATGCAGGCCGGGGGAATTCCAGGCATAAATTTAAACAGTGACTGCTTCTCCTCTTAAAGGGACAGAGAACCCTGCTGGAAGCAGAGCTGTGGAACTACTACACAGCACCAAAAAAAGAAAGCAGTTGGGCATTGTGGCGCATGCCTGTGATCACAGTTTCTGAGGAGGCTGAGGCAGGAGGATCTCAAATTTGAGCCCAGCCTGGGCAATTTAGTGATTTAGTGAGATCCTGTTACAAAACTTTAAAAAAATAAAATTAAATTAAAAAGGCTGGGGGTGCACCTCAGTGTCCTAGGTCCAGGGTTGGGAACTACAAAAGAGAAAGAAAGAAAAGGGGGGGAAAAAACACATCGCCACACTGTGTGCAGCCCTGATAGGGTGGCATTGCAGAGGCACCCAGGCCTCCGTGCGCCCCACACCCGTTTCCCTGCTGAGCCTGGGTCCCCTGACCTTTGAGAGGCTGTGAGCTGTGCGTTTACTGAGCACCTACTGAACGCACACCAGGGCTGGACTGGGTTTCCTGCTGGGAGCTCGCTTGGCCAGAGGCTGGGTTGACATAGGAGGAGGTGGGGTCAGAGCTGGGGTGAGGCCCTGGTGCAGGACGAGGGTTCTTTGGGTCCCTTTTCTGTCTTTGGTTTCTTGCCTTCTTCAGTATGCTTCTGTTCACAGGGCCCTGGGGACCAAACCCCAGGCGCTCACCACAGGACCACCTCCCCAGCCCTTCAACACCTAGCACCTGGGGCCAGGGGGCCTGCTAAGCTGCCCAGGCTCGCCTGGAATTTGGCGATTGTCCTGCCTCAGCCTTTGGGGTAGCTGAGATCACAACTGTGTCCCCACTTTCTGCACGACAGGGAGGAGCAGAAAGGTGCCCATTCCTGCCCCCCCCCAGTGGGGGACCTGCCAGGCTGGGCCTGGGCAGGTGGGCCTGAGCCACAGCCGTCCAGTGCCTGGCTGGTGTGGTTCCCGCTGAGGCCTCCAGGGGCACCCTTCCCCTAAGGCGCTGCAGGGGCCTGGGGGGGGGGGAGGGCTGAGGCCTGAAGAGCTTAGACCCTGTATCTGGCATCCCAGAAAGCAAACAAAGCAGTGACTATTGTCACTCTGTGTCCCTGGTGGCAACTAGAGGATCCTATCAACCGATTCACATCGCGGCTCTTGATCTACGGCACAGGGAGGATGAGACACTTACCTGGATCATACAGCCCGTGGGGTCGGCGCTGGGATCAGAACCAGGGTCTGTGTCGACCTAGGGAGAGCAAGTGCTCCTGCTGCAGCACGTGTGGGGCGCTGTGTCGGTGTTACCCCTGCACCCCTCTGTGCAATCCAAATACTTTCTTTTTTTTTTGTTTTGTTTTTTGTTTTTTGTCTTTTTCCTTTTTATCGGTAGCGGGGATTGAACTCACGACTGCCTGCTTGCAAGGCAGGTGCTTATGCCACTGAGCTAAATCCCCAGCCCCCCAATTACTTTCTATTCTGTTCCAAAGGCGCCTCCAGGCTTGGGGAAGAAGAGGCAGGCAGGCATTGTTAGTGCTGGGAGGTGATCTCTGGGCCAGGTAAAGGGATGGGAAGTGACAGCCGCTGCTCAACCTGCAAGTGCAATGTCAGAAGGAGTTTCAGAGTAGGGTTTTGAAGCATGAGTAGGAGTTCCTGAAGAGGAGGCTTAGTCACTACAATGCCCACTGACCTATTAAACATCTACTAAGTACCTGGTCCTGGCCTTTACCCATGGCTTGCCCAAACTTGTCCCTTCCTGTTCGTTCTTGCCTTTTCCCCCACTCACTTTCTGTGCTCTTTCAACTTCTCAGTCTTTGGTCCTGACCAGAGAGCAGAGAAGTGTCCTGGGGGGCAGGGGTCCACCTATTTGGTCCCATCCTGTTTTCAGGGACAAAGTCAACTTCCAAGGGATGCCGCCCTGGGTGGCCTCTGATGTCGGCCCCTCCGCCCCCGGTTGCGCCCCGGGTCCCGCCTCCTGGCCCGAAGTCGCCAAGTCCGCGGGGCGGGGCGGGCGAAGTCCGGATCCATAAAAGCGCGGCAGGAGCACGGTGGCCACAGCCATGCCTGCCCTCGGTTTCACGCTGCTGCTGCTGGCGGCGGTATCGCGGCCGCCACCGGGGGGCGCCTCGGGCCCGGCAGAGAAGCTTCCCGCAGAGCCGGACCCCGACCTGGACCCGGACCGGGACCCGGACCCAGCCGCGCACCCAGCCCGGGAGCTGCGGAGGCGCTTCGAGGACCTGCTGGCCCGCCTGCGCGCCAACCGGAGCGCGGACGCCCTGCCCGCCGAGCGCAGCCCCGCGCCCGTGGTCCACACTCTCACCCCGGATGGTAGGCACCCTCTCGGGCCCCGCGGGTCCCCAGGCCTCCTCTCCTCACGCCCTCAGCCTCAGTTTCCCCACGGGGCCGGGTGCAGCGGCACCTCCTGGGGCGCCCGGATCCCTCTGTGTAGGGACCCGGCTCGGACACGGGATGCTGCGACCCGACCCGTCTCGTGCCGCAGCTGGGGGGTCGGGCTCCTCCGAGGGTGCCCCTGGGACGTCGGGGTGCGTCTGGGCCCTCGAGGACCCTGCGATAACTCGGGGACCCCGGCCCCGCGCTGAGGAGGCGCAGGGGCGGGCCCGGAGAGGTCCCCCGTCTGACGCAATCGTGCCTCAAGCAAGCGCGCGCCACAGGTGCTGGGGGCGGGCCGGGGCTCTGCGACACCTGGCGTCCTGAGGGCTGGAGCCCCGGGCCCGCCCCCACCCACAGCGCGCACGCCGCCCACGCTCCGGGGAGGACGAGGCAGGAGGGTCGCTGCAGGCCAGAGTTGTGGCCAGGCGGGGGGACGTAGCTTGAACTGGTCTCAAACAAAACAAACCCTACTCAACCCCAATTTTTTTTTTTTTTTTTTTTTTTTGGTGTTGGGAATCGAACTCACGACCTTGTACTTGCCTGGCAGACACTGTGCCACTGAGCTTTGTCCCTGGACACTCCCCCACTTTTTAATTAACAGAGGACGCTGAGCCGGGGTCTGAGTCCCGCACACAGTCAGCTATTTATTTATTAGTTCCGGGGATCGAACTCACGATCTCCTGCTTGCCAGGCAGGTACTTGTGCGTGAGCTAAACCCCTGGCTGCTTCACTTATTTATTAAGCATCTGTGTGCGGGCTTAAGGTGACCAGGCCGGGGTCAGGCCGATCTCACTAGGGTCACGAAGGCCATCTGGGAGGCGACACGGTGGGAAGGCCTTGTGACCGCGGGGCGTGGGTTGCAGTAAGCACGCGGGACGAGGGAGACGCTCTGGGCGGACAGGGGCGGGTGTGCAAAGGTCCCGGGGTGCGATGCGGCCCGAGGGTGGTAAAGGCACAGCGGCACGGTGACAGCGGCCCCCCTCTCTCCCACAGTGCGGCGCGGACACGACGGCAGCCTGCACCTGCGCATCCCCAGGGCGTCCCTGCCCCCGGGCGTCCCCAGGGCCTCCCGCGTGCAGCACGCCCTACTCCGCCTGTCCCCGGAGACGCGCGAGCCCTGGGACGTGACGCGGCCTCTGCAGCGCCAGTTGCGCCTCCTTGACCCCCGCGCACCTGCACTGCTTCTGCACCTGTGGCCGCCGTCTGACAGGTGGCGGGAGCTGAGCTCCGCGCCGCCCCGGCTGGAGCTGCACCTGCGAACCCGTTCCGCCAGGGGGCGCCGCAGCACGCGCATGCGCACCAGGGACGACTGCCCGCTGGGGCCAGGGCGCTGCTGCCGCCTGCACACGGTACGCGCGTCGCTGCAAGACTTGGGTTGGACCGACTGGGTGCTGTCGCCGCGGGAGCTGCACGTGGGCATATGCATGGGCGAGTGCCCCAGCCTGTACCGCTCCGCCAACACGCACGCGCAGGTCAAAGCGCGGCTGCATGGCCTGAAGCCAGACTCGGTGCCCGCGCCGTGCTGCGTTCCCTCCAGCTATGACCTGGTCGTCCTCATGCACAAGACAGACGGCGGCATCGCGCTACACACCTACGACGACCTCATCGCCAAAGGCTGCCACTGCGCATGAGCAGGCTGGCTACAGCGGTCACCACGGGGGATCCTCATGCTGGTTGGATGCCTTTATGCATCTGCGCATGTGGGTGTGGTAGCTGACGTCTCCACCTACCGAGGGCCGTGGCCCAGCGCCTCGGCTCCTCCCCTCACTCCTCCTCCTTCCCAGATAACTATTTATAAGTTCATATTTATTGTTAATTTATTGGGGTTACATGCCTGAGAGCCACGAGGCTGATTCAATGGGGTATGTATTTATTTAAACCTGAGAGCCACGAGGCTGATTCAATGGGGTATGTATTTATTTAAAACTATTAATAAAAACGACGCACAAAGGGAATCCAGCGTGGAACTGGGGGTCTCTCTCTCTTCTCTGAACTTCTGGGCGCCTCCAGCTGGATCTGGTTCTGCCTCAACCCCGCTGTCTCCACTTTCAAGTTGCCTTTCTAAACACCAGGCAACCTGGAGGGCTAGTTCTGTGTGAATGCAGCCTCGGGTCTTTTCACACTCAAAGAGCAGGCCCCGGGTCCCCTGATGTACTGTGGGAGGGGGGCTGAGCATCCTACGAGCGAGGGAACCCACTGTGAACCTAGACACACGAGGCAGAAATCCTGAGGGGTATGCAGCTACTCGGAGGACCGAGCGGGCACACGAGCTGATGGCTCTTTCTGGAAGAGCACAGAGGGTCAGGGGCTGGAGGTGATATGTGAGGGGGTCCTGAAGGACACTCATGGGACGGCTAAGGCACAGGTGTGACAGGTTGAAGTGGCAGTGTGTGCAAAGGTCCTGGGGCAGGTGCTGTGCCTGAGGGTGGTGCTGTGAATACTATGGCCTAAGAAGGCTCTAAATGAAACTCTGTGCCACAGTCAGTCTGAAGCCAGCAGCACCTTGATACATCGGTCCCTGCTGTCCTCAGTCCTGTGCTGGCCCTGTGGCTTTTAACTGCCTGCCCCTGTAGCTTTTAACTGCCTGCCCCTTTCAGTGTGCCTTTTCCTCTAAATCTCAGCCATCTATGCATCCCTCAAAACCCGCTGTAGATTGCCCTCTTACACAGCAGCCTTGGGTCATCTCCACAGAGGACCTCTGTCCCATCTCTCCTGCAACTCAGGCTGAATGTCCCAGGAGCAGGGCTGTCTGTGGCCAGCTGTGTTCCCCAGAGTGGGGCATGACAGGAGCTGGACAGGGACCAAATGACAGAGAAGCCAGCTGAGGCATGGCCTTGAAAAAACTCTTGAAATACATGGAGCAGGAGGGCACACACCTGTGATTCCAGCTACCTGGGAGGCTGAGACAGGAGAGCCAGACTTTAGCTGGGCAATGAGTGCTTGCCTAGTGGGTGTGAGGCCCTGGCTTCTGTCCCTGGGAAGGAAGGGGGAAGGTAGGAGAAGGGAGCTTGTACAAAAGTCCTGGGGCAGGTGCGGTGGAGGGAGAAGCAGGAGGGAGAGACACTGCTCTGGGAGAGGCTGCCCGTCTGAGGAGATATCTGGGGTGGCTGCCTGGAGGCCACGTCACACCTTGGCCTTGGAGGTGATGGGCTCTCCTGGTGGCCTTGGCCATCCCAAGCATTTATTCAGTGCCACCTGGCACCACCAGAGGAGGGCACAGGGGTACACACTGCCCTGCCGACCCCTTTCCCCCTCCGGCAGCTGAGATGGCCATGCTGGGACGACCAGGATGGGCTGGCTCTGTCCTGTGCTCGGAGAAACTGAGGCCAGGGCTGGGGGACAGATGTGTCTGAGTTCCAGCAGGGCCTGGCGGACTCAGTCCTGGGAGATCTCATACTCATCCTCTTGCACGTGGGCCTGCAGGTTACCGTAGAGGGGCTGTGCATCCAGGCTGGGGCCCCCGTAGTTCATATAGAAGTCGCTGTCCTCAGAAAGGTGAGGCCTGTGGGCAACAGATCAGCAGTGTGTGGCAGTCAGGAATTAGGGGATTCGCAGAAGGCTCTAGGTGGCCAATTCACCCAGTCAGTGTCTACAGGCTGAAAAAGCTGGATACAGAGGTGCACACCTGTCATCCCAGCACTCGGGAGGCTGAGGCAGGAGGATCACTGTGAATTTGAGGCCAGACGGGGCTACACAGTGAGTTCAAGGCCGGCCTAGATGACACAGTGAGACCCTGTCTTGAAAACAGGGGAAACTGAGCCCCAGCCTGGCCGGGTTTCCCCTGGGGAAGTAGGGAGCACTGAGTCCATGCAGAGCTGCTGAGTCAGCATGGAAACCACTGAGCAGAGGGGGAGGGGTGTAGCTGTGCTTCCTTAAAACCAGGACAGGACGGCAGCCACGCCCGCCTTCCAATCACCAGTGCACTCAGTGCCCGGAACCAAGTCTCCCTAGGAAACCCCTTTCTCTACGGCTGTATTCTGAGGCAGGGGCTCAGTGCATCACAAAGTGGCCGAGGATGAGCTCAGACCTGCTATCCTTCTGCCTCAGCCTCCCAGGTACAGGGTCGACAGGCATGCGCTGCCACACCTGGCTGTCTTTCACATCTTAGTATAAACTACTCGGCCTGCATAAGTGGTCAGCCAGGGTCGGGCAGGGCTGGGAACTGTGATTTTTCTTCTCCTTCACACCACCCTTGGGCAGATCATTTCTGCAACTGTCACCCGTAGGACAGGATGGACATACTCGATTCTAAACTGGTATTTTGGAGGTCAGGCACATGTGGAGGCTGGACCGGAAGTGCTGGTGACAGGGTGACAGAGACCAATATCAGGCCACAGCTGCTAGAGTCACCAGGGCTCCCAGCTTCCTACCCAAGACCACTTCCGCTTTCAGCCTGATTTGCATCTACTTTGCATATTGGCCACTTCCCCACCACAGCCAGTTCCCCCGGCACCCCCACCTGTCCCTTGTCCCTGGCCCTGTCCTAGAAGCCTCGCATACAAGCAGCCTGCCAGGAGCCAAGCTGGGGCAGGGTGGGGGGACCCAGAGACCTCCTTCGGGTCCTACATGCGTCGTACATGGCAGGGATCTGGGAGCGCCCCCTCCCTGAGCTTCTGGGACAGCCCTGGGTCACATAGACCCCAGCCCTGGCCACTGAGGCCACCCAGAGCCCCATCCTCCTCCTTTCCCTCACAGACCCAGAAACTGGGTTTGCGGGTCACGGGTGAGTGCTGGCCCCAAGCCAGAATGCTCACTGTGCGCTTTCCCTGCACTGACAGAGCACAGCGCAGCTGTAACTGCCCTGTATGGAGACTGAGGCCCAGAGACTGAAGTACCTCACCCCAAATCACAAAGCCTGCGTGGGGCAGAGCTGGTCGTGTCTCCTGTTTGCTTTGCTTTTTGAGACACAGTCTCACCATGCAGCTCCGGCTGGCCTTGAACTCACAGCAATCCTCGTGCTTCAGCCTCCCTAGTGCTAGGATGACGGCTATGCGCCACCATATTTGATTTTTTCGGCTGCTGTTTCTGTTTAGTTTTTGAGCTAAAGTGTTGCTAAACTATGTGGCCACCCTTGAGCTCCTACGCTGGAGACATCCTCCTGCCTCAGCCTCCCAAATAGCAAGGGCTACAGGTGCACATCACCCAGCCCAGCCGGTGCGGCAGCGATTTAACCACCGCTGCCGACCTCTCTGAGGTCTCTGTCACTCACCCGTGATCCGGCCACTGGTGCCGGCCCTCCGCCTGTCCCACGAATATGTTCTCATAGTCGGGTGCCGGGGTGCGGGGTGGCATGACCGTGGGACCTCTGTGGCCCAAGCTGCGACTGCTGTACCGAGGTTGGGCACCCAGAGCGGGCCCAGTGCCCTCCGGAGGTCCCGAGGCCTTGCCAGGGTCCAGGGTGCCAGTCGCTGGGCGCCAGCAGCGTCTCCAGGCCAGCATGGCCCCGGCCATCAGGAGCGCCAGCAGGAGGATGCCGCCGACCACTGCTCCTGCCATGGTGGCCGGGCCTGGACCAGTGGGGCAGCCGGAGTTCAGGAAAGTGGAGAGATTCTGCCAGGCCCCCGAGGCTGGGTGCAGGCACTGCAGGGGCTCCTGGCCCAAGCAGTTGTTGCTCCGGGCCTGGAACCAGGGGCCCAGCACGCAGGTGCAGTCGGCCCTGAGGTCCAAGTCACAGCGCGTGGCCAGCGCCTCGTCCACACGGTCAAGCGGGTTGCCCCGCAGCTCGAGCACCTGCAGCCGTGGCAGGGGTTCCAGGAAGCGGGGCGGCAGCTCCCGAAGGCTGGTGCCTGACAGGTCCAACAGCTGCAGCTGCCTGGCCCGTAGGGGCTGCTCTGGGTCCAGGCGCAGTGCGCGGCCGCTCAGGTTCAGGCAGCTGTCGTTGAACTCTCGGCTCCAGTCAAAGGCTCCAGGGAAGGCATCGCAGGCCAGCTCTGGGCTGCCCAGTCTCGGCAGCAGCAGCAGGAGCAGCAGCAGCGGCCACAGGAGCAGTGCCCAGGCTAGCTGGGGCGCCATGCAGGTGGCCTAGGCAGAGACAGCGACACAGAGACAACCTCAGCCCTTTGGTGTGCACCCAAGCCATGTTTATTATTTTTCTCTCTCTCTCTTTTTTTTTTTTTTTTGTCGTTTTTTTCTTTTTCATCAGAACCGGGGATCGAACTCACAACCACCTGCTTGCAAGGCAGGTGCTTATGCCGCTGAGCTAAATCCCCAGCCCCCTATTATTTCTCTTTTAATAGCCCAGGCCAGGCCATGGCACACGCCTGTCAACCCAGCACTGGGGAGGCTGAAGCAGGAGGGTCCCCGGGAGCCTGAGGCCAGCCTGGGCTGCACATCGAGACCTGGTCTCAAAACCAGCTCAAACCAGCTCAGGCCACTGCTGAGAGGGTGGCAGCCCCCAGCCTGACTTGTCGGTCTGGCTGGCTCTGTCACTGGCCTCAGGATGGGGACACGGGGCGCCCCAGCCCTGCTGCCACCCAGCCCCAGGTCTGTGTCTTGGCCCCAGCACCCCTCTCCTGTCCATGCCTCCACCTCAGTGTCGTGCCAAGGTCTGACCTGCAGCTCACCTTGACGCCCGGCTGCAGCAGCAGGCCACAGTGGTAGTGGTTTCAAGGCCCCAGGCTCTGCAGTCACTTGCAGCACCCTGAGGAAGAGGAACTGGTTATGAGCGGAGGGGAAGAAAGAAGACATAGAGGCCCACCCCCTCCCATCTCTGGGGAAGAAGGGGGTGGCCCAGGGTCCACTTCCCTCTTACTGAAACTCTGAGACCTTAGGTCCTTCATTTGCTCATCAACTGACTGACACTGCTGCTAGTGAGCTCAGTCATTCAACAAAGACCCATGCTGAGCTCCAAAAAAAGGCCTGAGCCCTGGCCAGATGCTCAAGGAGCGCCCAGACTCAGGAGGAGATAGAGCTAGACACAGACACCCCCAGCCTAGTCAGGACAGTGTGAGAGGGAGGAAAAGTGCCCCAGAAGACTTCCTGGAGGATGAGGAGGAGGAAGGGAAAGGAGCATTAGGGTTGGGGCTTCAACATCTGAGTAGGAGTTTGCCAACTCCTGGCTAGAGTGGCAGGGTTAGGGGAGGAGTGGCTAGGTGGGAGTTAAGAGGAAGAGTGGGCTGGGGAGGGGATGGGCACTGGCTCCCCCAGTGGGCTAAGGACTCAGCTCCATCCCAGAGCTGACAGGAGGCCAGGTTCCCATCCAGCCTGGCTCCTGACTTGGGGTTCTGCCACTCAGAGCCTCAGTGCCCAGGTCTAGGAACCAGAGCAAAGCTCAGGCTCCTCCTGTCCAGAGGTGGTATCTCCCCTTCCATTTCCTCCTCTGCACCTCCAGTCCCTAAGTCCAGAGGGAGGATCAGGGCCTTGGGGGACTCAACTCCTGCCTCGAGGCTCAGGCGCTCTCTGCCGAGCGCCTCTCCAGGTTCCGGGTGCCTGGCATCCCCATACTGGGAGGCTGAAGCAAGAAAATTGCTTTGAGTTCCAGGCCAGCACGGGCTCCATAGTGAAACTTGTTTTATTTTTATTTTTTTGGCGTGGGGAATGGAACACAGGCAGGCGCTGCTGAGCTGAGCTGAGCTACATCCCCAGCCCAAAACCTCATTGTAAAACATGAAAACAAGCAAAAAAACTTATGCAAGTTGGGCTTGAATTTGTCATCCTCCTGCCTCGGCCTCAAGAGCACGGGATGACAAGCATGTCCCCCCCGCCCCCCCGTGGCAGGCTTTGCAATCCAGCTTGAGCCTGGGCCACAGCTGAGTCACAGGCAGGGGCCCTGTGACCCTGGGAGCCTGAGAGACCCAGATGACACCCTGGCAAAAAGACAGAGGTCTCCCCAGAAAGATACCGAGGCAGAGCAGAGGCAGATGGGGATCTTCCTGGGGTTCCCAGCCTCTCTCCTTTAGAGTGCATGATCCCTTCCTGTGAGCCACAGTCGTCCCACACCCAAAGCCCTGGCCTCAGGTTAGGCTCAGCTGGAGCAGGGTCAGACTGACAGGCATTCAGTCAACCAGCCATGCCACTCCACTTGGCCCCTGTGCTGTGTGAGCCTGGCCAGCACCCGACCTGCTCTGGGCCTGACCTCTACCTCTGTGGAGGGAACGGGGACACAGGGCCAGGACTCAGAGCCCCGGGAGGCTGTGTGTCCATGCTGTGGATGGTAGCAATGATGCAGGTGCAGGATATTTGGAGGGACGAGAGGTGCTGGGGGGGCCCCAAGCCTTGCTGTTGAGCCACATCCCACAGCAGAATGTGACGGTCACAGCTTAGGAGACTACAGTCCTGATGTTTTGTTTCTTTGGTTTTTGACACAGATTCTCAGCCTGTGGCCCAGGGTGCCCTGGAACTCACAGAGATCCTCCTGCCTCAGCTTCCTGAGAGCTGAGATGACAGGTGTGCACCACCATACCCGGCTAGAACTGTGTTTAAATTGGTGAGAACAAAATGTTAGAAGCCACCAAGGGCCCCGGAGGGCAGGCACAGGAACAGGTTGTGGTTTGGGGCAGCCACGGGTGGCTGAGCAGGTGAGGTCTCAGCTGAGGTCAGAGCTGCCCCTTCTCAGGCCGCAGGGCTCCCTGGGGGGCAGCCCAACCACATCTCTCTCGAGGACCGCTGCTCCCACCTGGGCACCCCATGAGCATGCTTTGCCTCCCCCGAAGGCCTCCTGGACGCCCTTGAACTCTTGGGGCCAGCAAAGGTGGATGGATGGGTCACAGCCAGTGACTGCACTGCCTATCAACCCAGGGCGCAGCTGGGCCACCCTGAGCCCCAACTTCAGCCGTTTTTCCTGTTTTATTCTGAGACATTGAGGCTGCCTGGGGAAGGGGCGGAGCCAATGACAGCCACAGTCCTCCACTGTGTCTACCAGGGTGACAGGATGTAGCTTTATTTGCTGGTCTTTACTTTTGGTTAAGACTACGAGGTGGCACGGTGTGGTGGTACACATCTGTAGCTCCAGCACTTGGAAGGCTGAAGCAGGAGGGTCGCCATGAGTCTGCAGCCAGCCTGGGCTACATAGTGAATTCAAGGCTAGCACGGAGTGTGTAAGGAGACCTTGTGTCAAAAAGACAAAAAAAAAAAATGTGTTTGATGCAGGGCGTGGTGGCACACACCTGTGATCCAGGCACGCCGATGGCTGAGGCACGAGGTGTGAGTAGAATCTCATGCTGAAGGACTCAGGAGTTCGGAAATAACTGTTTGAGAACTTTTTTTTTGGGTGGGGGGTGCCGGGGATCGAAATAACTGTTATGGAGGAAGAGCTGATTGGAGGGGACCAAGAGGGTAGAATGGGGTGGTTTGCAGTTTTGAAGTCAGCCAAAGAGGACTTCTCTAGATTAAACACCACTCAGGAGGCCGAAGCAGGAGGACTGAAATTTCCAGTCTGGACCAGGCAACTTGGTGACTTAATGAGATCCTGTCTCAAGATAAAAAATAAAAAAGTGCAAGAAAGGAGCTTGGGGCAGAGTCCTTAAATTCAATCTTCAGTAGCAGAATAGAAAAAGGAAAAAAACCCTGAAAGATAAGATGATAGAGGTTTGCAAGAGGATTTGGTTTTAGATGAATGAAATAATCCTTTTATTTATTTATTTTGGTCTTTTTCGTTTTTATTGGTACCAGGGATCGAACTCACGACCGCCTGCTTGCAAGGCAGGTGCTTATGCCGCTGAGCTAAATCCCTGCCCCTATTTTTTTTCTTGAGCTAGTCTGTGGAGCCCAGGTTGGCCTCAAACTCTGGGCGATCCTCCTGCCTCAGCCTCAGCCTCAGCCTCAGCCTCCGCCTCCGCCATGCCCCACCATACCTGGCTCACAGATGTCTGCCTGAAACAGCAGACTCAAGGGCTCGGGGTGTCAGGGTGACTTCTAGGGCGAACTGGAGGGACGTGCTGGGACCCGGAACTGGAACTTTGTGTCTCTGCCGTCCCCCCGTGGCCACACGTGGAACTGCAGGTCCAGATCGCCCCGTGCCCTCGTGGCCACGCCCCAGTCCAGCGCAGGTAGGAGGGGCATTTATTGAGTGCCTACTGTAGGCCCCGACGTGTTTTAGGGGCGAGGGACACAGAAGGGAACAACACTCCGCGAAGTTAACGAATGGTCTGGCTACTCAGGAGGCCGAGGCAGGAGGATCAAAGGTTTGAGTTTTGGAATGAGGCCGCTCTCCTGGAGGTCACCCCGGGAAGCCTTCCCTCCCTCAGAAGGACTCTCACAGGGGCCACCGGCTACCAGAGGAGGTAGCAGTGACGCAGTGTGGCTCGTGGGTCAGAAAGGGTGTCCTGTCCCAGACGCTGCCTCCCTGTAAGGCTGCAGGAAGGGCCCTAGGTGACCAGAGGGGGACGCGAGGTTCCCAGTGCCGGTCCTCTAGATGGGTGCGTGGGCCAAGGGCTGAGTGCGCGACTTGAGTCACGGGCCACGGCAGCGCGGGCGGACACGCAGGTGTGGGTAGCGTCCTGGCCCCACCTCTCCGAGGCTCCTCCCCAGTGCGGAGTCCCTGGCTAGGCACGCGACCTCTGGCGCGGCCAGATCTGGGGTGCGCCAGATCTGGGGTGCGGGGTGCCCTCCCGCTGCCCCCGCCCCCGGGCTTGGGTTTTCATTCTCGTGCTGCTTTTAGAGAATTACCCTGGTGATTACAGCTTCCAAGAGGACAGCGGGGCTCGGCTCCTGGCTGCGGCTACCGCCCACACACAGCTGGGCTGGGACAGCAGAGACCAGCAGCCCCCTTCGCAGGTTCCCCAGGACCCCCGGAGTCAGGAGGAGGGGTGCCTGCCTGCACCTCCCCAGAGGGGCCGATCTTCCGGCTGGCCAAGCCCTGTGGCGTCCTGGGGCGGACCTGGATGAAGGCTGGCACAGTGACAATCCGCTGTGACAAAGCCAGCTGCGGAAACGCTGCAGGAGGGGGCCAAAGAAGGAGACACGAGGAGGGAGGTGGCGGAGGCCAGCGAGAGAGAGGCAGGTCCCACGGATGGACCGTAGGCTGCCAGCTCCAGGCGACCCCAGGAATCTCTGCCAAGGGGGTGGAGGGCTGGGCACAGACAGGTCTGGGTGAGTTGCCCAGGCTGAGCTTGAACCTGCTATCCTCTTGCCTCAGCCACGCAAGCGCTGGGATGACAAGCGTGCGCGTCCACGCCCGGCTTCTAGGCAGGACCCCTGGGCCTGGCGGGACCCTCCCTGAGAGTCCATCTTCCAGTCAGCCCGCAGCAAAAGCAGGCCTTTTGGGCTTTGCTGAGGCTGGGCTCCAGGGCCTCGAGTGCTTGAGGTCAGAGCTCACCACAGAGCAAAACCTCATCTCATCTTTGGAGGTGCCCTAGCTTGTTTTCAGGGTGCAGGGCTCCAGTTTTTATGACCCGATTTGGAGAAAAGGAATTATTTTTCCTGTGACAATTTTAAGAGAGACAGGAGGGCCAAAGACTTAGTTCAGTGGCCTAAGTGCCTGATCCCTGGTACCAAAAAAAAAAAAAAAAAAAAAAAAAAAGGAAAACAAGAGAGACAGGAGAGAGCAATTTCGCTCTTTCTGAGGCAGGGTCTCACTGTCACCCAGGCTGGAATTGACTGCGATCTTCCTGCATCAGCCTCCCGAAGGCTGGGATGACAGCTCTCCTTTCTGAGGCGTTCCAATCTGTCGCAGTACCGTGCTTTGGGGCGTTGAGGAACACCAGCTCTGCCGGCCTGCACACCTGACACCTCCAGGGTCCTCCACGCCTTCACCTGTGCCTGCCCCAGGGCCTTTGGGGGAGCCACGACTGCTCTCACTGCTTCTACTTCCAGATCCACCCCCCACTGAAAACATTCCCCCACCCCCTGCTTCGAGTGGGCGTCCCCCACCCCCGTGCACCCGGATTGGACGTGAGCGGAGCTCCACTCTGGTACACCACGTGGGGCCCCGAGGGGGACGCGACACGCAGGCGGCGTTGGGGAAAAGCCTTCCCAGTTGCCATGACAACCGCGCCGCCGCTCCAGCCCGCAGAGCCTCCACCGTCCGAGCAGCGGGGCCGCGGGCGCCTCCTCGGGGACCCCACCGCCCTCGCTGTTGTCTGCCCACCCTCCCCCCGCCCAGCGCGGCCGCCTCCCCAGCAGACCCAACCCGGTCCCCGGAGCCTCACGCGCGGCAGGCGCTCCGGCAGTGCGGGAGACGCGCGTGGTCCTAAGGACAGAGCTGGGGACTCGCTGGGAATCCGCTTGGGACGCGCCGAGGACGGGATCCGCGAGCCCCGGGAACTTGGGAGTGAGGGGTGGGGGCGGGCGCCCGCTGTCCGCTGTCCCTGCGGGGAGCGGGCGCTGGAAGGGGCGGCAGAGGCGCGCCTGGGAGGCGGCGGCCCCTGGCCCTAGGCCCCCCGAGAGGAAGCGGGGGAGGGGCGGGCGGACAGGAAGCGGGAGGCTGCGCCCCCCAGCGGCCCCGAGAGGCGGCGCCCGGCCGGCCCTGCCTCTCCCTTCCGCTTCGCCGCCCGCGCCCTGCGGCCCCGGCTTCCCGCCCGCCTGGCGGGGAGTGGGGGGCGTCGCGCGGATGGGGGCGGCCCAGGGCTCCGGGGACTGCGGGAGCGACGCTGCGCGGGCGGTCCTGGTGTTGGCCGTGCACCCCGTGAGGCGCTCTCACTCTCTTGCTCGTTCGTGCCCACAACGAACCCGTGGACACACATCTGCGGCTGGGCCAGGTGCAGTGGCTCGGGGGACAGTGACCGCTCACATGGGGACCAGCCACCCCGCCCCCAACGACGCACAAGCGCTTTTACACAGGAACCGCGTGTTTGCAACATGCTCGCTAGCGCGCTGGTGGCACTGCTCACATCCAGCGCCCCCCCACCCGTGCCCCACTCCAGGAATCCGGCTCCGCGGGGCCCTGTCCCCGTCTCCTGGGCCCAACAGGAGTAACCGGGCGCCCCTAGTTCCCGCGAGAGGACCTTTAAAGGTGGGAGTCCCGGTTTATAGCTTTGTAGGACTCAGGGAAACCCCGGCGGGTGTGGACTCCCGGGGCTGCAACCTCGGCCTGGGGTGCCAGGGGCCCCCACCACCGCTGCAGCCTCTGGCTCATGGCTGGACGCGAGGGGTTCTGACTGTTCTGCTCGAGGTCACTGAGCTGTGACGCAGCAATGCGTGCGAGTTCTCACAGCGCCGAGTGGGGGCGGCCCTGCGGGGTGACACCAGTGTGAGTGCCTGGATTTTTCGAGTTCTGTATGTAGGAGCTTGGCTGCGACAGTGTGCCTCAGTCCCGGGCTAACAGTGACTCGGACGGCTGTTTCTGTGGCATCCCGGCTTAGCCCCGCCCTTGCCCCCCGCAGTGGGCATTGCGCGTGCGCGCCCGGCCCGGGCACCCAGTGGAGGCCCCACCCGCGGGCCCGCCATCGCCCCTTTAAGAGCGGCGCCAGCGGGCGGCGGGGAGGCTGGGGTTCGCGCGGCGGGCGGAGGGTCGCGCGCTTCCCGGAACAGCCCGCGCCGAGGGAGGGCGGGGAGCGAGCAGCGCGCGGGCCGGGGCTGCCGCCGCCGCGTGGAGCAGTTGCCCGCGCACACGATGCCCGTGGCGCCCGGCTGGGGCGTGGGGCGGTAAGGTCGGGGCGCGAGGTGGCGATGGCCGGGGCGAGCCCGGCCCCCGGCGGCCCCTGACAGGTGTGGGCGGCGGCACGGCGCGGAGCAGCATGTACGCCAAGGGGGGCAAGGGCTCGGCTGTGCCCTCCGATGGCCAGGCACGCGAGAAGTGAGTGGGCGCGGGCTGGGGGCGCGCGGGGAGTCTCCTTCCGGGGGGGAACGGGGGAGGCGGGCGGCGTCGCTTCTTGGCCTTCACGGAAGTTTCTCGGGCGGCGACCCTGGCCGTCCGGAAATCCCTGCCATGGCACCGGGACCCCGGGAGCGCCTGTGCCACTTCTGTCCCCGATCCCAGCATCGGTGTGGTGTCCACGAGCGCCCCCCGGGGAGGCTTCGCGGTTTGCAGTCTTGGGGCGCCGTTATGACCCCCTTGATGCTGGCCGGGCCCTCTCTTGTTTTGGGCTCTGGGTGGCGGATGGTGGGTCCCAAGACCTTGTGGAAGGAGGAAGTGTTTTTTTTCCCCGGGGTTCAGGGTGGGGACACAGCTGAGTATCCCCCAAAATCAGGCTGTGCACCTTAAGTACTGCACTGCTGTATCCTTGCTTCATGGCTGTGGTCCAAGGAGCGCCCCTGCCTGACCTGCTTTCCTTCCAAGGAGGGAGATGTGGGGAGCAGCTGGAGGTGCCTAGAGCCCTGACTGACCACATCGAGAATGCCCCGGGTGCTGCCAGCGTGCAGGAAGCGGGGGGGGGGGGGGGGGGGGGGCGGCGACGACGGGACGGACTGATTCGCAGGGTCTTACAGTTGGAGCCACTGTGGGGTGCCCTGCCATGTGGACGTGGCCCCTATAGCCCAGAGGCCGCTGGGTCAGCAGGCAGAGGTCTGTGGAAAGACAGGTGACACTGGAGTCCCACTGTCCCCTCTACCCATGCTCTGGGGAGAAGCGGCTGTCCCCCTCTATAGGGTCACGAAGTTGGGTTCCGTTCTCCAGTGCTCTACAGCTCAAGAATGTTTTGAAGGGGCTGGGGATTTAGCTCAACAGCATAAGCACCTGCCTTGCAAGCAGGCAGTCGTGAGTTCGATCCCTGGTACCGGTAAAAAGGAAAAAAACAAAAAAATGTTTAAAAAAAGAATGTTTTGAAATAGGCCCCAGAGCTGGTGCCAATCTGGGGGTGTCTGGCCTGGTCACCCCACTCCTACCAGCATGTCCCCTCCCTGTCCATGTCAGCTCCTGAGTCTGGAGGCAACCAATCATGAGCTGGGAGCCGGAGTTGTTCTGTGTTTCCCCAGATCTCTGCTAGGCTGCCTGGGGTGCAGCTTGGAGGAGGGCACATGTGTGGCATGAGGGAGGCCAAGGCCACTGTCCCTGTAGTTGGTCAGCCCTGGTCACACATCCCAAAAGACCCAGATGGTGAGGGATGCACCAGGAAGCAGGGCACAGCACACACAGAGATGCCACATGTGGGTCCCTGCAGCTGTGGCTTTGGGTAGGTAGAGAGGTCAGAGGATGGAGGATGGCCATGTCCCGCCAGGGCTGGGAGAGCGAGCAACTTGGAGTTGGGGGGCAGCCTGTTTGTTGGTGATCCTGGCCCAGTCTCCCCCTGCGAGGTGTTGGCAGCCTGCTTCTAAGCTGCTGGGGCCAGGAGAGACACAGGCCAGGCTCTTGTACTGAGGCCCCTGACGCAGGAAATACCAGCTGCTGGCCGAGCCGCTTCCTGTCTCCGGGCCTCGGTTTCCTCTTCTGGGAAGTGGGGTGAAGAGGGTTATGTAGCCCAATCCTTGCCTGTGCCCTGGCATCCTCCTTGCTTGGAGACTGCAGACATGGAGAGGCCTTGCAGCTCCCTGTTAGTCCCCTGTTCCCCCAGGCTCTCTGGCACCTGGTGGGTCCTTGAGGTGACTGCAGAGCCCAGTGGAGGGAGGAGGAGGCTGGGGTCTGAGTGGGCAACTGAGCAGTGGAGGGGGTCGCACCACCCCCTTGCCTGAGGTCTGCATCCCAGCCAGTGTCACTGGGCTTGATTTGGAGGTGCCCAGCGGGTTGGAGTCTGAGAAAGGAACCCCCTGGGCTGGGGGGAGTTGGGGTCGGGGCTACAGGGCCCCTGGGATGACAGGGCAAGGGCTGGGGATTCCACTGGCAGAGTGGCTCCCGGGCTTGGCACAGGAAGGCTGGGGCCTACAGGATAGTTCCGGCCCTGGGAGAGCCAGGGAGGGGTTAGGTGGCTACAAGGGTGAGCAGAGTGATCCGTTCTGCAGCAGCACGTGGGGGTGCCTGTGCAGAAAAGCCCGGGGAGCTGGGACAGCGCACTGTCAGAGCCATGGGTGGTGAGCTAGGGTCAGCTCTGTTGGGGCCGCCCGGGGTACTGTGCCTGCGAACAGCTGCTGTTCTCCCGAGGCCATAGGCTTGCTTCCTGCCTCCTGGCGAAAGGTGCAGGCTAAGCTGGGAACCCCTGGCTTCCCCACTACCCGTGGCCTCTACCCCTCCAGCTGCGATGGAACTGAGCCCGTGGCTGGGAATGTCCTGGAGGGACAGGCCCAGGGCAGGGGCAGAGCTGAGGTGGGTGTCCCCACATCTTGTGCCACCACTGGAAAGGCGAGGGCTCAGTGGACTTGGGGGTGTGGGGAGTGGGTTAGGGGTCAAGCTGCCGAGTGGGGAGCAGGCAGCTGAGCCTCTGCAGCCTGGAGCCCCCTGGGGGCGGGCGGTGCAGCTCAGGTGGGCTGGGCAGCCTTCTGCCCCTGGCAGGAAGGCGGCTGCTGGGGCTCAGGGCGGCACTGGGCTGCACTGACTGGGCAGGGAGGCCGAGCCTTTGTTCTCTGGGTTGTGGAGGAGTAGGGGCGAACAGGGATATGGAGGAGGGGTCCTGTGGCCACGGGTGACCCTGCTCCAGTTCTGTGCTCTGTTCCTGGAATCCCTGTGGTTCACACGGTGACTGCAAAGACGAGGCTGTGGTTTACGGACCATAGGGAAGGGAAGTCCAGTGTTGTGCCCTGAGCAGGCCTCCCTCACAGGTTGAGGCCACTCGGGTATAATGTTTGTAAGACAGGATCAGGATTGGTCCACAGGGAGTGTCAAACTGGGCAAAAAGGGGCACAGAAGTTGAGTGTTGATGGATGTGTAGGAGCTGGCCAGGCTGAAAAAAGTCATTACAGCACCAAGACCACAGTGGGCTTGAGGAGCAGGCAAGGCTGGGCTGGCCCCACCGCTGGGGACCCTGACCCGCCACCCCGCCCCGCAGGCTGGCATTGTATGTGTACGAATACCTGCTGCACGTGGGCGCCCAGAAGTCCGCCCAGACCTTCCTGTCTGAGGTAAGGGTCCCTGGCCGAGGGCGGGCGGAACGGCGGGGACGGGCAGGGCCTCACTGTGCCCTCTCCCCGCAGATCCGGTGGGAGAAGAACATCACGCTCGGGGAGCCCCCGGGCTTCCTGCACTCCTGGTGGTGGTGCGTGCGGGCCGCTGGGGGGCGGGGGACAAGGCGCGAGGCGGAGCAACCGGACTCTCTGCCCCCCACCCCCACCCCGCAGCGTGTTCTGGGACTTGTACTGCGCCGCGCCGGACCGCAGGGAAGCCTGTGAGCACACAGGCGAGGCCAAGGCCTTCCAGGACCACGTGAGTGCCGGGTCCCAACACCCCCTGGGGGCTCCCGGCCCTGGAGTGTGCGCGGGGTGCGCAGACGCACCACCGCCCGCGCCCCCATTCTGCGCCTCCCTGGCCCCTTCCGCCCCTGCGCCTCGGGTCTGGCGGCCTCCTGGGCGCCCCCGCGTTCTTGCGCATGCGACAGTTCCGGGGTTGCTATGGTAGCGCAGGGCGTCTGGGACAGGGGAAGCGCGGACGCCGTGGTGGGGTGGAGGCGGGGGCGCCCGGGTCTCGGGAGCGAGCTGCGCGTCCCCGCGCCGGGAGGCCCCTTCGGCCCGCTTCGTAGCAGGGGCTCTGTCCGCCCCTCCCAGGCTCGAGGCTCCCAGGCGGACCTTGGCGTCTCCAGGAAACGCTGAGGCGCCCAGCCCGTAGTCATGACAACGGGGCCGGGCCCTGGCGCTGCTCGGGGATGATTGACGTGGAGGGAGTGGCGCGGGCCGCCAGGCCAGATTAACTGCTCTGAACCTAGGGTCAGAGGGCTACGGGTTCCAGTCCACCCCCACCCCCTCCCCGGTACCCGAGGCCTACCGAGAGCCCGGCCTCCCAACAGAGAAGCGACTGGCTACCCACTGTGTATGGAAAACGGGGCCTCCTGCCCTGCCATGGGTTCGGCCAGCGGGGCTCATCCCTGCAGGTCCCACAGGCAGGCGCATTGGGCCTGGGTACCCAGCAACAGAGCTGGCATCTGCCTGCCCCTGCCTTTGTGTTTCCTGCGCAGCCTGTGTTTAGCACCCCGGTTTCTTCATTTGACGAAGTGGGGCTTTGTTTTGGGGTTTGGGGCCCACCAACAAGCCAGGACACGGGGCTGGGGAGGGCTGCAGGGGCCCGGCAAGTGACACCGGTTGGCACAGGCCTTCGCCAGCTGGGTCATGGTCCCCTATTCTGACTAGGTGATGCGGGGTCAGAGGCCTGACTGGCAGGCAGCGCGCCGCACTGAGGCCACCTGCAGCAGAGGCCCTGGGAAACAGCAGGCAGGAAGCCTGTAGCCCTGGCCTCACTGTGCCCCCCACCTTTGCAGAGTGCTGCTGCTACCCCCAGTCCAGTGATGGGGACCATGACCCCTGGTGATGCAATGGCCGCAGGCCCCATGGCACCTGGCTTTTTCCAGGTATGACCAGGCTTGGGGGGCCTGGGCATGAGGGCTGGGCTCATTCAGCTGGGGCCAGAGTCGGGGTGATGCTTGGGCTTGCCGGGGCTGTGGGGGTAAGGTGGCCTCCTCCTGCCTCTGTGGCCTTCCCATTAGGGGCTCTCTTGAGCCACAGGAAAGGGCTTCCAGTGAGCTCCCGCCTGCCCGGCCCTGTGTCTTCCAGGCACAGCCTAGCACCAACCCTGCCCGCCCCCCCTTAACATGCCTACACTGCAGGGACGGGACAGTGTACCCACCACCCAGCTGCTTGTGCCAGTGGGGGGCATCCAGGTAGAGATCCTAGTGTGGCAGAACAGAACGGGGTCACCTTGGGGTGGGGGCTGAAGGGTGTGTGCAGGTACTGATGCCTGCCCCCCTCTTCCAGCCTTTCATGTCCCCGCGGTTCCCAGGGGGCCCCCGGCCCACCCTGAGGATGCCAACTCAGGTGAGAAGTGAGGGGCAGGGGCAGGAGCTGGGCTGGGGTTGGGGTGCCCCAAACTCAGTGCTGGCCCCTCTCACAGCCTCCTGTGGGGCTTCCGGGCTCCCAGCCCCTGCTCCCGGGGACCATGGACCCCTCTGCACGCATGCAGGGTGAGTAGGGTGCCCGCCCCATCAGGGTCCCCTGACCATGTGCTTCTTGGGGCGCAGCCACTGAGCCCCTCCCTCTGCCCCCCAGGGCATTCCAGCATGAGTGGCCCAATGCAAAGGGTGCCGCCGCCCCGTGGTATGGCCGCTGTGGGGCCCCAGGTAAGGACACCAGTGGGGGCAAGGTGGATGGGCGGTCTCGTGAACCACCCCAGCCATGGGCCCCATCTTGTGGCATTCACCTCCACAGGGTTATGGAGGTGGCCTGCGGCCCCCACCCAACACCTTGGCTGGCCCGGGACTTACCACCATGAACATGTAAGGCCTGGAGTGGGCCGCAGCCTGTGCCCCCAGCCCCTGGCCTCTGGCTGGGGCACCTGAGTTCTGAGGGCAGTAGATTAGGGCAGCTAGGACACGGGAGTGATGGGGGGGAACTTGGGCCTGCTGGAATCTGCCCCAGCCAGCTCAGCCCTGCCTTGGCCGACCTGGGGTATGGGGAGCTGTGCACGTCACCCTCACCCTGCCCTGCCCCTGTTCCAGCTGTGCCCTTGCCTTCCAGGGCTCCAGGAGTTCGAGGCCCTTGGGCCAGCCCCAGTGGCAACTCGGTGAGCTTGGATGAGGCGGGTGGGATCGGGTGGGGTGGGGGTGAGTGGGTGGCAGGGCTAGGTAATGGGCCAGCGTCCCCTGGCCATCCACTAACAGCCATCCCTGTCCCCAGATCCCCTACTCCTCCTCGTCCCCAGTTAGCTACACGGTGAGTGGTGTGGTGGAGGTGCTGGGCAGGGATGCAGGGAGCTGGCTGGTCACTCATCCCTCTCTTCTCCACCCACAGGGCCCCCCAGGAGGTGGTGGGCCCCCTGGGACACCTATCATGCCCAGTCCTGGAGGTAGGGCCTGTGGTGAGTGGGCGGGCAGGTGCTGGGAGCTTGCGCCCTACATTACCCTGCACCTGCTGACGGCACTGTTCTCCAGACTCTACCACGTCCAGCGAGGGAATGTTCACCCTTATGAACCCCCTTGGGCCGAGCACTGGCAGGGCTAATGTGAGTAGGGGCACGGGCGAGGTGTGGGACCCTGGCCCACGGTGGGGACACAGTGTCACCCACCCATCCTGTACCCCTAGTTCCCGCTGGGGCCTGGTGCTGAGGGCCCCATGGCCACCGTGAGCACGATGGAGCCTCACCCGGTGAACGGATCCCTGGGTGAGTGGCGTCCCCTGGTGGCCGCAGGGCATGAGGGCACGGTGGGCACGCGGGCACGCATTGAGCCACAGTGTCTGTCCCACAGGCTCAGGCGACATGGACGGGTTGCCGAAGGTAAGGACTGTGCCCCAGGTTCTTGGGTGCTGGGTGGGGCTTGGGGTGCCATAAGTGTTCACGGCGGCCGCCCACAGAGCTCCCCTGGCACCGTGGCCGGCCTGAGCACTGCCCCAGGGACCCCTCGGGACGATGGTGAGATGGCAGCTGCTGGGACCTTCCTGCACCCCTTCCCAGGCGAAAGCGTAAGCGACTGCGTCGAGTCCCAACCCCCTCCCGCTCTCGTGGTCCTCCTCCCTCCTGCTGTCTCCACCCCTGGGGGGTGCCCAGCTGAGGACAGAGCTGAGCCTGCCCAAGCACCTCTCTCCGCAGTACTCCCCAGGGATGACCATGAGTGTATGATGCGGGCTGGGCAGCAGCCTTGGCCTGCTGGCCCGGGTCACAGCTCTGGCACCTGGACATCTGGCCCACGGAGTGGGGACAGCTGGGAGCCTGGCACAAAGGACTTTCTCATTTTATAAATTACAAGGACCTCAGAGATGTTCTTTCCCTGCCCCCACAATCACCCTGGGCCCTTCAATAAACAACTCGTTTTGGTTTTTGGTATCTGGTCTCCAACTCCTAATGTTGGCTTGGCGCCATCCCAGGTACACCAGCGTAGGAGGCAGACACCAAGACCCACAGTCAGAGAGGCTCAGTGGATGGGACACTGGTTTTATTGTATTTGGGGACGGGGAGGGTTGGGTCCTTTGGGGCAGGAAGCCGGGCCTAGCATTGCAGCTCAGACCATGGGCATTTGGGGTGAGCCCTGTGGGTGCCCATTGGTGTCGCCAGTGCAGCCATTGGCAGCCGCGGGCACCGTTCCTTTCTTGCAGCGCAGCAGGCCAGCGGTGGCGCCCATAGGCATGGCACGCTTGCTGCTGGGACCCGGGCGCTCCATCTTGTACTCCAGGAGCATGTGGTTCTGCGGTGGGAGCCCCACACAGGCCCTGGGGACGAGGACCCGAGGGCTCAGCTTAAAGCCCCAGCTTGGCCTGGTCCAGCCCAGTACCCTGCCGCCTGTACACACACCTGAGGATGTTCTCGATGCAGCTGCGCTGGCGGAAGAGTGCGTTCACCACTGGGCTGCCAGGCGGCACGAGCGGCGCCTTGAACAAGAAGCTGAGCAGGGACAGCACCGAGTGGAAGTGCTGTGGCTCGGGGTCGATGTCTGTGTAGAAGCTGATGCGCTGGCACAGCTCAGTGAGCAGCACGAGGTCCAGCATGATGGGTGCCGCCAGCAGCGAGTCCTGGAGAGGGGCGGGTCAGGGGCCCAGTCCCACCCAAGACACAGCCCCACCCACGACCCCACCCCGAGGCGCACCTCACACGTGTTGTGCAGCACCAGTGTGTTGGTTCCACCAAGCATCAGCTCTGAAGTGTACTCGTCCAGGGCGCGCTTGCTGTCACCCACGTAGGGCACGTACTTGATGACCACCTAGGGACAGGGCCACGTCGTAGAGGGCCACACGGTGCCCTGCCCCCACCCCTCAGGCACCCTGCACATACGCAGTGGTCAGGCTCCTCGCCAGGTGAGTACAGCACCGGGTTGCTCTGCACCATGTCGTCCACAACGCTGCTTTTGGACACCTCCTTGGAGCGAAACTGCTGTGGTGCCGACAGGTTCTGGCCGTCGTTGTTGCCCAGGTGGTTGTAGCTAACGATGGCCATGGTCTGTGGTCCCAGAAAGGGTGGTGTTGCACGGCTGGATTCCCCTGGTGGCATGGTGCCCCACTCCCACGATGTGGGCCTCATTCACGCACCTTGAGGCCGGAGCCGATGAGGAAGTCCACGAGCACTGACTTCACCTTCGTCTGGCCCGACTTGAAGTCATCGCCGCCCACGAACACGCGGTGCTGCTCGGCCAATTCAAGTGCTCCGGGCACCAGCGTGTTCTGCGGGGACCCGTTGAGGAAGGCACAGCCCTCCAGAATGCTGGCCACAGCAAAAAGGGTGGATGGGGAAACCTCCTTTCCAAGCTGTGGGCAGGGCAGGGCCAGTGTCAGTGTGTGAGGGGGGAGCTGCAGCCCCGCCCCGCTCTGCCTCACCCCACCCAGCAGCCACCTGGATGGTGTGCAGCAGGTTCTCCGCGGTGTCGTTGAGGCCTGGGACCACATCGCAGAAGCGCTCCGTGTTGGCTGTCCACAGCACGATGACCTTGTCCAGCCCCTCCTGGGAGCGGAAGTCCTGGATGTCCTTGCGGATCTGCTCCAACTGTAGGGACAGTCGCAGGTGGGGGGAGGGTGAAGGTCCCCAGGTGGCAGAGATCAGGGTTACCCGCTCCCCAAGCACAAAGAGGTACACACTGGATGAAAGGATGGGCACAGACAGCTGAGAGTGGGAGCAAAGAATGGGATGGGACAGGATGTCGGGGACCCCAGGCCCTGGAGGGCACCTGCTGTGCGCGTGTGCCTGGGATGAGATTGTCAGCGCGTGCACTCTGGTTAGCAGCGATAAACTCGGGGATGTAAACCGAAGGCCGCGGGCGCAGAGTCTCCATGTGCGGCCACAGCTGCTCCTGCAGGCCGCAGTCCAGGACCTGTGCGCGCCGCATGGCCTCTGCCAGGTTCAATGAGGAGATGTCCCATCCTAGGGGGAGGGGGGGGACGTGCCACTCAAGCTCAGGCTCTGGCTCTGCTGCAACACCGCCTCCAAACCCCACCACGCAGCCTGCCGCTCGGCCCACCATCGAACACCAGATCGTCGGGCTGCACCATGGGCAGCAGCGCGCTGAAAGGCACGAACACCTCCTGGCCCTCGGCGTCCAGGCCCAGGCTCACGGTGCCCGCCTGGGTGAGCGAGCCATAGTAGTTGGCCTCCTGGGGGCAGCAGAGCGCCACTATGAGTGGGCGTGGCGGGGGCGGAGCCCGGCGGACACTGGGCCCCGCCCCGCCGCCGGGAGCGCAGTTCCGGGCTCAGTCAGGGTGGTAGCCCCGCCCCGACGGTGCCTTAGACCACGCCCCGGGGGCGTCCCCCACGGAGCCTCGCAGAAACCCCGCCTTCCCCGCGGAGCCCCCCACCCCCCGCTGGCCGCGCGGCTCCCAGAGCCCCACCCGCCCGCAGAAGCCCGCAGTCCCCACCTTGCGGCCGGCGCGCGTGGGCCACGACAGGCGCAGGCGGTTGGCCAGCACAGCGGCCGTGAGCGTGGAGCCGTTGTTCCCGCCCCAGCCGACGAGCATGACCCCGAGCCGGGGCACCTGCCGGGCCGTCCGGAAAGTGAAGCGCGTGGACGTGGGCTGCACCTGGGGGGTGGCGCCGTGAGCTCGGCGGGAGGCCGGAGGCACTAGGGACCCTGCCCGCCCAGCCGGCGCCCGCTCAGCCCGAGCTCCCTTCGCGCCACCTTTAGGACGCCACCCTCGCGGGCGACGCGCGTGGTCCGGTAGTCGTACTGCGCCTCGATGGCCTCGGGCGTGTAGACCACGTCTGGGCTCTCGACCACGAACGCGGAGGCGGCCTTCATCGCGGAAAGCTGGGGGCCGGGCGGCGGCGTCAGCGGGGATCGGCGCCAACCCAAGCCCGCTCGGCACCGGCCCTGGCCCTGGCCCCGGTCCCATTCCCGCCCTGGCCTGCCGGACCCGAGGCTACACTCACCGGCGCGGACTCGCTCAGACGGCGGCGGCAGACGGCGCGGGGCTCCGCAGCCCGGGGCTGGGAAGAAAAGAGCCGTGGCCACGCCCCACCACGCCCCCTCCCGCGCGGTGGGCGGGGCGCGGGTTCGAAGCCCGACCACCCGGGGTCATGGTGGCCTCTGGGTCCTTTCAGGCCTAGAGCAGCATGGGCTCGGCGCACCAAGCACTCGCATAGCACCCCAAGGGGCCACGACTACCAGTCCCCGTCCTACAAAGCCAGACAGAGCCCCAGGACTTAGCCAGGAGATGCTACTGGGGGAGGGGAGTGTCCCAAAGTCTGATCATGCAGGTGAAACTGAGGCCAGCTGAAACTAGACTGCAGAACCAGAGAGAACCCCCATTATAAGCAGGGTACACACTCAGGATTCCCGTGCCTTGGCACCCCACGGGCCTCCAGCCCAGCTCAGCATGGACTGGACTGTCCCGGCAAGGCTCACAGGCATGTGCCTCGGTTTCCCCCCTTAGGAGGGCGTGGGCAGAGCTAGGAGGAAGGAGGCCAGGAGCCGGCTCACGCTGGGTGATAAGAGAGCGTGGGAACCCAGCGGGCAGGCGGGGGCGGTGCCCCAAGAACTTTCCAAAACAAGCGGCCTTCTCAGCTGCTGGACGGAAAGTTTCCAGCGCTGGAGTCTACCCAAAAGGTGGAGGGCTGGGAATGCTTGCTGGGAAGGCTGCTAGGGCCTGGCTCCTAGAGACCCCGGCTCCAGTGTGAAGCGTTAGGAAAGAGGATGGGGCACCTCCCACTGGAGGAAACCCTGGGCAGTACTGGACAGCAGGGTAGGAGTCTCAGAAATGGCTAGTACATTGGGTTTTGAGACATGAAGAGGAGTTTGCCAAAAAAAAAAACTGCAGAGCCACCTGGAGCTTGGAAAGAAAAGCCTTGGGAGGGAGCTTACATGGTCTGTTTGGGGACAGCAGACCCTCAGGGCTGGGACCCGAGACTGTCCTGCTGCAATACATCATCTTTGCCCTGGCTTCTGGGAGTCTGTTACTGGTACTGCTGGACCTGAACCCCAGAACCGGCTCAGGGCACTGCAGACTGGGCAGCTGGAGACAGGAACACCGACTGACCCTGCCTGCCTTCTGCCTGCTTGCCCCAAGTCCCCAAGTGAGGCATCGAAACCAGGCCAGTTTCCCAAGGCAAGGCAGTCAGAGAACAAACACCCCACTGCAGGGAGTTCCAGCCCTCAGCTTCCGGACAGCAGATAAGAAGGGGTCCTGTGTCATCCCTGGGAGCAAGGAATGCACCACCAGGGCATGGGGGAATCTGGACAGACAGGCTGCTGTGGGGCCCTCCCTAGTTCACTTCCATTAAGACGTGAACATTTTTGTCTTTTTTAAAATTTTGATTTTTTTTTTTTTTTTTTTTTAGTACTGGGGACTGAATCCAGGGCCTTTGCACTGAGCTGTGGCCCAGCTCTGTTTATTTTGTATTTTCAGACAGGGTCTTGTAAGTCACGGACTTCAGGCAGCGCTAAAACTTGGGGTGCTCCTGCCTCAGCCTCCCTGCTGTCTGACCTGACGCCTGGTACGTACTTTGGGAAACCGAAGCAGAAAGTATTCCCTGGGTCCCTAGGGCTCCACCTGTGAAGGTTTCCGGTCACATGAGGCTCAGGTTCCATGCATTTGTCATGCTCAGGGGATGCAAATGGGCCGGAGCCGGGGCCAATGCACACTAGACAGGCACTTGACACTGAGCCACACTGTATTCCTGGTCTTTGTCACAGGAGCATGGTCTATGTCCCTCCCGAGGTGGGAGGTGAGGCACCCCACCCTGCAGCACTACAGGATCATCAGTGGGCCCCATGGCAGGGCGCACACAGATGTGGGTGCTGGGGGGGCTGGCTGCTCCGAGACATAGCAGCTCCTGAGTCACCTTTGGGCCTCTTTGGCTTTAGTGATTCCCTTGGTTCTTCAAGCTGCTCCCCTAAGTTGTCACACCTAAAGTCATGGGAACCCCAGTGTTCAGAAGTATGGGCAGCTGAACCCAGAAAGTGATGGCTCCAGGACAGGACGGCGTCATCAGGCAGTCCTATCCAGCAGTCAGAGAGGGGGTGTGTAGGAGACAGATGTGGTGATCAGAGGCCCAGGACCCCACCCGTGTTGGGGGGTACAGGCAGGAGGTAGGTACTGGAGGCATCTGGCAGGCACCAGGCTGCAGGGAGAGGGGTGGCCTTTGGACTGGCTGCTGTCCTCCCTGGCAGTGCCTGAGGGAAGGTATGGGGCTGTGGACCTGCTGGTGGGAGAGGACATGGCAGGCGGGTGGGTAGGTGGTTGTTGGGGAACCGGGGCCCTTTGTCTTTTGTTGTTTGGAGCCTTGCCACGGGCTGGTAAAACTCACAGTAGTAACTCACCAAGTTGCTAAATTGCCTGGGCTGGGCTCATACTTGGGACCCTCCTGCCTCCCAAGAGTGCTCAGCTTACAGGGCTCTGCCAGCATCCTGAGGTAGCTTTTGCTGAGAGCACAGTGGAAGTCCAGCGGGGAGGAGACATGGTGTCTGTCTTCGCATCATGCCTGTCCCCCTGCTGTCCTACCCCAGGCCACAGTCCCCCCAGCTCCACACGTAGCTGTGTTGCACCTGGGAGACCTTCTGGCCCAGGACTCTGACCCCGCAGGGTTAACCTGCCCTCCAGAGCTGGCCTGTGCAGCTTCTGCCCCCCACCCCAGGCATCTTCGGTCCTGTCCCAAGGCCAGCACAAAGGCAGTCACTGGGGGAAGCTCTTGGGAACCCTCTATGCATGAGGCAGTGCCCCTCCACCCAAGAAGGGCCTGGTGTCCTGTGACCACCACGCACTGTCAGTCATGGGCCTGCTGGGCGGGGGCAGGGTGCCCTGCGGGAGGCTGGGCAGGCGGGAGCCAGGCTGTCCCCGAGCCGGTACACAGCGCCTGCCCACGCCCCTGGGATTCCTGCACTGCCTCAGAAGCTGGGCCAAGGCCGTGGCCAGCTGCCCCGCTCTGCGGGGGTCTTTCTGTTTCCTCTGCAGAACAAACACCCGCCCCCACCTGGCCTTGGCCTGCAAGGGCGGAGGGCGACCAGACCCTGGCCTCAGCACCCTCCCTCCTAGGGCCAGCCTGGCCTGCTGCGTACTGGCTCTGGGCTCCTAGGCTCCAGCGTCCTCCCACCTCAGCTTCCAGGGTAGCTGGGGGATCTAGGGCAGGATGAGGCCCAGCGTATACCCCCAAATCATCTGCCCCTGCCCCCTGGCCCCAGGATCCCGGCCAGGGCCACCCAGGACCTGCTGCTATGCACACAGGGAGGCCGGCTGCTGGGCAGTGGGATTTATTCAGTGAAATTTATTGTAGGATGAAAAAATCAGCGTTCACCTGCTTAGTGTACAAAAATGACCCTGGGTCTCTTAAGAAAATATTAGGAAACTGCAGATGCAGACACCTCCGATGTAACATTTGGCAAAAGTGAAAAATTCTTTGTAAACACCAAGTCCATGGCTCAAAGTGGTTTCTCCACAGTACACCGTGAAAGGAAACTAGACAGCATCAATAAGTTAGACCGGATTTAATCAGTGGCTGGGGCTGCCTGAGGAGGCAGCGCCCTCCCCTGACGTCCTGCCCCTGCAGGGATGAGGGACCTGCGTGGGCGCAGTAGACAGCAGGTGCGGAGGCCGAGACACAGCTCACTCCAGGCCGCCCGCCCCCGCCCTGGGGAAACAGAACAGCCACTGACAGCCGGGCAGCTTCCCAGCCCCATGGGTCTCAGCGACGGCTAGGGCCATAGGCACAGTGAGGAAGCAGCAACAGGGGCATCCCTGGGCCCTCAGCCCCTCCCTGAGTGCAACCCCAGAGGCAGCTAGGCTGAGGTGACCCTGGCTCCTGCAGGAGGGTCCCCAGGGGGAGAAGGAGCAGCTGCAGAGGAGCAACCTAGGGCTCAGTCCGGTCACCCCAGGGGCAGTGGCCGACAGCCAGCCAGTCCAGGGCCTGCACCAGAGGGGTGAGGGCTGCGGGTGACAGCGCTAATACTGCATAGGACACGTGGCTCCTGGCCTGGCATCCGAGGGGAGGCACAGGTTTAGAAAAACTGCTCTCTCTTGTACAAAAATAGATGAGTCTCTTCATCGTAGCCATAGAAAACTAGGAAAGGCAGCGGGCGGCGGACAGCGAGGGCCATGGCCTCGGAAGCCCAGCTCATGCGCAGCGTCCCATTTATTGCTCCCAGGGGCCTGGCCCGGCCCGCCTCTCTGCTCCGCCCTGCCCACTGCCGGGCTGCGCTAGGGCCGGGCCTGTAGCTGGCTCTGGTCGTACTCAGCGATGAGCCGCTTGATATGCGCCAGCTTACTGTGCAGGTACTCGCAGCGCTGCTTCTCCCGGCTGTAGTTGGTGTTGGTCTGGGGGTGCAGGGTGGTATGGGCAGGGCAGGGTGCCGGATGGTGGCCCCCCCACCCCTGGGCCGTGGGCCGAGCCCCACCCAGCCGGCTTTAACCTCACCTTTTTGATCTTGCGGTACTCCTGCAGGATCTGGCCGCGGGTAGTCTGCGGGGGAGGAGAGAATGGGTGGCACCTGCTGCAGGAAGTGGTGCCCACACAGTAGGGCCGACCACGGCTTGGTCTGAGACCCCAGGGGTGAGGACCAGGCAGCTGTCCTTGTTAGCTTGAGCCCATCTGCTCTCCCAGGACACCAGGACAGCGCCAGTTGGCCATTCGGTGCTCCAGGGAACTGCTGGGGTGCCCAGGGCTCTAGACCTCTGTTCCACCAGAGATCCCAGGGCCTGGTGGATGCTGACCCCATGACCTTGGGCTGGGCTCTGCAGGTGGGAGCCTAGCCCTCAGGAGGGGGCAGGCAAAAGAAACAGGAGGCACCCAGGGTGAGGACTGACTTGCTAAGCAGACTCTAGGCCTCCTCAGGCCACTGCCCTGAACTTTGGCCTCCACTGCCTGAGTTACCGCCCTGGCCCGGCCCTGCAGGAACTCTGCTAGTTCACTGGCACTGGGCCGGTGTTCTCTGGGGGCTTCCTGTCCTAAGCCTGTGCCCCACCTCAGCCTGTGCAGCTTCCACCCCGAAGCACCCTCGGAAGCCTCAGGGGTTGCCACCCGCCCATCCCTCCCTCCTGTCCCTGGCTTGTGCAGTAGGGAGGGAGCCAGAGCTTTGCTCACAGACACCTTTGTGGTCACTTTCCTGCCTCAGCCTCGGGCTGGCTGTGGGCCCGGCCAGCCTTGCACTGGGTTCCAGCCCTGCCCCAGAGTGTGCGGTACACACCTCGTACTCCTCGGAGCCCTGCGCCAACTGCCGCAGCTGTGCATCCAGCTGTGTGAAACGCCGTGTGATCTGTTCGATGCGTGCGTGCAGGTCACGGTACTCGCTGTACTCCGAGTTGAAGTCATTCTTATAGCGCTGGCGCTGCTCAGAGGAGGAGATGGCCACGTACTTGCTGCAGGGAGGCAGGGGTGGAGTGGGATAGGGTCAGGCTGGGCAGCCACAGCAGCTGGGGTGCAGGCAACCATGGGGGTGGGGGCTCCAGACTCACAGCAGGTAGTCGGGCGTCTCCGATGTGGACGTGGGCACGCTGGTGCCGCAGGCTCCATTCAGGCCTGCAAGAGGCATGGCAGACCGAGTCCACTAGGGGCTCCTGCTGGCTGTTGCCACCTGGCCCGGAGGCGTGTGAACGCCCAGCAAAAAGGCACAGGGACCCTGCTGCCCAGCCTGGCCAGATTTCCACCCACGGCCCCTGCTGCACGGCTGTCCATACTTGACTTCACCCTACCCAGCCCCAGCCTCTGGGTACCAGGAGGAGAACAGAGACCTGGCTGCCCTGGCCCCTGACCCTGCCTGGAGGCACTATTCCCGCCAGTGGTCCTGGAGATGAAACCCAGAGCCCTCTGCACCGAGCTATGCCCCAGCCCTTCTGTTTTTTATTCTGAGTCAGGGTCTCAGCTGTCCTGGCTGGGCTCTGATCCTTCTGTCTCAGCCTCCCACAGTGCCCGGATCACAGCTGTGCGCCTCCGTGCACCTCCAGATGGACGGGAGGAAGGAGTGCCCTGTGAGGGAAGAGATCCGAGAACAGGCAGTGGTGGGGACACGCACCTGTGCCCCTGGCACTGGGTGGGTAAGGCAGGGGGAGCCCACGCCTAAGCCGCCTGGGGCACATGGCGAGAAGAGATACCTTCTCGGAACTGCCTGGAGTGTGAACCCTGCGTGAGTGTCCTAGAGCTCTGATGCCACTCCCCAGCCACTCAGGACTCTGAGCTACTAGGGCTATAGTCACAGTCTCGTGGACCCTGCCTGGTTACCAGGCTCCCTATGCCTGGGACTCCACGAGCTGGGCTGTCTCGAGCACCTCACCAGCCCTTGAAGTTTTCACAGCTAGACAAACAAGGAAACCGAGGCTGTGGGTTGGCCTGCTTGGCTATAGTAGCCTCTGCCCTGCACATGGCCTGGGCACTGGCTGAGCCCTTGCTCTGGGGCCTCCCCATTCACGCCTATGCCCAGCATCCTCCTGCTGTCTGGCTCCTGTCTGGGTCAGTGTGGGGACCCAGGGGGTCAGTCACTGTGCAGCAGGCATCGCTGTGGCCCCCCGCCCTCCTCTCCCACACGTGTATTGTGGGCAGAGCCAGCCAGTGCCCTGCCCCAGGCTGCCGGCAGCCCTGTCACCTCCCTGATGCCCAGGGCTGGCAGCCCCTGCTCCTAGTTCTCCTGACCCCAGCCCCAGCAGTCTTAGTGCCCGGCAATCTGGCCAGGCCAGCCAGGAGCCCCCTCTGGAGCCCGATATGCAGTGGGCAGGAGGACAAGGCCAGAGCTCCAGTGCTGGGCGCATGGTGTCAGGGCTCTGGGCAGCTAGCATTAGATGGGAGGGTGGCCCCCTGCCTATGGGGAGCTGGTCCAGGGCTATACACCCTGCACTGCATTCTCAGCCCTTTAAGCTGAGCTGGCTTTGGCCTCTCCAAGGCGCCCAGGTAGTGCCCCGCTCTTGCCCTCCTGCTTTGGCCTCCCTGACCCTTCCTCCGCAGCATGCTGCTGCGATGCCTGGTCCTCCAAACCTGCCATGCCTTCCTTCCGCCACACACTGGCTCCCCTCCTGGTGCCGAGGCCTTACAACCCTCAGGTGGGGGCTGGGGGAAGATGCCTGTGCCTCACTCCCTCTAGGCTGCCTGGTACCTACCTGGGGCACTGGGTGGCTCTTCATGGGCATCAAGCTCGGGTTGGGGCAGTGGGGCATGGGGCCTGTCCTCTGCCCTCCTGTCCTTGTCCCTGTGCTTCTTGGACTTCTTCCTGGGCTTGCTGTGCACAGGGCCACCATGGGGCTCGTCAGGCCGGGCACAGTTCGTGGGTGCAGGGAGGCTGTGGGGCTCAGTGGGGGCGGAGGCGGGCTCCCCATGTGTGTAGTCCTCTCCACTGTGGCCTGGATTGCTGCTACCACCAGCCAGGGGGTCATGGGCATGTGGGGGCTCCAGCCTCGGGGGCAGCGGGGCATTGGGCAGTGGGACCTCCCGGCCGTTGGTTGTGCTGAGCTTCCCGTTGGGTGGGGGCTGGGCCCTCTGGGCGAAGTGTGAGACCCTGGGCTTCTTGTGGATCAGGGGATCGATGAAGTCTGAGGGCTGCGGCCGCTTCTGCAGAGGAACAGGGATCTGAGTAGAGCCTGGAGCCGCAGGCAGCAGGCAAGCCAGGCTCAGGTTCCCACGGAACCTGTGCTGGCCACACGGGGGCGCCAGGGGCCAGAGAGGGGTCAGCGGCATGTCACTCACTCACTCACGGCATACTTCTGAGCCCCAGTGGTCAGAGCTTCAGGGCTCCTGCCCAGGGACAATAACCCCCCGAAGAGCATACCTGGGTAGGGGAGGCTGGGCGCCCCAGCTCAGCGCAGGCCACGGGCTCCACACTCTGTGGTTGGCATGGTTTCCTGCAGAAGGAAGTGGGTGGTCAGGGCCTGCTGTGCCCTGGAGCCTCCCACAGGGACAACACCCCTGGCTTCACAGGCCTGGGTCCCACCAGGAAGGCTGTGGATGCGATGATGTCACAGGGGACCCATAGTGGTTCTATAGGGAGGGGCTGTGGACCACAGCCCCCTGCATGGGCTTCTTGGGAACCCTGTAGCAAGAAGATGGATGCACAGGGTCTGGGCCTCAATCAGGAGCCACAAGGCTTCCCTATTTCCAGCCTGTGCCCCTGGGGACCAGGCCACCCTGCTGTGACACGGCCCTGTCCTGTGCCCAAGCAATCTGTGTTCTCTCGGGTTGGAGCCAGCCAGGACCTGGCTACCATGTGGCGCCAGGGACAACACAGCAGAGGCCACCAGCACAGGCCAAGCTGGAGGCCGCTGTGCACAGAAACTAGTGTGACCCACACTGCAGCTTAGACCATCCTCAGAAATGTCACCACCACCAGGAAACAAGAACTAGACGCTGTAGGAGAGTGAGACTGGGGCCAGGAGCCCAGTGGCAGCCTGGGCAACTCAGGAAGGCTTCATCTCAAAATGAGAAAAACCTGGATGTGGTGGCACATGCCTGTCATCCCAGCACTCAGGAGACTGAGACAAGAGGACCTCCACAAGTTCAAGACTGGCCCGGAGTCTAGAGTGCCTGCCTGAACTGTGTAATGAGACCCTGTCTCCAAATAAATAAGGGGTTGGAAACATAACTTAGGGTGACAATCCAGGGTTCAATGTTCAGTTCCAGTGAGAAGCAGGGCATGGGCACAGGGGTTGAGGCCTGACAGGAAAGGATGTGGACATAGGACCTAGGAGCCCCAAGGAACCCACTGAAGGGATAGAGCCTGGACCACAGGGTGGACAAGCTCCTGACCCGCCCCGGCCTTGCCTGTGACGGCAGAAATGCTCGGAGGCCAAGCCCTGCTCACCATGAGCTCTTCCGTGGGCTTCCTTGGACAAGAACGTAAGCTGAGCATGGCAGTTGGGGCACAGGTGACCCCATGGGGCAGGAGTGCACTTGTGGCTCCTCAGGAGGACATGGCCTCCAGGAGATGGTGGGGAAGCTCCTGCCCATCACTGGGAGGCAGCACAGGCTTCAGGTCCTGTAACCCACGTGATGTAGCACGGGCTCAGTGACCAGGCCCAGCACCCAGGCCACACGGCTGTGTGGGTGGAGATGCACAAACCACGGGTCTCATCACAACTGTGTCCCCCGCCTGCCTCCTGGCACCCAGGACCCAGTGACACCGCACCCTGTCCCCCAGTCACTGCATGGAAGAGCTTCAAGGGCTATGTTCAGCACTGTCTGGCCTGGGTCCTGCAAGGGACCACACAGGAGCAGGAGCCCCGCAGGGAGCACTGGCTGCCCTAGCCAGAGGGAACCAAAGTCCCAAGGGCACAGGCCTCACCGCACGAGTACACGCTTCAGCAGCTGCTGGTCCCCCTCCGAGTAACCAGGCCAGTCCCGCTGCACATCCTTGTACATGCAGTCCCGCAGAGTGCATGTCCCATCCTTGGCACTCACATTGGCCATCTGCAAGACAGCGGTGTCACCACATCACCCTCTCACCCTCAGAGGGATGAGCGGGGCAACAAGCACCCCAAACCCCTCCTGCTCCACAAACCGAGCCCATCCCCAGGCTGGGCCGCTGTCCTGATCTCCAGAACACCCTGAGGCAGCCACTCTTCCTGTGCATCAGCTGCACGCTTAGGGACCCAGGCACACCTGTCTGAGGGTGACGCCTCATGATTGACAGGTTCATCCCCTGCCATGTGGGTGTTCGCAGCTCCTGCAAGGTGCTTCTGGGACCTTCCATGACTGTGGGGCTGGTGGGTCCCAGCACCCTGGATCCCTTACCCTTCTGGTTGTGCCTGTGGTCCCCGCCCTGGGCACACACCACTGGGCTCTGGGCCTCAACGCGCAGCCTCCACACCATCTTAGGCTCCCTCCAAAGGTGAGAGGCCTCAGAGGGATGCACTATCACTGCTGGTCCCAAGGCTTTGGTGGCCCACAGAGACTGGAAATGCCCAGCCTGGCAAGACACAGCCCTGTCCTGCTGTCACTGGCGCTCAGTGGGCAAAGTGGTCCCCAGAGAGGAGCGCAGTGGGGACACTGCACCCATGGACAAGGAGCCTATCACTGCCCTTGGTGCTCTGCCTCCTGTAGGCTCCCTGCAAGGTCAAAGAGCTCTGCCTTCCTGACACCGGGATGCTAAGGACTCCAGGTCCCACGCACTTGTCACCCGTTCCACCACTTTCTAGATGCTTCCAGGCCCTTCCTGGGTGCGGGGAGAATGTGAGGACCCAGGGGCCTGGCAAAGCCTCATGTGGGGGCACCAGCTTCATGGGACCCCAGGGCCAGCATTGGTCCAAGACAGGTGCCTCCAGCTTCTCTGCAGATGTAGCAGGGGCCCTTGTTGCCACCCTATCCTGAGCTCTTAGGGTGCGGAGATGGGGATCCCATAGCCCACACGTTCACAGCGCCGCCCTTGGGTCTGCAGGGAGCCTGGGCTGGGGGTGCAGCCACACCAAGGTCCTCCTGAGCACCAACTTAGTGGGGCACTGGCCACAGGTGTGAGGAGCCTGACAATGTATGGTGGGCAGGTCCCTTCATGCCCTGCATTCGAGAGGCAGTGGATAGCCAAGACCCTCCCCAGACCCCTGGGCACAGTCCTTCCCCCAGGTCCTGACTGTCAGCCAGGAGGTGTCACAGGCACAGGGCTGCTGTATCCTGGGGTGCAGGCAAGTACAGGAGAATGCAGGTGTTTTTCCACACAGGACCCGACTGGCGGTACCCTGCTCCCACCAGGCCCTACCCATGCTCCAGCCACGGTGGCACCCACCTGCTGCAGCAGCCCGTCCAGTGCATCCTTGTCTGCCTGTGCCAGCCCATCCCTCTGCAACCGCAGTAGCAGCTCAGCCTTGCGGTAGGGCCTCAGTGCCAGCAGGTGCAGCACACGGTCCCGGAAGGGCCGCTGGGCCACCGTGCTGGGCCCTGGGCCGCCCGAGCTACTCTTCCTGATGGCACTGGCCAGGTTGATGGGGGTTGCCCGCTTCCGGGAGGGCACGGGGTCTACTGCCCCCGGGGCTGGTTTGCGAAACTGGACCTTCTTTCCTGCAACAAGAGCAGCAGTGTGAGGGACAGCAGGGCCGGCGCCCTCATGCTCAGGCTGGGAACAGGCTCAGGCTCCAGTCCCACGGCTGACGGGGTAGCACAGGGGCTGCTGCAGGGCCTGGCTGTGGGGCTGAGCTCTACACCTTTCTACTGGGCCTCTGGTTTTGTTTTTGTTTTTCTAGTTCTGCAGGTGGAACCCAGGATCTCTGCACTCAGTAAAGCACTTCCCAGATTTTTCTTTTTTCTTTTTACTTTTGAGATAGGATCTTGCTATGTTACCCTCACTGGCCTCGAATTTGAAATCTTCCTGCCTCAGCCTTCCTACGTGTAGGAGTCACCAACAGTTGCCCCGGGGCTGGGCTGGTTTCCATCTGAAGGGGAAGCTCTCCCACTAGGGCACACAGCACCTCCAAATGCAGCCTAGGCCTAGCAGCTGCAACAAAACAGCATCTAATCAGCTTCTGGCCAAAGCACAGAGTCTCTTGGTGTCATCCTCATGCGTAGACTCTCCTCTTCACCCTGGGCTGTTGCCTCATCTGCTGCCCCCTCACTGAAGGGCACAGAGACCAGAAAACACAGATGACTGGGCACCCTGGCTGTAGAGTGACCGCCAAAGCTGCCAAAGCTGAGTCCTGAGGGAAGGGGCCTCTGCAAGTGTATACGTGTGCCTGTGCCCATGTGTGTGCACTTGCCTGTGCATGTGCCCATGCATGTGTGCATTCCTGTGCATATACAAGTGCATGTGTGTGGGGGTCCCACCCACAGTGCTGCTGAGAGCTGCAAGTTTGGGGCGCTCCAGCTGGAAGCCACCCCACCCTGCCCTCACTGCTGAGCCCAGTGCCTCCTCCCCTAGGACGTCTTCCCCACCCTGTCAGCCTCCTTCCTGCTCCCAAGGTCCTTATCTCTGCGGTCTATGCGAATGCACCCTGGCTGTCCTCAGATCTGATCCCCACACTCCAGCCCCGGCTTACCCAGGTAGCGGCCTCCAGGCTTGATGACGATGGCACCACGGCTGCGTGTCTCCTCCTCCGCCTGGGCCATGCTCTCGCGGGCCTTCTGGTAGGAGTCGTCAGTGGCGCACACCGTGACCTTGTCCTGGATGCTGCCCAGGCAGTCCAGATGGACGTCACCACGGCTGCAGGACAAGGGCAGGATGGGCTCAGACCTCCAAGGGGCTGGGCAGGGCAGCGGGGCTAGGCAGGGACAGGGCCTCACCTGGACACATACTGTTGGATGCAGTCGAAGCTGCCCTGTGGGCTGTCACGGCCGATGTTGGAGAGATAGAAGGCGAAGGTGCGGAGCTCCTTGGGGCAGTCAGGCTGGGGGACACAGATGTGCTGCAGGCAAAGGACAGTGGGGGGGGTGTCACTGAGGCTGCTGCCCTGGTGCCACCACCACCCAGAAACATCGTCCCACCCCAACGAGTGGGGACTCCAGTGTCCCAGGCCAGGGCCTAGGTACTGGGAACACATGAGTGTCTTCTCATGGTCATGCGCCACCAGCAAGGCAGGCAGCGGCCCTGTGGGCTCACAAGCAGTGTGTGACACTACAGCCTTGACAGTGCCTGCTCAGGGTTCAGCCAGAGGCTAGAGGCATAGATAGCCATGGCAGCTCAGGTGGGCAGGTGGTGCAGCACGGAAGAGTGGCACACTTCCACCAGGGCCCTTCCCACCCCTCCAGCGGGTGGGCAACACAGGCAGCTCTGGCACACACACAGACATTGAGCCTTAGCCTCCTCAGCTCAGAGGCCCTGGCCTGTGGGCAGCTCCAGGGGTGGGGTACAACCCTGGCACTGCCACACGCCAACCCCGCCCGGAGGATATGCAGCACAGGGTCCCCCTGCTTGCCCTGGTTTTCAGTCTCTGTTCTGCTCGGAGTCTATGCAGGGGTGCCAGGCTGCAGCAAGAGGGATGGGGGCTGCATCTGTGCTGCTCCCCATTGGCTCAGTGGCCAGTGGCTGGGCGGAGGTCATAGCAGAAGCAGGGCACCACAAGATCACACTTTAGGTCTTCAATGTTAGCAGCCTGGCCCTGCAGCCCCAGGAGGTAATGCTGAGTGTGTAATGTGTGACAAAAGCACCAAGGTCAGGAGGCACAGGGCAGGGAGGAGACCCGCTTTCTTTCCCGAGCGGATGGCAGGGCCGTGGGACTGCACAAAGAGAGGCTGTGAACTTGCAGGGGGCATCTGACGTCACCCTCGCTGCAGGAGGGGATGGCTAGGGCCACAGCACGGGGCCATGGCTGCCAAGGCTCAGCAGACCAGCCCAGATTTGCAGCCATGGTGCTCTGAGCTGAAGCAGCAGGGAGCCAGGACCCCAAAGCCAAAATAGCATGGGGCCCCACACAGGGCTCACAGCAAGATGGGGACTTCCCCAGTGCAGGAGGCCAGGCAGGCAAGGAATTGATGGCCATACGATGGGCAGAGTGTGTATCCAGGGGACACAAGGAACTACAGAGGTCAGGGCCCCACAAAAAAGGGAAAAACAGATTCTCCCAAATAGACCCAATCCCCGAATGGGCACATGATGAACACGTGGGCTGACACGCCCACGAGGAGATGTCTGACCCTGGTGGCTGGCACAGAATGACAAGTGCTACTAGCCTGAGGGGCAAGGAGCCCCCGCCAATAGATTGTGGAGTCCTCAGAACACTGGGGCTGGGGATCCACTGACCCTGCTGCTCTCTCTGTTAGGATCTCCTCCAGAGCAATGCCACCCCTAACAGCTATATCCTGCAAGTGGTCCACCTGACCATCAGCGGAGAAATGGATAAGAAAACAAGGCATTACACACAGTGGAGTACTACTCTGCTGTAAAGAATGGTAAGCTAGGACATTCGTGGGTAGATGGAGGCACTGTGAGATTACAACACTAAGTGAAAGAAATCACATGCAAGGTTGGATAGCATAAGGCTCCCCTTCTATGAGAAACCCAAAATATAAAGAAAGAGTAAAATAAGAGACAGGTAGCAGGAAGCAGGGAGACCTTTTCCAAACGGTTAGGGGTCACGAGATGGAGAGCATGTAGGAAGAGGAGAGAAACAGAATGAACCCAGGAAAGGACAGCGCTTAAGCAATGGGAAGGCAGCAGGAGGGGACAGAGAGCATGATGGCCTTGACCCCTGTGCACTGCAGACACACAGGCAGGAGTGGGACAGCCTGGCACCAACCCACCAGCACCTGGCGCCCCCCACCCCTACACCAGGCCTCAGGCGAGGGAGGTGGAGCCCCAGCTCTGGCCCTGGGTTCTGCCAGCGTCACAGCCCTAACTCACAGTCAGGGAAGGAAACCGAGGCACGCCCGAGCGCGGCACTGCACAGGGTAGGTGGGGAGCTGTGGGCGGAGTGGGGTTGGGGCGGCACCTGGGTGCGCCTGCTGGGACTGCTCCCCGCCCCGACAAGTGCCGGGGCCTTGGTGAGTGCACGCTGGCTGGGGCCACCAGGGGGCGCCAAGCCTCATGCCAGGAGATGCGGACCCTGCTTCAGACCCCAGGGCGTGTCCTAGGCTGAAGTCTGCACAGGGTCTCTTCTCTCCTTCTGAGGCAGGGTCTCATGGGCTGCGCCTTGCAGCCCAGCTGCCTGCTGAGCACTGGGTGACAGCCTGGCTCTGCGTGGCCCTGGTTTTGGCCCCAGCCCACCCATGCAGAAGAAGACAGGATGAGCCCAGCCACCACAGTATGGATCCCACATCCCTGACAGGGCAGAGACAAAAGCAACTTACCCCTTGGCTTCCTTGAAATCGGATTGTCGGTCTCAGCGACACAGAATCCTATAAGAAAACAAAATGGGAAAACGTCAAGACTGAGCACACTTCCCAGGCAAACTTCCCAGTAACTCGAGGAGCAAGATAGGGACACTGACTCCAGGAGAAACAAGAAAATGTGCATGTGCCCTAACGTTTCAGGATGGGCCACTGGAGCAGGGTTTTGAAGCACCAATAAGAATTCCTCTGACAGACACAGAGCTGGGGCCAAAATCAGAGCCTCAAGCCAGGCAACCCTGATAAAGGACCTGGCAGAGGGCCAGGACAGCAGGCCAGGAGTCTGTGATATGTCTGTGAGGCTATCGCTAGGCTATTACACCCATGGCAGAGGAAGGAGGGCAGGAGGAAACCCGGTTACACTGGCGTCCTGAGGCCCCACACAGCCCCTCTGGTCCCCAGAAGCCCTCTCACATCAGGGGCCAGGCAGCCAAGCCCACAGGGTCCGAGAGTGTCTGGGCAGGCACATGGGGTCCAGGTGGGGGCGTAGCGTTTATGGAAACTGCCCAGCAGGACTCTGGGACACACAGAGCAGGTGGGCACATGGTCCCATCCTGGACTACCTTTATCCAAGTGCTGCAACAGACCACAGGGCCTCTGCACGGAGCTACACCCTCAGCCCTCAGCCCTGTTTTATTTTTGGTTCAGAGACAGGCTTGCTAAGGCACTAAGTTGCCCAGACTTGAACCTGAGATCCTCCTGCCTCAGCCTCCCGAGGGCCAAGGTCATAAGTGTGTGCCACTTCTTAGCCATTTTAACAGGTGAAACTGGTTGGTGACACCAGGTCCTCTTGGGGCCAAGGAGAGGATAAGACACAGCCTTGCTGCCTGCTGTCACTCCGAGGCTATAACTGACTCAGGGCCCAGAGCACATTCAGCCCTGGAAAGAACTCCTGCTACATGAGGCACTGGCATGGGGCTGGGGCTGCCAAAGTGGCACCATGACCACTGTCGCAACATCATTAGCAGGTGTGACTCCGATATTGGACAGAGCCAGGAAGCATGCAGGGGCTGCAGCAGCAGAGCAGGGCACCTCCCACACCCTTCCCGGCCTGGTGGCAGCACTGGGTCCTGTCTCCTCCCAAAAGCAGCCTCATCCTGCATTCACTCCCTAAGGACATCCCCAGGAGGAGGAGGAGAGGCAGATGTGCACCGCATCCCTGCAGGCCATGGTGGACACCCACACTCAGTGATGCCCTGTGGCTGGCCCCTGCCAGGGCACACGTGTATGAGGTGGCCCTTGGTCATCTTCGCCATCACTGGCCCAAGCAGGCACCCCGAGGACACACACCCACCTGTCACCGATGCCAGTGTGCAGCCCACTCGTGCTCAGCAAAATACCCACAATCAAGCCACTACAGCAAAGTTAGCAAAAGCAGGCTTTTGGGATGGGGATTTAGCTCAGTGGGACAAGCAACTGCCTTGAAGGCACATGGTTGTAAGTTCAATCCCTGGTACCAAAAAAAAAAGCAGGCTTTCAGGAGGAGAACTCGAAAAAATGACTTGTGTGTCATCAGACAGTGACCCCAGCACCTGGCATTTGTTGCGGATTGCTAGGAACAGGTCCCATCTTTGGATAAAGACTTCGCTGTTCTGAATAAACAGCAAGTGACACTTTGTACCACGCCTGCCACCTCCTGCCAACTCTGTCACTGAGGACCTCCTGGGGTGAAATCCCTCTTTCAGGTGGGCCCTGAATCGTGGGGGGCCCTCTGGGAGTCCCACTCTCATCCACAAGGGCTGCACTGGCCCACAGCCCAGGTAACCTGGGGGTCACGGACACGTCTGCTGCGGTAGCCCTGGACCAGACGCAGTGCCTGGCACACAGTGGGCTCTGTGGTGGGGGCAGGTGCACCGGGACTGAACCCAGGGCCACATCCCAGCCATTGTCATTTTTCAAGACAAGGTTTCAGCAATGCCCTGAGTTGCCAAGAGTGGGCTCACACTTGGATCCTCCTGCCTTGGCCTCTGGGATGCTGGGATCACAGGTGTGCGCCACCTGTATGATCAGCTTCAGCTCCTGCCTTCCAGCTTCCGACTAGATGGGGCGTCCCAGGCAGAGGTGCCCAGGAGAAGGAAACAACCTCGAGCACCCTCTGCCGCTGGCTCCTGGGAAGTTTCCCTTTCCTGCCAAGCACAAATGGAGCTGGAGGAGGGCGGCAGGCTGGGCCACCTCCAAGGCCCTGGGGGAGGGGACAGGAAAGTTGCCAGGGACCCTGAGCGCTGACCCAGCAGCCCTGTGGCCCGGCCCCCAGTGGCCAGTTAGGCGCCCCGGGAGGGCTGCTCTCGGCTCCTCTCCACACAAAGCGCCAGACAGGGCTGTGGAGCCCCACCGACACCCCTGGGCTTCCAGGAGGAGAGGACAAGGGTGCCCAGGCCAGGTTGCGACAATGTTTGGGCACTATTGCCTCACCAAGCAGCAGGACCTGTGAAGCATCATGGTCCCTGTCACTGTGGCAGCACTGGGGCGGCCCAGGCTAGGAGATGCAGGATGCTTCCCCAGGGATGTCTCTGGAGATGGGGACTTGGTACCCTGGGCACTCCCTGGGGGCAGGGAAAGAGGGTACTCCCAGTGGCCTGTCCTCACTGCCAGATGGTAACACTAGCTCATGCCCAGGCTAAGACAACCCCACACAGAGGCTAAGCCCTGCAGAGACCCCAAGGTCACTGGGGTGATGAGCACATGCAGGAACCCTAGGGTGGTCCACTGCTAGGACCAGAGTGGAGGGCAGTGATGTCCAGGGAAGGAGGGGAGAGGCTGGGTGCTGTCGCCTGCTGGCTATCGGGAAAGCAGAACCCCACCGATGGCCCAGAAATCCCTGGTGCTCTCCCCGAAGCCAAGAGGCTTCCGAGGTGAAGCAACAGGAAGTGGCTTGCGAAACCCCCTGGGGCCACAGGTTGGGAGAAGTGGGGCTGGCAGGATTCCTGCCAGCTGCATTCGGCCCAGGGGATCGGACAGGGACGCTGGTCGTGTCCACAGGGCCACCTTGGGGACAGGACTCAGGCATAGGTCCCAAGTCACCTCCACTCCCCCAGGACAGAGGGTGCCGAGGAAGCCACCGTCAGAGCTGAGCACAGGGGTCCACATGCAGAAGCCCCACCCCTGTCGGGTGGAGGAGGAGGAAGAGGAAAGGACAGGGTCTTGTCTACAGCCATACCACCCTGAACTCGCCCAATCTCGTCTGATCTCAGAAGCTAAGCAGGGTCGAGCCTGGTTAGTACTTGGATGGAAGGACGGGGTCTTACCCACCCAACCCAGAGGGTCGCAGAGGTGCATGGCCAATGTGATTGCCACTCTGGAGAGGCCAGGCCAGGGCCGTGCCAGTGAGGAAAAACCCTGGTCTGTCCTGAGCCTGTCTGCTGGGAGTGCCAGTGCAAAGAAGAGTGCCTGGCACTGTCACTGGAACACTTCAAAAAAAGCGGACAGCCGCCAGCTGGAGCTGGACTTTGGGGCCCTGCTGTGCCCTCCTGGCCAGGACAGCCCTGGGGTACAAAAGGCCTGGCCCCTCCCCATGTTGCCACACACACATTCACCAGGATGGGCCCAAGACGGCCACTTTGAGCCTGAGGAGCTTCCTCTCCAGGAAGCCGGGCAACAGTCACCTGGCTACTGCAGGGTGCCGCCTGCTTGTTGTACAGAGACAAGTGTCCCCAGACAGCCCCCCTGCCCACCCGTGTGACAGGTGCAGCCACATGGGCAAAGCAGCCAGCACTGCGGGTGTTTGCACTAACTGAGCTACACAGGACTCACAGGGAAAGTCTGAACTTTCGATGCTACCATCCCAGCAACTCAGGAGGCTGAGGCAGGAGAACTGCAAGTTCGAGCCTAGCAACTTAGCAAGATGCTAAAAACTGGAAAGCTAGCCTGTGGCCATGCCACCCTTAACATGCCCTGTTCCATCTAAATAAAAATATACAGAGGGCTGCGGCTATAGCCTGGTGACACAGTGCTCCCTACATTCATTAACCCTGCCTTCCATCCGGAGTGGCTGGAAACCATAAAACACAAGCAAAGAATGAAAGGAGGAAAAGAGGGAGAAAAAAAGAAAATTAGAGGCTGGTGATTTAGCTCAGCGGCATAAGCACCTGCCTTGTAAGCAGGTGGTCGTGAGTTCGATCCCCAGTACTGATAAAAAAAAAGAAAAAGAAAAGAAAATTAAACCCTCAACTGGGCATTACAGCACACATCTGTAACTCCAGCACTCAGGAGGCTGAGGCAGGGGGAATCATCACAACTTTGAGTCCAGCCTGGGATACACAGTGAGCAGCTCAAGGCCAGCCTGGGTTACAAAGTGAGATCCTGCCTTAGAGGAAAGAGGAAAGAGGAAGGAAGGAAGGAAGGAAGGAAGGAAGGAAGGAAAGAAAGAAAGAAAAAAAGAAAGAAAGAGCAATCTGATTGGGAAAAAAAGACCCTATAATCCCAGGGCTAGCCAGCCTCCACCTCTGTGTCCACACTGTGGCTGTTGGGGTTCTTCCTACTGTGTACCCCTACACTGACTATTATGACCCCGCCTTTCACAAGTGCCCAGTCTCAGATAAGGACACAGAGGCTGGTGACCCTGGCACCCACTGCCAAGTTTCTCAGCAGCAACCCTGGCTTCACCCCTTTTCCTGGCCCTGCGGGACGCTGGGGAGTGAGTGCAGAGGAGGAACAGCCCACCGGCCCACACACAACCGCCTGGACCTAGACAGGACAGCCCAGTGCTCAGGGTCTGGGGTCATGGTTTTGTTGGGGTTTTTTTACACAGTAAAACCCCTGTGGGGTGCTATTCCCACAGAGTGACATCATCAGCCCTTTCTGCTTTTCTGAATCTTAGAATGAGTCTCACTAAGCTGCCCAGACTAGCTTTGAACTTGCAGATCGTCCTGCCTCTGCCTCCTAAGCAGCAGAGATACAGGCATGAGACACCACAACCAGCTTAATTCTCTTGAAGAAACAGAACCTGACATGGCCAATGACTGCACCACTCCAGGGAGGCCCTTGGAGTGTCCGGTCCTGTAGGGGATAGT